AGAAATTATCTAGGCTTAAACAGACAGGGTGGGAAAAAGCCAGAATAAAAATCCTTCAGTGATCTGTGGGCCATTATCAACGAGTTACAGGAGGAGAGAGAGAAGAGAAACAGTAGAAATGCAAAAAGATAATCGCAAAATTTCTTAAGTTGATGAAAAATAATTCACAGATCTCAAAAACTCATAATCTTAAATCTACTAAACCCAAAACCATACCACGCCATATCATAATCAAGTTGCTGGAAACAAGTAATAAATAACATCTTAAACATTCCAGAAGAGGCAGGGTACAGTGGCTCACGCCTGTAATCCTAGCATTTTGGGAGGCTGAGGTGGGCAGATCACCTGAGGTCAGGAGTTCGAGACCAGCTTGGCCAACCTGGTGAAACCTCGTCTCTACTAAAAATACAAGAATCAGTTGGGCATCATGGCATGTGCCTGTAATCCCAGCTACTCAGGAGGCTGAAGCAGGAGAATCACTTGAACCCGGGTGGTTGAGGTAGTTGCAGTGAGCCAAGATTGCACCATTGCACTCCAGCTTGGGTGACAGAGCAAGACTTCGTCTCAAAAAAAAAAAAAAAAAAAGCCGAAAAAAGATTCGTTACATGCAGAGGAGCAAAGATAAAAATGACTGCTGACTTTTTAACAGAAACAATACAATGAAACATCTTTCAAATGCTGAGAAAAACTGTAAACCCCCTGGGCATCGTGGCACATGCCTGTAATGCCAACACTTTGGGGGCTGAGGCAGGTGGATCTCTTAAGCCCAGGATATTGAGACCAGCCTGGGCAATGTGGTGAAACCCTGACTAGTTGTAAAAATACAAAAATTAGCCGGGTATGTTGGTGCATGCCTATAGTCCCAGCTACTTGGGAGGCTGAGGCGGGAGGATCACTTGAATCTGGGAAGTCAGGGCTGCAGTGAGTTGACATCAAAACACTCCAGCCTGGTGACAGAGGGAAACCCTGCCTCAACAACAACAAAAAAGGTAAAAAACAAAACAATGTTTGCTTAAGACAGAATTTTGTATATAGAAAGTCTTAAGGAATCTTCAAAATAAAGAATTTTACAAGGTCACAGGATACAAGGTTAATATATAAAAATGAATTATATTTTTATGTTTAAAATTGGGGAATGAAATTTATATTTTATGTATTTTATTTTTAGAGACAGAGTCTCATTCTGTTGCCCAGGCTGTAGTGCAGTGGGCACAATCGTGGGTTACTGCAGCCTCGAACTCCTAGGCCAAAGCAAGCCCCTCTCCTCACTCCTGCACACCATCACCAGCTAATTTAAAAAAAAATTTTTAAATATATATATTTTTTGAGATGGAGTCTTGTTCTGTTTGTTGCCCAGGCTGGAGTGCAGTGGCACAATCTCTGTTAACTGCAACCTCTGCCTCCTGGGTTCAAGCCATTCTCTTGCCTCAGCCTCCAAGTAGCTGGGATTACAGACACCCGCCACCACACCTGGCTAATTTTTTGTATTTTTAGTAGAAACAAGGTTTCACTATGGTGGCCAGACTGGTCTCAAACTCCTGGCCTCAAGTGATCTGCCCTCCTCAACCTCCCATAGTGCTGGGATTACAGGCGTGAGCTACTGCTCCTAGCCACACCAGCTCATTATTTATTTATTTATATTATTTTGAAGAGGTGGCATCTTGCCACATTGCTCAGGTTGGTCTCAAACTTCTGGCCTCAAGTGATCATCTCACATTGGCATCCCAAAGTACCTCCAAGTCTGACCAGTTTTCTTTGGATATGTTTCTTTTGCTCTACAGTGGAACTTCTTTTAATTAATTAATCATTTATTTATCTGTTTTTGAGACAGTCTCACTCAAAACCCCTGGGCAACGGGGTTTCCCCATGTTGCGCAGGCTGGAGTGCAATGGCATGATCTCAGCTGACTGCAACCTCTACCTCCCGGGTTCAAACAATTTTCTTGCCTCAGCCTTCACGTAGCTTGGATTACAGTCATGCACCACCATGCCCAGCTAATTTTTTTTTTTTTTAAACTTTTAGTAAAGATGGGGTTTCACCATGTTGGTCAGGCTGGTCTCGAACACCTGACCTCGTGATCCACCCACCTCGGCCTCCCAAAGTGCTGGGATTACAGATGTGAGCCACTGCGTCTGGTCTACTTATTTTATTCTTTAAAAATTGGGGCCACGGGCCAGGTGTGGTCGCCTGTAATTTCAGCACTTTGGGAGGCCGAGGCCGGTGAATCACCTGAGCTCAGAAGTTCGTGACCAGCCTGGCCAACATGGGGAAACCCCGTCTTTAAAAAAAAAAAAAAATTGGGGCCACACCTGTAATCACAGTGGCTCACACCTGTAATCACAGCACTTTGGGAGGCCGAGGTGGGAGGATTGCTTGAGCTCAGGAGTTTGAGATCAGCCTGGGCAACATAGTGAGATCGACATCTCTACAAAATTAAAAAAGTTAGCTGGGCATGGTGGCACACATCTGTAGTCCCAGCTACTTAGGGGGCTCAGCAGGGAGGATTGCTTGAGCTTGGGAGGGTGAGGCTGCAGTGAGCTGTGATCTTACCACTGTACTTCAGTCTGGGCAACGGACCAAGACCTTGTCCCTCCTCAAAAAATGGGTATCTTTTGAGGGCTTGTTTATGGGGATGTGCCGCAGTTGAAAATGTGAGGTTTTAGCCGGCGCAGTGGTTTACGCCTGTAATCCCAGCACTTTGAGAGGCAGAGGCGGGTGGATCGCGAGGTCAAGAGATCGAGACCATCCTGGGCAACATGGTGAAACCCCATCTCTACTAAAAGTACAAAAAATTAGCTGGGCATGGTGGCGCGTGCCTGTAATCAATCCCAGCTACTGAGGAGGCTGAGGCAGGAGAATTGCCTGAACCCAGGAGGTGGAGGTTGCAGTGAGCCGAGATCGTGCCATTGCACTCCAGCCTGGGTAACAAGAGTGAAACTCCATCTAAAAAAAAAAAAGAAAAGAAGATGTGAGGTTTTGCTCCTATGAATCATGACCAAATCTGTTAAATTTCTTTCCCTCGATTTTTATGGAATCCTTCAGTCAGCCTCCTATAAAGGACAGAAATACTGACAGAAATTGTTTCAAAGTAACATTTTCCCCTAATCAGTGCTTTGATCTGATTCAAATGTTTTCATGAGAGAATACTCTATAATTTGGAAGACTGTAAGAGCTCCGGTGTAACGTGACTTTCTGGGTAATAATTTTGGAAAAACTGGTTAAATTTTGCATATGACATTTAGATTGTGTTCAAGGTGCCCTTATATAGGTAACTAGGGTGAACCTCCTCCTCCTCCTCTTTTTTTTTTTTTGGAGACACAATCTTCACTGTTTGTCACCCAGGCTGGAGTACCCAGCTGGGTCTTAACTGTTTGTCAGCCAGGCTGGCATGATCTCAGCTCACTGCAACTTTGACCTCCCAAGCTCAAGTGATCCTCCCACTTTAGCCTTCTGAGGATCTAGGACTGCAGGCATATGCTACCAAACCTGGCTAATTTTTGTATTTTTTGTAGAGATGGGGTTTTGCCATGTTGCCCAGGCTGGTCTTGAACTCCTGGCTCAAGGGATCTGTTTGCTTTGGCCTTCCAAAGTGCTGGGATTATAAGCATGAGCCACCACACTTGGCCTGGTGTGAAACTTCTTAGGATAAACTTATAGCATTGGACTTGCAAGGTCAAAGGCATGTTCCCCTTTTAAACCTGCTGTTACATTGCTGGGCAGAAAGGGTTGTGCAGACCTGTATACACCCTATACAGGTAATAAAATGCCTTTTATAGAGTTACCAGTTTTCCTTTGTATGCTTACCTACATTCTGAACCCAGGTACTAGAATTTTATGTTCTATTTCATCTTCCATTTTTAACTGTTGCTGTCTACTTTGGATCTGTTTTTTGTTTATATATTAGAGGCTGATGCCTTAATCATCATGATAGGGATATCCTCATTCATTCCTGAATTCATTTTACACCTCTGTCCTTTCCTCAAGAGTTGGAAGTTTTATGTACTAACTGCAGAATTCCCATTTTTTTCTTCAAGAGTTAAAGGAGCGGCTGGGCGCGGTGGCTCACGCCTGTAAGCCCAGCACTTTGGGAGGCTGAGGCGGGTGGATCATGAGGTCAAGAGATTGAGATCATCCTGTCCAACATGGTGAAACCTCGTCTCTACTAAAAATACAAAAAATTAGCTGGGCATGGTGGCGCGTGCCTGTAATTCCAGCTACTCAGGAGGCTGAGGCAGGAGAATTGCCTGAACCCAGGAGGCGAAGGTTGCGGTGAGCCGAGATCGCACCATTGCACTCAGCCTGAGTAACGAGCGAAACTCCGTCTCAAAAAAAAAAAAAAAGAGTTAAAGGAAATGGTAGAATACTGGGGTTTTGGATTCCCTGGAGATTGTTGAAACCCCAGCACATAGATTATTTTTCAGAGAAGTTGTATAGCTTTTAAATGGAATTCACGTATTAGTCCCTATACCTCAAACTCCAGTGGACTGAAACTTATTTGTAACAGCCTTTATATTAAATTAACTCTAATCCTCTATTGCAAAAAATTTCCACAGTATTTTATAATAGAAACTCACTTATGAAGTCTGGAAATTGGACATTTTAATTCCAATCCAGGACTCTTTTCTGCTTTCTGCAACAGTGCAAATGAATATTATTTACATAGATATTTTGTTTTGGGCCAGGTGCGGTGACTCACGCCTGTAATCCCAGCATTTAGGGCCAAGGTGGGCAGATCACCTGTGGTCAGGAGTTGGAGACCAGCCTGGCCAACATGGTGAAACCCTATCTCTACCAAAAAAGAAAAAAATACAAAAATTAACACAGCATGGTGGCAGGCACCTATAATCCCAGCTACTTAGGGGAGACTGAGGCATGAGAATCGCTTAAACCTGGGAGGCAGAGGTTGCAGTGAGCCAAAATTGCGCCACTGTACTTCAGCGTGGGAGATGGAGTGAGACTGTCTCAAAAAAGAAAAGATAATTTTGTTTTGCCTTTCTCAGGTGTGGACACCTCAAGATCGCCGGTGTGTCCTGAGTACCTTAGCACAGTTGCTCTTGGATAGGGACTGTACTGTCCTGGTTGGTCGCCAGCTTCGCCCTCTCCTTTTAGATTTGCTGGAGAGGAATGCCGAAGCCATCAAAGCTGGAGGCCAAGTCAACCATGATCTGCATGAGCGGCTCTGTGTGTCGATGAGCAAACTCATCGGTAACCATCCTGATGTCCTCCCGTGAGTAGCAATTTTATTCACATTTCTCCTTGAGGTGATAGAACCTGCTATCTCCTGGGAAGTAAGGGAGTTTGAGCTGAGATGGGAAAAGGGAGATACAGAAAGGAGAGAGATAAATAATATCATTTTATAAAAGGAGTCACAGCAGAATCCATTTATCCAGCCCAGTTCAGTGAGCATTTACTAGGTTTCTCTTAAATCTTGGCCATCAGAACAGACCTGGAAAGATGGCCAGGATATGTCCCCAGTGCTGTCAAGGATTATATCATGTGGAAAGATATTCATATACAGCAGAGTAAATGAGGTTTAATTGAAGTGCTTTTAGCATCCACTTCTAATGGGAAAGATTTTTTGCTTATTAGAGCCGCTGAAGGAGTGGATTAGAAGAGCTATAGTGTCCCTTCCAACTTCTGTAAATCTATCTGAATTAGTGTAGCAAAAACTGTTAGAGCTGCGTTCTAATGTGACTTTAAAGTGATAGTAAAATACAGTTTGTGAGGAATAGTCCAGAGGCACCAAAACTGAGTGTTAGGGTTTTTTTTTTTTTTTTTTTTAATTTTGGAGACAGAAATCTTGCTCTGTTGCCCAGGCTGGATTGAAGTGGCTCGATCTCTATTCACCATGACCTCCACCTCCCAGGTTCAAGTGATTCTCCTGCCTTAGCTTCTAGGTAGCAGGGATTATAGGCGTGCACCACCGTGCCTGGCTAATTTTTTTATTTTTGGTAGACACGGGGTTTCACCATGTTTGCCAGGCTGGTCTCGAACTCCTCACCTCGTGATCCATCCACCTCCCACATTGCTGGGATTACAGGCGTGAGCCACTGTGCCTAGCCTAATTTTTGTATTTATTGTCGAGATAGGTCACCATGTTGTCCAGGTGGTCTTGAACTCCTGGCCTCAAGTGATCTGCTTGCGGTGGCCTCCCAAAGTGCTGGGATTACAGGCGTGAGCCACTGTGCCTGGCCTAATTTTTATATTTTTAGTGGAGACAGGGTTTCGCCATGTTGGCCAGGCTGGCCTTGAACTTTTGACCTCGGATGATCTGCCTGATTTGGCCTCCCAAAGTGCTGGGATTACAGGCATGAGCCACTGCACCCAATGATTATTTTCCCTTAATATTATGTCAGAGTGTAACTTTATTTCTAAGTTTTACCTGTACTGACTTGACCAGAGCCTGCTGAGAATCGTGTCTGTAGTATACAGAAGTATCCCAGACTAGTGAGGAAGAAATGGTTCCTTTTCCTCCACGTTTTCAGAATGTTTCACTTCTAACACCAGATGTGTGACTTTTTAACCTATATTTGTCAATTCTCTGACATTGGTTTGGTATCCTACAATTCAGTTCAACTCTGAGACTGTCTTCCTGGAGTTAGTACAGACCCTACAGGTTAAGAATTCAGTCCCACAAGAGTATCCCTGCATTCCTCCTCTGCAACCCCCTCGATAGACACCAATCTCTTCTAGCTTCTGACCAAAAGGCTCTAAATCAGAGACTCCCTTGACTCCCTGTTTTCAGGTTTGAGTATTTGTTAGAATGGCTCACATAACTCAGGAAAACAGTTTCTTTACCAGATGACAAGTGTATTAGAAAAGAATACAACTCGGGAAGAGCCAGTTGGAAGAGATGCACAGGACAGGACATGGGGGAGGGGGACAGTAAGCATCTGTGCCCTCCCCAGCTGCAGCACCCTCTCAGCACCTCTATTTATTCACCAACCTGAGAGCTCACAGAACCCCATTTTTTTTTTTTTTTTTTTTTTAAGATGGAGTCTCGCTGCGTCACCCAGGCTAAAGTGCAGTGGCGCCATCTTGGCTCACTGCAGCCTCTGCCTCCCAGGTTCAAGCAATTCTTCTGCCTCAGCCTCTCAAATAGCTGGGATTACAGGCGCGTGCCACCACGCCTGGCTGTTTTTTGTATTTTTAGTAGAGATGGAGTTTCACCATGTTGGTCAGGCTGGTCTCGAACTCCTGACCTTGTGATCCGCCCACCTTGGCCTCCGGAACTGCTGGGATTACAAGCATGAGCCACCACGTCTGTCCTGTTTCTTTCTTTTTTTTTTTTTAAATGGATATTTCATTAGGAAGACATGATTGATTATATCATTGACCATTGGAGATCATTTTAGCCATCATCCCCTCTCTCCTTCCTGGCAGTTGGGGGTCGGGCTGAAAGTTTCAAGTCTGTTATCACTTGGTTGGTTCTCCTGGCAACTAACCAGTGTCCCCTCCTTAGGGACTTTCCCGTTGTCACCTCATTAACATAAAACTCAGGTGTGATTGAAAGGGGATTGAATAACAAAAGAATAGCTCTTACCGCATCAGGAATGAATTACAGTTCCTAGAGCTCTGTCCTGGAACCAGGTTGAAAACTAAACATAATAAGGTCAAGTTTTTAACAAAATTAAAGTTTCATTAAAAGTGTACAAATATGTATGCACTTTTTTCCCATTGTGGTAGGAAAACACCAATATGGTGAAACGCCATCTCTAATAAAAATACAAAATTAGCTGGCCATAGTGGCAAATGCCTGTATGTAATCCCAGCTACTCAGGATGCTGAGGCAGGAGAATTGCTTGAACCCAGGAGGCAGAGATTGCAGTGAACTGAGATTGGGCTAGTTAAAAAAAATTTTTTGTAGGAAAGAATGTTCCTTTGTTACCCAGGCTTGTCCTCTTCATTCATTAAGGTGTAACTTAAGCATCTCTTCTTGATTGTCCCCAGATTCAGTTGACTCGTGTGTGTGTGTGTGTGTGTGTGTGTTTCTTAGTGTTTCTAAAAGTGGGTGTCTTCCTTACTAGGCAGCAAACTCCTCAAGAAAAGTATCTCATCAGGTATTAACATAGTATGTGGCTCATAGTGAGAACTGAATTAATGTTTGTTAGAAATGAGTACCTTTTCAATTATAAACACTTACGATGAGTACCCCCTCCTTTTGTAGGTAATTACTTTAGGTTTTTGTATCCTCTTAGAATTATCTTATGTCACGGTCCTGGTTCCTGAAATTGAACAGAACAAAATTTTAGAACTAGCTAGATTTAGCATTCATCTTCCTATGTTGTCAGACACTTGGGGAGTTCTGATCTGTGGTTCTTTCGGAGTAGAGAGATTTGTTCTGTGATATTCCCACCAATCATTGAAAATGTAGATACTCCTTGTTGAAAATAGCTGAAGTTGAAATGCGTTTAATACTCTGATAAACCGATTACAAAGCTGAAAAATTAAGTCCAAACAGTGTTAAGTTGGGGATGCCTGTATTCTTTGTTTTTGAAGGTTTGCCCTGAGGTATTTCAAGGACACATTCCCAGTCTTTCAAAGACTCTTCCTAGAGAGTTCAGATGCTAATCCAGTCCGCTACGGACGTAGGAGGATGAAGCTCCGGGACCTAATGGAAGCAGCCTACAGGTTTCTGCAGCAGGAGCAGTCTGTGTTCCGGGAGCTCTGGGACTGGAGTGTGTGTGTCCCTCTCCTCAGAAGCCATGACACCTTGGTTCGCTGGTACGTAGCTGCTAGACTTTTTTGTACTTCTAGAGTGGGGCTGGTACAGGGCATGTGTGGAGTTATGTTTGTGAGGAGGGAAAGGAAACCGTTTAAAATTTGGTATTTTTGTTCTTGTGGCTTTTGAGTTTTTATTTCCTTTCTTTAATCACATGTTATTGCAGAGGAAAATGAGATGATATGAGTGGATCTCGCCTTTTTCATTTTCCATTAAGTAAAATTTATTGTGCCTTATTTGTATTTTCTGTTCCTAAATGTGTTATAATTGAGATTTCCTTTTCTAGTGTTCAGTTGGCTAGTAAATTTTATTTATTCTTTATAATCAGCTGCAGGTAAACTGAATTTACATACTTTCTTTTTCCCCAGGTATACGGCCAATTGTCTTGCTTTGGTCACCTGTATGAGTGAAGAGCACAAATTATCATTCCTTAAGAAGATATTTAATAGTGATGAATTGATCCATTTCAGGTTGAGGTAAGCAGGAGCCTTCGTGGAGGTCTTACTATCTTGCTATAGCATTTCTTCATTTTTTCTTTTCTGGGGGCGACAGACCAGGGGTAACTGTGGGTCTTGCTATAGCATTTCCGAGAAATAAGATAATTGATGAGACTCTCCTTTCTCTCAGGTTATTAGAAGAGGCCCAGTTGCAGGACTTAGAGAAGGCTTTGGTTTTGGCCAATCCAGAAGCCTCCCTTTGGCATAAGGAGAAGGAGCTGCAGTACTTACAGGGACACCTTGTTTCGTCTGACCTCTCCCCTAGGGTGACAGCTGTCTGTGGTGTGGTGCTGCCCGGGCAGCCACCAGCCTCTGGAGAGCCGGTATGTTGGCATCAGTAGAGGGTGTGTTCACTTCCCCATACTAAACACTTAATGTGCTCTGTCTTTGGCTGGGCTCTGTGTACCAGCTGTGAGCTAAATTTAGTTTGTTAAATGCTATTCCATTTTTGGAAGTATTCAGGGCGAAATTAAGAGAAATTCATCTTGGGCTTTTCCCTTGATATTCCCATTGTTCCTGTTTTTTTTTTTTATTAATTTTTTTAAGTTGTAGAGACAGGATCTCGCTATGTTGTCTGGTGGTCTGGAACTCCTGGTCTTAAGATATCATCCCGCTCCGCCTCCCAAAGTGTTGGGATTACAGGCGTGATCCACTGTACCCAGCCTGTCCCTGTTTAATATGAAATTAAAAACTAATGTGCCTGTGTGATGCCTTTAACTTGAGTAGACCTCTTCCATATATCTTCTTGCTTGCTCACTGCAAAAACTATGTGAAGGGCTATAGCACATGTTGTAATCCCATGTTGATGTAATTCAAAGGCAGAATTACTTGCTGGAGACTCTTGGTCTGCTCTGTGGCTAACATAGTCTTAGGTCTGGTCTTCTTTCAGAATCTCATTGAATGAGTCCAGTATCTGTAGTATACTTCCTCTTTGCCGTATCCAGTAAGCTTCGTTCCAAGAATGGCTTGAGATCATACTTGAACAGCCTTACAGATCATGAATCTGGTACTTTTAGAAGCCAGTCTCTTTTTCCATAGCAGTTTTCAGTCAGTTGCCACTTTGTCTGATGGTCAGATCCGCCCACTTTTCTTCTTGGAATAAGTCCTGGGTCATTTCTTGAATCGTGAGTTGGGCTCTGGTCAGTAGCATTAAAAAAAACTTATATGTATAGGAAAATGCACATTGTTGTAAGTGTATAGTTGTATAATTGCTAATACCAAAAACCAGACCTTCTAAAGCTCTTTGTGCTTTTTTCTTGTTGTGAAGACCCATCCCCCTTCCCCTCTTTACACCCCCCATGTACCCTGTAACCAGTATCCTAACCTAGGTTATGTGTAGGGCATTAGGATTTTAACATAGGGAAGGATTCTGGTTAGAATGGGCCTGCTGTTGGTTGGCAGTGGGGACCCTGGTGCCCAAGTGCAGGGTAGAGTTGGGTGTAGCATGCCTGCTAAATTTCTGAGAGGGACAGCCCTGAGGAAAGTTCAAGGCTTCCCGCTCTGAATTTCTCATTTAGTCCTCACGTATCTTTAGGGAACCAGCCATATTTGAGAAGTTACTACCCTTTAAAAGTTATAAATCATTCCACTTTTCAAGAGGTCTTCCCCCCATTATCTTAGATGCATTGTTATTATTTAACAAATTAAATTTTTTTTCTTTGAGCGGAGTTGTGCTCTTTTTGCCCAGGCTAGAGTGCAATGGCACAATCTTGGCTCATGGCAACTTCCGCCTTCTGGGTTCAAGTGATTCTCCTGCCTCAGCCTCCCGAGTAGCTGGGATTACAGACGTGCGCCATCTTGCCCAGCTATTTTTGTATTTTAGTAGAGACGGGGTTTCTCTATGTTGGTCAGGCTGGTCTCGAACTCCCGACCTCAGGTGATCTGCCCGCCTCAGCCTCCCAAAGTGCTGAGATTACAGGCGTGAGCTACCACACCTGGCTACAAATTAAAAAATTTTGATAACATAAATATGACATTTACCATGCTAACATTTTTAGCTTTACACATTAGTTCACATTGCTATTTAACCAATCTCTAGAATTTTTTTTTTTTTTTGGCAACAGGGTCTCACTCTGTTACCTGGGCTGGAGTGCAGTGGTGTGATCAAAGCTCACTGTAACTTCAAACTCCTGGGCTCAAGGGGTCCTTCCACCTCAGCCTCCTGAGTAGCTGAGATTAAAGGTGTGTGCCACCACGCCTGGCTAATTTTTAAATTTTTTGTACAGACAGTCTCACTGTGTTGCTCAAGCTAGTCTTAAACCCTTAACCTCAAGCTGTCCTCCCTCCTCAGCCTCCTGAAGTGCTGGGATTACGGGTACAAGCCACCTTATCTGACTCAGAACGTTTTCATCTTGCAGAACTGAAATTCTATACTCATTAAACATATCGGGTTCATTCTAATACTCTTTTTCACTTTTTGTTACAGAAAATGTCACACATATTCCAAAGTAGAAAGAATGGTATAGTGAATACCACAGTGCTGGGTATTCAATAATTATCAATTACATTTCATTTATATTTCCGCACAACTTCCTTGAATTCTATTACTTTAAAGGAAATGCCAGGCATCATACTATTTTATATGAAAATATTTCAGTATATATCTCTAAAAGAAACAAACTTAAAAAATAACCCCAGTACTGTTATTATACCAAAAAAATTAAAAATTTATAATATAAAGTATTCTCTCAGTGTCTGTATTTTCCTGATTATCTTATAAATGTATTGTGTACATTTGTGATCTTAGATGGGAAATCCTATAATATGGGGAGGGGAAGAAAGGAAAAATCCAAAAGTAATAGATGAGGTTTGCTCTCCCCCACCCTTGTGGATCAGCTTTTTTTTTTTGGCTACTTAAACTTTGGGAGACTTTCTGAAATTTGCCAACAAATTCTGCTTCCCTACTTCCCGTGGAATATCCTCCATCCCTCACCCCCAATAAAATGGAAAGGGGAAAAAAAAATCAGATCCTTGCTTTATTTTTATTTATTTATTTTTGAGATGGAGTTTTGCTTTTCTCACCCAGGTGGAATGCAGTGGCACTATCTTGGCTCACTGCAACCTCTGCTTTCTGAGTTCAAGTGATTCTCCAGCCTCAGCTTCCGGAGTAGCTGGGATTACAGGCACATGCCACTATGCCTAGCTAATTTTTTAAAATTTTTAGTAGAGATGGGGTTTTGCCACATTGGCTAGGCTGATCAGAGACTCCTGACTTCAGGTGATCCACCCGCCTTTGCTTCACAACATACTGGGATTATAGGTATGAGCCACTACCTGGCCCCTTGCTTTATTTTTAAAAATTTATTTATTTAGGCCGGGCGTGGTGGCTCAAGCCTGTAATCCCAGTACTCTGGGAGGCCGAGGCGGGTGGATCACGAGGTCAAGAGATTAAGACCATCCTGGTCAACATGGTGAAACCCCGTCTCTACTAAAAATTCAAAAAATTAGCTGGGCACAGTGGTGCGTGCCTGTAATCCCAGCTACTCAGGAGGCTGAGGCGGGAGAATTGCCTGAACCCAGGAGGCGGAAGTTGCAGTGAGCCAAGATCGCGCCATTGCACTCCAGCCTCGGTAACGAGCAAAACTCCGTCACAAAAAAAAAAAATTTATTTGTATTTAGAGTTGGGGTCTCTGTGTCACCCAGGCTGGAGTGCAGTGGTGTGATGATGGCTCACTATATCCTTGAATTCCTGGGATGAAATGATACTGCCATGTCAGCACTTCCAGTAGCTGAGACTATGGGCACATGCAACTGTGCCCAAGTGATATTTACTTTAGATGACATACCTGTTGTTATCGTTTTGGTACTACTAATTTACTTGCAAAGGTTTATATAAGGATAGAAGGCTTGGTGTCCTTCCTTGAGGGAAGGACTCTAATTGACAAGGCTTTTGTTTCTCTCACTTTCCTCATTAGGTTGGTAATAGGAGTTCTTCACGTGAACAGGAGCTGGCACTTAGGTCTTATGTGCTGGTTGAGTCTGTCTGCAAAAACCTTCAGACCCTGGCTATGGCAGTTGCTTCTCAGAATGCTGTGTTGTTGGAAGGACCAATAGGATGTGGCAAAACATCCTTAGTTGAATATTTAGCTGCAATGACAGGTAGAAGGAAGCCTCCTCAGCTTCTCAAAGTCCAGCTTGGAGATCAGACTGACAGTAAGGTAATAAGGAAATGTTCAGTTTTGGTGGCTTGTCATGCTTGTCAATATTTACATTAAAATACTGCTTTTGGTAAGGGAATATAAGAATAGTTACTGGTCTTGCTTATAACTGTTGAGGCCAACTTGTATAAACCTCAAGTGCCTACTTACTTATACCTATCTATAGAAGATTAACAGTTAATCAAAGGTTGGAGCATTGCCACTACAGGTGTGATTTTTCAGTAATTTTTTCTATTTTTGCAGATGCTTTTGGGGATGTATCGCTGCACAGATGTTCCTGGAGAGTTTGTGTGGCAGCCTGGCACCCTGACACAGGCAGCCGTGATGGGTCACTGGATCCTTCTGGAAGACATTGACTATGCTCCCTTGGACGTGGTATATTATCTCACAAAATCATTGTCCCTTAATATATTTTCCTGTCTTGCAAAAGCATTTTGTTAATAGCGATTCTGGTGATGGTCTAAACAAAAAAGGTATTTGGTTAGACATGCTATGTTGTAGGTACTTCACAGTTACTTGCCTTATCTGATTTGTGCTCCTAAATTAGTTGACTAGTTTCTTGTTTGATAGAGGATCTATAAAATTTTGGTTGTTGTGCTGTTTCCTATAGTAGTCAAATACGTGATCAGTTTCACAGTAATTTTTTTCCTCCTCTAATTGAATATGAGATCAACCTTTTCCAAGATTAGGTCTGGTTTGGAACATCTCAGCCATGTAACAGATATATTGAGAAGCTTGAGATCCTGCTTCTTAGCTGTGGCAGTTGCAGAGCAATGGGCTGAGGACAAGTGAAGGAGGAGATGATGTAGTAAGAATGTACTTGCCTTTTGCTTCATTAAGAAAAATATGCTGGGTGTGTATTTTGGTTTGTAAAAAGACCACTTCTATATGTATGAAATTAGCCATTGAGACAATCCATGTTACCTTTGTATTCTGAAGTCTCACTCTGTCAGCCAGGCTGGTGTGCAGCGGGGCATAGTCTCAGCTCACTGCAGCCTCCATCTCCCAGGCTCAAGCAATTCTGCCTCAGCCTCTTGAGTAGCTGAGATTACAGGCGTATGCCACCATGCCTGGCTAATTTTTGTGTTTTTAGTAGAGACAGGGTTTCACCATGTTGGCCCGGCTGGTCTCAAACTCCTGACCTCAGGTAATCTGCCCACCTTGGCCTCCTAAAGTGGTGGGATTACAGGTGTGAGCGACCATGCCCAGCTGATCTTAATTTTCTTTTAGGGTGAACCCACTTAAATTAACTGTACATCGACTTTTCTCTCTTGAATATGAGAGAAAGTGTGTGTGTGTGTCTATGTGTGAATGTGTATGTGTGAGAGAGAGTGTTTAGGGAGAGATGAAGGGGAAGGAGTAGCTGAAAATAAGTGTGTATGTTATATCAATGTTTTTAGAGTGTGATGAGGAGATGTTCTGGAGATATTGGCCCAGAGAGGGCCTCACAGTTTGATCACTGTGTTCTGGTGTCTTAATGTTCACTTTTACAGAACTGGAAACTCAGTTTTCTTAAGCCCAGAGCCAGGGCTGACTCCTACCAATGAGACTTAAAAATAAAACTGAGATGTAAACGACAAGGCAGTTTAAAAATATTTGTTAAGTTTTTTCCTTTTTGGTGCCCTTTTTTTTTTTTTTTTAATCAGATATCAGGTTATCTGGGAAGTCATTAGCTTTACTTATTATTTATTTTTGTAATTATTATTTTTTTGAGACAGAATTTTGCTCTTGTTGCCCAGGCTGGAGTGCAACAGCATAATCTTGGTTCACTGCAACCTCTGCCTCTCAATTCAAGTGATTCTCCTGCCTCAGCCTCCTGAGAAGCTGGGATCATAGGCATGCACCACCACGCCTGGCTAATTGTTTGTATTTTTTTAGAAGAGGCAGGATTTCTCTGTGTTGGTGAGGCTGGTCTCGAACTCCCGACCCCAGGTGATCTGCCCACCTCGGCCTCCCAAAGTGCTGGGATAACAGGCATGAGCCACTGCCTCCGGCCAATTCTTACTTTTTTTTGAGACTGAATCTTGCTCTTGTTGCCCGGCCTGGCATGCAGTGGTGTGATCTTGGCTCACTGCAACCTCTGCCTCTTGGATTCAAGCAATCCTCCCACCTCAGCCTCCCTAGTAGCTGAGATTACAAGAATGTGCCACTATGCCCGGCGAATTTTTGTATTTCTTTTAGTAGAGATGAGGTTTCACCATTAGGTCTATGGATGTGTGTGCACATTGTGCGGATTATACAGATGTTCTTACTATTTTGCTTTTTCCAGAACTTCTCAGCTCATAGTTGGCCCATTATCATTTTAAAGTAGCTTTTACAGACCTCATTCAGGATAATTTTCTTTAGGTTCAAGTTTTCGAGTATGTTGGAATTGCTTCTATATTATTTTGGGCTTCTCTTCCAGCTCCTAGCCATGTATGAAATACTGATGCTTAAAAAAATTATGTCTGATATTTTAGAACCCTCTTCCTTGGCTCTCTGCTCTTCTCGCTTTTTTTTCCTTTCGAAACTTCCTTTATAAACTCACAACTCCTAGATCCATATGTCTAGTCCACACTTTTTTTTGTTGCTTAGTTTTTATTTCATAACCATAAACTTAACTCTGCTATCCAAGTAGATGTAGAAGGGAATAAGGAAAATATGGAACACAGAGAGAATGTGGAACTGCAGTGAGAGCACAAAGATTATATAAGGATACTGCAAGCAAATGGAGTGGAGGGGATGCTCTTGTAAGCTATAGAAGGAATGGTTCTAGTGGTTAAGAGAAGACACAGGTCAAATTTTTTTTTTTTTTTGAGGCGAAGTCTCACTGGAGTGCAGTGGTGTGATCTCGGCTCACTGCAGCCTCTGCCTCCCATCCTTAGGTGATTCTCCTGCTTCAGCCCCCCAGTAGCTGGTACTACAAGTGCGTGCCACCACACCTGGCTGGTTTTTGTATTTTTAGTAGAGAATGGGTTTCACCATGTTGGCCAGGCTTATCTTAAACTCCTGACCTCAGGAGATATGCCCACCTCGGCCTCCCAAAGTGCTGGGATTACAGGCATGAGCCACTGCACCTGGCCTCACAAGTCAAGTTTATTAGAGTTGCCCACAGTCAGCAGTGGTGATCCTCTTATTGGCCTTGTTGTTCCTGGACCCAAAATGCTCCATGGCTTCCATAATATTCATGGCTTATTTCACCTTGCTGAAGACCGCATGCTTGCCATCCAACCACAGTCTTGACACTACAGATGAAAAACTAGGAACCATTTGTGTTTGATCCAGCATTTGCCATGGACAAGATGCCAGGATCTTTATGCTTCAGGATGAAGATGTTATAATGAAAGTTTGCCCTATAGATGGACTTGCTGCAGGTGCCATTATGGGATGTGAAGTCACTACCCTGACACATAAACCCTGGAATAATTGTGTAAAGGCAGGAACCCTTATAACCAAATCCTTTCTCTCCATTGCTTAGCAGGAAAGATGTTGCTATCTTTCAAAATTTGTCTGCAAACAGCTCTGAGGAGATGTGGCCCAAGGGCTCATCCTCATGGCAAAACTGAAGAACATGGTGGGGTAGACTGTGGCTAGTGGCAGAGGGCTCCGGGGGTGGTGGTGTCTGCAAAGTGGGCTAGCCCACATTCTTAAGAAAAAACAACAGAACTCTACTTGGCATATCCATTGCCAGCACAAAGTTCAAGATGTCCAAATTGGGCTTATTTTCTTTTTTTCAGAATAGCCTTTTCTTAAGCACTAACAAAAAAGAAAAGCAGAAACAAAACCTACTATGGCAAAAAAATAAATTGTTAGGATCAAAAAAACACTTTGCTGTCTGGTCATGGTGGTTCATGCCTGTAATCCAACCACAGTCTTGACACTACAGATGAAAAACTAGGAACCATTTGTGTTTGATCCAGCATTTGCCATGGACAAGATGCCAGGATCTTTATGCTTCAGGATGAAGATGTTATAATGAAACTTTGGGAGGCCAAGGTGGGCAGATTACTTGAGATCAGGAGTTTAAGACCATCCTGGTCAACATGGTGAAACCTTGTCTCTACTTAAAAAAAAAAAAAAAAAAAAAAAAAAAAAAAAAAAAAAAAAACCCAGGCATGGTGGCACATTCTTGTAATCCCAGCTACTCGGCAGGCTGAAGTGTGAGGATTGCTTGAATCTGAGAGGCAGAGGTCGCAGTGAGCAGAGATTGCACCACTGCACTCTAGCCTGGGCCTCAGAGTGAGACTCCATCTCACAACAAAAAAGAAAAAATGGGTCGGGCACGGTGGCTCACGCCTGTAATCCCAACACTTTGGGAGGCCGAGGCGGGTGGATCACGAGGTCAAGAGATCAAGACCATCCTGGTCAACAAGGTGAAACCCCGTCTCTACTAAAAAAAATACAAAAATTAGCTGGGCATGGTGGCATGTGCCTGTAATCCCAGCTACTCAGGAGGCTGAGGCAGGAGAATTGCCTGAACCCAGGAGGCTGAGGTTGCGGTGAGCTGAGATCGCGCCATTGCACTCCAGCCTGGGTAACGAGCAAAACTCTCTTTTAAAAAAAAAAAAAAAAAGAAAGAAAAGAAAAAACACCACTTTGCTGTGGACAAAAGAAAACAAAACAAAAGAATACCTTTTCTTTCTCAAGTTACCAGCTAAACACTAGACACCTCTTCCTCCTTTTCTCATTCAGATGGTCTCCATGTCATTTATTGCCTTTTCCTTCCCTCTTTATTCTGTTCTTATCACATTGTCTTAGCACTGGGTTTTTATTTTATCTACCTATCTTGCCTTTGTTACCGGAATAGTGTCCTTTTTGGCCTTTCCTCCAGGGTAGCTCCTTTCCAAATTGCTGCACAGTTGAGAATTATTTCTTCTCAGTCTAAAATTCTCTTGATAACTCTTATGAAAAAGTTCAAAGCCCTTAGCTCAGCACAATGGGCCTTTTATTACTTATCTCTAAACCTTACCTTTTTTTTTGGGGGGAGATGGAGTTTCATTCCTGTTGCCCAGGCTGGAATGCAATGGCACTATCTTGGCTCACCGCAACCTCCTCCTGGGTTCAAGCCATTCTCCTACCTCTTCCTCCCAAGTAGCTGGGATTATAGGCATGTGCCACCACTCCCAGCTAATTTTTTTTGTATTTTTAGTAGGGATAGCGTTTCTCCATGTTGGTCAGGCTGGTCATGAACTCCTGACCTCAGGTGATCCGCCTGCCTAAGCCTCCCAAAGTGCTGGGATTACAGGTGTGAGCCACCACACCCAGCCTTACACTTTACTTCTTTCTGCTGCTTCATGTGCACATTCTACCTTAAATGTAACAGAATCTTTGTGCCATAGCTTTTAGGCATATCAATTTTTTTTTTTTTGAGACAGAGTCTTGCTCTGCTGCCCAGGCTGGAGTACAGTGGCATGATCTCGGCTCACTGTAGCCTCTGCCTCTGGGTTCAGATGATTCTCCTGCCTCCGCCTCCTGAGTAGCTGGGACTACAGGCACGCACCATCATGCCTGACTAATCAGTGTTGAGTGTATACATTGTGCTGGAGTGTAGGTGGTTCAGACGTTCCCACCTGCATATTGATCACAGTTTGGACTGTGAGAGCTGAAGTTTTCTCTAAGGGTGTGTCTGTCATTTTGAGAGATTTGTTTTGTTTTGATTACTTCTGTCTTAATAGCTTTATCATTGTGGTTTTCTGATTTAGGTTTCTGTGCTGATCCCTCTTTTGGAGAATGGAGAGCTGTTGATTCCGGGCAGAGGTGACTATTTGAAAGTGGCACCTGGATTTCAGTTTTTTGCAACCAGGAGGTATGTACTAGTAAGTTTTGGTTTTCACTCTGAAGCCACTTACTTATAAGTCTGCATGCTGAGCTAATGAAGATCATTTATAATATAAGAGATTTTTTCCCACTTAATAAGTAACCAGTTTAAAACACTTTACCTTATTTCATGTTTTAAAAAATAATCAGAGGTGAGGTTATTGTTATATAGCCCTGAGTTTGAGTCCTGACATAAACCCAGGGCTGTATAACTAACAAGCTTAGTACCTAGGTATACCTTGTCTGTCTGGTTATGATGGAGTTAATAATACCTTATTTAAATGGTGGCTGTAACGAATAAGTGAAATGACTTGTACTAAAGACCTGTCACAATAAATGCCCAGTTACTGGCTAGCCATGATGGTGATAATGATAGGCAGACTTCACACAATTGAAAAATTAATTTGATATAAACATGAACAGAGGCCCAAAAACTGAACATGCTTAGTATATATTCCCGCCTACATTTTAAAATTACATGAAGGCAATGGTTTATATCTTACTGCTAGTCTATACCTGCACAGTTTCTTCAATGTTTTAAAAATCCCCATGAGTGAAACTAACACCATTTTATAGTTACTGATTATATTAGTGTTTACCTCAGTTAACATTCACTTCCAGATGGAACATGGAGCTAACCCAATAGTACTGAAGGAATACCTTCCTAGACCCAGTTATTCTTTATTTATTTTTTTTAAATGGGGTCTTGCTGTGTTGCCCAAGCTGATCTTGAACTTCTGTGCTCGAGCAATTTTCCCAGCCCAGCCTCCCAAGTAGCTGAGACTACAGGCACATGCACTGTGCCTAGCTGACCCTGATACTTTTTTTTTTTTTTTTTTTTTTTTTTTGAGATGAAATCTTGGTCTGTTGCCTAGGCTGGAGTGCAGTGGTGTGATCCTGGCTCACTGCAACCTCTGCCTCCTGGATTCAAGCAATTCTTCTGCCACAGTCTCTCGAGTAGCTGGGATTACAGGCACCCGCCACCATGCCTGGCTAATTTTTAATATTTTTAGTAGAGTCAAGGTTTCATCATCTTGGCCAGGCTGGTCTTGATCTCCTGACCTTGTGATCCGCCCGCTTTGGCCTCCCCAAGTGCTGGGATTACAGGCATGAGCCACTGCACCTGGCTCAACCCTTCTACCTTTCTTTTAATCATAAATAGTGTTTTGCTTTGTCACCCAGGCTGGAGAGGGGTGGCTTGATCATAGCTTATTATAACCATAAACTCTTGGGCTCATGTGATCTCCTGCCTCAGCCTCTTGAGTACATAGGACTACAGATGTACACCATCATGCCTGGCTAAAAATAAATTTCTTTTCTTTTCTTTTTTTTTTTTTTTTTTAAGGGATAGGATGTTCCCTCATTGACCAGGCTGATCTCGAACTCCTGGCCACAAGCATTCCTCCTGCTGTGGCCTCCTAAATTGTAGGAATGACAGGCATGAGCCATTGAACCTGGCACTGTTAGTTTTAATAGACCTTGGTTTATTTTTTAAATTAATTTATTTGAGAATGAGTCTCAGCTCTTGCCAGGGCTAGAGTGCAGTAGCATGATCTTGGCTTATTGCAACCTCTGCCTCCTAGGTTCAAGTGATTCTTACGATTCTCATGCCTCAACCTCCCAGGTAGTTGGGACTACAGTGACATGCCAGGACTCCTGGCTAATGTTTGTGTTTTTAGTAGGAGTGGGGTTTTGTCATGTTGCCCAGGCTGATCTTGAACTCCTGGCCTCAAGCAGTCTACCCTCCTTGGCCTCCCAAAATGCTAGGATTACAGGCATGAGGCACTGCATCTGTCCTATTTAATGTTTTTTTAGAGATGAAGCCTCAAGTTGTTGCCCAGTCTGTCTCGAACTCCTGGACTCAAGCAATCTTCCTACTGTGGCCTCCCAAAGTGCTGGGACTACTGACATGAGCCACCAAGCCTGGCTGACCTTGATTTTATTTATAGAGATGGTGAAGTTCTTTCCTGTAGATTTAAACACTTCCCATAAAGACCTGGGACATCATGGAAAGATATTAGACAAACTTGTAATCCGATAAACTTGAATTTAATTTTTAGTTCTGCTGTTTGCGGTCATAGTTGAGTGTACAAGGGCCATGCTTTCCTTGTCTTCCATTTATGTCAGAAGAAAAGAACGGCATCTTCCTCTTAGGACAGTTGTGAGGATTAAGTGGCTTATTGATAAGCATGTACCTTTCCCAGAGTGTATGTTTAATGTATATTCCTTCTCCACTGGAAATTTTTAATGGTTTTAAGTACTGTAGCTTCTGGTAATAAGCTGTGAACTTAATGTTGTTGATATGGACCTTAGAGTATGTTTTCTCTTTCCTGTGGTTATTTATCCCTTAAGGAAGAGGAACGTGTCATTGAAATAAAAACTTTTACCTTGTAGAATCATTTGCAGTGATTTAAAAATACTTGGTTAAAGCACTATCACTCCTTCTTAGGAGAAGAGCCAAACATGGGTTAACTGTCAGCCTTTCATTTCTCGTCTGCTCTGTAAGCCCAACAGTATAGTATCTGGAAACAGAAGGGTTTATGAGTATTCTTCATATTTGAGACAATATACAGCAAGTAATATCCAGAGGCATAATTCAGGATTAAAATTTGGAGTTTTGTTTGACTGTGTTTTTTATTTTGAATCGTAGACTCTTGAGCTGTGGAGGAAATTGGTATCAACCGCTAAATAGTCATGCTACTTTGCTAGACAAATATTGGACCAAAATTCACCTGAATAATCTGGATAAGAGAGAACTGAATGAGGTATGCTCCTCTTAGAATCAATGCTTTTCTTTTTTACATGAAAAGTTCCAAACTTGCATGAAACAAGAAATAGTATAATAAACCACCAGAACAGTTATCAATCTAAATTTTACACTCTATGTGCTAGTATTTTACTGTATTTGCTTCATGTATTATTTTTTTCTGTCCTAATACATTTGAAAGCAAACTTCCAGCATACATCTCTAAAAATTTAAGATCATTATATATAACCACAATAACATTATTATGTACAATAAAATAAATAGTAATTCTGCGGTATCATTGAATTTTTGGATTATGTTTAGATTTTCCCAATTGTCTCAACAGGATCGTTTTACTAAGTTGTTTTGATGTAATAATGTCTTTCACATGTAACTTAATGGACATTTTGATCTAGGCATTAATGAGAATTGAGGTAAATCACTTTATAGGTTTTCTACATTGATTCAGTTTGTAGTATTTTGGTTATCCTAGATCCATAAGAAGTATACCTCACTTGGCTGTGCTCATGCCCCACTTCCCTTGTATGTCTCACTTGGAGGATTTCCCTTCTGCAGTGCTTTCTCTAGGAGATTGGCAGACAAAGCATGGTCAGTGGTCATTTAGACATGGAAGAGATGCTTTGCCCTTTCTTGATTTATGTGTATAGATAATTATATGACACTAAATAAACTTCAATATTTTTTTTGTTTTTGAGACAGAGTTTCATTCTTGTTGCCCAGGCTGGAGTGCCATGGCGTGATCTCGGCTCACTGTAACCTCCACCTCATCAGTTCAAGCAATTCTTGATTACAAGGTTATAAGGGGATTACAGGTGTGAGCCACTGCACCTGGCCACAAACCAGATATTTTATCCTACATTTTCTTTTCTCTTTCTTTTCTTTTCTTTTTTTTTTTTTGACATAGTTTTGCTCTATCGCCCAGAACAGTGCTCTGTGGTGCAATCTCAGCTCACTGCAACCTCTGCCTCCTGGGTTCAGGTGATTCTCCTGTCTCAGCCTCCTGAGTAGCTGGGATTACAGGTGGCTGCTTCCACACCAGGCTACTTTTTATTTTTTTGAGATGTAGTCTTGCTCTGTTGCCCAGGTTGGAGTGCAGTGGGCGGCACAATCTTGGCTCACTGCAACCTCTGCCTCCCTGGTTCCAATGATTCTCCTGCCTCAGCTCCTGAGTAGCTGGAATTAACAGGTGTGCAACATCATACTCAGCTGATTTTTTTTTTTTTTTTTTTGGTAGTAGGGTCTCGCTTTCTCACCAAGGTTGGAGTACAGTGATGAAAATTTGGCTCACTGTAACCTCTGTCTCCCAGGTTCAAGTGATTCTCCTGCCTCAGCCTCCTGAGTAGCTGGGATTATAGGCGCATGCCACCACACCAGCTGATTTTTGTATTTTTGGTAGAGATGGGGTTTCACCATGTTGGTCAGACTGGTTTCAAACTCCCAAACTCAAGTGATCCATCTGTGGCCTCCCAAAGTGTTGGAATTACAGGCATGAGCCACTGCACCTGGCTGCCACATTTTTGATGTTTATTAATAGAGGGATTTTCATGGTATTTAATTTAACATGTTACTGGGAAAATACTGATCATGTAACCTCTAAGAAGCCTTCCCTTGCCAATGTGGTTTTATAAGTGCATACAGCCTAATTTTTTTTGTTTTGTTTTTTGGGGAGATGGAGTCTTGCTCTGTTGCCAGGCTGGAGTGCAGTGGCGCGATCTCTGCTCACTGCAGCCTCAGCCTCCCGAGTAGCGGGAACTACAGGGATGCAGCACCATGCCGAGCTAATTTTTGTATTTTTAGTAGAGAAGAGATTTTACCGAAGAATAACATTGAGAGAGATCCAAGATGACTGATCACTAACAGCTCAGGATTGTAGCTCCCAGTGAAAGCTCAGAGAATGAGAGGATGCCACACGTTCAGACGAATTTTCGTTGCTCACGGACCAGCAGATTTCTAGTGGAGGAGCCCCACAGGTCGCCAGCGTGACTCTTGTGGCCAGCGCAGCGGTTTTGCCGGTGCCCTAGTGCGGCAGCTCTTCATGTAGAGTAAACAGGACTGGTTCCCTTACTGACCAGTGTCTGGAGCTCTGGGAAGGCAGAGCCGCTTGTTGCAGACTCAAGAAGGAAGCCAGACCAGAGATTCCCAGGCAGAAGAGCACCATCAGTCCTGTCGCTGCTATTTTGGCCGGCGCAGTGGGTTGCTTGAATCCCAGCACTGGGAATCAATAAATTGGACGTCAACTCAGAAACCTAATTAGAAAGGCGGTAATTGTAAAGACGACAGACGGATAAATTTATAATAAAGGGAAAAAACCACTCTAAGAAGGCCGAGTATACCCAAAATCAGAACCCCTCTCCCTCTACAGGGGATTGCAGTTCCTCATCAGCAACGGAACAAGCCCTGATGGAAAAGGACTGTGTTCCATTATCTGAAGTAGGCTTCAGAAGGTGGATGATAAGAAACTTCTGGGAACTAAAAGAACTTGTTCTAACCCAATGTAAAGAAATTAAGAACTTTGAAAAAAGGTTTGACGAAATGCTGAAAAGAATAGACAACATAGAGAGGAATATAAATGAACTAACGGAGTTGAAAAATACAACACGAGAACTTAGTGAAATATGCACAAGTTTAAATAGCAGAATGGATCAAGTAGAAGAAAGGATAACAGAGGTCGAAGACCAACTTAATGAAATAAAACGACAAGACAAGAATAGAGTAAAAAGGATGAAAAGGAATGAGCAAAGTCTCCAAGAAATATGGGACTATGTGAAAAGACCCAATCTACGTTTGATTAGTGTACCTGAATGTGATGGAGAGAATGAATCCAAGCTGGAAAATACTTTTCAGGATATTATCCAGGAAAATTTTCCCAATCTAGCAAAGCAGGACACTATTCAACCCCGGGTAATACAGAGAACACCACAAAGATATTCCTCAAGAAGAGCAACCCCAAGGCACATAATCGTTAGATTCACCAGGAGAAATCCAAGATGGCTGATCACTAACAGCTCAGGATTGTAGGTCCCAGTGAAAGCTCAGAGAACGAGAGGACGCCACACTTTCAGACGAATTTTCGTCGCTCATGGACCAGCAAATTTCTAGAAATGAAGGAGAAAATACTAAGGGCAGCCAGAGAGAAAGGCCAGGTTGCCCATAAAGGGAAGCCTATTAGACTTACAGGAGATCTCTCCGCAGAAACCCTACAAGCCAGAAGAGAGTGGGGGCCAATATTCAACATACTTAAAGAACAGAACTTTCAGCCTAGAATCTCATATCCTGCCAAACTAAGCTTCACAATTGAAGGAAAAATAAAATCTTTTATGAACAAGCAAGTACTCAGAGATTTTATTACCACCAGAACTGCTTTACAAGAACTTCTGTAAGAAGCATTATACGTAGAAAGGAACAACCAGTATGAGCCTTTCTAAAAATATACCAAAAAGTAAAGAGCATCAACATAAAGAAGAATTTACCTCAACGAATGGATAAAATAGCCAGTTAACATCAAATGGCAGTAACCCTAAATTTAAATCGACTAAATCCCCCAATCAAAAGATAGAGCCAAAACCTAACGGTATATCCAAAGATACACAAAGACTTAAAACAAAGGATTGGAGAAAAATTTACCAACCAAATGGAGAGCAAAAATAAATAAACAAAAAGCAGGAGTTGCAATTCTCACATTTGATAAAATAGATTTCAAAGCAACAAAGATACAGTGGTAAAAGGATCAATGCAACAATAAGAGATCTTAATACCCAGATACATAAGACCCATAACGAGATTTAGACTCAACCAGACAGAAAATTAATAAGGATATCCAGGACTTCAACTCAGATCCGGAACAAGTAAACTCAATAAATATTTATAGAGCCCTCCATTTTAAATACACAAACTATTGATCGGCCATTATTAATACCCATTTTTAGAATGAAGCAATATTCCTGTTCTCCCTCTTTTTCTTCCTCTTTGTTCCTCTCCTTCTCTCCTTTTTTTTTACTTTTCAACATCCTAGTTCCTCACCTCTACTCAATACATTCTTCTGAACACCTGATTCCTTGTGATTCTCCCGTCCCACTGAAACCTCCAATCCATTAAAAAAAAAAGAGAGAGAGAAGAGGTTTTACCATGTTGGCCAGAATGGTCTCAATCTCTTGACCTTTTTATCTGCCCACCTGGGCCTCCCAAAGTGCTGGGATTACAGGCCTGATCCACCATGCCTGGCTGCATACAGCTTATTTTGCAGTTGTGAGTTGCTTATCTCACTCAGAGTTGCAGTTCTATATTTTTGTGTCTGATACGTCTTTTTCGTCATCTTGTTGCCCCAACTGTAAGCTCCTCCAGTAAGTTTTTCACCTTTGTGTTTTAAGAACTCATCCTGTGCCTGGCACACAGTAATACTGTTTGTTGTATTGATGTGTCATAATGCAACTCTTTCTTTTGCTATTGTAGACATTCGAATGTTTAGTTTTTCAACTTAAATTTACTAGTCTGTTCTTTGAAAGGACAGGACTGAAGTTCACATTTCAGTGTGATTTTTTTTGGGGGGTGGGGATTAAGGGATGAAGAACATATGACAGCTTCTCTTTTCTTACTTTATTTTGTACTTGAAGGCTGGCCTTATTCCATTTTTGTCATGAGCAGCAGTGAGTCATTCTGCTCATAGGAAGAACAACAGGAGCATTTGTCTTCTCACTTATTTCATGTATGTCATATTTAGACAATTGACTTTGATATGTTCTCTTGTTGTCTTTGAACTTTTGGATTTACCAATCTTAACAACACTCTCAATAATTGTTAGTGCTAAAACCCTTGTACATATTACTTAGGAAATAAAAAAATCTCCTACTTAATTCATAGAGAACACAAAGTACATTTCTGTTGCTGCCATCCCAGGTGTCTTATGGCTTAAAGATTATGCGTTTGACTTCTTGCTGAAATACTGAACTGTGCTTTAAAAAATGAGCCATCTACTGTGCTTACCTCCTACATAGGAAGTGCTAGGAACTTGCTTCTGGCATTTTTTCAAAACTTGTCACCCCCATACACCTTGAATGTGCCAAGTGTCTTATATATCTTCAGTTGTCTTAACTTGTAGATGGCCTGTGTTCTCCGCTGGCAGTGCCCACTCACAGCCATTGGTGAGCTCTGACAGGCTCATCTCCTGCTCTGAAACCTTCCTGGGTTTCCCAAGCAGAGCTGTTGTTGTGCTTTGGGCTGCAAACTCGATTTTGTTGCACTTCTTTGTCTCACACCAAGTGGAGCGTCTTGAGAGTCCACTACATTCCTCATTTATTTAGTTTCACTATCCCTGGAGGAATGTCTGATACAAAATAGGTACTTAACAAATGCTTCTTACAGGAATGAATCCCCAAAATACATAACAAATTGATAATAGAGGCATTTCATGGTTTTTTTTTTTTTTTTGAGGCGTCTCATTCTGTCTCCTGGCTGGAGTGCAGTGGTACGATCTCGGCTCTCTGCAACCTCCCACTCCCTGGTTCAAGCAATTCTTCTGCCTCTGCCTCCCAAGTAGCTGGGACTGCAAGCATATGCTACCACACCTGGCTAATTTTTTGTATTTTTAGTAGAGATGGGGTTTCACCATGTTGGCCAGGCTGGTCTCGATCTCACCTCGTGATCCACCCGCCTCTGCCTCCCAAAGTGCTAGGATTACAGGTATGAGCCACCATGCCCGGCCTCATATCAGGTTAGTTTTAAAGTAATGCTGTATTTAATTTTTTATATTTATGGTAACAAAGAAAATATATTTTTTGACCAAGCTAGAAAATGAAGACTTAGTGAGAACACAAAAATCTTTTCTGTTTGGAACCTTTGGGCCAGGTGTGATGGCTCATGCCTGTAATCCCAGCACTTTGGGAGGACAAAGCAGGCACATCACCTGAGGTCAGGAGTTCAAGACCGCCTGGACAACACGGTGAAACCCCATCTGTACTAAAAATAGAAAAATATTCCAGGCGTGGTGGTGCATGCCTAGAATCTTAGCTACATGGAGGCTGAGACAGGAGAATTGCTTGATCCTGGGAGGCAGAGGTTGCAGTGAGCCAAGATTTTGCCACTGCACTCCATCCTGGGCAACAGAGCGATACTCTTGTCTCAAAAAAAAAAAAAAAAAAGGAAACTTTTTCTCCAAATAGCTGAGTCCTCAAGTCCTTAATAAAGTGTTAAACTTCATAAAATATTTTTCCAAGCATAATTAGCTTTTTTTTTCTACTGGATCATAAATATAACGTGCTCATATCATGGAATTCCTGCTCAACAGTACAAAGGAATGAGCTATTGGTACATACAGTATTATTTAGGTGAAGCTTATTTATTTAATTTTTTGAATCAGAGTTTTGCTCTTGTTGCCGAGGCTAGAGTGCAATGGCGCAATCTCGGCTTGCTACAACCTCCGCCTCCTGGGTTCAAGCGATTCTCATGCCTCAGCCTCCCAAGTAGCTGAGATTACAGGGCCTGCCACCACACCTGGCTAACTGTATTTTTTTTTTATAAGCATGCTTTTCCCTTCATGGAAATTTTTTGTATTTTTAGTAGAGACGGGGTTTCGCCGTGTTGTCCAGGCGGTCTTGAACTCCTGACCTCAGGTGATCAGCCTGCCTCGGCCTCCCAAAGTGCTGGGATTACAGGTGTGAGCCACTGTGCCCAGCCTAGGTGAATCTTTAAAAGATACTGTTAATAAATTAAAGAGACCGGAATACAGTCTACATCCTGTATGATTCAGTATATGTGACAGGCTTGAAAGACAAAACCATAGAGATGGGCATCAGATGCATGATTCCCAGGGGCAGAGATTTGGGGAAGAGATTGGATATTACAAAAAGGGCACAAGGGAACTTTTTGTTTTAGGAATGATAGAAATAGTTCACATCTTGTTTGTGATTTTGGGTATGTGATTTTATAGTATATATGTTAAAACTTTAAAACAATGAATCTTCGAGTATGAAAATTATACCTCAAAAAATCTGACTTAGTAAAAATTCAGGTTAAGTAAGCCTTTATGTCTAAGTGTATGAACAATTTGATAATCATTTTCTCTGTACCCACAAAAAGTATATACTACATTTGAAAGATCTGTTGAATTAATTGTTGATGTCATTATTCTCTTCTATGTCTTTATTTTTATTGCATCTGAAATATATGTTAAGCAACAGTATGAAGAAATAAAACCTATTAATATTTACCACTTGATGACACTGTTAAGGCTTTAGTTCTTTATATTTTGTAAATACATGGGCATTGTTTATACATATAAAACATGTCCTTACATATACAAATTGGAATCCCAGTGTTCTTTTCAAGCTGGTTCTTCTTCTTTTTTTTTTGAGATGGAGTCTTGCTATGTCACCCAGGCTGGAGTGCAGTGGCATGATCCCAGCTCACTGTAACCTCCGTTTCCTGAGTTTAAGCAATACTCCTGCCTCAGCCTTCTGAGTCGCTGGGATTACTGGTGCCCACGACCACACCCAGCAAATGAAGACGACAAGCTTGGGCAACATAGTGAGATCTCTCTGTTACCAAAAATTAAAAAAAATTAGCGGAGTATGGTGGAGCCTGAAGCCTATTCAGGGGCCTAAAGCTAGAAGATCATTTGCCAGGTTCAAGGTTACATGAGCTATGATGGAGCCACTGCATTTCCAGTCTGGTTGACAGAGCAAGACCTTGTCTCAAAATAAGTACGAATTGCAAACGCTTCGCCAAGGGTTTGGACCTCAGGTTATCCGCTCGCCTCAGCCTCCCAAAGTGCTGGGATTACAGGCATGAGACACCATGCCCGGCCTGATTGTCTGTTTTTTAAAGATCAACTGCTCACCCATAAATTTGTATAATTATCATATGTCAAAATGGAGGAGATTGACTGTTTTGTATCAGTACTTAACATTAGCTTCTTTCATTATGGTCTGCTTTTAAAATTTTATTATTTCTCTTCCTCTTAACAGATTTTATTATTATTTATTTTTTTCCTCCTCCTCCTCCTCCTCCTCCTCCTCCTCCTCCTCCTCCTCCTCCTCCTCCTCCTCCTTCTCCTATTATTATTATTATTATTATTTGAGAGAGGGTCTTACTCTGTCACCCAGGCTAGAGTTCACTCGTGCATTGCATTGGTGCTCAGCTCATAGCCTCAACTTCCCAGGCTTAGGTGATCTTCCCACCTCAGCCTGCCACGTAGCTGGGACTACAGGTGTGTGCCACCCTGCCCAACAGTTGTTGTTGTTTTGTTTTGTTTTATAGAGGTGAGCTTTCACCATGTTGCCCAAGCTGATCTTGAACTCTTTGACTCAGGCAGTTTTCTCACTCTGTCTCGCAAAGTGCTGATACTACAGGTGTGAGCCACTGGCCTGGCCCCTTTTATATTCTTTTCACTGAGAAATTACATAATGAACTTTACCAGAGCTGTGTTTGAAATTAAACAGTAATTTAAGAATTCTTTAATGAATAAATTCCATGGAGTTGGTTGCATATATTTTGGTTACTTGGAGAACCTTTAACATCTGACTTCTGCCTCTCAAACTGTATTATAGATGGTGAGATTGCAAGATAACTGAGTTCTGGGTAGGAAGAAAGTCGTGGTGTTTGAGTGGGATAGGTGGGTGGGAGCAGAAGTGGGTAAGGGGGAAGTTCTTATTTTTGGTAAAGATGACATTTCGTTTTATTTTTAATTTAATTTTGTTTTTTTTGAGATGGAGTCTCACTCTGTTGCCCAGGCTGGAGTACAATTGTGCGGTCTTGGCTTACTACAAACTCTGCCTCCCAGGTTCAAGTGATTCTCCTGCCTCAGCCTCCCAAGTAGCTGGGACTACAGGCACGAGTCACCACACCCAACTATTTTTTGTATTTTAATTAGAGATGGGGTTTCACCATGTTGCCCAGGATGATCTTGAACTCCTGGCCTCAGGTGATCTGCCTACCTCACCCTCCCAAAGTGCTGGGATTACAGCATGAGCCACTGCACCCAGCCTATTGATTGATTGATTGATTGATTTAGTCTTGCTCTGTCACCAGGCTGGAGTGCAGTGGTGTGATCTCGATTCATTGCAGCCTCTGCCTTCTGGGTTCAAGCAATTCTCCTGCCTCAGCCTCCCAAGTAGCTTGGACTACAGGCATGCACCACCATTCTTGGCTAATTTTTCTATTTTTAGTAGAGATGCGGTTTCACCATGTTGTACAAGATTGTCTCAATCTCTTGACCTCATGATCTGCCCACCTTGGCCTCCCAAAGTGCTGGTATTACAGGCTTGAGCCACTGCACCTGGCCTTTATTTACTTTTTTTGAGACAGTGTCTTGCTCTGTCACCCAGGCATGATCACTGCACACTGCAGTGTTGACCTCCCAGGCTCAGATGATCCTCCCTACTCAGCCTCCTGAGTACCTGCGACTACAGGCAAATGCCACCATGTCCAGCTAATTTTTGTATTTTTTTGTAGAGACAAGGTTTCACCATGTTGCCCAGGCTGGTCTCAAACTCCTGAATTCAAGCAATTCCCTTGCCTTGGTTTCTTAAGATGTTGGGATTACAGGTGTGAGCCACTGCCCCTGGTGGACAAATTTTATAGAGAAATCCAGTTTTTGACTAACTAGGTTCAGCAGCAGTTTTGTGTGTTTCTAAAAGTTACTATGGTTGGTGCTAAATTTTCTTTTTCTTTTTTCACCTCTGTCAGGTTCTTCAGAGCAGATATCCTAGCCTCTTGGCAGTGGCTGATCACCTGCTTGACATTTATATCCAACTTACTGGAGAGAAACATCACTCTTGGAGCGACAGTTCTGTTGGGTGTGAACAGGCACCTGAAGAAGTTTCGGAAGCCAGCAGAAAAAACAAAAGACCAATCCTTGAGGGAAGAGAATTATCTCTAAGGTATTGGACTAAACAAATTTTTTTTTTTTTTTGAGACGGAGTCTTGCTCTGTCACGTAGGTTGGAGTGGAGTGGCACGATGTTCGCTCACGCAAACTCCACCTCTCGGGCCTGCCTCAGCCTCCTGAGTAGCTGGGACTACAGGTGTGCATTGCCATGTCTGGCTAATTTTTGTATTTTTTGTAGAGACGGGTTTTTGCCATGTTGGCCAGGCTGGTCATGGATTCCTGACCTCAGGTGATCCACCTGCCTCAACTTCCCAAGGTGCTGAGATTGCAGGTGTGAGCCACTGCCCCCAGCCCAACAGTTTTTTAAAATAATATTTTAAAAACTGTTTTCTTTAAAAGTTTCTACCAACTAGAAGTAAATGGTCAGGTTTTGAAATTATCAGTTGTTTCATGGTGTCAGATCCCTTTTTCAGATTTATAATTAATGACCAGGAAGGCTTGATTAGGGTAATGTTTTTAACTTTAAAAAGTAACTTTGAAAGACAAACTTGGGAATGGTTCCTAACATAATTCTTTCACTGAATACCCTTTTCTGACACTTGCAGTCTTAAATAAGTCTCCTTGGATTTTGCTGTCTGTGACTTCTGTGCCGTTCTCTGTCTCAGTGGTTGACTTTCCCTTTGAGAAGGGAGAATTAGACCTGGGCATCGCCTCATTCTGATCTGATTTGGTGCTCCTCTCCTTTCCTGCTACTTTGTCTGGCATGAATGGCAGAGAAATGAGTTGATAGGTCACTTCCTGGTATGGATGAAGATTTGGAACTCTATTTTTGTTTTGTTTTTAAATTTTACACACAAATACAAAGAGTGGAAGTATTGGGAACCCTTACTTACTCTTTGCCAAAATACCTTTTATCTTCTTATTGTCAGAAGAAAGGAGAGAGCTGTCAGGTATGCCCAGATTTAAGTGGGTCAACAAATTTTGTTGCCTCTGATGTTTTTGGCCTGTGGTCTTTTATTTCTTTGTTTTTTCTTTTCTTTCTTTTTTTTAAAGGGATCTGCTGAATTGGTGTAATAGGATTGCCCATAGCTTTGACAGTTCGTCTTCGTCAGCATCATTAAATATTTTTCAAGAGGTAAGATCTGGTTTTCCACTCTTTTTTCTCTTTGCTCTTGTAAGGCTGTTGACTTCTGTTCTGTCTTTTGATTGCCATCAGAGTTTTTTCTTTTTCCCTAGTATGATTTCTTGTTCTTAGCTAGTTAAAAATTCATCTAAAGTGGCATTAAAGCTAATTGGGTATAATACATGTTTTGTGGTTTCTCAAACAAATTATCAATTTCAGAAGAAGTATAGTTTGAGATAGAGTAAAACAGATAAGACAGGGAAATTAAAGTAAATGAAAAAAAACTCCCAGGTAATAATAAAGCAATGTTTATTCCTATATAAAATCTCTTAGTCTGTTTGATAAATTTGTATCTATCTGCTCCCTCCACTTTTCTTAGTAGAGTTGGTTGATGTTGGGTGACTGAACCTCTTTGTAAGCGTTAAGTCCCGGATGAGTTTCAATGAGAGTGGTGGACTCTTCTGACTGATGGATCTGGGGTCCATTGTTATTATCTATGATAGGAGCATGCATGGGCACAGGACTTAACCATTCTAGTGGATATTATTACAGAAGACCAAATCATAGAGGTAAAGGTGGAATAAGAACAGAAGGAGTTGGATGTTCTTTTAGAAGTAACTCTTTTAAACTATAATATGGTAACCAGAGGAATTATTCTCTTGTACTCTAAAATATATTACTACTGAATTTGAGACCAGCCATTTCCAATCAATGGTGTAGATTCTTTTAGAACTACTGATGAAACACTGGCAAATTGTTTGTTTGTTTGTTTGTTTGTTTGTTTTGAGATGGGGTCTTGCTCTGTTGCCTAGGCTGGAGTGCAATGGTGTGACCTTCGCTCACTGCAACCTCCGCCTCCTGGGTTCAAGTGATTCTCCTACCTCAGCCTTCTGAGCAGCTGGGATTACAGGCACCCGCCACTACGCCTAGCTAATTTTTGTATTTTTAGTAGAGATGGGGTTTCACCTTGTTAGTCAAGCTGGTCTCGAACTCCCTGCAAATTGTTTATGTCCAGCTCTTTCCCCACTTACTTGATGTAGATGAAAATCTACCTTTATCAAATATTAGATCTACTGTAATTTATTACAATTATAAAGACTCCACCTATATTTTTGTTAGACCTAGATTGTGATTTCTCCAAGGACATTGAGAACATATTTTTCCTCAAAAATATTTACAGTCAAATTTGTTCAGAGGAAGATTGCTTTAGGGGACTGCTGTTAGCCCTCTGTTTCTGTGGCCTCTTCATCTGTGGAGGCTAAACTTGGATATGAAATATTCCATTTCTGTCCTCAAGGTAGACAGTAAAAAGGAAATAAATAAATAAATAAATATTTCAGGAAAGAAATGATTGTATTTAACATGTACAGACTTTTTTCTTTGTTATTACTCCCTAGATGATACAGTGTAATAATTATTTGTATAGTATTCAGATTGTATTAAGTATTCTAAATAATCTAGAGATGATTTAAAGTGAATAAAGAGTGAATAAACTGTATATGCAAACACTACACTTTAAATTTTTTTTTTCTGTTTTGAGACGGAGTTTTCCTCTTGTTACCCAGGCTGGAGTGCAATGGTGCGATCTCGGCTCACCGCAACCTCTGCCTCCTGGGTTCAGGCAATTCTCCTGCCTCAGCCTCCTGAGTAGCTGGGATTACAGGCACAAGCCACCATGCCCAGCTAATTTTTTGTATTTTCAGTACAGACAGGGTTTCACCATGTTGACCAGGATGGTCTTGATCTCTTGATCTCGTGATCCATCTGCCTCAGCCTCCCAGGCCTCCCAAAGTGCTGGGATTACAGGCTTGAGCCACCGCGTCTGGCCCCCCTTTTTTTTTCCTTATACTTATTTTTCTACATACCAGCGTGCGCACTCTATGCCATTTTATGTAAGGGACTTGCTCATCTTATCAATATTTTTAATACTGATGTTTGTAGCTTTAGATTTCTGGGTGTAAGTTTTCCTACTTATTACTAAATTGTTGGGAGGTATATTATTTGGGTCTTTTTTGCATCTTGTAAACTGACTTTACTTATAATTACAGCTTTAAAATATATTTTTTAATTCTAAAAGGACTAGGTTCTTCTTGTAAAAAAACATAGATGATGGAAGAAACTTAACTACTGAGACAAAAGCCACTTGCAGTATTTGGGGCCTATTTTGTCATATTTTCATTAATTGAGACAAATCTGGTTATTAAGTGTTTTGTTCTGATTATTTTAGCTGTCAGGACAAAATTATAAAATACTTTTTTTTTTTTTTTTTTTGGAGACAGAGTTTTGCTCTTGTTGCCCAGGCTGGAGTACAGTGGTGCCATCTCGGCTCACTGCAACATCCGCCTCCTGGCTTCAAGTGATTCTCCTGTCTCATCCTCCCAAGTAGCTTGGATTATGGGCATGCACCATCACACCCAGCTATTTTTTTTTTATTTAGTAGAGATGGGATTTTGGCATGTTAGTTTGGCTGGTCATGAACTCCTGACCTCAGGTGATCCATCCATCTTGGCTTCCCAAAGTGCTAGGATTGCAGACATATGCTAGCACAGCTGGCCTAAAACACTTTTTAAAAGGAAGAAAAGAAAAATGATCAGGTTGTAACTGCCCAACAGTTTCACCTTGCCTGCTGCCTAGACATCCAGTTTATCATGACGGGAATTGCAATAAAGAGTAATTCATGTATAGCCCACTATACAGGAGACCAGAGTTTTATTGTTATTCAAAATCAGTCTTCAGGAGAGTTTAATGAGTGCTAGACTAGCCACATGGGAAATGGAGTTATTACTCAAATCAATCTCCGTGATAACTCAGAAGCTAGGGTTTTCATGGATAATTTGGTAGGCAAGGGACTATGGAATTGGTGCTACTGAATGATTGGAGATGAAATCACAGGGGTGTGGAAAAACGGTCTTGTACATGAAGTCTACTTCTGGGTGTGGTGACCGAGTCAGCTGGGGTTAGTTAGTTGCCAGAATTCAGAAATCTGAAAATCATCTTGAAAGGCCAATTTTAGTTTCCACAATAGTGATGTTATCTATACGAGTTGGGAAAGTCACAAATCTTGTGACCTCTGGCCACATGACTCCTAAATAGTAAGGGATTTTAGAAATACACCTATATTTTAGCAGAATTCAGGACCCTCTGATAATCCTAATCTTGTGGTCTTTCATTAGGGGAAAGAGGGGGTTAGTTTTAGGGACTATTACCAACTTGGCTTCCAAGTTAAACATAAACTAAATTCCTGCAATGATTAGCTTGGCCTATGCCTAGGAATGAGTGAAGAGTGAAGATAACCAGCCTGTGAGGCTTAGAAGCAAGAAGAAGTCAGCCATGTTATATTGCTGTCACTGTCATAATCTTTGCAAAATTGGTTTCAATTCCACACTCATGATGTCCTTTTCCTTGTTTTGTCTCTCATATTTTCTGTAAATAGAAAATAGAAAAATGCTTGATGAATTCAAGTTTAACATTTTTGGTGTACAATCCATTTTTGATGTTATTTTATATTTCATTACGTCAGAAGACATATCTGGTTGGCTCACTGGTAGTTGCCAAGATTGAGTACTAGGTTTAGATAATGACCATGTGATAATACACACCTAGTGTTTAGCTTACACCTAGAAAGCAGTCTTTTGCTATTGCTTCAGCACTGTGTGAGTCAGTTCTCCTTGAACCATGTACCCAATTGTCAATACTAGTTGTTCTTCCTTGCCTGAAGCTAGGGGTGTTTTGTTGTTTGCCTTTAAAAAATTTTTGCCAATATTTCAATAATAAATTCTTCATATTTGTTGGTGTCTTGTCTTTCCATTATGGTCAGGTCCTGAGTCCTGGATTGGTATTTTTTTGTACTCCCTTCATTCTTAGAGAAATGTTTCTGCTGGATTTTGTGTTTCTCCCTCTGTGGCCAGAAAAATGATGCTCTGTCATTAATATATTATTTTGAAAATCAGCTGGCATTTACCTTGGTTATTTTAACAGGCTCTGGACTGTTTCACAGCAATGCTTTCTGAGCATGCAAGCAAACTGAAAATGGCAGAAGTTATTGGAAGCAAATTGAACATTTCTAGAAAAAAGGTATGTGTGCTGTTTTTACTTGCCTGCTGAAAGAAGGCTGGGGTTTTTGCTTGCTTGCTTACTGGTCTTTCGTCCTTAGTTGGAACAGCTTTTGAAGTGGTGCTTCTTTCGTAAAAGTTGGTGCTTTTATTGCTGCCTATCATGGGCATAAGACTCAGATCCCCTAGTTAAATAGTTCTTCGTATGTTCCATATTCTTAAAGGGAGCTTCCTCATGTCCTATATCATCTTCAGTGTTTTGGTTAGCATTTATTTTATTTTGTAGTTTATAGAATCAGGACAGTACTATGTTTTAGTAACACCTTTGTGTATAACTTAGTGCTCAGAGTTTTTCCATAATTTTTATTATTTTCCCTCATTAGAAAAGTTGACAAGAGGCCGAGCATGGTGGCTCATGCCTGTAATCCTGAGGCTGAGGTGGGCACATTGCCTGAGGTTGGGAGTATGAGACCAGCCCGGTCAACATGGTGAAACCCCATCTCTGCTGAAAAATAAAAATTATAGGAGGCTGAAGCAGGAGAATTGCCTGAGCCCAGGAGGCGGAGGTTGTGGTGAGCCGAGATCGCGCCATTGCACTCCAGCCTGGGTAGCAAGAGCAAAACTCCATCAAAAATAAAAAAATAAAAAAAGTAAAATAATAATAATAATAAATAAAAATTAGCCAGGTGTGATGGCACATGCCTGTAATCCCAGCTACTTGGGAGGCTGATGCAGTAGAATCAGTAGAATGGCTTGAACCCAGGAGGCAGAGGTTACAGTGAGCCGAGATTGCACCACAGCACTCCCTCCTGGGTGACAGAGCCAGACTCCATCTCAAAAAAAAAAAAGTTGATAAGAGGTGGGGTATGGTGTCTCAGGCCTGTAATCCCAGCCCTTTGGGAGGGCAAGGTGGGCGGATTACCTGAGGTCAGGAGTTTCAGACCAGCCTAACCAACATGGTGAAACCCCATCTGTACTAAAAATTCAAAAATTAGCTGAGCTTGATGGCAAGTGCCTGTAATCTCAGCTACTTGGTAGACCGCAGGAGAATGGCTTGGATATGGGAGGTGGAGGTTGCAGTGGAGTGAAACTCCTTGTCAAAAAAAAAAAAAAAAAATTGTTACGAGATGGGGCGTGGTGGCACATGTCTGTAATCCCAGCTACTTGGAAGGCTGAGGCAGAATCACTTGAACCCAGGAGGCAGAGGTTGCAGTGAGCCGAGATTGCGCCACTGCACTCCAACCTGGGTGGCAGATCGAATCTGTCTCCAAAACAAGCAAAAATGTTGAAAAGAGGAGTACCAATGAATACCTTAGGTCCATTGCTGACATTGTTAATATTTTGGCATTCTTGTTTTAAGTGAAAATATGTATTTTGGGAGGAGGGATCCTTTCATCAGTGGCATTGGTGGCTGGAGAAATATCTGGCTCGTTTTGAGGCAGGTACCTGGTATTCTTACATGGACGATTACACTAAAAGATTTTATGTCAGGAATTACAGTAGTAGAGATTTTTATAAGGCTTCTGAAATAGTTGGGATGGCTTTGGCTGGAGGTCATAGAGTGTCCTACTAAAAGGGACGTAAATGATACACATGTTAATCATCTGGAAGAGTAATAAAACCACCACGAATATTTATTCCACCAATATTCATCTTCTTTTGTTGGGGAAGAGCTCACTTTTCCCAGAGTACTTTACTTCTTTTACTCCTGTCCCAAACCTGAACAGAGTCTGTGTTCTTTGGACAAGAGAGGAATGGCTGCTGGGTAGACTTCCAGGAGCACCTGCCACAGCTCTTTTTTGTTTTGGCTGTAATCAGATATGTAACATGATTTCCAACATTATGTTACCTTTTAGATGTAGACTTACTGTTCACTTTCTCTGTTGGGATATATCAGGGTGTTCACTCCATATATAGGTAGGGCTCATTTAAAAAGTACCAAGGAAACATCAGTGTTTTTAAAAACATAGTATTAGAAGTTTGGAAAATGAAAAAAGAAATTTCTTGATGAAAAGCTCACGCACCTATCTGGGAATTAGAGAATGATTATTTGTAGAGGGCTAATTTGAGGGCCAATAGAAGCCTCTAGATAAGGAAATGTTCAAAAATTATATGGATTTTTACTCAGATAAAATCTTTTCTCCCACAGGCTGAATTCTTTTGTCAACTTTATAAACCAGAAATTGTGATCAATGAGCTAGACTTGCAAGTCGGTCGAGTGCGGCTTCTCCGGAAACAAAGTGAGGCTGTTCACATACAGAGGTAAGTAGGGCTCAAAACTCAGGTGCCAACTATGGGGATTCCAGAAACTGGACAGAAGGTCTAGCTCAACCTCTTGTCTTTTTGCAAAACACATGTCTGAACTGTGATATCTGCAGTATGTTACATGGGAAGTAGTGGTGTTTTCCCAAAGTGTGTTCTGTGAAATTAGATATTAATAGGTGAAACAGGCAATGAAAGTTATTAGAGACTTGACACTACCAAAGATGAATCATTGATTTTATTCACTGCAGTGTATTTAGTGAAATAAGCCTCAGTTGGAAGTCAGATATTAGTCTGTAAATTCCTGGAAGGCTGGGGTTATATAAGATTCTGAGATCTAACTGGGTGTGGTGGCACATGCCTGTAATCCCAGCTACTTGCGAGGCTGAGGCAGGAGAATTGCTTGAACCCAGGGGCAGCGGTTGCAGTAAGGCGAGATCATGCCTTTGCACTCCAGCCTGGGCAACAAGAACTAAACTCTGTCTCAAAACAAAACATTACAACAACAACAGCAAAAATGATTCTGAGATGGAGGTAACATTTAATAATTATTACATGTCTCACTTTGTGCTAAGTCTGTACATATTTTCTCATGTAGTGGTTGTAATAATTCTGTGAATTAATATATTACTGTCCTAGGCCTGCCATAACAAATTACCACAAACATGGTGGTTTTAAACAATAGACATTATTCTTTCACAGTCCTGGAGGCTTGAAGTCATACTCCTCCCTCTGAAGGCTCTAGGGGAGAATGCTTTCTTGCCTCTTCCTGTTTTTTTATTTTATTTTTTTCTGTTTTTTTAAGACAGAGTCTCACTCTGTTACCCAGGCTGAAGTACAGTGGCGTGATCTTGGTTCATATCAACCTCCACCTCCCTGGTTCAAGTGCTTCTCGTGCCTTAGCCTCCCGAATAGCCACGATTGCAGGCATGCGCCACCATGCCCAGCTAATTTTTATATTTTTAGTAGAGACCGCATTTCTCTGTGTTGGCCAGCTGGTCTTGAATTCTTGACCTCAGGTGATCCACCTGCTTTGACCTCCCAAAGTGCTGGGATTACAGGCCTGAGCCACAGTGCCTCATCTCTTTGGCTCCCAGCAGTCCTTGCTGTTCATTGGCTTGTAGTTGTATCACACCAAGTGCTGTCTCTGTTGTCACATGGCCCTTCTTTCTTGTCTGTGTATTTCTTTGTCACCAAATCTTCCTCTTAGAAGGACACCAGTCCTTGGATTTAAGACCCACCTGAATGCAATGTGACCTTATCTTAATTTGATTAATTTTCTTCAAAGACCCTTTTTTGAAATAAGGTCACATTCATAGGATCTGGGTGGACATGAGTTTGGGGAAAGATTATTAACCTATTACAGCTAGGTACTGTTGTTACCCACATCTTACAGGTGAGGAAACTGAGGCTAAGACACATTAAGTAATTTGCCCAAGATGAGATAACTGGTACAGATAGTCTTGTCTTATTAGTCTTTTTAATCTCTAGAGCCTAGCATGGTATCAGATATGTGAGTATTCAGTGTTTGCAGAGTGACTGCATTCTGTAATTTTTGTATGTTGTAAGACTGTCTGATATAGCATGAAGACAATTACTCTGAGCTGTTTCCTCATTCTTGTTTGTTGACTCTGGAAAATCTGGTTTCTCACAGCAAAACTAGGAAAAGCTTGCAGCGTGTCTTTTAAACCCTTTTTTTCTCCTTCCCAGGGAGAAGTTCACTTTTGCTGCTACACGGCCGTCCTCTGTTCTCATCGAACAGCTTGCAGTATGTGTCAGCAAAGGGGAGCCTGTGTTGCTGGTGGGAGAGACTGGGACCGGCAAAACCTCTACTGTCCAATACTTGGCTCACATTACAGGTAATGCCTAAAGGAAATAAATCTGCCCCCAGATATTTCATACTGACTACCTTTTTTCCTTTTTTAAAAATACTAAATTTAAAGACCATGGAATTTAACAAGTGCCAACACTCCACATGTAGTCTCTTTGCCTGGCAATAACTACTTTTAACAGATTATTAAATTATTTCATTTCTAATCTTTGCCTATGCAAATACACACACACACATATAGTTTTGTTTCGAAACAAAATACGGGATTATATTCTACATATTGCATTTAATTAAGCAAATTGGACAACTTTTAAAAACAGAATACTTCATTTCTTCTTTTTATTTTTATTTATTCTTTTTTGAGACAGGGTCGTACTCTGTTGCTCAGGCTGGAATGCAGTGACGAACTCACAGCTCACTGCAGCCTTGACTTCGCAGGCTCAGGTGATCCCCTACCGTAGCCTTCCAGAGAGCTAAAAAGTACGGGCGTGTGTCACTATGCCTGGCTGATTTTTTAAAGTTTTTTGCAGAGATGAGGTCTCACTGTGTTGCCCAGGTTGGTCTCCCAACTTGTGGGCTCTCATGATTCAGAGCAAATGCACATTTGAAAATTTACCTTATTACTGAGTACAGTGGCTCGCTCATGCCTCTAATCCTAGCACTTTTGGAGCTGGAGGCAGGAGGATTGCTTGAGCCCAGGAGTTTAAGACCAGCCTGGGAACATCGTGAGACCCTGTCTTTACAAAAAAAATACAAAAATTAGCCAAGTGTGGTGGTATGTGTCTATATATAGTCTCAGCTGCTTGGGAAGCTGAGACAGAAGGATAACTTGAGCCCAGGAAGTCGAGGCTGCAGTGAGCCATGATTGGGCCATTGCACCTCCAGCCTTGGTGACAGAACAAGACTGTCTCTCAAAAAATAAAAAAGCCCCTGCCATATTCCACAGCCTTGAGCACACTGGATGTTATTAGTCTTTAAATTATTGGAGTAACTCTTTTGTACTTTCTTTATAAAAGGCCACCGTTTGAGGGTTGTTAATATGAATCAACAAAGTGATACTGCAGACTTGCTTGGAGGGTGAGTGTGGCTTAAAATTTTTTTCTTATGTTTGTGTTTATTGCATGAGGGAAGAAATACTGTTTTTTTAGTGTTAACAACCACAGGTTCTAGGGTGCTCAGTGCAATAGAAGAAGTTTTCTCAGATAAGGCTTCATTGGAGCTTTTGCCAGGGAGGTAGCACGAATTGTTGCTCTCTCCTACCCTTTTTCTAATTGATAATGTGTGGGCTGGGTTTAATTTATATAAGTAAATCAATTTCATATTTTTATTCCTCAGATTTTAGTCAAGCTTAATTAAATATGGTTGGTTTCTTATTATGCCCTATACATGATTATTTAGACATGTTGGGAAAATAAATGATGTGAATTTTACTATTCAAGTAGGACTTTACATTTTATTTTTTTAATTTTATTTTTTTGAGATAAGGTCTGGCTCTCTTGCCTAGGCTGGAGTGCAGTGGTGTGTTCTTGGTTCACTGTAACCTCCACCTCCTGGGCTCAAGCCTCCTACTTCACCATTCCAAGTAGCGGGGACTGCAGGTGTGTGCTACTGTGTTTGACTAATTTTTATATTTTTTTGTAGAGACAGGGTTTTGCCATGTTGCCTAGGCTGGGTTTGAACTCCTGGGCTCAAGTGACCTTGCCTCAGTGTCCCAAAGTGCTGGGGTTACCAGTCTGAGTAGCTAGTTTTTTCATAGCACTGTTTATTTGATAATCATATTTACCTTCATTATAGGCCCTTCAAATGGGGGAAAACAGATTACAATTTAAAACTGTAATGTAGATTTTAAATATTTCAGTAGTATTTCTGACTTTGATTAAATGAAATCTGAGACCTACTCCTGTTTTCCGAGCCATGCTTTCTAACTTCTGTTAACTTCTGAAATTTGTGAATCACATTTACCTGTGTCGGTTTCAGTTACAAACCGGTAGACCATAAGCTTATTTGGCTACCCTTACGGGAGGCATTTGAGGAGCTCTTTGCCCAAACATTTTCCAAGAAACAAAACTTTACGTTCTTGGGGCACATTCAGACCTGTTACAGACAGAAACGGTGGCATGATCTCCTGAGACTAATGCAGCATGTATACAAGTCTGCTGTTAACAAGGATGGAAAAGAGAGTGAAACTGGTAAGGATGTGACCCAGGCTGCCATGGGGGAGGGCATGAGTCTGGGCTTCAGTGAATAGATTAAGAGTCTTGGGGAAGAGTAAATACTCTTACTCTTGGAGAAAGAGTACAAATTGGAGCTTTCTAGGACTTGGCAGAATGACTAATTATGAAGTATTGTGCCCCCATTCTTCATATGATTTCTGCAAAAACAGATGACTGGTAATGCTGATATGCAAGTATTATTTAGTCAGTAAGACTCATTTCCTCAGAAAAAGCTTGTTTCTAAGAAGCTGGATTCCATAGCCAAGAGGCTTTTGCTAGCTTAGTTTACTTCTGTGTGGTTCCTTATCTGTAAAGCAGGAATAAGAATAACTAGTCCAGAGGGTTGTGTGAGGGATAAATGAGGTAATTAACACATATATATGCATACACGTGAGCTAATTCGTGTTATGTCTGGCATTTAGTTAGCATTATGTAAGTTTTTGGACTTAGTATTTTGTGTGCTTAATTTTTGTGTGTTTTGTTAATTGTATTATGTTTAGAAGTTGTATATATTACAACTCAAAATGTGTGTTAGATTCTTGTCTTTATTCTTTCCTAGGATTACTCATAAAAGAGAAATGGGAAGCATTTGGTCTCAGACTCAGCCATGCCCAACAACAGATGAAAATGACTGAAAATACCTTATTGTTTGCATTTGTAGAGGTATTTCTGTTTTTGTTATTTAGCTTACAGGAATGTTGATTTGATGCAAAATATAACGTTTTAGGCAGGTTACTGTTTTGTGTTGTCTTAATGAAATAATTTTTGGGGAAAATTTTGAAAAATGTTCTTCATGGTAATTATGGCAATTGTAAGGTCTTAATGAGCAACATCATTATTTAAATATAAATTTTAAAAGTATAAATTAATGAATTATAATTGTATATATGGGGTACAAAATGATGTTATGATTTGTGAATACAGTGGAGTAACTAAAGCTAATTAACATATTCATCACCTCAAATACCATTTTTTGGCATGAGAATATTTGAAATGTACTGCCTTAGTAATTTTGAAATGTGCAACACATTATTTACCATTTACAGTGTGGTCACCATGCTGTGCAATATGTATCTCAAAGGAGAGAAAGTTTATTTTTTCTGTCTAATTAAGGCTTTGTACCTTCATTACTCCATACTCCCCAACTCTCCTAGCCTCTGCTAGCTCTACCATTCTGCTGTCTGCTTCTTTGGGTTCTGTTGTTTTAAATTTCACATATAAGTGAGAGCATGCGATACTTGTCTTTCTTCACTAGGCTTGTTTCACTTAACATAATGTTCTGTTTCTGTTTTTGTTGTAGCAAATGACAAAATTTATTTATTTTTTCAAACTGAGTAAGATTCCATTGTTTGTATATATGTATATATACAAGATTCTCTTTATTTATCTGTTGATGGAAACATAGGTTGATTCTTTATCTTGGCTATTGTGCATAGTGGGAATGAGCATGGGAATGCAGACATCCCTTTGACATACTGTTTTCATATTTTTTTGGGAAGTACCCAGAAGCGAGATTGCTGCATCTATTATTATTTTTAAAGATACAATTGATGACAACTAGTGAACTCTGTAGTCTTTCTCTTGCCATGTGTGTCCCCAGAGAGTGTGTGAATGTGAGAGAGGGATTTGGAGCTGTTGACGCTAGTGCCCCAATTTTAATCCCAAGTCATGGACATCTCTACTGTTTGCTGTCCTGTGACCCTGTAGGAAGGATCAACTTGGTCAAATATTTGTGACTTGGGCATTTAAAAAAAATTTGTTTCTGTGACAGTCCTTAGATGAAGCCCTAGAGGAAGTGGGAGTCTTACTTGATGGTGTTGTAGTAACAGAGAAGGTCTACTCAACCATACGTTGTGGTTGTGGGAAATTTGGTCATCAGAATGATTCTTAATAGGATTATTCTAAAACAACCAATTAAATTGTTGTGTTCTCAAAACAAGGCTTATGTTTTATGACTTAGTAATATACTGGAGTTAATATATTTCTTCTGTTTTATGGTTTTCAATTAAATTTGTAGTATATTACTTGTTAGGAAGGAGCATTTTTGCAAAAGTATAAAGCAGCTTAATAATCGTAAAATAGTTTTTGATGTTGTGTCAACTGAGTAGATGATTAGATTTGTTTTTATTGCTCTAGGATCTAGAATTTGAAGAGATAACACTAGTGTACTAAAGCCAGGGGATGATTCATTTTGACATTCAGCAGATGTGAAAGGCTGTGTATGACAAACACTAAACACATTTGTCTAATCTTGATATAGCCTGATCCTATATTTATTTTGAGTTTCAATAGCTTTTGGGTGCCTTTAAACACCTGACTACAATGTACGCTATTTACCTGACCATCCACATAATTAGAGGATTTAATTCATTGTATCTTTTTGTTAGGCCCAAAGATGTTCCCTTGAGCCTTTTGGACATTTAAAAAATTAACTTGGCCTTAACTCTGACTATCTGCTGTCAGCCAATGGGCAGTTAAGGTATAGGCCCATCAAGTGGGAAAGATTACCCCCTGCCTCTGTTTCTAACCCTGCTTGCATAACTGTTCTTGGCAAGTGTACCGTTATTTGACACAAATTCTTAACATTTTATTTTATCTTCTTTTAGGGTACATTAGTTCAGGCTGTAAAGAAAGGAGAGTGGATCTTGTTGGATGAGATTAACTTGGCTGCTCCAGAAATACTAGAATGTCTGAGTGGTTTGCTTGAAGGATCCTCTGGATCCCTAGTGTTGCTGGATCGAGGAGACACAGGTAGCACTTGAATCTCTTGGGATTTGACGTGGTGTCGAGCCCTATGGCCACTTTAGAGTGAGAATTTACTTATTTATTTTTTTGATTAGAAGGATGACGTGGGCCTCCCAATGGAATTTGTTCATTTCTTAGATATTAATTTTCTGCAAAGTGTATTGAACTGTTTTGGTATGGGGAATGTAAAGAAGAAAAATATAATTTGACAAGGTGTTTGGGTTATGACTAATAAACACACTTACAAAATAACAGGTGAATAGTTGATAAAAGATAACAGTGAATACATAAACCACAAAAGACCGCAGTATAAGATTAGGTTGTATATATAGGCCTGGAAAGTGATTTCAGTGGGGTTTCAGAAAAGACAAGGATGGTGTGACCAGCCAGCACCAGGCTGGCTGGGCCTGGGGTTCTCAGGAGTTAATATTACCTTTATTGATAATTTATAATCTTCTCTTACAGAGCCACTGGTTCGGCATCCTGACTTCCATTTATTTGCCTGCATGAATCCAGCGACTGATGTAGGCAAAAGAAATCTCCCCCCAGGAATAAGAAACAGGTGAGGACATGGCTCTTAAGAGACTTTCTTTTTTGGGACAAGTTCTTGCTGTGTTGCCCAGGTTGGAGGGCGGTGGTGTGATCCTGGCTCACTGCAAGTCCCCTGTTCAAGCAGTCCTCCCACCTCCCACCTCAGATTACTGATTAGCTGAGATTACCAGCACATTCCATGACACCTGGCTATTTTTTTGTATTTTTAGCAGAGATGGGATTTTGCCGTGTTGCCCAGGCAGCTCTCTAACTGGGCTCAAGCGATTTGCCTGCCTCAGCCTTCCACAGTGCTGAGATTACCAAGCCTTCTTTTTAAGATTCTCTTTATTTATAGATTGGTAATATTAAGGTAACGAAACTTTAGAGCAATGCTTGAAATTTCTTGGCCTCTGATAGAGGAATCTTGATTTCTTGAATTGTGGTATTCCTCTAGTTTGTGCAGGTGGTAGGCATATGGGAATCTCCAGAACACTGGAGAATTTTTCTCTTTATGTTACTAGTGTGACAGTTAATATTGTTGAAAATAAAAATCTTTCCTTTCTCAGATAATTGTTTGGCTGTTAGCAAAATTTCATACACAGTATAACAGGAAAACATATATCGGCGTAAGTATATTTTAGGAGCACAGTCCTCTTTGGATGAGGCTGATGATCTGAAAATGCCTTCTAAGTTTCTTTCATTTTTCATCACTAAGCACTGAGGTGAACAAAGTACTTAGTTGTTGGTGTTTCACCTATGTGACATTTGGGAAAAGACACATGACCGACCAGATTTGTTGTTGGTAACCATTTACTTCATTTTGAGTTTTAAAATAGCTTTAAAACTTTATTAGATCTCTCTGTTTTTATAAAGTAACAAAAGCTTCTTTGGAAGCTTTAGAAACTACATTAAAGTAGTTGTTTTCTTTTCAACCATTTTGTTTTGTTTTTGATGGTGAGGGGGCTTGTTTTTTGTTGCACTTACTTTTTGTAACATGCAGTTATCATAAAAAACACCTGAAAATGAGAATAATTAATTCTTATTTTTGTAACTTTTTCTTCTTTTAAGGACTATACATGGAAGACTTACTGCATAGAAGCAATAATGATATATTTTTGGTAATGGTTACATTATCCTTTATGATCAGTGTCTATGTCAGGTTGAAAGACATTTTGTACTACAAGCAGTTAAAATGAGCTGACATAGCTTCTTCTGTTTCATGTTTTTTCTATTGTCAGCATAGTTATATTAACTTTTTTTTTTGGAGACGGAGTTTCGCTCGTTACCCAGGCTGGAGTGCAATGGTGCGATCTCGGCTCACTGCAACCTCCGCCTCCTGGGTTCGGGCAATTCTCCTGCCTCAGCCTCCTGAGTAGCTGGGATTACAGGCACGCGCCACCATGCCCAGCTAATTTTTTGTATTTTTAGTAGAGATGGGGTTTCACCATGTTGACCAGGATGGTCTCGATCTCTTGACCTCGTGATCCACCCGCCTCAGCCTCCCAAAGTGCTGGGATTACAGGCGTGAGCCACCGCGCCCAGTGTTATATTGACTTTCTAAAAAGTGTTTATTATTTATTGTCTTACAGATTCACAGAACTTTATGTAGAAGAATTGGAAAGCAAAGAAGACTTACAGGTTCTTATTGTAGATTACCTGAAAGGATTGAGTGTGAACAAGAATACAGTGCAAGGAATCATAAAGTAGGTTCCCTTTGGTATGTCTTTATAAACTCTTTCTTTGAACATGAAAATGTGCTACAAGCATTATTTTTTTACTTCTAACTTGAGAAAACTGATGACCAGATTATTATTTAGATTCTGTTGTAAAGTTGAAACCTGATATAAACTTTAAAAAAAAAAATTACATAGAAAGCTATAAATCACCACCTATGAGAATATATATAAACTGAAAAGAAAACAAAGAAAAAACAAAAAGAAGAAAAAGAGAATATATATAAACTATCAGGTAATGCTTTCCTAATTACCTTTATATTCATGGCTGAGAGTTTGAATTCTTGGAGATGTACATGGCTTGCATTTTGATCTCTCTTGAAGAAGGTTAGTTTCCTTTCTTTTTTTTGAGACAGAGTGTTTTGCTTTTATCGCCTAGGCTGGAGTACAATGGTGCGATCTCAGCTTGCTGCCACCTCCGCCTCCCAGGTTCAAGCAGTTCTTCTGCCGCGGCCTCCCAAGTAGCTGGGATTACGGGTGCCTGTCACCACACCAGCTAATTTTTATATTTTCAGTAGAGACGGGGTTTCACCATGTTGGTCAGGCTGGTGTCGAGCTCCTGACCTCCAGTGATCTACTCACCTTGGCCTCCCAAAGTGCTGGGATTACAGGCATGAGCCACCGTGCCCAGCTGAAGATTACTTTTCTATTTGCAATATTTTACTACCTATGTGGGAGATAGGGAGAAAAGGGTTAAGATAATTGATTGCATCAGGTTTGGAATTATTGGAAGCTTAGCCTAACAAATAATAGAGTAGTTGTGTGGCTTGGTGCTTTAATTTGAGACTGTTATTCCTGCTTTTTTTTAATGCCATATGGGCAATGTGCAATCTTTTGTGTCAGATAACCTCAATTCTAGCATTGGTTCTATGAGAAACTAATTGTGTCGTTCTGGGCCAGTGACTTAACTTGCCTGTTCTCTGGAAAGAAATATAACATGTAAAGGGATCGAAACAGGGTAATATTAGTGTTTTACTGTGTATTTGTGTTTTTTCTCTTCTTTAATACAAATATTTAGAGTGCCTTGGTGCTAGGGATATAGCTATGAGTAAGACAGACAAAATCCTGCTTCTTCTCATTGAGCTTTAATTCTAGAGGAATAATACAGGTTGTGATGTGTGAAGAGAAATTATATATAAAGCTGAGTACGGTTTAAGAAAATGAAGAGTTGGAGTTCTGTTACTTTTTCGATTTTTTTTTTTTTTTTTTTTTGGTGGAGACAGGAGCTTTGCTTTGTTGTACAGGCTGGTCTTGAACTCTTGGATTCAAGTGATCTGTGATCATTAGCCTCCCAAAGTGCTGGGAATACAGGCATGAGCTACAGCACCTGGCCTTGAAATCCTATATTAAATAGAGTAGTCAAGGAGGCGTTTGTTTAGAATACTTCAGAATGGTTTTCCACACCACACCCTAAATTGGAATACCCTTTGTTAGCCAAGAATATTTGGACAAAAGTATAAATACATATAGTTATGATTCCAGATGCTAAAAGTAAGCTTTTATAAGTGCCTTATTTTATCTAAAGAGATAAGGAGATAAAATGAGGCCCTTATAAAATACTGATAGTATAAGTAGTAAGTGTTCCATATATTAAAAACCCAGTTCCGAAACATAGATTCTTTCTACAAAAGAAAAAGTATTTTTTAGACAGCAAAGAGGTAAGACAAAGCCCATTTGGTCAGGAACTTGGATTTCATCTGTGATGCATACTTGGTTACATTTGATCTTGAGGTATTAATTGATCATGCATTTCACAAAATGCCAGAAATTCGTGTTTCAGTCTGAAACTTCTCCCATCCTGTCATCACCTGGACTTCTAAAGTGTGGTAGTGACTGTAGTATTGCCTATTGTATCCTCCTGTTTTTTAGCATTTTGTCAGTATTGATTATAGCCAGATTCATAGTCTTGTGAAACACCATGCATTCTTTTTTTCTGTGTCTTTATTCATCCCCATTTTGCTTTATATGCCCCTTAAGCTTGAGCAGACTCTGGAACACATAAGCTTCTCACCTTTTTTTTAAAATTTTTTTGAGACGGAGTTTCACTCTTGTTGCCCAGATGGAGTTTCACTCTTGTTGCCCAGTGAGTACAATCTCGGCTCACTGAAACCTCCACCTCATGGGTTCAAGCAATTCTCCTGCCTCAGCCTCCCGAGTAGCTGGGATTACAAGCATGCACTGCCATGCCCAGCTAATTTTCTATTTTTAGTAAAGACGGAGTTTCTTTCTTTTTTTTTTTTTTTTTTTCTTTTGAGACGGAGTTTCGCTCTTGTTACCCAGGCTGGAGTGCAATGGTGCTATCTCGGCTCACCGCAACCTCCGCCTCCTGGGTTCAGGCAGTTCTCCTGCCTCAGCCTCCCGAGTAGCTGGGATTATAGGCATGTGCCACCATGCCCAGCTAATTTTTTGTATTTTGAATAGAGACGGGGTTTCACCATGTTGACCAGGATGGTCTCAATCTCTCGACCTCGTGATCCACCCGTCTTGGCCTCCCAAAGTGCTGGGATTACAGGCTTGAGCCACCATGCCCGGCCTGGAGTTTCTTTTTTAAAAAATTTTTTTAGATGGACTTTTGCTCTTGTTGCCCAGGCTGAAGTGTAATGGCACGATGTCAGCTCACCACAACCTTCTCTTCCCAAGTACAAGTGATTCTCCTGCCTCAGCCTCCCAAGTAGCTGGGATTACAGGCATGTGCCACCATGCCTGGCGCTTCTCACATCAGTACCTTTTTGCTAGAGAATTACACATTGCATTTCCCAGTTTCCATAAAGAAATGGATAGATCTTCATTTTATTGTTTTGAAAGATAGCTCTCAGTATGTGAAAAGTAGATTTAAAAGAGACTGAGATATTTTGATTCATGCCCTAGGAAGTTGCACGCAAGCATGACCATTTCTGCATCTAAAAATGTCCTTTGGATTTTCTGTAGAGAATTGATAATAATAGATACTCATTAGTAAATAAAATCACCTTTATTCTGTTTGTAGCTTCTACGCAGCTTTGCGGAAAGAGTCTGGGACCAAACTGCTGGATGGCACTGGACATAGACCTCACTATAGCCTTCGGACTCTGTGCCGGGCCCTGCGATTTGCAGCCTCCAATCCATGTGGCAGCATTCAGCGCTCACTCTATGAGGTCTTTCTGAAGTCTGTTTGACAGGATATGAGCTTGATGAATGGGTTCATGGGAAGGAAGGAATAGGGATGCATATGCCAGGATGCCTGTGCTTTCCAGTTAGGCATATCAGCCCAGAATACTTCATACCAGACCTACTCTCCCCTTTTAAATTAAATATTTTACTGTTTATCTTAAACATTTTTATTTTTAATTATACATAGAGACAGGGTATATTACTATATTTAAATATTACTATATTTAAAAGTTGGAAAGCAGCATCACCCAAGAGGTTAAATTTTGTTCTGAAAATAAGTTTGGTTGTTATTGCAGAAGGTCACTTAGCATTATGCATATTTGTGTTTTCTCTCTAGGGTTTTTGTTTGGGTTTCTTAACACAGCTTGACAGGGCATCATACCCAATAGTTCAGAAGCTCATCTGTCAACACATTGTCTCTGGCAATGCCAAGAGTCTGCTAAAGCAGGTATATTCTTTTGTTATTTTTGACTTGTTATATATGAAAGGCCGAATTACCAAATTTTCAGCTGTTTGTTTTTTTTTTTTACACATAAATTTTTAATTATAAAAGTAATCTCTTGCAAAAAGTTTAAATATTATAGAAACATATGTTTAGATGGTGAAAGTTTCCAATAAGCATGCTCTTTGGAGATTTAAATACTGTGGATAATCCTTTCCAGATAGATTATATGATGTGTATATTTTATTTTCTTACATATCCAAATTTTGATATGTGTTTGTTGATTTATTGAGGTAAATTCTAGTATGTATTTAATGTAAGTGGGACTGTCTCATAAGAATATATATATATTTTTTTTTTGAGAAACAGTCTTGCTCTGTTGCTCAGGCTGGAGTACATTGGTTTAATCTTGGCTAACTGCCTCCTCCCCCTCCTTGGGTCAAGCGATTCTCATGTCTCCACCTCCCGATTAGCGGGGATTACAAGTGCACGCCACCATGCCCAGCTCATATTTACGTTTTTAGTAGAGACTGGGTTTCACTATGTTGGCTAGGCTGGTCTTGAATTTCTGACGTCAAGTGATCTGCCCGCCTCAGTCTTCCAAAGTGCTGGATTACAGGTGTGAGTCACCATGCCCGGCCCATAAGAATATTCTGTAGCTTTTCTTTTTAACCTAACTGAATCTTGTATTTATTTCCATTTTATGTACCAGAGTTCATTATGACATGCCTTCTAAGGGTCACATAGCATTTCACTGGATGGGTACACCATAATTTTACTATTTACATAGTTTAATTACACAGTTAGGTATAATCTATGCCTTCGAATTGATGGTTGGGCCTTTTTTGGGGGGGTAGTAGTGGGGTCACTGTTATAAATAATAGCCATTTTGGATTTAACAGGAAATTACAAAATAGCATGTGACTGAAAGAGGCTGAGAAAGTGGCTCACAATCATCATGTAAATTGGCCTGTTTATGTGTTGATTGCTTATTCATTAGGAAGAGAGAGCCCTTGGGACTTGGGGGTTTCTTTGGACACTGTCTTTCAAAAAATCATACTAGTAATAGAAGTGTAAATACTTTTGGCAAATTGTAAAAATATTGAGAAAAGACTCAGGTTTGCTTTTACCATTATTGTAATCAAATACTGGTCTCCTCCAGTTGATCATTTTGTGTGTGTGTGTGCCTCAGTGTGATAGAAACTTAAAAACTCCATTCCCTGTTTCCCCCATTGCTTCTCAACTCAACTGAGCAGGGCGCCTAGACTTGTAGCTTGAAATCTGGTGACCAAATGCTCTAGAAGAGTACTTTTCCATAGTTATAGATTTGACCACAGTTTAACCATTTTTTACTTAGAAAAATGGGAATTTGTATAATCGAACCAAGAACTTACACTATATCTCAGAAAAGTTATGCCATCATCCACAATCTTATCCTTAATGGGCTGGTTGCTCTGAAAAGTCAGTTTTATTTTTAATGTCCTCTAGGGGATCCGGAGTATAATAGTGCAAAAGCTCTTTCCTTAGTACAACACTGGCCCTCTTTTTGGAACATGGTTTATATGAAATTCATGTTTTTGATCAAAATTCTTAGAGTGGGCATTTTAATATGTGAGAGAAGAGAACTGATTCATAAACCATTTGGGAAATGGTTTTGATTTCAATTGTTTTTTTCCCAAACCTACCTACTCTACTTCAGCTTTAAAACCAGTACATAATACCATTTTGTTTTCATTCCTCATAATTTTATGTTCATATTTCACCCATGGATTTCAATGTTGAAAGTACCCAGAAGAAGACAGCTTGTTCAACAAGTAGCTCTTTTCCTACTCTGAAAGAATGCCTTAGTTGTTGAAGTTGTGGGTTACTCCTTGAACTTCTGTGTCTTTCAGCCTATTCCTGAGCCAAAAGGAGGTCGGCTTATCCAAGTTGAAGGCTACTGGATTTCAGTGGGAGACAAGGAGCCTACAATAGATGAGACGTACATTCTGACACCTTCTGTGAAGCTGAACCTGAGAGATGTAGTCCGAGTTGTCTCTGCAGGGTGTGTGGGCTTTTTTCTTGCTGCCCTGGACTTGATGCAGGCAAAGGCATTGATGACAGTTTGGTCTAACTTCCTTAACTTTCAAAAAGCTTTATTCTTATTCTTTGGCCAAGTGAATAATTACTTACTAAAGTAGTACTATAGCTTTTTCCTGGTAGAAAACATTGTTTCTAGTTGCACCTTTGGAGGGAGCACTGTGGATGCAGATGATTTTATCTATCTTTAAAGTTGTCTTTTGCTGATGAATACTTACTACAAATTATTGGGTGAATGAGTAACAGTTCTACTTTCAGTTTCTCACAGGTTTTGCCAGCAGAGTTGGAATTGCTTTCCTTAGTATTTTTTTGAGGAATAATGTTTACAGAGAAACTTCTCAGTGTATGGATCTAAAAACCTTCTTTTGTTTCTTGAAATTTCCAGAAATGTAAAAAAAAAAAAGAGAGAGAAAGTGCTCTTTTAATGATGCTGTTAAATGATGTAGTCATTCTGTTTAAAAACAACAACAACAACAAAACAAAAAAGAATACTTGACCAGGTGCAATGGCTCATGCCTGTAATCCCAGCAGTCTGGGAGGCCGAGGTGGTTGGATCACTTGAGCTTAGCGGTTTGAGTCCAGCATCAGCAACATGGCAAAACTCTGTCTTGGCAAAAAATACAGAATTTAGCTGGGCTTGGAGGTGCATGCCTGTAGTCCCAGCTACTCAGGAGGCTGCCGTGGGAGGTTCACTTGAGCCTGGGAGGTCGAGGCTGCAGTGAGCTGTGATTGCACCACCACACTTCAGCCTGGGTGACAGTGAAACCCTGTGTCAAACAAAACAAACTATTACTCAGCTCTGGTTTCTCAGCTTTGTATTTTTTTTTTTGTTTTTTCAAGTTGCTTAATTGGCTAATCTTTTACAGAACCTATCCAGTGCTGATTCAGGGAGAGACATCAGTTGGTAAAACAAGCCTCATCCAGTGGCTGGCTGCAGCTACTGGCAACCACTGTGTGCGTATTAACAATCATGAACACACGGACATTCAGGAGTACATTGGTTGTTACACATCTGACTCCTCAGGGAAGCTTGTCTTTAAAGAAGGTAGGGTTAAGATTCCATTCCATGGACATAGGTGTTCATTCTTTCAGACACATTTCCGTTAGTAATATTATTCTTCATCCTTTCTAATTGAGGCACATGGACCTTTGCTGTAACAACTGGATTTTCTTGATGCCTGAGCTATATAGATAGTTAAGGAGGATGTACAAGGTGCTGGCTTTCTTTATGCTCTGCTAATCTTGCTGGCTATATATAAGACTAGAGCCAAATTTTTAAGATAGGGGTTGAACTGCTGCTTCATTTTCATTTTATTTTATTTTTTTTAGAGATGGGGTTTCATCCTGTTGGCCAGGCTGGTCTCTAACTCCTGACCTCAGATGATCTGCCCACCTTGGCCTCCCAGTGTGCTGGGATTACAGGTGTGAGCCACCATGCCTGGCTGCTGCTTCATTTTCCTAGGGATTCAGAGAATGGAGTGAGTGTTAGCCCTTCCGACTGAGGCACATGGACCTTTGCTGTAACAGGTGGCTTTTCTTGGTGCCTGAGCTGCAAACAATTAAGGGGCGATGCATAGGTGGCGTGCATTCTTTAGGTTCTGTTAATCTTGCTGGCTGTATATAGGGCCAAACTTTCAAGAGGGGAATTGAACTGCTGCTTTATTTTCTAGGGATTCAGAGACTGGGGTTAGTGTTAGCCAAAAGGAAGTTGGGAATAGATACAAGAATGTGGTGATTTAAATGAAATTAGACTGCAGGGAGAAATTAAACAAGGAACAAGGTATTTGTCAGCCTTGGCTGTGGGGAAAAGGGACTATTTTAATTGAAAATTGTTCCTCCTTGATCTTCATTGTCATAATTTGTTTTGGGGCAAGACTAGCTACAGAAAGTAATTTGCTTTGAAATTTAATGATAACCTAGGATTTGTACATTTTAAAACTTTGGACTGATTTATACACTAGTTTTTGGTGTTTGTTTCTTCCTAGGTGTTCTTATTGATGCCATGAGAAAAGGCTATTGGATTATTTTAGATGAATTAAATTTGGCTCCTACCGATGTATTAGAGGCACTGAATAGGCTGTTGGATGATAACCGTGAATTGCTTGTAACAGAAACACAGGAAGTTGTTAAAGCACACCCTCGGTTTATGCTTTTTGCCACGCAAAATCCCCCAGGACTTTATGGAGGCAGAAAGGTATGTAACATTTGTCCCCTTCCTTTAATTTGTTAAATCAGATCATAGATTTTTCTTAGTAAGAATGAGGTGCTTTTACCTCTATTTTAATATTTTATGGTGAATGCCAGAGCCTCCATATTGGAGATTAAAAGGTACCTTTTACTGTATTCTTTCTATGCTTTGTCTAGGTGCTTTCTAGAGCCTTCAGGAATCGGTTTGTGGAATTGCACTTTGATGAGTTACCTAGCTCTGAGTTGGAAACAATCTTGCACAAGCGCTGTAGTTTGCCACCCTCCTATTGCAGCAAGTTGGTTAAAGTCTTGCTGGATCTTCAGGTATTTCATTTCCTTATCACTGAACTTAGTTTCAAATGGAATGTGTTGATTATATTTGGTGATCAAAACTCATGGCTTCTTTTGTTAGAAAAAAGAATGTGTTTATATATTTTTTCAGGTGGAGGTTTTTTTGTTTTTCCTTTCTTTTTTTGGGTGAGACAGGGTCTCACTCTACTGTCCTGGCTGGAGTGTGGTGGCACAGTCATAGCTCATTGCAGCCTCGACCTTCTGGGCTCAGATGATCCTCTCATCTCTGACTCCTCACTGCTTAGTAGCTGGGACCACAGGTGTGCACTGCCATGTCCGGCTAAATTTTTTTGTTTAGCGACAAGGTTTCACCGTGTTGCCCTGGTTAGTCTCAAACGCCTGGGCTCAAGGTGTCCACCCACCTTGATCTCCCAAAGTATTGGGATTATAGGTGTGAATCACGGTTCTTGGCCTTCAAGTAGAGGTCTTTTAAATGCTTCCCACTAATATAAATTTTTAGTTTTCTTTTATCAATCAACAATTTGACATCATTAAAATTTTTCTGATATTTACATATGATTTTGTATTTGTGTACAGTATTGAAGCATTTTGTTTAGAATGTAATTTGACTTAGGGAAAACTGCAGTTTTGGTTTTTAAACGGTTATAGTCCTTCAACAGACATAATTTTAGAGATCCATTCTTCGTGGCTCCCCCTTGTCAACTGCAAAGCTATAGCTGATCTTTAAAAATTCCATTTATCTTATAGGGTTAAAAGTATTCTTTATCAGAAAGTATATATTGTCAAACTGCTTTTTAGAAAGCTAATAATAATCAAGACTCCTACCATTATGGTCCCACATTGTTTCACTAATCTTCCTGCATCTTTGCCATCATTTGCATTACTATTAATCATCTTTTTCTATGTGGCATAAGAAACGTGGAATTCCATTTTATATTCTTAACTTAAATGTGAATTTGAACATTTTTCTTCAGAATATTAACATTAAAAATTAATCTTATTCAGTGGAATGAAATCATTTTAATGGGAGTGTAAATTTGTTAGGAATTTTATATATGTTGTACCACAGGCTTACTGTGCATTGCAGCTAATGTCCTTTTTCATTGGTTTTGATACTTTAACAGTCCTATCGCAGAAGTTCATCAGTGTTTGCTGGAAAGCAGGGCTTCATCACCCTTCGTGATCTGTTCCGATGGGCTGAGAGATACAGATTGGCTGAGCAGACTGAGAAGGAGTATGACTGGCTGCAGTACTTAGCCAATGATGGTAGGTTTTCAGTCAAATGTTCTCAGTGTATAGTTATGTTAAATGTTGAAACTTTTTATTAAAACAAATCTTGCCTCAGATTGTGATTGATGTATACATTTGACTAGGTATTCCAGAGAGCCTGTTTTTCTCCAGTTCTTTTTTTTTTTTTTTTTTTTTGAGACAGAGTCTCGTTCTGTCGCCAGGTGCCAGGCTGGAGTGCAGTGGCGTGATCTCCGCTCACTGCAACCTCTGCCTCCTGGGTTCAAGCAGTTCTCCTGCCTCAGCCTCCCAAGCAGCTGGGACTACAGATGCATGCCACCACGCCCAGCTAATTTTTTATATTTTAGTAGAGACGGGGTTTCACTATGTTGGCCAGGATGGTCTTGATCTCTTGACCTCGTGATCCACCCGCCTCGGCCTCCCAAAGTGCTGGGATTACAGGCGTGAGCCACCACCCCTGGCCCTCCCTCCAGTTCTAACTGCTTTTCTAAGTGATCTTATTCCTGCCAGCCTCCATGCTAATAAGGACTGATTGCTAGGGTCTTCTTACTCTTGGCTTCAGGTAGCACCTATGGGAGTCAGGATATGGTATAGCCTCTTTGGGAGTTTAGGCGGATGGTTGATGATAGCTTTGTGGGCCATTTTTCTGCAGTGTCACCACAGATAGCCTGGCTAGTGCCTTACACATGTACAGTAAGCTGATTTGTCAGAAAACATCAGCATTCTGAGACACAGAATTTATATAATACAAGACCCAGGTTATGTTGTTTTCCTTTAATGCATGGGAAGAATTTGTTACTGTTTGTGATAGGATACAAAGTGTTTGGGAATCTTCTGATTTGAAAAGTCCTGATGAATGGGTTAGTTAATAAGTAAGACAAGTATATAAAACTAGTACAAGAGATTTTTTTCTCTACTTGTAAAGAATATTTAGGCAGAGGAATACTTTTTTTCTTTTTTCTTTTTTTTGGCTACGCAAATCAAAAGGAGAGGAATACTTTTTGGCCTAGCGCAGTGGCTCACGCCTGTAATCCTAACACTTTGGGAGGCTGAGGCAGGCAGATCTTGAGATCAAGAGATCGAGACCATCCTGGCCAACATGGTGAAACCCTGTCTCTACTAAAAATACAAAAATTAGCTGGGCGTGGTCGCGTGTACCTGTAGTCTCAGCTACTTGGGAGGCTGAGGCAGGAGAATTGCTTGAACCCGGGAGGCGGAGGTTGCAGTGAGCTGAGATCATGACACTGCACTCCAGCCTGGCAATGGAGCGAGACTCTGTCTCAAAAAAAAAAAAAAGGTGAATACTTTTTTAAAAACTTTTTTTATTGAAGTGTAACATGCAGTAAAGTATTTTCCCATATAAAGCATCACCTAGACCAACGTGTAGAATATTTTCAATAACTCACTTAAGTAGGTCTCTTGCCAGTGGAGGTAACCACTACCCTGACTACTGTTACCACTAATTGACTTCTATCTGATTATCACTACTAATCTGATTGAACAGAATTTTGCTTGTCCTTGAGCTTCAGCTAGCTGACATTATGCACTATGTACTCTCTGGGTTCTGGTTTTCACTAAACCTGATGTGAGAATCAGTCATGCCATTATGTATATCAGGACTTCATTCTTCTTTCTGCTTTTTTCTTTGTATTTGTATTTGGTAATCTATTGTATGGAGATACCACAGTTTGTTTATTCATTCTCTTGGTTATGGACATTTGGATCATTTTAATTTTTTAGCTATCAGTAGTAAAGCTTCTCCGAACATTTCCGTGTATGTCTTTTGACCCACATGTGTTCATTTGTGTTTGGGGATACTAGAAGTCATATTGCTGAGGCATAGTATGGTTGGTTGTAATAGGCCCTCCCAGTTTTCCCATGTAGTTCTTCAGATTTCTACCTCACCAGCAGTGTATGAGAGTTGCTATTGCTCCATATTCTCAATACCCCTTGGTGTTTGCAACTTGATGATTCCTCTCTTCCTCTTCCTCCTCCTCCCAGGTTATATGCTTCTAGCAGGTCGAGTTAGGAAGCAGGAGGAAGTTGATGTGATACAAGAAGTCCTGGAGAAACATTTCAAGAAAAAATTGTGTCCTCAATCTCTTTTCTCCAAGGAAAATGTCCTAAAGTTGCTGGGTGAGTAGGCCACAATCCCCAGAGTTTGATTTGAGTTGTACTCATTAGAATCTAAATATTTCTTTTTCCTTGGATAGGTACATTGTCTACCCAGTTGTCCACATTGGAGTCTAACTTTGGCCACATCGTGTGGACAGAGGGCATGCGGAGACTCGCGATGCTGGTGGGAAGGGCGTTGGAATTTGGTGAGCCGGTGCTGCTGGTTGGAGACACTGGGTAAGGATCTATGACAGTGACTTGTGAGGGTTCATTTCAGTTCCACAGGACTACTTGAGTTATTGCTGAAGAACTCATGAAAGTATTAATCCCTCTTTTTTTCCTTCTTCCTCATTTTTTTCTTTTTTTTTTTTTTTTTAAAGAAGAAATTAAGATCTGTTACTGTTTACTTTTCTCTGCCTTCAGACTAGATCTTTTTTTATGGAAAAGAACGACCTTATTATTATTGTTTTCAGAGATGGGTTCTCACTCTGCTGTCCAGGCTGGAGTGCAGTGGTACAGTCATGGCTCACTGCAGCCTTAACTTCCTGGACTCAAGTAATCTTCCTGGCTCAGCCTCCCAAGTAACTGGGACTACAGGCACACACCACCACATTTGGCTAATTTTTAAATTTTTTTGTGAAGTCAGAGTTTCAGCCAGGTGTAGTGGTTCATGCCTATAATCCCAAAACTTTGGGAGGCCAAGGCAGGTGAATCACTTAAGCTCAGGAGTTAGAGACCAGACTGGGCAACATGGCAAAACACCACCGTCTCTACTAAAATACGAAAATTAGCTGGCTGTGTTGGTGTCTGCCTGTAGTCCCAGCTATTTGGGAGGCTGAGGCAGAAGAATCGCTGCTTGAGCCTGGGAGGCAGAGGTTGCACTGAGCTAAGATCGTGCCATTGCAATCCAGCCTGGGCAGCAGGAGTGAAGCCCTACCTTTTAAAAAACAAAAGAAGACGGGAGTCTCATTTTGTTGTCCATACTGGTCTCAAACTCCTGGACCCAAGTGATCCTCCTGCCTTGGCCTCCCAAAGTGTTGGGATTACAGGCCTGAGCCATTGTACCCGGCAAGAATGATTTTTTGCTTCATTGCATTGAGGGCAGTTTTTGTTTATTTAGTTCTTTTAAACAGTGAGAGTCATTCTACATATGTGTAGAGAAGAGCGGATAAACTAGTCTTGAAAGTCTATAAAGTCTGTAAGGATTAGATTTCTTTACCATCCCGTGATGGGTTTTTGTTTATTTTTGTTTTGTTTTTGACACGGAGTCTCACTTTGTTGCCCAGGCTGGAGTGCACTGGTATAATCTCAGCTCACTGCAACCTCTGCCGCCTAGGTTCAAATGGTCTTCCTGCTTCAGCCTCTGAAGTAGCTGGGACTGCAGATGCGTACCACCACGCTGGCTAATTTTTTTCTTTGTGAGATGGAGTCTCCCTCTGTTGCCCAGGCTAGAGTGCAATGGTGCCCTCTTGGCTCACCGCAACCTCCACCTCCCGGGTTCAAGCAATTCTCCTGCCTCAGCCTCCCAAGTAGCTGGGATTACAGGTGTGCACCACTACATCTGGCTAATTTTTGTATTTTTAAGCAGAGACCAGGTTTCACCATGTTGGTCAGGCTGGTCTTGAACCCCTGACCTCGTGATCTGCCTGCCTCAGCCTCCCAAAGTGCTGGGATTACAGGCATGAGCCACAGCGCCTGGCTAATTTTTTGTATTTTTAGTAGAGATGGGGCTTTGTCATGTTGGCCATGCTGGTCTTGAACTCCTGACATCAGGTGATCCACCCGCCTCAGCCTCCCAAAGTGCTGGGGTTACAGGAATGAGCCACCATGCCCAGCCGGTGGCTGTTGATAGAACTAGGATGGAATTTATGCAGTACCTGCCTTCTGGATAAGGAATATAGGAGTGTGCAGTCATGCAGAGGGGTGCCTGAGCCTGGGTTTGAGGTTCTGCATTGGCCAGGACTCTCTGCTGCTGCAGTGAGACTCTCACAGTGGTTCTTCTCTTTTGCTGATGGGAGTGTTTATGGATGTATATTTGAAAGACATGCCTTGTTAATTAGTTGCATATCTCTAACAGGTGTGGGAAAACTACTATCTGTCAGGTGTTTGCAGCCTTGACAAATCGTGGTTCTTCTCTTTTGCTGATGGGAGTGTTTATGGATGTATATTTGAAAGACATGCCTTGTTAATTAGTTGCATATCTCTAACAGGTGTGGGAAAACTACTATCTGTCAGGTGTTTGCAGCCTTGACAAATCAGAAATTATACTCTGTCAGCTGCCACTTACACATGGAGACATCAGACTTCCTCGGTGGTCTGCGGCCAGTGAGACAGAAGCCAGATGAAAAGGTTTGTCCAGCAGCAGGTGTTCCTATTCATTTAAAAAACTGCAGTTGGCTTTTCATGAGTCAGTGATGGGGTTATATTCATGGTGGGGTTTCTGGAGCTGGGTTCTGGTTTGGTTAAATGTGCATATTTGCATATTTTCACTGGTCTACAAGGGCTGTGGCGTGCATTCAGGTGTGCAAGTTCTATCTCCTGTTCTCAGATTCTTATCTTCCTCAGAATGCATGTTTCAGCCCTGGAGACACCAGCCAGCTGCATGTATATTGTCTTGTGGAATTATCTGCCCTTTAATTTTCCCCACGTTTTCAAATTATAGGAAGAAATTGACACATCAAGACTCTTTGAGTGGTACGATGGGCCTCTGGTTCAGGCCATGAAGGAGGATGGCTTTTTCCTCTTGGATGAGATCTCCCTGGCTGATGACTCTGTCTTGGAAAGACTCAACAGGTACGTGCCTGAGAGGTTTGCCTTGTGTTTGACATTTTTTTGTTGATGTGATTCCCCCTCCCCTCCCCAAGACAGTGTCTCACTCTGTCACCCCAGACTTCAGTGCCATGTCATGATTATAGTTTATTGTAGCCTCGAACTTCTGGGATCAGGTGATTAATGTGATTTTAATAGATAATAAATCTTGTGCACAGTAATGCTCCTCATAGGTGCACCTTAATAAATGCACTATGTTACCATGTCTTTTGCGTTTAGCATTCAATGTCTTAAATTTTTAGGTTTTTTCAGCTGTTGGTAATCAGATGGGATCGTGGGGTGACAGGGCTAAAACATGAGCTGAAGTCAGAACTGTTTTTTAAGGTGAATTATATGCTTACTGTCTTAATATTTTGAAGGAACTGTAGTCAGAATCCTAGACCTGTGGCTATAAGCCATCATCAGACCTCAGACCAATATGAATCTTGATGTAGTAACACTCATTTTTTCTCTTTTGAGGTATAGTTTACATATCATAAAATGTATAATTCAGTACGTTTACAATCCCATGATGCATTCTTACAAGCTGTATGCGTAGAACCAAGTTACTGAGTTAGTGGTATTGCAGTAGAGAAAGAATTTAGTAATTGCAGAGCTAGCCAAGTAGGAGGACAGGAGTTTATTACTCATATTAGCTTCACTGAAAATTTGGAAGATAGAGGTTTTTTTTTTTTTTTTATATATAGAGCCTTGCTCTGTTGCCCAGGCTGGAGTGCAGTGCTGCAGTCTCAGCTCACTGCAACCTCTGCCTCTCAGGTTTGATTCTTGTGCCTCAGCATCTTGAGTAGCTTGGACTACAGGCATGAGCCACTGCACCCTGCTCATTTTTGTATTTTTAGTAGAGATGGGATTTCACCATCTTGGCCAGGTTGGTCTCCAACTCCTGGCCTCAAGTGATCTGCCCACCTTGGCCTCCCAAAGTGCTGGGATTACAGGCATGAGCCACTGCACCCAGCCTACAATCTAGTTTTACAACATTTTCATCATTCAGTAGAATCCCTTGTGCCCATTACACTAAATTTCTGATTAATCTATTTTTTTGTCTCTGGAGATTTGTCTTTTGGGTGTTTCAGGTAAAAGGTCTCTTGTCTTACTTTGCATTAATGTTTTGAGATTCATTCCTATTTTAGCACATATTAGTTTGTTCCTTTTTATCCTAAATAGTATTGGCTATACCACTTTGATTATCTGTTCACCAGTCAATGGTATTTTAGTTCTTTCTAGTTAGCTATTAAGAATAATGCATGCAATGTGTTTATTAGCTTACAAGTTATTCTTTTTAAGACCAGTGCCTTAATAGGTTATAAGTGGAAAAGTTTCTTTCTTCATCAGAAATAGCCATTGTTACACAGGAATTGGGATGGTGAGTCATTTTAACATTTGTGATAGGAAACCATTAACTAAAGTAAAAATTTAGTAGAGAGGAGATGACTTTTTTTTTAGAGAATGTCAAAGACCATAAAATCGAAAGATTATATAAGCCCTTTTCAGTGTTCTTCAATTTTTCTTTTAGTGTCCTTGAAGTAGAAAAGTCTCTGGTATTAGCCGAAAAAGGCTGTCCAGAGGACAAGGACAATGAAGTAGAGCTGTTGACTGCTGGGAAAAAATTTCGCATCCTAGCAACCATGAACCCAGGGGGTGACTTCGGAAAAAAGGAGGTAAAACTTTCCTGGTACACAAATTCTTTCTGGTTTATGACCTCAGCTTAATGGTACTCATAAATATAGCATGCAATAATGGATTTGGAATTTTATGTTGGGTAAAAATGTAAAAACCCAAAAATATTTTAAAATAATTTGGGTTAGAAAATTCTGACACAAATATCCCCTTATTTGATATCTCACTTTGTGTATGTGCTTGAAATGTCATTGTTACAGTCACCTTGCCTAGCCCTTTACTTACGTATGTTACCCTGAGAAAGCTCTCACAAGCTCTCCAAGAAAGTTTTTATTGTAGTTTTAGGGATGAGAAGAGTTTTATCTGAAATTTAAATTAAACCTCTGTTTTTAAGAGTCCACTTTCTTAAACACACTTTTGCTTTCATGAGTGGTTTTAAAGTGACAAAAAAAGTCATAGCCAAGAAGCTCTTCTGGTTTATAGCTGGAGTTGATTTGTTCTCATAATGGTTAGGTCACTTTCTGACTGCTGGTAAAGTAATGAGTAGAGGGCAGTTCCTATGTTCAGAGGGTTGTGTTCAGGTATATATAGGAACTAACAACCTTGTTGGTTTCTGGCTCCAGAAACCTTTCAGTGAAGAAGTCAGCACTGTGTGCTGGATCCCGGTCTGTTTAAAGTTAAGAAGAGAGTCCTGTAACAGGGCAGGGATGATAAGAAGAAACAGAGAGGTTGATCTTAAATGAGGCAGTTAAGAGTCTTGGTAATTTGGTGGGTAGCTGAAATGATATTTTGGGCCTAGGTTTCCTCAGTGGCATAAGAAGAAAGATTATCTCTGTGCTTCAAGATATGTTCTAAAGAGAGGGAATAAAATACATCACATTCAAAATATAAAAACTGGCTCCTGAGCAAGTAGAAATGCCACAGAGAGGTCTGATTTAAAGGGCGTGTATATTAACTTGCCTGTCAAATTATCTTGTTTTCTTTAAGTCAAAGCTTGCCGACTTTTACCCAAGGGAAAGTAACTTTTTAGTTTTGTGTGCTTAATAAGCAGAGCAAGGCAGGATGCTGGACACCAGAGGTACTGGTTGTCTAAGATACTGATAAGGTCCACACATGAATTCACCAGGCATTACTCCGGGGTCTCTCTGTGGTAGACCAGATAGATGATCATCAAGTAGAAGGAAAATAATGACAAAGTTATCAGACAAACCAATAATTATGCTTATGAAGCACTGGCAGACATTTGTGAATAATGTTAACTGACCTTTTGGAAGGAAAAGGAACCTACAGGGGCAAAGGCCCTAAGACTAGAGCAGCTAAACAATTTCATGTTATTCAAAAGGTAGAAAAAATATATTTTTTAAATTGCACTCCTTTTGAGCCACATAAAAAAAATTTCCTCCTCCTACGTCAGACTGCCCTCCTCTATGAGAAGATAGGTGTTTGTTTTCTCTGAAGTATTATTTAGAGACCTGATACAACGTAAAGATAAAGTAAAAGGAAGAATCTCTGCTTAAGGAGAAGAGTTCAGGTTTGACTGGCACTGGCTGGCTTCCATCACTTAGTCTGTCAGGCGTCTGACCATGTCTATTAAGAAAGTGATGATGCTGCTGGAAGGTGTCATGGAATGTAAGGAGCCAAGACAAAGTACATCTTCAATTAATTATATCTGGTAGTAGAAATAATGAAAGAAGTGTGTAGTATTTGCTGGACTTAACAGCTAACAACGTTTTTTCAAGACTTGTTTTCCAGCTTTCCTTATAGTTTAAAAATTCACATTGGAGTTTGTGTTTCTTATAGCTGTCTCCTGCCTTAAGAAACCGGTTTACGGAAATATGGTGCCCTCAAAGCACAAGCCGCGAAGATTTAATTCAGATAATCAATCATAATCTTCGTCCAGGATTGTGTCTGGGCAGAACAGATCCTAAAGGTGAGAGTTTGCAGGTGGCGATGGTAGTATTGTGTCATAGCAGGGTTTGTGTTCGGAGTTGAGGGATCTCTTACAGGACATTAGCCCTATATGTATATGGTACGCTATAAGAAGAAAGGAGATAGATAAATGAAAGTAGACAAGGAGAATATGGCACTATTTGTTACCTTCTGTTAAAGTGTCCCTTCTTCATGTTGTCATTACCACCTTGACACAATGTCTCTAGAATTTCAACTGCATTTCTTTTCTTTCTTTTTTTTTTTGAGACAGAGTCTCGCTCTGTTGCCAGGCACCAGGCTGGAGTACAGTGGCATGATCTCAGCTCACTGCAACCTCCACTTCCTGGGTTCAAGCAATTCTCCTGCCTCAGCCTCCGGAGTAGCTGGGACCACAGGTGTGCGCCACCACCCCCAGCTAATTTTTTTTGTATTTTTTTAGTAGAGATGGGGTTTCACTATGGTCTCGATCTCTTGACCTTGTGATCCGCCTGCCTCGGCCTCCCAAAGTGCTGGGATTACAGGCTTGAGCCACCGCACCCGGCTTCAACTCCATTTCTTTATTTGTCGTCAATGAATATGTTATTGTTTGACTTTATTAAGTTTTTAATTTTTTTTTTGGCTGGGTGTCGTGGTTCACGCCTGTAATCCCATCACTTTGGGAGGCCAAGGCAGGCGGATCACCTGAGGTCAGGAGTTTGAGACTAGCCTGGCTAACATGGTGAAACCCCGTCCCTACTAAAAATATAAAAATTAGCTGGGCAACTGTAATCTCAGCTACTTGGGAGGCTGAGGCAGGAGAATCATCTGAACTAGGGAGGTGGAAGTTGCAGTGAGCCGAGGTTGTGCCATTGCACTCCAACCTGGGCAACAGAGCACTCCATCTTAAAAAAAAAATAAATAATTTTTATTATGAAAAATCCGAAACATAAGGAAAATAGATTAGTGTCCATAGGCTGGAATTAACAGTTTAAAATATCCAATAAGAGTCCATACTCTGACTATATATCTGTTTGTTTTTGAAGCCTACGATGAATGCATATATCTTTGATATTCAGTGGAGTAAATTTAGAACCCAGGTCTGGTTGAAAGACTAAATACATAGTTTTTTGGATTATTTTTATAGTCTTAAGAAATATAAAAAGATAACTGCTTCTTTGAAATCAGAATTCATGGATATATTCCACTTTTTTTTGAGTCGGAGTCTTGCTGTCTCCCAGGCTAGAGCTCAGTGGCATGATCTCTGCTCACTGCAATTTCTGCCTCCTGGATTTAAGCGATTCTCCTGCCTCAGCCTCCCGAGCAGCTGAGACTACAGGTGTGTACCACCATGCCCAGCTAATTTTTGTGTTTTTAGTAGAGATGGGGTTTCACTATATTGGCCAGGCTGGTCTCGAGCTCCTGACCTTGTGATCCACCCATCTTAGCCTCCTAAAGAGATTACAGGCAAGAGCCATCGTGTTTGGCAGGATATGTTCAATTTTTTAAAGGTATCCTAAACCACATTTTCAAAAATGAGTAGGGTAGCTTTGAAGAGCATCTAATCTGCATGGAACCCATTCTTATTTCTGGTGTTTTAGGGAAGACAGACTCTTTAGTCAGCTGAGCAAAGACTTCTTTTGAAGAACAGCCCATGGTGTACTACCACATTTGTAGGTATACATGGTGTTGCTTGAATGGCCAGAGTTGAACTACCTTTGTTCTCTCCAGTCTCTACCAACATCATAGTCACCCAGTGACACAAGAATTGACTAAGTGTATAGCTAGTTGAAGATTCATCTGGAGGGCTTGTTGAAATGCAGCTTGCAGGGCCCCACACCCAGTGTTTCTTATTCAGCAAGGGCACAAGAATGTGCCTAACAAGGCCTCAGGTGATGCCACTAATGTTGGTCTAAGGCCCATGCTGAGAGCTTTGGAACTCAGACCCTGTAACTCTAGGTTGTGGGCTGTTTGCAGTGGCACATTTATTGTGAGAATTCCAGTATAAGAAGGAGTATAATACAGACTTTTGGAGGGGTGGGCTGGAGTGCAGTGGCTGAATCACGGCTCACAGCACTCTTGACCTCCTGCGCCCAAGTCTTTCTCCTGTCTCACTCAGCCTCCCAAGTAGTTGGCACTGTAGGCATGCACCACCACGCAAGGCTAATTTTTATGTTTTTTTGTAGAGGGGTTTCACCATGTTGTTCAGGCTGGTCTGGAACTCCTGGGCTCAAGTGATCCACCTGCTTTGGCCTCCCTAAGTGCTGAAACTACAGGCAGGAGCCGGGAGGCCAAAGCAGGCCTGAAGACAGAAATCGTTAATCAAGTATGGTTTGTCTTTTGGCTTTGTGTTGGGGCTGGATTCCTTCAGGAAGTTACCTCTACATCTCCTGTGGGCTGTGCTTATTCTTTTCTTATTTGAATTGTGATAAGAATGACAGAGGGTTTAACGCTGTCACGACCGTGCTTGCTGCCTCACCAGTGTGCTCCATGCAAGTATGGGAGCCCTGAGAACTTAACTCTGAGCCCCACAGCTTGTTCTTCAGGAGCTTGTTTACTTCAGGCTCTCTAGGCTACACAGCAGCAGACTTCCCAGGCAGGCATTAGAGACCTTGAAAGGAGCAAGGTGAATAAGGGAAATGTGGCTTAATAATTCACAGCAGTTTTATTTTCTGGAAATAGATTAGGAAGGCACAACATAAAAACTTCTTTAAAAAATTGTGAAATATAAAACAGGAAATTAGACATAGCTTGTTTTTAGATTTTCTTTAAAGATAGCTAAGATTTAATGAATTGAGTATTTTAATGGATAATGTCCTTCTAAACTGAATTCTGATTCTATTTGTAGTACTTACATTTATTATTTTAATGAGAATATAAATAACACTGTGGATTCTACTTAGTTTCTCTAGTATTTTTAGTTCACAAGTCTCTGTAGTAGTATTACCCATATAGTCACAGAATGAACAAAAGATTCTAATAGCCAGGCATGGTGGTGCATACCTATAATCCCAGTCTTGGGAGGCTGAGGTGAGAGAATCCCTTGAGCCTAGGAGTTTGAGATTATAGCAAACTATGATTATACTGTTGCACTCCATCCTGGGCAACAGAGGAAGACCCTCTTTTTTATTTTTTTAAAGAATCTGTGAAATTGATTTGTTTAAAAAAAAACTTTACTTGGGCCGGGTGCGGTGGCTCACGCCTGTAATCCCAGCACTTTGGGAGGCTGAGGCGGGTGGATCACGAGGTCAAGAGATCGAGACCATCCTGGTCAAAATGGTGAAAGCCCATCTCTACTAAAAATACAAAAAATTAGCTGGGCATGGTGGTGCGTGCCTGTAATCCCACCTACTCAGGAGGCTGAGGCGGGAGAATTGCCTGAACCCAGGAGGTGGAGGTTGCGGTGAGCCAAGATTGCACCATCGCACTCCAGCCTGGGTAACGAGAGCGAAACTCCGTCTCAAAAAAAAAAAAACTTGTGAAAAGCACATGAGCTGCTTTTTACAATCTCAAAATTTTATAAACAATACTTCTGTATTACATTGGTTAATGTACCAACTATTGGTACATTAGCTAGTACTTTAATGAAGCATTCTATTTCATTAAAACTATTGTTTACAGTGATTTTCTTGAGTTATATTCTAAAAGTGGAGATAAGAAATGGTACAGTTCTCCTTAGGTAAGGGCAGATTTCCTCTCCAGAAAGATGGTATCATTCATAACACTGTCTGCAACGTAGTGCATGTGCCTTCTTGTCACTGTCCCTCCATCAGGGAGTTTTCTTTTTTCTTCGAGACAAGGTCTGGCTGTGTTGTTCAGGCTGGAGTACAGTGACACAATCTCGACTCACTGCAACCTCTGCCTCCCAGGCTCAAGCCATCCTCCCACCTCAGCTTCCTAAGTAGATGGAACTACAGGTGTACACCACCACGCCCAGCTAATTTTTGTGTATTTTGTAGAGACAGGATTTTGCCAGATTGACCAGGCTGGTCTTGAAGTGGGATTACACATGTGAGCCATGGTACCTGGTCTCATTTAAAAAAATACAATGTAATCCATTATTTTATCCTTATTAGTTTAGTGGAGATTTAAAATTTCCTTGTCTTTTGTTATTAGTGACATAGAACATTCTTTGTGTTTTATTTTTATTTATTTTTTTGAGATAGAGTCTCATTCTATTGCCCAGGCTGGAGTGCAGTGGTGCCATCTCAGCTCACTGCAACCTCTGTGCTCAGGTTCAAGTGATTCTCGTGCCTCAGCCACCCAAGTAGCTGGGACTACAGACACATGCCATCATGTCTTGCTAATTTCTGTATTTTTAATACAGATGGGGTTTTGCCACATTGGCCAGGTTGGTCTTGAACTCCTGGCCTCCAGTGATCTGCCTGCCTTGGCCTTTCAGAGTGCTGGTATTACAGGCAAGAGCCACCGTGCCCGGCCTTTATTTTAAGTAAAGTAATCATTTCGCATTTGGTATTCATTATGTCTTTGGGGTGATACTCTTTATTACATTTATCACAGTTTTTAACATTCTGTTACTTTTTCATATTTGTTCTAAAAATACATATGTGAATCTGTTTATTTTGATCTTGTTTCTTCAATAGTCATAATTTAATTTCTCTTAATGGATTTTTTCATTTTGATTTTTTTAAATTTACCTTGAATTAATTCTTTTCTGAAGTATGGATCTGAGTACTAGTATTTACTGTAGTTGTTGAAATAACATTTGATTTCTTTCCTTATTGTTACTGGATTTTCTCCCTTGCTTTGTCATTTTAAGCTCTTTTTAAAGAGTTGTGGGTTTTTTTATAATTAGTATTCTTCCAATCAATTACATTTTTTCTAACTAATTCACAATATATAGAGCTTTGGAGGCTGTTGCTGTGCTTTACATTATAGCAATGCTTCCGTCACAGCTTTTCTTTCTTTTCTTTTTTTTTTTTTTTTTTTTTTTTGAGACTGAGTCTTGCTCTGTCACCCAGGCTGGAGTTCAGTAGAGCGATTTTAGCTCACTGCAACCTCCACCTCTTGGGTTCAAGTGGTTCACTTGCCTCAGCCTCCTGTGTAGCTGGGACTATAGGCATGTGCCACCACGCCCGGCTAATTTTTTTCTTTTTTTTTTTTTGAGTCAGAGTTTCGCTCTTGTTACCCAGGCTGGAGTACAATGGTGCGATCTCAGCTCACCGCAACCTCCGCCTCCTGGGTTCAGGCAATTCTCCTGTCTCAGCCTCCTGAGTAGCTGGGATTACAGGCATGCGCCACCATGCCCAGCTAATTTTTTGTATTTTTAGTAGAGACGGGGTTTCACCATGTTGACCAGGATGGTCTCGATCTCTTGACCTCGTGATCAACCCGCCTCAGCCTCCCAAAGTGCTGGGATTACACGCATGAGCCACCGCGCCCGGCCCTTTTTTTGGTATTTTTATTAGAGACAGGGTTTCACCGTGTTAGCCAGGATGGTCTGGATGTCCTGACTCATGATCCACCTGCCTCAGCCTGCCAAAGTGCTGGGATTACAGGTGTAAGTCACCATGTCTTAAGTCTACTATTGACTTAAGGCGTTTTATGAATTCTTGATGTAATTGAGATTTATTTGAATCCAGACAAATATTATCTGATAGGAAATGTGATAATTAGAATATTCAACTTGATTCATGAGGCAAAATTTGTGAACCCCCCTAATTTGCTGAATTCTGATTGCTGCATAGATGTAAAAAAAACCCAAAAATTTGAATGAAAGCCATTGAAAAGATGACATTCCTTATTATATTGAAGCAAACATTTATTTAAAATACAAATAAAACTATAAGATATAACAAACTTTGCATATTTTCTAAAATAATTGTGCTAGAAGTGTCTGAACTCTAATTAACTGAATACTTCTTTGAACTGTTTGCAAGTCAGTGTCTAAAACTATAATTCCCAAGGTTTTGTTTTTGTTCTTTGGATAGGGATGGATTGCTATTAATCCCTTCAGTATTCTATCAAAGCTGCAGATTTCTTTTGTTAGAAAAAGCATTTATGTATATTCACAGAACTTTTTTAAGAAGGAGCAGAGACCCCTTTTAGGCTATCTGTATGCCCCAGGTTATGAACTTTTGTTAGGAAATCTCTACTAACAACAAATGCTTTTTTTATTTCTTGTGTTTAGGGTCCGACATAGCTGAAGTGATGCTGGATTTCATTGACTGGCTGACCCACCAAGAGTTTGGCCGAAAGTGTGTGGTCAGTATCAGAGATATCTTGTCCTGGGTCAACTTCATGAACAAAATGGGGGAGGAAGCTGCTTTGAAAAGGCCTGAGAGCATCTCCACTGTGACATCTTTTGTCCATGCTGCATGTCTGGTGTACATAGATGGAATAGGTTCAGGTATGTTGTCTGGTAGCTTGTGGGGACAAGTGCTCGGGTAGAGGGGCATAGAAAAAGGAAGCCCAGGCCTCTGACCTGTCTGTTTTATAGAATCAGCTGAACATTTCCAAAACTCAGAATGGCTTTCCTTTTTTTTGTACTCTTTGAAAGGTGGTTGGCACACAAGATATGCTACAGCTTCTCAAAGCCTATAAACCAGGTACTTAACAAATGTGAAGTGGTGATTATGATAAAGACTTCTGAAAATGTCTTTGCTTCTGAAGGACTGGCTACTTATTCCTTTTTAAAAAAAATTAATTAAGTTCTGGAATGCATATACAGAATGTGCAGGTTTGTTACATAAATATACTTGTGCCACGGTGGTTTGGTGCACCCATCCACCCATCATGTAGTTTTATGCCTTGCATGCATTAGGTATTTGTCCTAATGCTCTTCCTCCCCTTGCCCTCCATCCCTCAACAGGCCCTAGGGTGTGACGGTCCCCTCCCTGTGTCCATGCGTTCTCATTGTTCAATTCCCACTTATGAGTGAGAACATGCAGTGTTTGGTTTTATGTTCCTGTTTTAGTTTGCTGAGAATGATGGTTTCCAGCTTCATCTATGTCCCTGCAAAGGACATGAACTTATTCTTTTTTATGGCTGCATAGTATTCCATGGCATATATGTGCCACATTTGCTTTATCCAGCCTATCATTGATGTGCATTCGGGTTGTTTCTAAGTCTTTGCTATTGTGAATAGAAGAACCGGCCAATTTTTAACATGAATAGTCATTTTTTGATAGTGGGCCTGAATATTTTGTTTTAAGTTTATTTTAATGTCATAAAAATCACTATGATTTGGTTTTTCAGTCATGAAGATTTGAAATATAAATCAACATGGTTCTGTATTAGGTACTCTTCTAGGCTGACTTATTATTGAGTGACTGGAGTACTTTACTGAATGAGCTGCTGCTTAATTGATGATCCATAGATTGGGGCTGGGTGGGTGTCACACTTCTTTTTTAGGACTGCTTAAGCTAGAAATCACATTTAGGCTGCAGTTTTGTCGAGGCCTATTTTTTCCAGGAACCTGTACTGAGCTCCTGCTGAATGGTGGTGAAGCTTGGTGTTGTGCTGTTGTGTCATGGACTGATCCTCTGTCTTTTAGGGGTAACTTCGTCTGGGTTTGGTACAGCCCTCTTGGCACGAAAAGAATGTCTGAAATTTCTAATCAAGAGGCTTGCCAAGGTAGTACGACTTACAGAATATCAGAAAAATGAATTGAAGATTTATGACAGAATGAAGGCCAAAGAATTTACTGGGATAGATAACCTTTGGGGAATTCATCCATTTTTTATACCAAGGGGTAAGAATGATTTTTTTAAAAATGAACTTTTTTTTCTATAGATCATAGATACTTGGCTTTTATTGTGACTTAGTTTTAATGTGTAATGCTCATATTTTTGTACTAAGTGAGTTAGATTCTGACTTGGGACTTAACATAATTGTGTAAATGGTTGAAAATACATAACTGGCATATAAAAATAGGGGGAAATAGAGACTTCAGTCTATAAATAGATTGTCTTATACATTGCTTATCTTTTTATTATTTGGTTCCCACAATAGGAACTTTCCTTTAGTAAAGCTCTAAACTCTACTAGTGTTGACAATAAACTTTTAAGTGGCTTGTAAAGACCAATTTAGCCCATAATGTATCTTAACTATAGAACTGTACTATAGCTTACACTTGCTTTTAAGGAGTACATACAGTGATTCAAGTTATAGGTTGTGAAAGGAGAGGTGTATATTTGCAATTAGACTTATGTCCATGTATGTGTATAGGGGATGGAGAGATCTGTATAGTAGGCACAATTGAAGAAAATGTGCCACTGGCTATTCCTATAAAGTATTCTATGGATCTAAAGGTGAACAATATTGAAATAGGGATTGAACATTTTCGCCGCAAATGGTACCTCAGTAACTGATAGGCCACGTGGTCAATGCTGAAAATCCTGAGTTGTTGTTTACATATGATTTGGCGATATCCCGCTTATACATGGCTTTCCTTTTCTCCACTTAAGGACCTGTCCTACACAGGAATAATATTGCAGACTATGCACTCAGTGCAGGGACCACTGCTATGAATGCACAGAGGCTCCTAAGAGCAACAAAACTGAAGAAACCCATTCTCCTGGAGGGTTCCCCTGGTGTTGGCAAGACAAGTTTGGTGGGAGCATTGGCAAAGGCTTCAGGAAATACCCTTGTTAGGATCAACTTGTCAGAGCAAACGGTAAGTTCAGTCATCTTGCAGCTGATGGAGATAGCTATAGATAGTAATGTCTGTGCCAATTTATAATTTTCTAATCAGAAAGCGTTATATTATCAGTATGTTCAAATTTTTCTTTCTTTTTTTTTTGGAGAGAGTCTTGTTCTGTTGCCCAGGCTAGAGTGCAGTGGCATGATTCTCCTGCCTCAGTCTCCTGAGTCACTAGGATTACAGAAGTGCCACCACGCCTGGCTGATTTTTGTATTTTTAGTAAGACAGCGTTTCATCATGTTGGCCAGGCTGGTCTCAAACTCCTTATATCAAATGATCCAGGCCTTGGCCCCCTCGAAAGTGTTGGGATTACAGACATAGGTCATGGTGCCTGGCCTGTATCCTCGAATATTTCATATCATAATAAGGACCACAGCAATATGACCTTCCAAACTAAATCTTCTTTGGATTTGTTAATTGCTGACACCTAAAATATTAAATCTCTGCATGCTTTATTTGAAGTCTTTTTTGAGAGAGAATTATCTACTTTGCTATTTATTGTACTATAACCCCACTTAATTTTTTTGCTTAAATTAAAAAAAAAAAAATTACTTTCAACAATCGAAGGAAAATATGGTACAGATGACAAATTGAATCAGAATCCTTTGGAATGGGGTTTTGTTGTTTTTTTAAGCTGGCAGTTGAATTCCAAGTTCAGCCAATGTTCAGAACTATTAGTCTAGAGCACCAGCTCAAACTGATTGATATATGAGCATGTTGAAAAAGTTCTTGGGATATGTTTGGGCTCCTAGTAAACAGGGCTGGGATTGGTTAGTTCATCCTGGGTATAGGAAGGAAGAGGAGTGGTGCCAGCCCCAAGTATTTGTCATTTCAGATTTAGGGTGTTAGAATCTAGTTGATTTTTTAAGTAATATTGGCTTTTCTCCATTTCTTCTCCTTTCAAAGGACATCACAGACCTGTTTGGAGCAGATCTACCTGTTGAAGGTGGCAAGGGAGGAGAGTTTGCCTGGCGTGATGGCCCCTTACTGGCAGCTTTGAAGGCAGGCCACTGGGTGGTGTTGGATGAGGTAAGGGGCCTGTTTGTTGTGCCCAAGATGGATCATGTGTGTGAGGAGCAGTCATACTCTTCACAGCTCCAGGGCATTTCTCAGTGGATCATCCCACTGATGACTTTTCTCTAATGTAAAGATCCTCTGTAGTTTCCTTTAAGAAAGAATAAGGAAGATCACTTGGCAGAATACACATACAGAAGCCCCTGTGCATAATGAAACCTACAGACTCTTCCACCATTTAAAGTTATCCGTCAGAGGAAGACTGCATCATCACTAGTTTAGTCTCTGGTAGGCTTGCTGTTTCTGCATTTATTTCAGAGGCATTTTACGAAGAGTGTCAACTACCTCATCTTTTATTAGTGCACCAGAAAGACCGAGGAAAGATACAATTTGACCTACCAAAATGAGAAAATGATCAGTTATAAGTGCGTATTGGGTAAATTATTCATCAGAAGGAAGAACAGAGCATAAAACATGCTAAATACTGAATCTCTGACAGCTAGTGATATAGAGCTGGGTCAGTTTGGGGTGTACAGTATTCAGGAAAAGGCTAGAAATATTTGTGGAGCTGAAATGATTTGAGTGATGTGCCACAGGTGAGACTTTGGACACAGGCTGCAACAGGTTCCCCAGGTTCAGACTCCTGGGTCCAAACATCAGAGAGGGTGCTGTGGGACTCCTCTCTGCTGAGCTTTCTGCCTTTTATTTTGGGATAACAAGGAGAGGGAATTCTTTTTCCCTTTTTTCAGTTTTTTTTTTTTTTTTTTTTAAAACAGAATGTCTGATAGAATATAGCCAGGAAAAGAGAAAGCCTAGTTTTAAAGCTGAAGGCTACTGACCATACTTAGCATTTAGTGGAATTGCATTCAGGGACTGCAAGACATTCTAGATTTACAGACACACCTAAGAGCGGCTTTCTGTTTGGGAATATACAGAGGTGTTTGTGCTTGGTAGTGCTTATGTAAACATGATGCTTGAAATTCTAATGTAGTATGCTCTGATTTTTACCTGTTTGTATTTTATTAATTTGTATTTTCCCAATCTCCTTTTTTTTCTATGTTACCAAAAACCACACATGCTTCCCATCCCTGAGCTCTCAACTACTCATCTGAAGACTTCCATTCAGCTCTTTTCATTTCTGGCACAAGATCCCCTTGTAATTGTTCTTGTTTACAAATTTGGTGGAAATTAGCTGTATTAACTCACTTCATGTTGTTTATATTCTGTCTTTGAAACTCGTTGGAGATTTATTCAGTGTTTGAAATGGGAAAGTGTTTAAAGAGTTAGCAAACCTTGTCTATTCTCTACAATGAGTGTTACATGTCTTCTTCTTTACTTTTCTTTTTTATTTTTTAAGGCAGAGTCTCGGTCTGTCACCCAGGCTGGAGTACAGTGGGACATTCTTGGCCCAGTGTAACTTCCTCCTCCCGGGTGAATCTCCTCCCTCAGCCACCTGAGTATCTGAGATTACAGGTGTGCATCACTACACCTAAGTTTTGTATTTTTATTAGAGACAAGGATTTGACATGTTGGTCCAGCTGGTCTTGAACTCTTGGCTTCAAGTGATCCACCTGCCTCAGCCTTCCAAAGTGCTGGGATTATAGGCGTTAGCCACTACGCCTGGCCAATTAATGTTATGTATCTTAAAAACTCAGATTGTGAAAATGAAATATCTGTGTATTGGCAAAAATTTTTTAAGTTATTACTTACAGAGCCGGTTAATATAGGTGCATATAACGGATACAGTTTAACTTTTAAGAAGATTTTTATCTTTAAAATTTAATTTGAGCATTTATTTAGTTTGAAGATTAATATGTGTATATATATAACATATACATATTTGTATATATATGTCTATACACTTATATGCATTTTATTTAACATATACATATGTGTATATGTTATCTAAAATACCAGCCAAAATCTCTTTAACATACATGTGAAATAAAGAATGATAGAATTGGACCAGGTACAGTGGCTCATGCCCATAATTCTAACGTTGAGAGGCTGAAGTTAGAGAATTACTTGAGCCCAGGACTTGGGACCTTCCAGGACAGCATAGCAACACCTTGGCTCTACCAAAAAAAAATTAGCTGAGTGTGGTGATGCATGCCTGTGGTCACAGCTGTGCAGCAGGCTGTGGTGGGAGGATCTCTGGAACCCTGGAGATGGAGGTTCCAGTGAGCCATGATCGTGCCACTGCACTCCAGCCTGGGTGACAGAGTGAAACCCTATCTCAGAAAAAAGAAACAGAATAATAATAGAATGAATACAAACAACTCATAACTCAGCCTAAAATATACAAGGTTATGAATATTATTTGAAATTCCACCTTCTGAAGATAATACCACCTTTCTTTGCTGCATATTATCCTCATGCTTTTTGTTGCAATTGTACAGCATATTTGAGACAAATATATGTACTTTCTTTTTTAAATAGCTTAACCTGGCTTCTCAGTCTGTATTGGAAGGACTCAATGCTTGTTTTGACCACCGAGGAGAAATCTATGTGCCTGAGTTAGGAATGAGCTTTCAAGTTCAGCACGAGAAGACGAAGATTTTTGGGTGTCAAAATCCCTTTAGACAAGGAGGAGGGAGGAAAGGCTTGCCCAAGTCTTTCCTTAACAGATTCACTCAGGTAAGATTTGCTGTTGCCACAGAGACCAAAGATAGACTGTGAGGGGATAAGACTACTATCACGAAGCCTTTAAAGATGTTCACTATGAGAATTAGCTTAACAATACTCTTTCTTGTCCTTATGTGATCAATAGTAATGCAACTGATTCCCATCATTGCTACTGTCCGTCTTTTGTCCTAGAGCAGTAGATGTATTAACAGTTGGAAGAAAGTTCCCCAGCCTCTTTAGGATTCTATTACTGTGCACTCTGGGATGAAATCCAATCTTGGACCTTTTCAGTTGTCCCTCTGATCTATTGAAACGTATAAGAAAAATTTTCAATGAAAATAATGCATTTTAACTAAAGAAAAGTAAGAAAGAACAGGAAACTACCATGAAGAATAAGAATCCACTACTCCCCAGTCAGTCATTATTAACACTTTGGTTTCTTATGCCTTTATTCTTACTTACAGAGGGGTACATGTATTTGTCTATGCTTACTTGTTTTAACAACAGATTTTCAGAGTTTGGCCAATGTAGAGGCTTGGAAACGCCTCTGAATTTCTTGAGTGCCTTTGCCCCTTATGATTAAGAATTTGCTGAGTATCTTTTAAGAAGGTTTCATTGGCTGGGCACAGTGGCGCATGTCTGTAATCCCAGCACTTTTGGAGACCGAGGCGGGCAGATCACCTGAGGTCAGGAGTTTGAGACCAGCCTGGTCAACATGGCGAAAATCCATCTCTACTCAAAATACAAAAACTAGCCGGGCGTGGTGGTGGACGCTTGTAATCCCAGCTACTCAGGAGACTGAGGCATGAGAATTCCTTGAACCCGGCAGGAGGAGGTTGCAGTGAGCTGAGGTTATGGCACTGCACTCCAGCCTGGGCAACAGAGCGAAACTCCGTCTCAAAAAAAGACCAAAAAACAAAAAGAATGTTGCATTAAGCAAATTTTCAGGCTGGGTGCAGTGGCTTGTGCCTGTAATTCCAGCACTTTGGGAGGCCGAGGTGGGTGGATCATAAGGTCAGGAGTCCAAGACCAGCCTGGCCAAAAGGATGAAACCCCATCTCTATTAACAATACAAAAAATTAGCTGGGCATGGTGGCATGTGCCTGTAATCCCAGCTACTCAGGAGGCTGAGGCAGGAGAATTGCCTGAACCCAGGAGACGGAGGTTGCGGTGTGCCGAGATCGCACCATTGCACTCCAGCCTGGGTAACAAGAGCGAAACTCCGTCTCAAAAAAAAAGGAAAAGAAAATACAAAAATTAGCTGGGCATAGTGGTGGGCACCAGTAATCCCAGCTACTCAAGAAGCTGAGGCAGAGAATTGCCTGAACCTGGGAGGCAGAGGTTGTAGTGAGTTGACACTGTGCCACTGCACTCCAGCCTGGGTGACAGGGTGAGACTTCGTTTCCAAAAAAAAGAGAAATTCAAACATACAGAAAAGTTGAATGAATTTTATTGTGAATACACACATCTACCACCCAGATTTAAAAGCATTTTAGATTATATATAAGAAATTTTTAATAATGTAGTTTTTTTTTAAACTGCATTTTAGGTTTTGGGGTACATGTGGACAACATGCAAGATAGTTGCATAGGTACACACCTGGCAGTGTGATTTGCTGCCTTCCTCCCCTTCACCTATATCTGGCATTTCTCCCCATGCTCTCTCTTCCCAAATCCCCATCCCCCCACTGTCCCTCCCCTATTCTCCCCAACAGACCCCAGTGTGTAGTGCTCCCCTCCCTGTGTCCATGCGTTCTCATTGTTCAACACCTGGCTATGAGTGAGAACATGTGGTATTTCCTTTTCTGTTCTTGTGTCAGTTTGTTGAGAATGATGTTCTCCAGGTTCATCCATGTCCCTACAAAGGACACGAACTCATCATTTTTGATGGCTGCACAATATTCCATGGTGTATATGTGCCACATTTTCCCTGTCTAGTCTATCATCGATGGGCATCTGGGTTGATTCCAGATCTTTGCTATTGTAAACAGTGCTGCAGTGAACATTCGTGTGCATGTGTCCTTATAGTAGAATGATGTATAATCCTTTGGATATATACCCAGTAATGGGATTGCTGGGTCAAATGGAATTTCTATTTCTAGGTCCTTGAGGAATCACCACACTGTCTTCCACAATGGTTGAACTAATTTACACTCCCACCAGCAGTGTAAAAGTGTTCTATTTCTCCACATCCTCTCCAGCATCTGTTGTCTCCAGATTTTTTAATGATCGCCATTCTAATTGGCATGAGATGGTATCTCAATGTAGTTTTGATTTGCATTTCTCTAGTGACCAGTGATGATGAGCATTTTTTCATATGTTGTTGGCCTCATGTATGTCGTCTTTTGTAAAGTTTCTGTTCATATCCTTCGCCCAGTTTTTAATGGGCTTGTTTGTTTTTTTTCTGTAAATCTGCTTTAGTTCTTTGTAAATTCTGGATATCAGCCCTTTGTCAGATGGGTAAACTGCAAAAATTTTTTCCCATTCTGTTGGTTGCCGATTCACTCTAATGACTGTTTCTTTTGCCGTGCAGAAGCTGTGGAGTTTGATTAGGTCCCAGTTGTCTATTTTGGCTTTTGTTGCCAGTGCTTTTGATGTTTTGGTCATGAAGTCCTTGTCTACGCCTATGTTCTGAATGGTTTTGCCTAGATTTTCTTCCAGGGTTTTTATGGTGTTAGGTCTTATGTTTAAGTCTTTAATCCATCTGGAGTTAATTTTAGTGCAAGGTGTCAGGAAGGGGTCCAGTTTCTGCTTTCTGCACATGGCTAGCCCGTTTTCCCAACACCATTTATTAAACAGGGAATTCTTTCCCCAATGCTTGTTTTTGTCAGGTTTGTCACAGATTGGATAGTTGTAGATATGTTGTGAGGCTTCTGTTCTGTTCCATTGGTCTATATCTCTGTTTTGGTACCAGTACCATGCTGTGTTGATTACTGTAGCCTTATAGTATAGTTTGAAGTCCGATAGTGTGATGTCTTCCGCTGTGTACTTTTTGCTTAGAATTGACTTGGCTATGCGGGCTCTCTTTTGGTTCCATATGAAGTTTAAAGTGGTTTTTTCCAGTTCTGTGAAGAAGGTCATTGATAGCTTGATGGGGATAGCGTTGAATCTGTAAGTTACTTTGGGCAGTAGGGCCATTTTCACGCTATTGATTCTTCCTAACCATGAACACGGAATGTTTCTCCATCTGTTTGTATCCTCTCTTATTTCATTGAGCAGTGGTTTGTTTTTGTCCTTGAAGAGGTCCTTTACGTTCCTTGTTAGTTGTATTCCTAGGTATTTTATTCTCTTTGTAGCAATTGTGAATGGCAGTTCGTTCTTGATTTGGCTCTCTTTAAGTCTGTTATTGGTGTATAGGAATGCTTGTGATTTTTGCACATTGATTTTGTATCCTAAGACTTTGCTGAAGTTGCTTATCAGTTTCAGGAGATTTTGGGTTGGGACGATGAGGTCTTCTAGGTATGCAATCATGTCATCTGCAAATGGAGACAATTTTGCTTCCTCCTTTCCTATTTGAATACCCCTTATTTGTTTTTCTTGCCTGACTGCTCTGGCTAGAACTCCCAGTACTATATTGAATAGGAGTGGTGAGAAAGGGCATCCTTGTCTAGTGCCAGATTTCAAAGGGAATGCTTCCAGTTTTTGCCCATTCAGTATGATATTGGCTGTTGGTTTGTCGCAAACAGCTTTTATTATTTTGAGATACATTCTGTCAATTCCGAGTTTATTGAGGGTTTTTAGCATAAAGGGCTGTTGAATTTATTATTTTGAGATACATTCCATCAATACCTAGTTTATTGAGGGTTTTTAGCATAAAGACCTGTCAAAGGCCTTCTCTGCATCAATTGAGATAATCATGTGGTTTTTGTCTTTGGTTCTGTTTATGTGGTGAATCAGGTTCGTAGACTTGCATATGTTGAACCAGCCTTGCATCCCCCGGATGAATCCTACTTGATCATGGTGGATAAGCTTTTTGATGTGCTGTTGCAGTCGGCTTGCCAGTATTTTATTGAAGATATTTGCATCTATGTTTATCATGGATATTGGCCTGAAGTTTTCTTTTCTTGTCGAGTCTCTGCCGGGTTTTGGTATCAGGATGATGTTGGTCTCATAAAATGATCTGGGAAGGATTCCCTCTTTTTGGATTATTTGGAATAGTTTCAGAAGGAATGGTACCAGCTCCTCTTTGTGTGTCTGGTAGAATTTGGCTGTGAACCCATCTGGAACTGGGCTTTTTTTGGGTGGTAGGCAAGAGCCTACCTCAATTTCTGAATTGCTGCCTCAACTTCAGATCTTGGTCTATTCAGGGTTTCTACTTCTTCCTGGTTTAGGCTTGGGAGGATGCAAGTGTCCAGGAATTTATCCTTTTCTTCCAGGTTTCCTAGTTTATGTGCATAGAGTTGTTTGTAATAATCTCTAATGAGGGTTTGAATTTCTGTGGAGTCTATAGTGATATCCCCTTTATCGTTTTCTATTGCATCTATTTGGTTATTTTCTCTTTTCTTTTTTATTAATCTGGCTAGTGGTCTATTTTGTTGATCTTTTCGAAAAACCAGCTCCTGGATTTATTGGTTTTTTTGCAGAGTTTTTTGTGTCTCTGTCTCCTTCAGTTCTGCTCTGATCTTAGTTATTTCTTGTCTTCTGTTAAGGTTTTGAATTTTTTTGATTTTGCTCCTCTAGTTCTTTCAATTTTGATGATAGGGTGTGAATTTTGGATCTTTCCACTCTTCTCATGTGGGCACTTATTACTATATATTTTCCTCTAGAGACTGCTTTAAATGTGTCCCAGAGATTCTGGTATGTTGTGTCTTCATTCTCATTGGTTTCGAAGAACATCTTTATTTCTGCCATCATTTCATTGTTTACCCAGTCAATATTCAATAGCCAGTTGTTCAGTTTCCGTGACGCTGTGCGGTTCTGAGTTAGTTTCTGAATTCTGAGTTCCAACTTGATTGCACTGTGGTCTGAGAGACTGTTTGTTATGATTTCCGTTCTTTTGCATTTGCTGAGGAGTGATTTACTTCCAATTATGTGGTCAATTTTAGAGTAGGTGTGATGTGGTGCTGAGAAGAATGTATATTCTGCATATTTGGGGTGGAAAGTTCTGTAAATGTCTGTTAGGTTTGCTTGTTACAGGTCTGAGTTCAAGTCCTGGATATCCTTGGTAATTTTCTGTCTGGTTGATCTGTCTAATATTGACAATGGGATGTTAAAGTCTCCCACTATTCTTGTGTGGGAGTCTAGGTCTCTTTGTAAGTCATTAAGAACTTGCCTTATGTATCTGGGTGCTCCTGTATTGGATATATTTAGGATCATTACCTCTTCTTGTTTTATTGATCCTTTTACCATTATGTAATGTCCTTCTTTGTCTCTTGATCTTTGTTGTTTAAAGTCTATTTTATCAGAGACTAGGATTGCAGCTTCTGCCTTTTTTTTGCTCTTCATTTGCTTGGTAAATCTTTCTCCATCCCTTTATTTTCTTTATTTTTTATTTTTTTTGAGACGGAGTTTCGCTCTTGTTACCCAGGCTGGAGTGCAATGGCGCGATCTCGGCTCACCGCATCCTCCGCCCCCTGGGTTCAGGCAAGTCTCCTGCCTCAGCCTCCTGAGTAGCTGGGATTACAGGCACGCGCCACCGTGCCCAGCTAATTTTTTGTATTTTTAGTACAAACGGGGTTTCACCATGTTGACCAGGATGATCTCGATCTGTTGACCTCATGATCCACCCGCCTCGGCCTCCCAAAGTGCTGGGATTACAGGCTTGAGCCACCGCGCCTGGCCCCTCCATCCCTTTATTTTGAACCTTTGTGTAGCCTTGCATGTGAGATGGGTTTCCTGGATACATCACCCCGATGGGTTTTGGCTTTTTATCCAATTTGCCAGTCTGTGTCTTTTAATTGGGTCATTTAGCCCATTTACATTTAGGGTTAATATTGTTATGTGTGAATTTGATATTGCCATTTTGATGCTAGCTCGCTGTTTTGCCCATTAGTTGATGCAGATTCTTCATTTTGTTGATGCTCTTTACCATTTGATATGTTTTTGGAATGGCTGGTACTGGTTGTTCCTTTCTATGTGTAGTGCCTCTTTCAGGAGCTCTTGTAAAGCACACCTGGCGGTGACAAAATCTCTGAGTACTTGCTTTTTTGCAAAGGATTTTATTTTTCCTCCACTTATGAAGGTCAGTTTGACTGGATATGAAATTCTGGATTGAAAATTCTTTTCTTTAAGGATGTTGAATATCGGCCCTTACTCTCTTCTGGCTTGCAGGGTTTTTGCTGAGAGATCTGCTGTGAGTCTGATGGGCTTCCCTTTGTGGGTAACCTGACCTTTCTCTCTGGCTGCCCTTAGCATTTTCTCCTTCATTTCAACCCTGGCGAATCTAACGATTATGTGCCTTGGGGTTGCTTTTCTTGAGGAATATCTTTTTGGTGTTCTCTGTATTTCCTGGACTTGAATATTGGCCAGCCTTGCTAGGTTGGGGAAGTTTTCCTTGATAATATCCTGAAGAGTATTTTCCAGCTTGGATTCATTCTCTTTGTCACATTCAGGTACACCTATCAAATGTAGATTAGATCTTTTCACATAGTCCCACATTTCTTGGAGACTTTGTTCATTCCTTTTTACCTGTTTTTCTCTAATCTTGCCTTCTTGTTTTATTTCATTGAGTTGATCTTTGACCTCTGATAGCCTTTCTTCTGCTTGGTCTATTTGGCTGTTGAAACTTGTGCATGCTTCACGAAGTTCTCCTGTTGTGTTTTTCAGCTCCATGAATTCACTTATATTCCTAAGTTGTCCATTCTTGTTAACATTTCGTCAAATCTTTTTTCAATTTCTTAGTTTCTTTGCATGGGGTTAGAACATGTTCTACCTCACAGAAGTTTCTCATTACCCACCTTCTGAAGTCTGATTCTGTCATTTTATCACACTCCTTCTTCATCCAGCCTTGTTCCCTTGCTGGTGAGGAGTTGTGATCCCTCATAGGAGGAGAGGTGTTCTGGTTTCAGGTGTTTTCCTCCTTTTTGCGCTGGTTTCTTCCCATCTTTGTGGATTTATCCACCTGTCGGCTTTGTAGTTACTGATTTTCAGATTGGGTCTCTGAGTGGACATCTAGTTTGTTGATGATGAAGTTATTTCTGTTTCTTAGCTTTTCTTCTAACAGTCTAGCCCCTCTGCTGTAGGACTGCTGAGGTCCACTCCAGGCTCCGCTTGCCTGGGCATCACCCGTAACAGCTCCAGAACAGTAAGGGTTGTTACCAGTTTCTTCTTCTGCTATCTTTGTCCCAGAATGATGCCTGCCAAATGTCAGTCTGATCAGTCCTTTGTGAGTTGACTCTTTGGATATACAGGGGTCAGGGAGCTGCTTGAGGAGATTGTCTGTCCTTTATAGGAGCTCAAGTGCTGAGCTGTGAGTTCCGTTGTTCATTCAGAGCTTCTGAGCAGGTACGTTTAAGTCTGCGGTAGCAGAACTCATAAACCCCTTTTTTTCCCAGGTGCTCTTTCCCGGGGAGTTAGGGCTTTATTTAGGAGTTTTCATTGTGTCATTGACTTTTTTTTTCAGGGCTTCCCTGCCCATCAAGGAGGCAACCTAGTCACTGTCTGCCTGCAGAGGCTTTTCTGAGCTGCTGTGGGGTCCCACCCTGCTGCCGTGTGAACTTCCCTGCAGTCCTGTTTATATGAGTGTGGTTAAAACTGCCTCAGCAATGGTGGCCCACCTACATAATGGCAGGTTGCCTCGGCAATGGCGGACTACCTCCATGGGGGGGAGGGCCTCGGTAATGGCGAACGCCCCTCTTTCACAGAGCTGGACCCTCCCCAGTTCAGCTGTGCTTGCCGTAAAACTCTCAACCCAGAGCGTTTCCAATTGCTGGTTTTGTGTGTGGGGGAGGGTGGGGGGTGGGACTCACCGAGCCTGATCACCTGGCTCCCTGCCTCAGAGCCTGTTTTTTTAAGTGGAATGGTTGACTCTTTCCCAGGTGTTCCAGTCGCCTCTGAAAAGGCACTGGTATCTATGTGATTTCCCCGTGCAGCGACCCACTGCGCTGGCTGAAACTAAGGCACTGAGATTTGTGGTGCTTTTTTGCCCCGGAATCTTCTGGCCTGGCTCCCTGTTTCAGTCCCACTTTTAATCAGATGAATGGGTAGCTCTGCCTTCCCAGAGCTCCAATCGCCAGCTTAAAAGGGCAACCAGACCAGTGTATTTTGTACGGAGAACCGCTGCATCAGGGCGCTGGCAAAACAGCTGCGCCGTCCAAAACAGCCATGCTGGTGACCCGTGGGGCTCCTCTGCCTGGGAATCTACTGGTGTGTGGGCAATAAAGATTCATCTGGAAATGCAGTGTCCACTCACCCTCTACGCTTTCACAGGGAACTGTAATCCTGAGCTGCTCCTAAACCGTTATCTTGGATTTTCTCCAATAACGTAGTTTTTATTAAAACACGTGATCTGCCCACCTCAGCCTCCCAAAGTGCTGGGATTACAGGCATGAGATACTGTGCCCAGCCTGATAACAGTTTTTAGAACATAAATTGCATGTATCTTTTTTCTTTCTTTCTTTTTTTTTAGGATGGAGTCTTACTCTGTTGCCTAGGCTGGAGTGCAGTGGCTTGATTTTGGCTCACTACAGCTCCTGCCTCCTGGGTTCAAGTGATTTTCCTGTCTCAGCCTCCCAAGTAACTGGGATTATAGGCATGTGCCACCACACTGAGCTAATTTTTGTATTTTTAGTAGAGACGGGTTTTCACCATGTTGGCCAGGATGGTCTTGATCTCTTGACCTTATGATTCACCCACCTTGGCCTCCCAAAGTGCTGGGTTTACAGTTGTGAGCCACCGTGCTCAGCCTTTTTTTTTTCTTTAATTCACTAGAAGAGACCTTAAAAACAGAACGTCTACTGTGCTGTATTAAGATTTTATGATTCTTTGTCCTCAAAATGCAAAAAAAGAAATTTCTGTAACTGAAAATCATATATATTTCTCATGTATTGTTACTTGGTGTTAAAGATTTTACATGATAAGACATAGTAGTCATTTCTAGTGTTTGGTGAAGAGAAACAAAGGCATTTCTTCATGTTATTTTTGGATTTTCTAGGTCTTTGTTGATCCCCTCACAGTAATTGACATGGAGTTCATTGCCAGTACTTTGTTTCCAGCCATTGAGAAAAATATTGTTAAGAAAATGGTTGCCTTCAATAACCAAGTAAGTGCCTACACGTATTGGTTCTTTCTTTTTCTTGCTGTGTTTGAAACCAGCATTTTTTCAACATAGGGTTCTACCAAATTATTAGGATCTCTAACTAAAAACAATTAGGCACACTAAATAGTGGAGGCTTCCAGTAATTTATTTCTGTGTTGTGGCTCCCAGTGTTACTGCTTAGAGAGTGTGCCTGGCCTTTGGAATTCTTGAGGTATAGACATCTGAATCAAGCCTGTTAATTCTTATTTCAGATTACATATGCTTCTGTGGTACGTTCCTAGTACTTAATGCACTGCCAGATTGCAAGCAGGGTATGTTTCCCAATCAGGATGTTTTCTTTCTAGATTGATCATGAAGTGACTGTTGAGAAGAAATGGGGACAAAAAGGAGGACCCTGGGAATTCAACCTCCGGGACCTTTTCCGCTGGTGTCAGTTGATGCTGGTTGACCAGTCCCCTGGGTGTTACGATCCTGGTCAGCATGTGTTTTTGGTTTATGGTGAAAGAATGAGAACCGAGGGAGACAAAAAAAAGGTGAGTTTCACATTTGCTGTTTGTATTTCTTTCTATCCAAAAGCTGATTTCCTGTGGGTGAGAAAGGATATACTCACCCTAATAGCAAAGTTTTTCTTTTTCTCTTTTTTGAGGCGGAGTTTTGCTCTTGTTTCCCAGGCTGGAGTGCAATAGTACAATCTCAGCTCACTGCAGCCTCCACCTTTCAGGTTCAAGTGATTCTCCTGCCTCAGTCTCCCAAGTAGCTGGGATTGCAGGCATGAGCCACCAGGCCTGGCTAATTTTTTATATTTAGTAGAAACGGGGTTTCACCATGTTGGTTAGGCTTGTCTCGAAATCCTGACCTCAGGTGATCCCTCCACCTTAGCTTCCCAAAGTGCTGCGATTTACAGGCGTGAAGCACCACGCCCAGGTAGCAAGCCTATTAAAGCTGCTTCAAAATTTAAAAGTTAAAAGAACAAACTAAATGTTTTCCTATCTTGGGGTCCCATAGCATAGAGTAACTTGCTTTAGAGGACATAATTTGCTGATATATTCAAATCCCTATGATCACAAATGTTAAAGCAACATTACCCTCCAGTAATAAAGAACTAAGCCTTCATCATCTTTATAGGCACCAAGGTGAGAAGCAGGAGGAGGCAGACAGGTGATAATCAGTAGAAGAGTAAGGTTTTCTGTTTTATTTTATTTTTAAATAAATGTCAAATTATGAAGTGTTTTATCCAGAAAGTATAATCATGGATAGTGAGAATATTCTGTGTTTAAGTGAAAATAAAAATACCTGTTTGTAAGTAAAACGGAAATTCCCACTGTAAGCAATTGTAATCATGTGTGCATTTCAGTTTGTGGTATTTAAAATTCTGTCTTGCTGAACGCTCACAGTAGCTGTAGGCAGGAGGTGCTGTCCTGGCCTCTTATAGGTGAAGATTCAAGGCTTAAAGACATGGAGTGCCCCCGGTAACAGAGCCAGCTTTCCAGTCGAGGCCCTCTCCAGTTTGTCTGCTGTTTCCTTCTATTAAACTTCACTGTCTGAAAATGAATGAATACATATATAGATGCATACACTCGAAGCAGTAACCCTCCTTGTTGAAATGTGAAGATGTGACTGGCCCATAACACACGTGACTTTGACACCCCTTTTATTCTGCTACCCATTCTGTGTTTGTGTTTGTTTTTGTTTTGTTTTGAGGCAGAGTCTCACTTGGCTACCTAGGCTGGAATGCAGTGGCACAATGCTGGCTCACTGTAGCCTTGACTTCCTAGGCTCAAGGGATCTTCCTACTCCAGCCCACTGATAAGCTGGGACTATAGGCACATGCCACCAGGGCCTGGCTAATTTGTTTTTACTTTTAAAAGAGATTTGGTCTTGTCATGTTGTTCAGGCTGGTCTTGTACTCCTGAGATCAAGTGATCTTTCTGCCTCAGCCTCCTGATGTGCTGCGATTCCAAGTGTGAGCTATTGTGCCCAGCCACCTAGATCTTCTGTAGTGTGGTATTCAGAATCCGATCACACGCTAACTCATTTATCATATTCAGGTAGCTTTCAGTCATTTGATTAGAAGAAAGTCTTAGTGTTTTTATAAGCTTTAGTGATATATAATTCACATAATCAGACAGTATTTTAATTTCCTCATTCATTTACTATAGTATATTAATTATGACCAAGATACATGCCAGTTGTTGAATGATTGATTAGTCAGGTGCTGGCCCATTGTTGTATGTGGAAGGTTTCAATCACTTCTCCAATTCAGGGTTATTGTAATCGACCATATAGGCATTTTCTGGCAGGGGAGACAAGATCAAGAAAAATAATATTTTAGAAGGATAAAGTCTGTAAAAGCTAGAATAGTCCAGTTAAATTGAATTTTGACTTTGTGTGGGGGGGGCGGGGGGGACTGAGTCTTGCTCTGTCACCAGGCTAGAGTGCACTGGCGTGATCTTGGCTCACTGCAACTTCTGACTCCCTGGTTCAAGTGATTCTCCTGCCTCAGCCTCCTGAGTAGCTGGGATTACAGGCATGTACCACCACACCCAGCTAATTTTTGTATTTTTAGTAGAGACGGGGTTTCACCATGTTGGTCAGGATAGTTTCCTGATGTCGTGATCCACCCACCTCAGCTTCCCAAAGGTCTGGAATTACAGGCATGAGCCACTGCATCCAGCTGATGTTTGATTTTATAGAGCTGAATCAAAGAGCTAGATTGGGAAAATGTTTGTAATCTGTTTTTTGATGAAACGGAGTTTCCCTCTGTTGCCCAGGCTGGAGTGCAGTGCCTCAATCTTGGCTCACTGCAACCTCTGCCTCCTGGGTTCAGGCGATTCTCCTGCCTCGACCTCCCGAGAAGCAATATTTGTAATTTTAACCCTCCAGTAAAACATCAGGGATTGAGATTATATGGGTTAGTGTGGAACATGAGATCATGTAGCACCTGAACTAAGAAGTAGGTGACAGGAATGCTTTCCTGTGCTGCTTTTAGTTTCACAGTCCAATGTTTGATACTGATTATGATTTTATCTATATTATTTTTAATTTTCTGACTTCAGTGCAGTATTCAATTATTATATGAGTATTGCCGCTTTTTAGAAATATAATTTTGCATGCTTTTTTTTCTTGGCTCTAATTTTCCCTCCTGTTATGGGCTAAATTAATGTTTTTTATATACCTATATCCCCCTCCACCATTACTCTTAGATTTTTGAAAGAGATCCCAAATCAAAGAGAGTTAAGAGAACATTTTCTAATAGTATTTCTGCTGACCAAAGGATAACAAAGTAAATCGTTGATCAGAGGAATAAATTTGGTTTTCATATCCACATAAGTATTTGCAGGGTTAACATGTTTTTGGAGGCAGACTGGCTTAGATTTAAAATCAATCACCAACCATGGGCAATTCAGTAACTCTTGTGAGTTTTATCTATGTAAAATGGACATGATGACCATTTTACATGGGTATAACAAACAGAAATAATCTCCCAAAGTACTTAATACAGTGTTTGGTTCATAGCAGATGGTCAGTAAATGGTCATTACTGTTCTGTCCTCTTTTTAGGTAGTATTGATGAAAGCAAAGAAGTCTTTTTTGTCTCTAGATTTCAGTACTATAGAGTCCATGGCTTCAATTTAATTTATGGTGCATTCTCACTGAAATCTCATATAGTTTGGGATATGACTGCTATGTTCTCAGTCTCAAATTTACTTTCATTCCAAGGAATTAAATATATGCAGTTGATTTTTTTTTATAAGAAAAAACTCAAAAGGATAAGGAAATTGTGGCCAGCATTCTTAGAATAGTGACTCTTGTCACTGTGCTTGTTTTCTAGAAAGTTTGCCTAAGAGTTAGGTGGAGTGATCTGTGTTTTTATAGCATTATATTCTTTTTTTAGGTCATTGCTGTATTCAAGGATGTGTTTGGTTCAAATTCCAACCCATACATGGGAACCAGACTATTTCGTATCACTCCCTATGATGTTCAGGTAAGGAGACTAGGATAATCCTCTATCCTTTGACATTTTGTGTGTGTTTTTTTTTTCTTTTTTTTTAAATTCACAAAAATTATAACTTACTTATTTTCCATTTGACAGTATTTACGTGTTCCACAGATATTTGTAAAACAGCTTCAAATTCTTTGCTTTTTGAAACACACACATTGTATATCTGGCTTCACAATTATTTAACATCTCTTACACCTTTATCAACAAAACCAGCTTGTCTCAAACACATAGAGCTTACTTTACATAAAACACAATAAAAATCCAATTACAGTTACTTTTAGTACTTTTATGATGAGCATTAAGAAAAAAAATGACAGTTTTGGGTCACCTTCTTTTGTCTTAAAGAGGCAAGAGCACTCATGTAACACAGTTTGCAAAAGATCTTTTTGGTAATTAAGGGGAAAAAACTGATAAATTTGATAAATTCATTCTGTTTTCAGGCAAGAGGATAGCACCATAAACATTTTGAATTTCCCCTTCACTCTCTTCTTCTAAATATATACGTAATTGGATAATTTCAACCTGGGAGTAGAACCAGTTACAAGAAAATCAAAGAGTAGTAAATGAAATATTTAATCACATCCCCTCTTCCAGAAAGTAAGAGAAAAAGCTACATTGTACACTAGGGAAGGCTCCCAGGCTGACCACGTGGATTACGTGGATAGGACAGAATCAAATCTCAGATCTCTTTATTCACAGGACTTGGTAGAAATGCAGGGCAATCGTCAATTTTTACGATAAGGAACAGTATTTTAGAAACCGTAAACTGTCGTTAGATTCTGAAGTTCTAATTTGCTAACTAGTTTGACCAAGTTTGTTAGTTTTAAACTGCACATGAGGAAGATAAATTTCTGGAAAGTTTAATTAAATACACAGTTATTTATCTTCTTTACACATCTCCAATTTCTACAAATGAAAAAGACGTAGGAGGAAAAAAAAATCATACCACCTTTATTTACCGAATGAGCTAAGATGACACAGAAAATACTGGAAATGATGCCGTGTCACAGTTCCCCGGCCTGTGCCTCCTTCCTCCCATTCCCCACGACTCTCACATCCACGGGGATTCACACGAGGGCCACCTGCTGCTGGACCCTACTCCATCTGCTTGCTCTAATCCCATCAAGTTCAATTCCAAGCACACTTGCCCAGCAAATTAAGAGTTCTCTATTTCATATGTACAAAAATACATCACTTTGGAGAGCTGGAAAAGGTTTAATACATACAACAATTATTTACAAGTTGTGACTTTCACACCTGTAAAAACAAACACACTTATTTTTATCCTTGATTTTTGGTGCAACTTATAAACATTACATCAGGTAGTCTGTACTTTTAAAAATAATAAATCAACCATATGTACAATTAAATTTACAACCAAAAGTAAATAATCCATTGGAACAGTGTGACTGCAACTCAGGAGACCAGCAGAGGACATTCCAGGAACTGAGTCCTTCCCCACAACCAGACTAAAAATACACTGAGGACCTCTCTCATCCTCACTTACAATGGAATATCTTAATTTCTAAGACTTAAGGTACAGAAGAAAAATAATGTTTATACATCTATAATTACATGTAAAGACTTTAAAGGGAACAAAAAACCCACATATTAACCCCACATATATAATGATAATTAAATTAAATACATATTTAATTCCCAGTGCATGTGATATTCCATCAACATCATGGGGGACCACAGGGTTCCAGAAACATTTATCCCTAATAAGCCTCACCAGTGAGGCCCTCCTCACAGCTGGGTCTCAGCTTTCCTCAGTCTGTTTCATGTGGCTCCAGCTGATGGGCCTCCCTGTCCCCCAGCTCCAGTATCCCAAGGCACAGAAGGAGTTCTGATCCTTCCCTCCTCCTACCTGCCGCTCAGCTCCCAAACCTGCCAAAAGGTCCACCGTCCTGTTGAGATCTTCTGAGTTCGGTCCTTTCTCTGACACAAGTCCACACAGATAGTCCAAGGACTTTAACTTTTCTGTGGCATAGCTCTACAGCTCCACTGCGTGGGCAATGTTTGAGTCGATCTGTGCCCAGTCACAGCAGCCTTCTAGCCTCTGCAACACCTCCAGATAGCTCAGAAACACCGAGCAGTCCAGAGCACCAGGTGGGACAGAGACTTCTAAGAGCTTCAGTTCCTGCACACAGTTGTGCAGCAGCTCTAGGGCGCACTGGGCCACCCCGCTACGGCCTCTGCAGGAAGAGCAACAGGGTGCACTGGCGAGAGAACAGGTAACTGCGCAGATCTAACAGGGTGGCTTCTTACCTCTGGATCGATTCCCGCTTCTCCATATCTATCGACTTTCAGAGGATCAATCCATTCCAGCTCTTCACTGGCTGGCAGAAAAAAGTCAGCCAGTTGGCACCGTCCCTGGCCCCAGAGTTGACAACATACTGAGAGAAGAGGGCGTCCAGCTCGTTGTATTGCACCAGGGTGTCCTTGAACTGCTGCAGCATCTCGAAAACAAAGGCAAGCTCCTCCTGAACCATGAAATACTCACAAAAGCTCCAGCCTGGCTCAGTCCTCTTCTCCCTCAAGGTTCTCATGTCATCCTCAAACTTGCCTAGGTTCTTGGTAAAAGACATAAGAAGCAGTGTCCTGAGTTTGGTCAGGATGGCATTCCAGGATTCCTGAGTTCGAGAAGAGTCCTTCATGGGGTCGGAGAGCACAACACACCTGTCACTCTGTTTATTACAAAAGTCATTTCTTATTTTGTCCACAATAGAGGTTTGGGGAAGGATGTGGATTTGATTTTATTTCTTGGCATCATTTTCAACTATCACTATTAACCAGTCCACAGAGCTGTGAGCCTTCAGAACATTCTGCTACTTGGTGAGGTCATCTTTTACTGTAGCTTTATACACTTGAGTATCACAGCACTCTGTCCAGTAAATATGGAGGAAAGGAAATGTGAGCAGAGCTTTGTTTCCTTCTTTGGGCAGCAGCTCCTCTTTGAACTGAACAAAGTTAGACTCTAGGTGAATCATCTTGGGAGCCCGGCCATAGGTCCTTCTCCATTCCATTAGTTCTTTTGGAAGCTGCTGAGAGAGCGTTGGATAAACAGAGGTAAATAAATTCTGATCTCCAGCACAGGTGACGATGGGCTTGTTCTCCATGGTGTAGATCACCGGCGGCAGCGGCTCCTCAGAGGCATCCATGGGCGTCTGGCATTACCAGCCCGGCCCCCTGTGCCCTATGGGCAGCCGTGAGGCCACCCCAGGCCCAGCTGGAGCCCGAGCCTGAGCGGCGCTGCCTGCTCAGCTGCGCAAGGCCCCTTTGACATTTTGTAATGGTTTCTTCTGCTCCCACTACCAGGCACACTTATGAAATCTCATTGGCATGTCTTTGCAGTTGGGCTACTCGGTCCTTTCCCGTGGCAGCTGTGTTCCTCACCCGTCCCGCCATCCTCTGTTGCTCCTGCACCAGTCATTCCAGTCAATGGAGTCAGTCATGAAGTGTGTGCAGATGAGCTGGATGGTTATCCTGGTCGGCCCAGCCTCTGTGGGCAAGACCAGCCTGGTCCAGCTTCTGGCACACCTTACTGGCCACACATTAAAGATCATGGCTATGAACAGTACAATGGATACTACTGAGCTGCTTGGTGGATTTGAGCAGGTAACCAGTCTGCCTTCATATTTTTGGGCAAAGGATAATAAAACATGTGGTCTGACTGAGGGTCTTCTGTGTTGGTAGTGAGTACAGAAAACAGTATTCTCTGACCCTGTGATGAGTTCATGTCCTCTGGAAATTGCAGGTTGATCTTATACGACCTTGGAGGCAGCTGCTGGAGAAGGTGGAGGGTGCTGTAAGGGCACTGTTGAGGGATAGCCTCCTTATCAGTGCTGATGATGCAGAAGTAGTGCTACGAGCCTGGAGTCACTTCCTTCTGACTTATAAGCCTAAGTGTCTTGGAGAAGGCGGTAAAACTATCACGATGGAGATTGTCAACAAACTCGAAGCAGTGTTACTGCTTATGCAGCGACTCAACAATAAAATCAACTCATATTCCAAGGCAGGTATGTATATTCAGATCTCTGTATCAGGCACTTACCATTGCCTATATTGTGTCCATTTACACATAATAGATTTACAAACATAATGCTCACATTTTGTATTAATTTAATGATTACTAACAATCAGAACTTGCAGGAAAGTTTGGCCTGCAAAGTAAAATGAAGCTGAGATAAAGTCTTCAGAATACTTCATTCTAAAAAATCAACTAGGAAAAAAATTGGTTACCATGCTTTATGGCTTATTTCGTGTGTATAAAACAGCATGTAAAACTTTTATTTTATTGGCTATTTTTTTTTTACTCAGTCATTTCTCAGGAAATTGAGCATTTTAAACTGAAGAATAGGAGTCTGAATTCATAGGATGTGTTTATTCATTTATGTGGAGATGGAAGAAATGCATCCTTCTGTATGCCATCCAATTAACATGGAAACTTCTCTCATTCTGTGGTGCCACTTTCTGAGTGGTGGTGAGCATGCCCTTAGGGAGGATTAAGCCTAAAGGTCCATAGGCTGGATCTGTCACTATGCTTGTCATTCTTTATTTCCAAAGTCTGCTTGTAACCGATTACAAATGTTGATTCCTTATGGCTGAAGAAATCGGACATCCTACTTCTAGCCCAACAAACATTTTATCTGTGGCTGTGGACCACTTATTTACTTTCTTTATTGTTGATTTGATCCATCATGTCTCACTTTAAGCCTGCCATTTGACCTTGAATTCCTTTATTCATTCACTCAAATTAATTATAGAAGATACCCAATGGAGCCATGTATCATATATTTTTAATGGATATTGTAAAAATCATCAAATTATGAGTATCTATTGCAAACACCATATTGAATATATGTACTTTTAATGACCATGGCAACTCTGCATTATAGGAAGGATTATATACATCTAATAGATGAGGAAATGAATGTTCATAGAGATGAAATTACATGCCTGCAGTCTTACAGTTAGCAAGTGGTTGGGCTAGGGTGTTTTTTCGGGGGGGTGGGAGGGTGTTTCTGGGGAGACTCCAGAAACAAGGGGCTAAGTTTTGAATCCAAGCCTCCTCCAAAGCCGTTAATCTAGTGAGTGTGTAAGTCTTTCATAAGTCAGTTAGAAATTAAATATTAGGGTAAGTTCTCGCGGCTTACTCCCAATACTACTATTTATTTAGGATTGGCTATTTCATATTGAGTAATTTCTTAGGGTTATTAATAGAGTGAAAGGACTGAAGCAGTTGTCTGCTATTTTACATTTAGCTAAAACTTTTTAACTGTATCTTTTGATGTGTCTCTGAACTTGTATGACTTTTAAAATATAGTTCTCATTATGTTCATACTTTTTCTGAGATAGTCTCACTCTGTTGCCCAGGCTAGAGTGCAGCAGTGTGATCACAGCTCACTATAGCCTTGACCCCCTGGGCTCAAGCAATCCTCCCACATCAGTCAGCCTCCTGAGTAGCTGGGACTACAGGCATGTGCCAGTATGCCTGGCTAATTGTTAAATTTGTTTTAGAGGTGGGTTCTTGCTATGTTCCCTAGGCTGATCTTGAATACCTGGCCTCAAGTGATCCCCTGCTTTGACCTTCCAGAGTGTTGGGATTACAGGCGTGAGCCACTGTACCCAGCCCCTTTTAAGCTTTTAAAGATCAGATCTAGAGTATACATTACTGTAGGGCTGGATTAGCCTCAGTATTGAAGCATGACCTGGGTAGCATCTCTACTGAATGTCTTTATAGTCAGTGGGTTCTCTTCAATTTGTCTGGTGGGAACTAGAATGATACTCAGCACAGTTTGAACTCTGGGAATTATTCAGCTTGCATTTCCCTGGTAATTGTCCTTTCTTTGGTAGTTTTTGCTCATCCATGTAGAGCTTCACCCTTTATATGCATATGCAGACTCTAAGGCCCTTACTGAGATTCTTGGAGTTCTTTCTCTGAGTAACTCCCTCCGCTTAAGTACTCTGTTCTTCATTCAAGTTGCCTTAGCTGCCCTGAACTCTACTCTGTCTGTTCAACTCCATGAACTCCCTGATGTGTTTGGGTTCTCCCACCCTGCTTAGCAATCCAGAAATTGATTCCAGGAAGAAAGCCAGGGCAATTATGGGGCTTCACCTGATTTTTTTTCTTTCCCTCAGATATCACAGTCTTGTGCTGCCTATTGTCCAATACTAAAGCGTATGTTTTACATATTTTGCCCAGTTTTCTAGTCATTAATTAACAATGGTAGATTAAGTCTAAACCTTGTTACTACCTCATCTTTAGAAGTAGAAATGCAATGTATATTACCTTGTATATGAAAAATGGTCATAAAACAATTTCCAAAAAGATCTATTGAAAAATTTCTAGGGAAGGGCTATATAAACTACAAAGCACTTGGCAAGTAATTACCAGTTATTATTATAATCATATGATATGCTCATTATAAAGGAAGCCCAGTTTGTACTGCGTGAAGTTATCACACTTTCATTCAGTATAAATGCACTGATAGGTGGGAAACATTATCCTCCTTCTGCCATTTGACAAACCATAATACAGAAAAATCATTTGCCACTTCTGTTACCCTAGAGTCAGCCCTGAGTAGCTATTAATTCAGAGAGCCATTAAGAAGTATTTTCTGTCTTAAACTTAACTTCCTATCTGTGTTTAAACAGAAGCAAAACATTCTTCTATTTATTCTATTATGAAATCTTAAAAAAACTGGGGTAGAAGTATCAAGCTTCCTTTTCATAAACTTAATTCTTGGTTTGAAGTTAAGTGCTGTGGATGGTGATTCTTCCCTGTGACATTTCAGAGTTTGGCAAACTTGTTGAAGAGTTCCGAAGCTTTGGTGTGAAGCTTACGCAGTCAGCCAGTGGCCGTAGCCATGGCACGTTCGAATGGGTTGACAGCATGCTGGTTCAGGCCCTGAAGTCTGGAGACTGGCTTCTGATGGATAATGTTAACTTCTGCAAGTAAGAACCTTATGCCTCATCGTGAATGGTCCAGCTTGAAATCTGAGTGTGCTTGTCAAAGTAGAGACCCAGATAGAAGTGCTGTTATTTTGAAGCTACTTTTTTTCTTAATTAATTACATAGACATCCTCAACCATATTCCTGTAAACTTCTCCCTGTGGTGAACAGTGGTAGTTTGTCATTAGACAAGTATAAGATTTCAGCTCTGTATGATAATTTTGAGCCGAACCAAAGGCTAACAAAATTGGATTATGTTTCTCGGCAACCTCCTTTGAGTTAGGCCTTTTAATATCAGAAGTCTTTTTTTTTTGTTAGGGTTTCTTCAGTGCAGTTTCTTCTAATGCAGGGTCTGACACGAGGCAGGCATTTAGTAAATGGGCATCAGTGATACATCGAATCAACCATGTATCGTTTTTGATCTTACGGTAAGGTAGAGGACAAGTGTGAAACTACAGTACATATGTAGTTGCCATAATAGAAGCTATTACAAGTTACATGATGGCCATTTTCATGGAACATTTATCTAACTGTTACAAATTGAAATCCAGTCACCTTATATGGATTTGATAATGTTGAGGGATGGGGGTCAGGAAAGGAAAAAGTGAAAAGGTTATAGTGCAGGGAACTTATTAGCATTTTCCTTAATTTTATTCAAAAATAACTTGTGTATTTACTGTGTATAAGGCCCTGGGCTATGTTCCTTGGGGAGTGAGAAGGGAAATGAATGGGAAATATACTTTGGAAGGAGATCACTATTGTATCTGGGTAAGTGAAAAGTGCCAAAAGGAAATGTGGGTCGAAAGCATTTGGAGGCCAGGTGCATTGGCTCACGCATGTAATCCCAGCGCTTTGGGAGGCCAAGGTGGGTGGATCATGAGGTCAGGAGTTTGAGACCAGCCTGGCCAACATAGCGAAACCCCGTCTCTACTAAAAAGACAAAAAGATTAGCTGGGCATGGTGACAGGCACATGTAATCCTAGTTACTCAGGAGGTTGAGGCAGGAAAATTGCTTGAACCCAGGAGGCAGAGGTTGCAGTGAGCAGGGATGGTGCCACTGCATACCAGCCTGGGCGACAGTGCAAGACTCTTATCTCAGAAAAAAAAAAGCATTTGAGTCCCGGGCATGGAAGGAAAGAAGAGTCAATGCAGCATGTCGGCCTATTCACCATTTGAATTCTGTCTGTGCAGCCCATCAGTGTTGGATCGTTTGAATGCTTTGCTTGAACCTGGAGGTGTCCTCACTATTAGTGAGAGAGGAATGATAGATGGATCCACTCCCACGATAACACCAAATCCCAATTTCAGGTATTTATGTCTCTTATATTTCTACCTCAGAATCTGACAGCCTCAGTAGCAGAGGTAGACATTCGTTAAGACTTCCTTACATATTTTATTTATAAACTGAGTCATGGGCAAGTTCACCGTTTATTAATTCACTTAACAAATACTTACTGAGGCTCTACTGTTTACCAGGCACTGCTGGGCTCTGGGAACATAGCATAAACAAGAGATGCGAGGTCTTGGCCTTGCATTGGTGATGAAGGTTGGAAGCAGGGATACCAGTCACATTCCTTTTGCAGTAGTTTAGGCAGGACATCACAGGGGCCTAGATGAAGGTGGTCAGATGGGTTGACTTGCCGATGGACATATGGATTGAGAAAAAGAAGAATCAGGATGACATCTCTGTTTTTGGCTTGAGTAACTGGATAAATGGGGTTGCCATTCATTGAGAAAGGGAAGACTGGTAAAGGAGCAGGTTTAATGCAGGGAGGACCTACAGGGAATTAGCTGTTTACTTTCAGACATGAATCAAACAGGTGTCAGATAACTAGATGGAGATGTTGATGGGCATTCAGGATATGAAACCGATTGTTTCAGGAGACTACACTTGCTTCTCTTCTGCTGTCTGTAGGTGAGTTAGAATAATGAATCAGGACTGTGTACCTTGAGGAATATCTGAAGGTTAGATATTTAAAGTTATCAGCACTAAAGGTACCCTGGATATATCATACACAGTTCCTTCGGAAAGCAGGCTTAGAGAAAATACTTTGCTGTATTGATGCATGATAGAAGTAAACCATCCTGCTGGGGGCGGTGGCTCATGCCTGTAATCCCAGAACTTTGGGAGGCTGAGGCGGGCAGATTGCCTGAGCTGAGGAGTTCACAACCAGCCTGGGCAACACAGTGAAACCCTGTCTCTACTGAAATACAAAAAATTAACCGGGCGTGGCAGTGTGTGTGCCCATAGTCTCAGCTACTTGTGACACTGAGGCAGGAGAATTGTGTGAACTTAGGAGGCAAAGTGGCAAAGGTTGCAGTGAACCAAGATCATACCACAGCGCTCCAGAGCCTGGGCAACAAAGTGAGACTCTGTCTCAAAAAAAAAAAAAAGAAAAAGAAGTAAAAGATCCTTGATGTGAATTCTCTGACAATGAGCCACATAAAATTTGCCCTCACTGACTCATGCTGAGCTACATCTTTGCTTACACTGGGGTTTAAAATAATTATTTTCTTTGAATTGCTGTTTTTCTAGACTTTTCCTCTCAATGGATCCTGTTCATGGTGATATATCCCGAGCTATGAGGAATCGTGGACTGGAAATCTACATTTCAGGAGAAGGGGATGCGAGCACCCCAGACAACCTGGATTTGAAAGTTCTGCTACACAGCCTTGGATTGGTGGGGAACAGTGTATGTGACATCCTCTTGGCTCTACACACAGAGACCTGGAGCACTGTTATAGGTGAGGTGCTTGACTTTTGGGCCTTTGCACAGTTATAGTCTTGAAGAAATTTATGTTATTCCATTGGACTGTTGTTAGTCAAAGATTTCTTACATTTAGTGTATATAGATAGAAATTATCAGGAAAGCTTGTTAAAAATGTGAATTTCCTGATAATTTCTATCTATATACACTAAATATAAGACCCTAAGAATTGGCCGGGCTTGGTGGCTCACACCTGTAATCCCAGCGCTTTGGGAGGCCAATGAGGGCGGATCACGAGGTCAAAAGATTGAAACTATCCTGACCAACATGGTGAAACCCTTTCTTTACTAAAAATACAAAAATTAGCTGGATGTGGTGGTGTGCGCCTGTAGTCCCAGCTCCTCGGGAGGCTGAGGCAGGAGAATCGCTTGAACCTGGGAGGCGGAGGTTGCAGTGAGGTGCACCTCCGCACTCAAGATTGCACCACTGCACTCTAGACTGGTAATAGAGCAAGACTCCATCTCAAAAAAAAAAAAAAGGACTCCAAGAGATTGGGTTTAGCAGGTAGCAGGTCAGGGCGAGGCACGGGAATCAGTATCTGAAAGACGCTTTCTATGCCATTCTGATGCATGTAAGCAGAGGCTAACCCCTGAGTAATTCTGCTTTAGGCAGCGAGGTTTATGAAGTTTGCCCCCATCATTTCTCCGGGTCATTAGCAACCTCTTAAAGTTGGAATAAAGAGGAAACTTTTGATTTGTTTAAAGCAGACAGGTGTGACTTTTTCTAAATCTTCAATTATACGAAAGGAGCAAGATAATAAATGAAGTATTGCTTGTTGGTAACTACTCTGTTAGGTCCCAGGCAGATTGCTTATGTAGTTGTTGCATTAGTTCTGCTAGGCATATGCTTTCATTTTCCAGATATGACTAAGAGAGTTTGGTAATTTATCATTTAAGAATAATGGCTGGAGTTTCCAAATAGGTTTGTAGGATTTCAAATCCCATGGTCTTTTATGAGGTTACACTCAACTTGTCACCTTCGGGGTGTGTCAGCATTAGATTAAGGATGTACATGACCAGGCTTTATCACATCTGTAAATGAGTCCCCCATAATGAACTGCAGTTAGCCAGAAAGAAACAGGAAGCTAGGAATACAAATCTTCCTACAGGTCCGTTTTGCCTTTGGGGGACTCTCAAGTCTATTTAGAAGGTTTTCTGGGCCGGGCGCGGTGGCTCACACCTATAATCCCAGCACTTTGGGAGGCCGAGGTGGGTGGATCACGAGGTCAAGAGATCGAGACCATCCTGGTCAACATAGTGAAACCCCGTCTCTACTAAAAATACAAAAAATTAGCTGGGCATGGTGGCGCACGCCTGTAATCCCACCTACTTGGGAGGCTGAGGCAGGAGAATTGCCTGAACCCAGAAGGCGGAGGTTGCGGTGAGCCGAGATCGCGCCATTGCATTCCAGCCTGGGTAACGAGCGAAACTCTGTCTCAAAAAAAAAAAAAAGAGAAGGTTTTCTACAGTAAGTATCTGGGTGGGGCTAAGTGGAAGGAGGTTTGATGGGAGGGTAGAATTTATCCATTTTCGTTGGAGATTTTAAAGACTCTGTTGTTTATAGATGGCAATTTTTTTTTAACAGGTTCTCCAACATCTTCTGTGTCAACTCTAATCCAGACAGCCATACTAATTGTCCAGTACCTGCAGCGAGGGCTGAGTTTAGACAGAGCCTTTTCTGAAGCATGCTGGGAAGTATATGTCTGTTCCCAGCATTCACCAGCAAACCGGAAGGTACTATGAAGTATTCCAGAAAGTTTTTAAGTTGCAATACCCTACATTATTGAGTACAAGGAAATTATTTTTAAAGATGGCACCCCAGTGACCTGAAAGAGTTGACCACTGCAGTTTGCTCTAATAGAGATCTGGTGTCCAGGCACTTTGCTGGAAAATAGCTTGAATGTAAATAATTCCTTTTTGAAACTTAACCTGTCATCAGCAAACGTAGAATTTAACTTGTGTTTTTCATGGAAGAGTATATTAAGGGTTGTTGTGAGGTGGTCACATGAACTCTTACTACTTTATTTGCTGTTTCTTTGGGAAGTATTACTTTTATGTTGGTACCACTGTACTGTGTTTTCATCTCCTAACAGCTTGTACAGGGTTTACTGGAGAAACATGTTTCTTCTCTTCGAGCACGTGAAACCTGGGGAGACTCCATTCTTGGCATGGGACTGTGGCCAGATTCTATGCCCTCAGCTCTCTTTGCTACTGAAGATTCTCACCTGTCTATAGTCCGAAGTGATGGACAGATCTTAGCATATTGTCTCAACAGGATGAGCATGAAAACCAGCAGCTGGGCAAGGTCAGTGGAGCCTTCAGCTTTTGTCTCTGGTTTTTTGGCTGATTTTTGCTCTTGCTGGAAATGGTCAGGACACAATATATTTAAGTGGAGCATTCTGTGGCCATTTATTCTGCAGCTGTCATAGTTTTGTTCTTTGTGGTATTGCTCCCTATTTGTTATTTATTAGGTATGTTTAAAATGTCTCTCTGTGGTGGACTCATCTTTCTTCTTTGTCGTTCATCCGACATTTGTGAAAGGAGTTTTCTCAGTTATTTGGAATATGAAATAAAAGGTTATTCCAGTTTGTTTGTTACTGAGTTTGTTCATTCAAATGAATTTCAGGAGTCAGCCGCTTACCTTGCAAGACTTAGAGAAAATTATGCAGTCCTCCAACCCTGAGAACCTGAAATTCAATGCAGTTGAAGTGGATACTTACTGGATCGATGAACCAGATGTTTTGGCCATGTCTGTTAAATTGCTCATAGAAAGAGCAACCAATCAGGATTGGATGCTCAGAGTTAAATGGCTTTATCATTTAGCCAAGAATATACCACAGGGGCTTGGTGAGTAGAACAACTTAATTTGTCCAGTGATGTGATTTATATACACTTATGCTATTTAAGTGCCTCAGGAGCTGTGTTAATGTATGACTACACAGTTAAAATTACAGTTGGGAGGTCTCCTAGGAAGAAATTTGTGATCTAGCGTTACTGTTCAGGAGCATGTCTGCATGTGGCTGTGTCACAAGATAAACTTTTGTTTCTATGATATCGTTACTTAGCATATCAGGACATATTCACCTTTCTAACACATTCAAAAGGAAAGCGTATTATATTAGTTTTCAGTTTTGAACATCTGCTTTTTGTGCTATTACTGTTGCAGAATCATTCTATCTGGGAAAGTTATTAATTTTGATAAGTTCATTTCCTCTAAAAGTATGTAAGATTCTAATCTTATTTTAGTTCTTCTGCTACATTTTATCACACTTGGAATTGTCCCTTGGTATCTATGGGATTGATACAAGGTCTTTCCCTCCCCCACCAACCTGGGAACACCAACATACCTGGAAGCTAAGGCCCTCTATATGAAGTGGGATAGTATTTTCATATACCTTACACATATCCCCTGCATGCATTAAATCATCTGGATTACCTAATACAATGTAACTGCTATGTAAATAGTTGTTGTGGGTCGGGTGTGGTGGCTCACACCTGTAATCCCAGAACTTTGGGAGGCCGAGGTGGTTGGATCACCTGAGGTCAGGCATTCAAGACCAGCCTGACCAACATGGAGAATCCCCGTCTCTATTAAAAATACAAAATTAGCCAGGCATCTTGGTGCATGCCTGTAATCCCAGCTACTCGGGAGGCTGAGACAGGAGAATCGCTTGAACCCAGGGTGTGGAGGTTGCAGTGAGCTGAGATCATGCCACTGCCCTACAGCCTGGGCAATAGGAGCGAAACTCCATCTCAAAAAAAAAAAAAAGTTATAGTATGTTGTTGAAAATTGATACTATTTTTGTTGTACTTTTTTTTTTTTAAATTTTTGAATATTTTTGATTTGCAGTTGATTGAATTCTACAGATGTGGAACCCTCAGATATGGAGGGCCACCTGTACTCCTTTTGTAGTTCTTTCATTTTCAGAGAGAGCAAAGCAATCATGACATTGCTTGAACTGTAAAGTACAGAACATGGAATTTGTTGGTGGAGATTAAGTAGTTGTGTTTACATAAAACTTTCTACTCCGTGAGAATTTGTCTGTAAGCCAGTGGATATTTATATTATTTTGTGAAACATGTGGTCTTCTGTCTAAACATGTGTAGAAAGAATTTGTATAAATATTTTATCTACATTGTCCTATATGATAGCCACTAGCCAGCCACAGAGAGCTACTAAAATATAAATATAAATTAGATTTTAAAAATCCAGCCCTTTAGTTGCACTGGCCCCATTTCAAGTCCTCGTATATGACTAGTGGTTATTCTATGCAGCTATAGAACATTTTCATCATTGCAGAACGTTCAGTTGGATAGCACTGCTTTAGAGTCTAACACTGTTTTCTCCTTCCTCCACAGAGTCCATACAAATTCATTTGGAAGCCAGTGCTGCATCTCTCAGGAATTTTTACTCACATTCCCTCTCAGCTGCAGTCAGTAATGTTTTCAAAATATTACAACCAAATTCATCAGGTATGCACTTTTGATTTCTAGCTCTTAGCACTGTTTAGGAAACTTATCTTTTGAGTTCACTGGAAAAAGATCTAACCTGTTAGAGGTCTCAACATAACAGTATTTTTAAAGAAGACTTATGATATGCAGGAGCAAGTTCTCCGTCTTTTTTTTTTTTTGAGATGGAGTTTTGCTTTTGTTGCCCAGGCTGGAGTGAAATGGCGTGATCTGGGCTCACCGCAACCTCCACCTCCCAGGTTCAGGTGATTCTCCTGCTTCAGCCTCCCGAGTAGCTGGGATTACAGGCATGTGCTACCACACCCGGCTAATTTTTGTATTTTTAGTACAGATGGGGTTTTTCCATGTTAGTCAGGCTGGTATTTGAACTTCTGACCTCAGGTGATCCACCTGCCTTGGTCTCCCAAAGTGCTGGGATTACAGACAAGAGCTACTGCACCTGGCCTCTTTTTTTTTTTTTTTTTTTTTTTTTAAAGAGACAGGCTCTCATTAAGTTGCCCAGGTTGGTCTTTATATCCTGGCTTCAAACGATCCTCTTGCTTTGGCCTCCCAAAGTGCTAGGAATAGAGGCTTGAGCCACCATGCTTTATCTAAAGCTATCCATTCACCCTTCTGCTTCTGAAGGAGGCTGATGATGTGCCATGGAATGAAAAGAATCTGAGAGTTGAAACACTGGGCCCTGGTACCAACTCTGCCACAAACTGGCTTGGTAGATTTTTGGCTCATTATTCGCTGTCTCTGCTTGTGTTTAGAAACCAGGGGAATTAAGCTCTTATTTCTCTGAGGTCCCTTCCAGTCTTAACTTTGTGTTGTTTACCAGCTCTCTTAGTAGGAAGAGTTTCAAACCACAAGATATTTGACTTAAAGGGAAGTTACGCAGGATCAGTTAACTTAGGAAAATATAAAACTTTAATCATAGATGCAGTGGCTTATAGCTGTGGTCCAGCTACTTGGCAGGTTGTGATAGGAGGATTGCTTGAGTCCAGCAGCTTGAGGCTGCAAATGAGCTGTGGTAGTGCCACTGCATTCTAGCCTAGGGGACAGAGCCAAACCCTGTCTCTGAAAAAGCCTTGATGACGAAGCTATAAAACCATAGTGATAAGAAATAGCCATCTAAGCTATCTGATCAAAGAAAGTATTCAAGATTTCTTTTTTAAGATAAGGAGTGAAAATAAACATTTCCTAAAACAGAGTAATATAAACTTGATTGACACAAGCTTTAATGAAGAAAATGGGTATTTTCACACCACCACATTTAAAATTTTCTACCTCCATCTTCATTTGATGTTGATCAAAATATACCATTGGCCCTTTGGTTTAGAAAAAAATATGCATGATGCTTCTGTGCTAAATAATTCCTTTATGTACACTAAAGATCATGGAGTGAATGGGAAGAAATCAAACAATAGAGAAGAATACTTTTCGAGTCAAGTTGTGGCTGAACTAAGTCATGGCTTTCCACTATGAGGATTGTAATCTTTACAAACACAGTTGTACAGTAGCAGCTTTCATTTTCAGCAGGGACTACTTGTCCTCTGTTGTTACACATTAGGTCTAACCATCTTTTTCAGTTGGGTAGCCTTTTTATCTTACTGGGCGTTTGGAAACGGTTTCCCTATTTAATGTACCTGCTGCTCACACTGTGTCCTGAGTAGTCTGGGTTGTCCACTATATGGTGGATACTTTTAAAACTTAAAGTGCTCCACTGAACCATCCTGCCAGCCACCTTCAAATTAATGTTACCCGTTTTGGTGTCTTGCCTCCCACCCTTGGGTTTTGGCAACTTCTGGAAAGTGTCAGTCTCCTGCTGTTTCACAGAAGTTGTATCAAGTGTGAGCCAGAGGATTGTGGGACATCAGCAGCCACACTCTGATTATAGATAAATTGTTTCTAAGTTTAAAAAATTTCATTGTTGGCCAGGCATGGTGGGAAATGCCTGTAATCCCAGCACTTTGTGAGGCTGTGGTAGACGGATCACCCTAGGCCAGGAGTTCGAGACCAGCCTGCCTAACATGGCGAAACCTCATCTCTACTAAAAATACCAAAAATTATCTGGGCGTGGTGGTGGGCACCTATCATCTCAACTATTGGGGAGGCCGAGGCAGGAAAATGGCTTGAACCCTGAAGGTGGAGGCTGTAGTGAGCTGAAATCACACCATTACACTCCAGCCTGGACAACAAGAGTGAAACTCTGTCTCCAAAAAAAAAATTGCATTGTTTTCTTAATGAAAACAGATAGTGAGATGTATTCGTTCATTTTCTGCCATGTAAGTAACTTTTTTTTTTTAGCTAATGATGACCACTGTGATTTATTTAGCCCATGGATTAGTATGATCTCAGGAAGTGAATTCATTGGTTGGATTGTTGTATTTTAGTAGGGATTACCTTTATATCCTGCATTGGGATGGACTTTCAGTACATAGAGATACTTTACATTTGGAAAAGAAAGAATGTAAAAGCTATTAAACCCTGCTGTTCTAGTATCATGGGATGAAGCTCATGGTATTTACTGGTTTGGTCTCTTCCTCATCAGGACTCAATGTGCTCAAAGTAAAACAGTGAAAATATTCAACTGAAACTTGCCAGGCAAGGAGTTTAACTCCAGTATTTCTGATTTTTGTTGTTTTGTTTTTAAACTAGATGAATTTGTGATCCCTCTGGACCCCCGTTGGAATATGCAGGCTCTAGATATGATTAGAAATTCGATGGACTTTGACCCAAAAATAGACCAGCCTGACCAGCTCTTTGCCCTTTTAGAATCAGCTGCAAACAAGTAGGTGAAACCTGCTGTTCTGTGCACTGCTTGTCACACCAGCTTCTCAGATTATACCATTCCTACGAATCTGTCAAATATAGCTTACATGTGTTGAATTTTGTGAACCTGAGAAGTTGTGGGATGTTGGACATGACTGCCTTTATCATACAGTAGTCATATTTCTACTGTTTTCTGTTTTGTTTTATTTTTTAGAGATGGAGTTTTGCTCTTGTTGACCAGGCTAGAGTGCAATGGTGCGATCTTGGCTCACCGCAACTTCTGCCTCCCAGGTTCAAGTGATTCTAGTGCCTTAGACTCCCAAGTAGCTGGGTTTACAGGCATGCGCTACCACGCCCAGCTAATTTTGTATTTTTAGTAGAGATGGGGTTTCTCCATGTTGGTCAGGCTGGTCTCGAACTCCCGACCTCAGGTGATTTGCCCACCTCAGCCTCCCAAAGTGCTGGGATTACAGGCGTGAGCCACCGTGCCTGGCTGTTTTCTGTTTTTGTTTTACTTTTGAGATAGGGTCCATCTCTGTCACTGAGGCTGGAGTGCAGTGGCACAGTCTCGGATCACTGCAGCCTTTGCCTCCTGAGCTTAAGCCATCCTCCCACCTCAGCCTCTCAAGTATCTGGGACTACAGGTACATACCACCACACCTGGCTAATTTTTGTAGAGACAGGGTTTTGCCATGTTGCCCAGGCTGGTCTTGAACCCCTGAGCTCAAGTGGTCCATCTGCCTTGACCTCCCAAAGTGCTGGGATTGTAGGTGTGAGCCATTGCCCCTAGCCTGGTTTTTGTTTGATTCCCAGCAGCTCTTTCCATTTTTTCCTACTTGTTTTTACTTGTTTCTTCCTTAGCCATCTCTCTGTCCACATCATTTCTTGTCCTCAAATGTTGGAGATCTAATAGCACCCTCATACTTATGTACACACTCACATATGAATTTACATAATTTTCAAAGTGAATTCACAAGTGTAGTGTATAGCTCAGAGGTTGCCTTGCAAGCTGCCAGCCCTCTACTCCCCTGCTCCCCTACTCCTCTTCCTACTGTGGCCACTTTGAAGAGTTCACAGTTCAGCTTTTCAGGTCGTGGCCGATCAAGGCCTGGCAATCTGCCTAGACCCAGCTTTCTCCATCCATCCATCCTCTTTTCTTTTACCTTAGTAGTTGTCCCCTTCACCTCCATCTCTTTAGTCCAAGATTTGCAGAGGCAGGAGAGGAATGGCAGGATGGAGGACCCTGATATTCCAAGTTTCCATCAGATAGAATATATGATTGAAAATGTTATTAACCGATAACTATTTGTTATGTTTTTTGAATCTCATTCCAGGACAATCATATATCTTGACCGGGAAAAACGGGTTTTTACTGAAGCAAAATTGGTTTCTGTTGGTAGCAAGAAGCTAAGAGATAGTGTTTTGAGAATGTCCTTTGAATTCCATCAAGGTAAGAACATTTGCCTTTTGTGTTCTCTAATTAAGCATCTGATTGCATAATGTTGCTAAAGTTGAGAGGCATATATAGCAGCTGCTGCTGTTTACTGATTTCTTTTCATCTGCTGGCCTGATTTTATACATGTTCCCTTACCCAGTATTAATGACTCACCTTTACTGAGCACTTACTTTGTGCTAGGTGCTTAGCTAAATGCTTTTTACATGTCCGTGATGTCATTTACTTTTTATAGCCACCTGTGAGACAGGTCCCCATGTTAGCAATGAGGAAAGGGAGACACAGAGATGCTCAAGGTCACATGTCTAGCAAGTAACACAGCCACTTGAAAACCAGATCTGTCAGCTAAAAAAAAAAATAACATTTATAAGCATTTCTTATAGGAGGAAGCATTTCTCCCATCTTTATTTTGTTTTTAATTGAAAAAATAGTTACGCTTTTTGGAAAACATTCAAACTGTTAAAGTATAAAAATTGAAAAGGTTCATCTTTACATTGGCTACTGATGGTAACAATTTCATTTATATTTTCTCATATCGGTGTTAACTCTCCATCTAAACATATGTACTTAATTTTCATTTTGTACTTAAACATTTTTATAAATACATTTTTGCTTTATAATCTGCATGTCAGTGAGACATTATTTACATCTGTAGTTAAACATGCCTCATTTGCCAAGCTTAATAATATAGCTTGAATATCCCTAATATGAAAATTCGAAATCTGAAATCCTCCAAAATCAGGAACTTTTTGAGCACTGACATGATGTCACAAATGGAAAATTTTATACCTGACCTCATGTAATAAGCCATGGTCAAAATAAAATCCAAACTTTGTTTCATACACAAAATTATTAAAAATATTGTAAAATATAAAATTTGGACTATGTATATCCCCAGAATACCTCATTATGTATGTGCAAAGATTCCAAAATCCAAAAAAATCCAAAATCTGAAACACTTCTGATCCTAAGCATTTCACATAAGAGACACTCAACCTGTAGTAGGCAAAGAATTTGGTTTTGGTTTTGCTCTTTCAAAATTTACTTTTGTATTGGGCATAACATCTAAGTTCTGATTATAGTGTATTTTGAAAATGTCCAGAGATTATTTTAAATCTGATGAAATATTCTTATTTATGTCGACTCTCAGATCCAGAGAGCTGTCACACTCTGCCCCATGAAATTGTAGTCAATCTTGCTGCTTTTTTTGAACTTTGTGATGCACTAATCCTGCTCTGGGTACAGTCCTCCCAGGGAATGGTGTCTGATGCCAGTGTCAGTGAGGTAAGGAACTACACCTTGTTTTATTTTAAACAACAAAATGTGTCTTTGTTGGCATAAAGATTCTTAGGACTAACAATAACTGTAGTGTTACTGTATGCCCAATATTACTTAAGAAATTTATTCTTAACAGTTTTAAATATACCTATAGACATAAAGTCTTATTGGGGTATAATTTACATATTATAGACTGCATATATTCAAAGCATATAAGTTTTGACATGTATGCACCTGAGAAACCATTATCACAATCAAGAATAATGAACACGTCCATCACCCCAAAAAGTTTCCTCATTCCCTTTTTGTATTTTCTTCTTTCTTGCTCCTGCCCACAGCCAGGTAACCGTTGATATGCTTTCTGTTACTGTGGATCAGTTATATTTTCTACAGGTGGAATTATACATTATTTTTTTTTTGTTTATCTTCTTTCATTCACCGTTGTGATTTGGAGATACACTCATGGTTTCATGTATTAGTCGTTCATTCCTCTTTATTGCCGAGGAGTGTTCCATTGTATGGATCTATAGTTTTTTTATTGATTCACCTGTTGATAGATTGTATCAGTTACATTTTAATCCACGTAAGTCCTCCTAGACATTATTGTCACATATGGATCCTAGATATTGTCACATGTGGGTTAAATGGAGTTTTTAATCCATGTTATTCTAGTAAGTCTAATAAAGTAGTACAGCCAGTCTTAAACTTTTTGATCTCTGCCTCTATACTCTTAAAGGTTCTCAAAAATCCAGAAGATGCTACATCTGTCAGTTTTTACCATATTAGCTAAATCTGAAAAATTTTTTTAAAAAAAACAAAAAACCATCACTTTGCTTAAAAATACAATAGTTGGCTGGGCGCTGTGGCTCTCGCCTATAATCCCAGCACTTTGGGAGGCTGAGGTGGGCAGATCATGAGGTCAAGAGTTTGAGACCATCCTGGCCAACATGGTGCAACCCCGTCTCTACTAAAAATACAAAAAAATTAGCTGGGCGTGGTGGTTCGCGCTTGTATTCCCTGCTATGTGGGAGGGTGAGACAGGAGAATTGCCTGAACCTGGGAGTCGGAGGTTGCAGTGAGCTCAGGTTGTGCCACTGGACTCCAGCCTGATGCCTGGTGATGGAGTGAGACTCTGTCTCAAAAAAAAAAAAAAAAAAATACATTAGTTGGGGAGAGAGAGCATGGGGAGAAATGCCAGGAAAAAAAAAAGAAAAAAGATACAATAGCAAACTATTTCATGTTAATATGGATAACTTATTTTTAATAAAAAAGCAATTTCTAAAATAAAAATTGAAAAGTACAGAACTGTTTTACATTCCTGCAAGTGTCTGTAGATCCGGCTTGTGAGAAGATGCATTCTTGTAGTATGTTGTTTGGACTAAAGTTTGTGAAGAAAAACTGGCCTCCCAGTATTAGGTTGGAAAGGGGAGGAATATGTTAGTAACCATTCCGTATAATTTTGAATATTTTTATTTGATGGCACACCAAAAATGACAAGTAGTTTTGTAAAGGTTATTTGTGATGGACAATCTGAGCAAATAATCACTGAGCTTCTTATGCTAAAATTCATTGGCCTACTTTGCACCTTGTATGGACTTCGACCCTGCGTGAGTCTACAGCTCATGCATAGATAACTTGGAAAATACTGTTTACTGAGTTGGCACATTTCATCCTTCAATATAAATAAATAAAAAAGTCATACCTGTGAAAATCATAAATCTCATCAGAAAAATCGTTACCAGGATATTGTCAGACTCTGTTTTCCAGATTTTTTTTTTGGAGAAAGAGTCTCCCTCTGTCACCCATGCTGGAATGCAATGGCGCAGTCTTGGCTCACTTCAGCCTCCTCCTCCTGGGTTCAAACAGTGATTGTCCTGCCTCAGTCTCCTGAACAGCTGGGACTACAGGCCTGCGCCACCACTGGGGGTTTCACTTTCTTGGTCAGGCTGGTCTCGAACTCCTGACCTCAGATGATCTGCCTGCCTCACCTTCCCAAAGTGCAGAGATTATAGGCATGAGCCAGTGCCCCTGGCCTCTCAATTGTTTCTTTTGAAGTAAAAGTTTCACATCATTCATTTTCAATGCAATGTCTGTCAAATAGTCATAATTTGCCTGCCAGTCCTTTTTTTTGTACCATTAGTGTAAATGTCATTGTAGTGAAAATGGCAAATAACATGATATTATGAGAATAGCTTTGACCTCGTGGACTATGGAAGGACATCACTAATCTAGAAACAGTATTACTGTAAAAATACATTATTCAAAGGGCCATGTTGGAGACTAAATTACCTGATTTGCATTGCAATCCTGTTTTAAAACCGTATGTTATTGTCTAAGGGTAGACATTTAGATCAACGAAACAAAATAGAGGATTCTCAGATAGACCCCCTTCTCCATATATGGTCAGTTATTTTTATTTCTTTTGTTTTTTGTTAAATATGCAAAGGTAATTTAATAGCAAAGATGGTCAGTTCTGTAACTGATGATGGAACAATTAGATGTCCATATAAAATAAAGTGAGTCTTTACCCGCATCTCACATTATATGTAGTTACCTCAACATAGATGAGACCTTTGAATAAAGAACTAATATAGAAAGAAACATTGAAAGAAAACATAGGAAAAAATCTTTACAACCTAAGTATAGGCAAAGATTTTTTTTTAGGATTCTCTGTAAATGAAAGAAATTGATAAATTGATTTCATCAAAATTTAAAACTTCTATTCTTCATAGCTACCTTTATAAATGTACTTGGAGAAAATGAATATATTGGGAAAAACTCTTAACAAAACACATAAATTCCATAAACTAGGTATACTAATACAACCCTGTTGGTTTTTTTTGAGACAGAGTCTTGCTCTGTCACCAGCCTGGAGTGCAGTGGCATGATCTCAGCTCACTGCAACCTCCACCTCCTGAGTTCAGGCGATTCTCTGCCTCAGCCTCCTGAATAACTGGAACTACAGGCATGCATCACCATGTCCAGCTAATTTTTGTATTTTTAGTAGAGACAGAGTTTTACCATGTTGGCCAGGATGGTCTCAATCTCTTGATCTTGTGATCTGCCCGCTTGGCTTCCCACAGTGCTGGGATTACAGGCATGAGCCACCTTGCCCTACCACAACCAAATTTTACAATGAGCAAGACATCTGAATAGAATGTCTCCTCAGAAGTTATAAGAGTGCCCAGTAAGCACTTAAAAAATTGCAGTGTCTTCAATTATCAAAGAAATGTCACTTGAAACCACAGTGAGATACCATGCACCAGAATAGAAATAAAAATGAAACTAAAGTTAAAATCATTAACAGCCAGTATTGGCAAAAAAAATGGAACAACTGAAACTCTTCTACCCTTCTGGTTGGAGTACAAAATGGTATAGCTGCTTTAATACAGTTAGTAGGTTCTTATAAAATGACCTACACTTTGACCCAATAATTCTATTTTCTCTAATAACTTTCTGCTTCAAATGCTGAAAGATCTTTGCCTCCTCTGTCTGCCTTACTGTTCCTACATATATTCCAGTTTAATCTTAGACTTTTTGTTTATGTATGTTGAGCATCGATTAACAATCACACTCTACCTTGTATGTCTTTTCCTGGAAGATGTTTGTGAGCAGTCTTGGTTTATGTAGTTTTTCTTTTTCTTCTCTTTTTAGTCATTCCTCTTGCCATCTTATCTAAGAGACTTTGTTTTTAGATCTTAGGTTCTCTGCAGTGGCGGGACCGGTTTTGGACTGTAGCTGACACAGTAAAAGTAGATGCCGCAGGTCTGGCGCTTCTTGCCCTCCATTGGCACTGGGTTTTAAAACATCTGGTCCACCAGATCCCCCAACTTCTGATGAATCATGAAGACAAGTAAGATTCATATTTAGAGTAGTAATGTCAAGAATTACAGACAGATGATGTTAAAGATAAGAGGATTTGGAACTGAAACTGTTTATTTATTCTTGCTTTATTTTGTTTTATTCCCTTGGCATATTTGTGAATGTACAACTAAAAAAGAAAATATTAGTGGCTTCTCTTACTCTCCAGCGTTTCCCGCTTTCCTTATTTCCCCTCTGCTCTCGTTCTCCTTTAAAGATACTACAAAGAAGTTCAGACTGTCTCAGAACATATTCAGAAGTGTCTGGGGAGCCAGACCGGCGGCTTTGCTGGTGTGAAGAAGTTGCAGAAGTTCCTGGGACGACCGTTTCCTTTTAAGGTACGCCTGGAAGTATCTAGTAAATTACAAAAATTTGACTACTTTTTCTGAAGTCCTGGAACTTAGGAACTGACATCGGGTAAGAAATAATCGTCGTCAGCCGGGCACAGTGGCTCATGCCTGTAATCATCTCAGCACTGTGGGAGGCCGAGGCGGTGGATCTCCTGAGGTCAGGAGTTTGAGACCAGCCTGACTAACATGGAAAAAACCCGTCTCTACTAAAAATACAAAATTAGCCGGGTATGGTGACACATACCTGTAATCCCAACTACTTGGGAGGCAGAGGCAGGAGAATTGCTTGAACCGGGAGGTGGTTATGGTGAGCCAAGATCATGCCATTGCACTCCAGACTGGGTGACGAGTGAAACTCCGTCTCAGAAAAAAAGAGAGAGAGATTAATCCTTGTCTTTAAAGCATAACTCTTAAATACAGTTTTCCCTTGGCATCTAGGGGTGATTGGTTTAAGGATTCTCCTTGGATACAAACATCCAGGACAGCCCAAGCCTCTTATATAAAATGGCGTTGAGTATGTATATAACCTGTGTACACTTTACATCATCTCTAAATTACAATACCTCATACAGTGTAAACGGTGTGTAAATAGTGATTATACTGTATTGCTTTGGTAATAATGACAAGATAAAATGGCCTTAATGTGTTCAGTACAGACACAACCATCCATTTGTCCCCCTGAATATTTTCAACCCACGATTGGTTGCATTGATGCCGAACCCACAGATAACAAGAGGGCAGGCTCTATCCTATGAATCTTGCTAAGTAATTTGCTACATAATATCATTTTACTTATTCCTAAGATTACTAAGGTTGGGTAGAGATTTAACTGGGTAGAGAGTAAACAAGTCCTTTGTTTTCTGGAAACATTAAGAATATATCATAAATTTGTTCTCAGACCGTATAGGCTACTGAAGAAAACCACATTTGTGCTCTATAGTTTGCTCTTGTGGGTTTTGTTGTTTCAGGACAAGCTGGTGGTGGAGTGTTTTTCACAACTGAAGGTCCTTAACAAAGTCCTTGCCATCAGGGAGCAGATGCCTGCCCTTGGGGAGAGTGGATGGCAGGAAGACATTAATCGTCTCCAAGTGATTGCTTCTGAATGGACATTGAAGAAAAGTCTCCTGCAAGCCTGGGGATTGATACTTAGAGCTAATATTTTGGAAGATGTCAACCTAGGTAAAATATTCTAGCATTTGGCTAGCTGACAAATGCCCTGAAAATATCCTCTTGCTGGTAGCTAGTAAGTTTTCCCTTAGACTTTTGTTTTCTGGGGAATGTGAGGGGTATATTGTAAATATCTTTAAATAAGTGTCAGGCATAGGACTAAGCTTCACATATATTTTTAATTCCATCAGTAGAATCGTGTAGGTATTAATAACATTTCACAGATAAGAATCTCAGAGCTCAGGTTAAGGAGCTTAACTCTGGTTAGCTCAAGTTAAGCTTGCAGTCATAGCAGGCTGTTGAGAATCTAGCTGTACTCTTGACAACTGTGCCCTAATACAGTGTTTGTCTTTTGTCCAGATGAACTGAGGAATTTTTTGCATGCTCAGTGTTTAGAACTGAAAGCCAAAGGACTCTCACTTGGTTTTCTGGAGAAAAAGCATGGTGAAGCTTCCCCCCTGTTCCGTCCAGACTTTACCTCCTTGATCCGGCTCACGAGGAGTGTTCAGCTGTGGCCTGCAATGGAGTACCTGGCTATGCTTTGGCAGTACAAAGTGACAGCTGATTTTATGGCACAGGCTTGTCTTAGAAGGTAAACCATGCTTTCAGTTGTTTTTCTCTTGATTATTCTGTGTATCCTGTACCCATAAACAAAGCACAGACTTGGTGGGGATGGTTTCTGAAACAGAGGGAGAGAGTTTGCCATTTTGGAAAGCCAAAATGTATTGAAGGTTTTTTGCTGGTTGTGACTCTACTTTAAAAGTCACTAGGAATTTTATCAATAGACTTGTTCATTTTTAGATAAATGTATTATAAGTTTTATGTTCCACTTTCCTTGATGTAGCAGCTTTCCAGTAGTTCTTTGATTGTCCATACCCCATCTTCTCCCTCTTTATTTTTGGAACAGATGCAGCAAAAGTCAACAACCCCAGATAAATGAGGAGATAGGTCATCTCATCTCATTTTGTCTTTATCACACACCAGTTGCTCCTCAAGAGCTTCGAGATCTGTGGTCCTTGCTGCATCATCAGAAGGTAAAAATCACAAAGAGACATAAGTCTCCTTTACACTATGAGTTGATCAGATTTTCTGTGACAGAGTGGTTACAAAACATTTTGTTTATTCTTAAAATTCCATGTTGGCTGGGCACGGTGGCTCACGCCTGTAATCCCAGGACTTTGGGAGGCTGAGGTGGGTGGATCATGAGGTCAAGAGATCGAGACCATCCTGGTCAACATGGTGAAACTCCATCTCTACTAAAAATACAAAAAGTTAGCTGGGCACGGTGGCATGTGCCTGTAATCCCAGCTGCTCAGGAGGCTGAGGTAGGAGAACTGCCTGAACCCAGGAGGCAGAAGTTGTGGTGAGCCGAGATCGCGCCATTGCACTCCAGCCTGGGTAACAAGAGCGAAACTCCGTCTCAAAAAAAAAAAAAAATTCCGTGTTGGAAACCTTAGGTTATTTCGAGTTAGCTCTTAAAGGAGAGAATTTTTAATAATCTTTTGCAGTAATTATGAGGGTGTATTACAACTCTTATCACAGGAGTATTCATTTGGTTTCCAATTAGATGAAATGAAAATATTTGCTTCTAAAAACTTCCCAATTGCTCAAAAATATATTGTGAGAATGTTTCGTACTCTTCTCTTCTAATAAGTTGAATATGAATACTAATAAACTCTGGTTAATAGAATTTCATTAGTACAGCTTTAAATAAAATTGTAAACATGTCTCATGTCTTGACCAAGATGACTGGCATGGCAGAGAATCGGAAAAATTTGGATTAATACCTTTAAAGTCATGATAGTTTTAGATGAGTCTTAGAAAAAAGAGAACTAATAACTTGATTTATGAAGTCTTTCTCAAATATTCTCTTACCTAATTATTCCTTTATTTTTAGGTGTCTCCTGAAGAAATTCCTTCTTTGTGGTCTGAGTTATTTCATTCCATGTTTATGGCTTTCTGGAGCAGTACAGTGACCACACATCCAGAGTACTGGCTGATGTGGAACCCTTTGCCTCCAAGGCAGGAGAGGGAGGTGCCCAAGTCCCTTTTGGGCTCCACATTGAAGGTTTGTTGGTCTAAAATTATAAAAAATGTTTGATAGTGGCAAAAGAGTTTCTGAATGGATCTATCAATAAACATTTAGTCCTGGCCAACAATAGTGACTAGGTGGTTGCAACACTTTATTTTCTGCAGGATGTTAAATAAGTGTAGTGTCAGTAAAAGTATACCCTATTAAATGATTTGTGAAATTCGGAGATAAGTCAAAGAAGTTTTTTGAAAAAGTCTATACTATTTTTCTAATTAAAAGATCATTTTTTTCACTATAAAATATTTAGACAGTACAGATATATGTATATATAATATATAGAATTCATTAGAAATATCCACTCTGTATCCTTTTGTTTACATATATTTTTATATTAAATACATACATAAACAAAAATAAGTACTCATATATGTAATAGAAATATGTATGTCATTCCAGCTTATTTTATCTTTTTGAGATGGAGTTTTGCTCTTATTGTCCAGGCTGGAGTGCAGTGGCACAATCTCGGCTCACTGCAACCTCTGCCTCCTGGGTTCAAGTGATTCTCCTGCCTCAGCTTCCCGAGTAGCTGGGACTACAGGCACGTGCCACCACACCCAGCTGATTTTTGTATTTTTAATAGAGATGGGGTTTCACATGTTGGCCAAGATGGACTCAAATCTCTTGACTCTGTGATCTGCCTGCTTCTGCTTCCCAAAGTGCTGGGATTACAGGCATGAGCCACTGCGCCTGGCTCATTCCAGCTTATTCCGTTATATTGATGTGTTAGAATTTATTTCACTCACTTTCTTATTGATAAAGTGTTGACGTTTCTTGCATTTTCTCCCTCCTCCTCCTGTAATTAGCATGCCACATTGACTATCCTTGTATACATCTTTGTCCACTTGTTGGCACATTTCTGCACATAAGTTACTGGAATTACAATTGAATCCTTGGTCAGAGTATCTACACATTAAAAGCAAAATTGTGGTTATTATCAGACTACAGATGTGACTTTTGCTTTTTACTTTTTTAAAGATGAAGAGGGAGGTCCTGAAGTCCTGGATGACCTCAGTGAGGTTTAGTTTCCTTTAATATAGAGACGAGGACCTGTTCTTCATACGCTTGCCATACTGGGTGTTAGAAACATTTCTAGTTGTTTCTGTCATATAGTTAGACTTATTTGCACTTTGATAAATGCGAAGATTGAGCATATTTTCACATGTTTATTTATCCCCTTTAGTTCTTCTCTGAATTTTCTAGTCATAGTCGTCCTTTTTTAAGAAAAAAAATTGGGTTGGCTGGGCATTGTAGCTCACTCCTGTAATCCCAGCTACTTGGGAGGCTGGGGCTGGAGAATTGCTTGGGCCTGGGAGGCAGAGGTTTCAGTGACCCAAGATCACACCACTGCACTCCAGTATGGGTGACAGTGTGAAAAAACTGTGTTGTTCTGCATCAGTTTATTATTGAAGATCTTTTTATATGTTATGGATGTTAAACTTTAGTCCAATATAGGTTGGAATTATATTTCTAGTTTTCCATCGTCTCTCAAGTTTGTTTTCTTATATGTCACAAGTTTTATTTTTTCCCTCCAAATCTGCCAGTCCCTTCTACTTACTGACTTTAGGGTCATGCTTTTAAAAAATATTTTCCTTCATCACCTCAACAGTTCAAAATTATTTTCTATTATTTTCTCCTATATTTTTATTTTGTGTTTAAATCAATGTCATCTGTTTATGTTTTATGAGATAGGGATGCAAATTTTTTCTTTTATGCAGATCCAATAGCGATGTAATGACACCATTTTGACTAATTTGTCCTTTCCACTCTCATTTGAAATGCCACATTTATCATATATACCTTACTGCCCCAAATATTTATGGATTGACTTGACCTTATTGTAAAACACCTCTCAAAGCCTTTAGTGATAAACTTTGGATCCCTGAGGGTTGGGTGACATATACAGAGTTGACTGTCACACACATTTGGCTGTCAGCCCTTTGACAACCCTTTGCTTTGGACAGTTATTGCTGTGTCCCATTTAACAGTCTAAGGAGTACAAACATGGCAGATTTTGTCCCTGGCTTTTAAATTTACCTCTCACTCCTTTCCTGAATTGCCTTTTATCCTCATATTGTGGCTCCTTCCCTTCTGCACGAATGTTCTCCCTGATTCCCAGGTTTGCAGTCTTTCCTCATGCATTACCAAAGCACCCATTGCCCATTTCCTAGAGCATGGAGTCCACTTTCATTTAAGGTATACCAGCCCCAACCCATTCTCTCCTTCTAATCCCATCTCTGAGTGATGCTTACCTGTTCCAAGCAACCTGAACCTTCTCTTTTTATTCTTTGTATTCTCAGGTTCCCTATTGCTGCTTCTGGAAATTGTCTTAATTCATTTTTAAAAGTTACTGACTCTTCTCTTGTCCCTTAGGGCCCTGGCAATCTCAATAGACCCATATTCTCTAAGTGCTGCTTTGAAGTCTTAACCAGCAGCTACAGAGCAAGTCCCTGGGATGTGAGTGGCCTCTCCATCCTGTCCTCCTCTCATGTGACCCTAGGAGAATGGCTTGAGAGAACCCAGCAGCTCCAGGACCTCAGTTCGATGCTTTGGACCAACATGGCTATCTCTTCAGTAGCAGAATTCAGGTATTTCCTCTCCCTGGAAGCATACTGTAAAGTTCCTGCCTTTTCTCCAGAGCATGGAATGGAGAACTTCCTTCTATAGTGGCTAGTTCCAGTGTTTGAAGTGTGGGCATTTTCTGCCTGGATCAGCATGTTTTCAGGCTACCGTGAGCTGACCAGTTCCTCTGTCAGTTTTAAGCATATTGTGATCAAGAGGGTGATGCTTAGTAAATCAAATAAGACAATGTGAGAACAGAAATTCAGCTCCACATATTGATGCTGCATTCTGTGGTTATTTCCTGAGAGAGCGATAGTATATGAAAAGGAATGCCTTTTGCTACAGTACAAGCCTTTCAGTGCTTTCTTATTGTCCCCACAGACGCACGGATTCCCAACTGCAGGGGCTGGTGCTATTTCGGCACCTGGCAGGCCTAGCAGAGCTGCTCCCAGAGCCCCGGCGGCAGGAGTACATGCAGAACTGTGAGCAGCTGCTGCTTGGGAGCAGCCAGGCTTTCCAGCATGTGGGCCAGACTCTTGGGGACATGGCTGGTCAGGAGGTGCTGCCCAAGGAACTGCTCTGCCAGTTGCTCACCTCCCTGCACCACTTTTTTGCTGAAGGGGAGAGTAAGAAGAGCCTGCCTGAGCCAGCCCAGCGTGGGAGCCTCTGGGTGAGCCTTGGCTTACTGCAGATTCAGACATGGCTTCCCCAGGCACGCTTTGACCCTGCAGTGAAAAGGGAGTACAAGCTCAATTACGCCAAGGAAGAGGTAAGCGTTTGGAGCATGGGCTCCTTCCCTGACCTGCTGGGTCTGCTGATTGTATTACTCCTTTTGGGAATTCAGATCATGATATTGCATAAGCTGCCTTATGACTCCCCAGGAGTCTTGTTTTGTTTTATTTCATTTTTTTGAGATGGAGTCTTGCTCTGTTGTCCAGGCTGGAGTGCAGTGGAGTGATCTCAGCTCACTGTAACCTCTGCCTCCCGGGTTCAAGCAATTCTCTGCCTCACCTGCTGAGTAGCTGGGATTATAGGCACCTGCCACCACGCCTGGCTAATTTTTGTACTTTTAGTAGAGATGGGGTTTCACCATTTTAGTCAGCCTGATCTTGAACTCCAGACCTCATGATCCACCCACCTTGGCCTCCCAAAGTGTTGGGATTACAGGCATGAGCCACCACGCCTGGCCTGGATTTGGATATTTCTTTAGACAGTATATAGTATCCCTATGTCCTAGGAATTTTGAACTTATTGGTGTTTGCTGTCTAAAACTCAAGAATCAAGTAGAGGCTAGGTGTGGTTGGTCACCCCTGTAATCCCAGCACTTTGGGGGCTGAAGTGGGAGGAACACTTGGTCCCAGGAGTTTGAGACTAACCTGGGCAACAACATAGTAAGATCCTCATCTCTACCAAAAAAGAAAAAAAAAAAAAAAAAAAAAAAAAAAAAAAAGCTGGGTGTGGTGGTATGTGCTTCTAGTACCAGCTACTCACTAGGCTGAAGCAGTAGGATCACTTGAGCCTGGGAGGTCAAGGCTGCGGTGAGCCATGATCACATCACTGCACTTCAGCTGGGCTACAGAGCCGAGACCCTGTCTTAAAAAAAAAAAAGAGAGAAGTTGAATCAGATACTGTGGTATCCCTTGCTATTTGAAGTTTGAACCAAGTTCAGGGACAAAATACATTAAGGTAATGATACGCTAGTACATATTTTGAAGAAGGAAAAATATATTAGTAGGAGCAGCAGAGAGACTAAAAAATTCAGTGGTGGAAATAAGATCGTTTCTTTTCCCTCACAGCTCTGATGTGAGTAGTCTAGATTAGTGGAGCAGAGCCACCTCTCCTTGGGTTATTCAGGAAATTGTATTAGTAGGAGTAGCAGAGAGACTTAAAAATTCAGTGATGTAAGTAAGAGTGTTTCCCCTCACAGCTCTGACGTGAGTGGTCTAGATGAGTGGAACAGAGCCACCTCTCCTCGGGTTATTCAGGAACCCAGATTCTTTCCATCTGGTTCCTCTACGTGTCCCCAGGGCATTGTCTTCATGTGCATGGTCACAGCTGGGACACAATGAACTGACTTTTCTGTTTTCCATTAGTTACACCAACTGCAGTGTGAATGGAAGACACGGAACCTGTCATCCCAGCTGCAGACTGGACGAGACCTGGAAGATGAAGCCATTGTCAGTTACTCTCATCCTCATGTCAGGTAACATAGCAGAGTGATTATTTGTTTTGGGGATTATTGACTCTCCTTTTGATGGATTTGACCTTTGCAATGTAGTTATGGTGTCAGTAGAGGTGATAATATACACTTCTAAACTACATTAGCGATTAGATCCCAAAGCCTTGGTTATATTCAGGAAAAATATATGCCTTGTGAAAGGAGGGGAGGGGGCTATTCAGGCTGTGTGTTCACATGGGGCCAAGATGTTTGAAGCCAAAACTTAGTCTCAGCCTAGAAGAACTGGGGTGTGATGGGATACACTGTATTTTTCTGCTATTCTTGGCTGTAGGTCTGTTACTAGGAAATCAGTACAGATTAGGGATCCCTTATCCAAAATGCCTGGGACCAGAAGAGTTTTGGATTTGGGGTTCTTTTTTTCCTTCAGATTTTGGAATATTTATACCAGTTGAGCATCCCAGATCTGGAAATCTGAAATCCAAAATACTCTAATGAGTATTTTCTTTGAGTGTCATATTGGCTGGCAGTCAGAAAGTTGGGAGCCTTTTGGACATTTGGATTTGGAATGCTCCGCCTGTGTAATGTAGTAGCTTCTGAGTTCCAGTCCTACTGCTGACCTTTGGTTTTAGACGTTGGGTAAATCACTTAATGCCTTACATCGCAGTGTCCACATCAGCCTAAGAAGGATAATTACAGTTAGGTACTCCAGCGAGTCGTGATGAGGCTTCGGTAAGATATGCATCTGAGCACCAGCAACATAACACAACACAGTAACTGCTGTGTAAATGTTACCCATTTTCACTAATTGTCAATATTGGCATCATGATTGACACGATATTGGAAATATTATTTTGCAGTAGCTGATATTTCTTCCTTCTGTTTTCCTGAGGATCCAATCTAGATTTGCTGTTCTTCTGACAATTTGCATACTGTGTTACTTTCTCTTTAGGATGCTTCGCCAAAGGATGGATCGGCTGGAGAATTTAACCTGTCGCCTGTTGAAGAAGCAGGCGTTCAGACCACAGGTGCCTGGCTATGAGTCCCTGGTGCAGGAGATCCACCACTACGTCACCAGCATAGCCAAGGCCCCTGCCATTCAGGATCTGCTCACACGGCTCCTGCAGGCCCTTCACATGGATGGGCCACGGTCTGCTCAAGTAGCCCAGAGCCTTCTAAAGGAGGAGGCCTCTTGGCAGCAGTCACACCACCAGTTCCGGAAGCGGCTGGCAGAGGAGTACGCCTTGTATCCAGATGCCGTGACCCCACTGCAGGCATCCATATTGCAGTTACAACATGGCATGAGGCTGGTGGCCTCCGAGCTCCATGCCTCACTCCACAGCAGTATGGTTGGTGCAGACAGGTTGGGGGCCCTGGCCACAGCCTTGCTGGCTTTCCCATCAGTGGGTCCCACCTTCCCCACTTACTATGCTCACGCAGACACTTTGTGCTCAGTGAAGTCTGAGGAGGTTCTACGAGGCCTCAGGAAGCTAATCCTCAAGCACTCAGGAGGAAAGGAGCTGGAAGGCAGGGGCCAGAGAGCCTGTCCCACTCGGGAGCAGCTGCTGATGAACGCTCTCCTTTACTTGCGCTCCCATGTACTATGCAAGGGAGAGTTGGACCAGAGGGCCCTGCAGCTCTTCAGACATGTGTGTCAGGTGAGCCATCTCTGGGAGGGTGGCCTACAGGACATCAGCATGCCTGGTAGATACACGGTGTGGTTAGGGCGTGGGCATTCTGTTTTCTGTTCCTTCCTTTTCCCAATATAACTAGTATGTTTGCGGACTTTTGCCTCTCAATTTTTAAGAGATTAAAAAACAAATGAGAAAGCCCTTTATCATACACCGCAAATATTTTCTCCCAGTTTGTCAATTGTCTTTTGACTTTGTTTATGGTAATTTTTCCCTGTACTTGTGTCAACTTACATTAAAATGTTCCCTTATTAATAAAAGTAATTTGTTCTCCTTGTATGCAGCTAAGAGAATAAAAGCTAAAATTTCTATTGATCCTACCACGTAAAGCTGTATAAACCCCACTAACACACCAGGTATCCCATTCTAGGCTTGCTTGTGTGTATATATTAATATTTATCTGTAGCTGTATATCTTTGACACCCTAATTTCAAAAAGTAAGTTGTCCCAGTGGCTTACAGATTTTTTTTAGTAGCAGCAGCTTTAAAAAAGTACAAGTCTTAGCATAGTTAACAGAAAAAAAGAGTCTCACTGATTGAGTTTGATTCTGATCCTCCCCAGGGCCCCTGGACATGTTCTTAAACTGCTACAAAATGATGTACAACAAACCACTAATAAAGTTTATTCTATTTGATAACTTTGTTTTAAAAACTTCACATATAGTGATTATTTTCCTGTCATTATGTATTCCTCACCTGCTTCCTATTTAGTGACTGCTGTGTCTGTTTATGCCACAAGTAATTTTAACTATTTTTCTATCATTGAACATTTACATTTGTATATACTTGTTTTTACTGTTTTGCCCCCCCACCCACCCAAAAGAAAATCAAAAAAACAAATCCAGGTGCCACAGTAAATAGTCTCACAGCGATATTTGAATACAAATTTGCGAGATCAGGATTGCTGGGCAAAGATTAAACACACTTCTTAGGCTTTACGTGCAAATTACCTTCCTAGGTGGTGGATGCTTATTTCCTCAGCCTTAGCAGTACTGGATGATTCTTTAATTTACAGGTTTTGCCAGTTGAAGGATCTGAAATCTTAGAGTTGGAAGGGAATTTCAGAAGTGTCTGGTAAGACACATTCCAGTTTTGCCTGATTGGTGCCCTTTGATCACCCAGTCCCTAATCTAAGTGTTTCTTTCCTGAACTCCTTGGCCAGCTCCTCGGGGTGCCACCCAAGTGCCGTCTGAACCACGGCCCTCTCATGGCCAACCCCGAGTCTGTCCTTGTTACAAAGCACATTTAGCTGTTGACAGGAAGTTCCCATTAGCTGTATTGTGGCAAGTTTTCCACCTTCAAAAGTACAATGACACAGCAGGGGGGATTTAGGAAACTGGTTGCTGAGAATACATACTTTGAAAACAAAACCCATTTGCTCTTTTTTACATGGAATTTAGTTTCTTGGATGTTGGCTTTTATTTGTTTTTGAGTCATGATACTTTCATGAGAAATTAATAGCAAATCTTGCCTTTGTGATGCCTCAGCAATGAAAGTTCAGCTTCTTTCTGTCTGTGTAACTTTCAGGAAATCATCAATGAGTGGGATGAGCAAGAACGCATAGCCCAAGAGAAGGCTGAGCAGGAAAGCAGCTTATATAGATACAGGAGCAGGAACTCTAAGACAGCCCTGAGTGAAGAGGAGGAGGAAGAACAGGAGTTCAGGAAACAGTTCCCCCTGCATGAACAGGTAGGGCAGTGGTGGCAGGGTTTGTTTTTGAATACATTCCTTTCATACATTCCCTCTGATGGCTTTCTCTCTCTCTGTCTCTATTTTAGAGGCTAGAGTGCAGTGGCACAATCATAGCTCACTGCAGCCTCAAACTCCTGGGCTCAAACAGTCCCCCAAGTAGCTACAACCACATGTGCATGCTACCACATCCTGCCAGTTTTTAAATCTTTATAATACAGAGACAGGGTCTCACTATGTCACCCAGGCTGTCTCAAACTCCTGGCCTCAAGCAGTCCTCCCACCTCGGCCTCCCAAAGCACAAGGATTATAGGTGTGAGCTACTGTGCCCAGCCTATCATCTTTTAAAATATACTTTAATACATATATAAGTCCTATTTCATTTTCTCCATCATTCTTAGGCTTTTTTCTTTCTTCGTTTTGGTCTGATTAGAAGTAGATTCTGATTTTTAAAAGTTCAATTGCTCTAATGCTATTTATAGGACTTTGCAGATATTTTGGTACAGCCAACGCTGGAGGAGAACAAAGGAACTTCAGATGGGCAAGAAGAGGAAGCAGCCACAAACCCAGCTCTCCTCTCCCAGAATTCAATGCAGGCAGTAATGACGATACACCAGCAATTGTGCCTCAACTTTGCTCGATCCCTCTGGTACCAACAGACTCTGCCACCGCATGAAGCAAAGCATTACCTCAGCCTGTTTCTGTCTTGCTATCAGACTGGGGCATCGCTTGTGACACACTTCTACCCCCTAATGGGTACAGTAGTTTACTTTTGTTATGCCCTTGGGAAATCAAAGCAAATAGATGCCGTTGCTGCTTCTGGAACAGTCACACTCATTAATTTCCTGTTTTCACATAATTCCTTATTAATGGAGTTTCCTTGGCTTAAACAACTTAAGCTGATTCAAGAAAACTGATTTAGGATTATGTAGTAAGATGGATTTTCATCAGTGTGCAAATAGGTGAAGAAAATGATGGATATGTATTGTTTGGATCCTTTAGGTGAAGGATTAAGAAAATAAGGATAAGGAGTTAATTTTATTTTTTTTCGCCTTAGCATTATTTCTCCTTTCCGTCAATAGCCTCAGTGCTTTTCAAATGCAATAATATATACCTGGAAGCAACCAGTTTCATGGAATATGGTTTAATAGTTGGTTCAGTGCAGTTTCCTACATGATTTCATGGCATTATTTCATGCAAGTAGGGAGAAGGCGTAAGTTTCCTTTCTGTTTACCTAGAATAGGTATAAAACTGGGAATTTGAATGCATTGAGTTAACCCCTACACCCTTTTGTTTATACCTAGGCAGTTTCTGACTTCCTCTGCGCATTCCAAAACTTGAGAACTTTAGGTAGCTGCTATGGTATTGGTATTACAATTCTCTAGGCCAGTATTGCTTTGGGGGAGAATGGCATTCATTAGTGCCATTAGTTCATTGTTGCTGATGTCTTTTTGGGGGGGAGGGGGGCGGGGGACAGAGCCTTGCTCTGTTGCCAGGTTGGAATGCAATGGTGCGATCTCAAATCACTGCAACCTCCACTTCCTGGGTTTAAGTGATTCTTCTGCCTCAGCCTCCCAAGTAACTGGGACTATAGGCGTGTGCCACCACTCCCAGCTAATTTTTTGTATTTTTAGTAGAGACAGGGTTTCACTGTGTTAGCCAGATGGTCTTGATCTCCTGACCTTGTGATCTGCCTGCCTTGGCCTCCCAAAGTGCTGGGATTACAGGAGTGAGCCACCGCACCTGGGCTGTTTTTTGTTTTGTTTTTTTTGAGACAGTCTTGCTCTGTTGCCCAGGCTGGAGTGCAGTGGCAGGATCTTGACTCATTGCAACTCCACCTCCCAGGTTCACGCAATTCTTGTGCCTCAGCCTCCCGAGAAGCCAGAATTACAGGCACGTGTATGCCTGGCTAATGTCTGTATTTCTAGTAGGAATGAAGTTTCATTATGCTGGCCAGGATGGTCTCAAACTCCTGGCCTCAAGCAATCTGCCCACCTTGGCCTCCCAAAGTACTGGGATTACAGATGTGAGCCACTGCTCCTGGCCCTGCACCTGGACATCTTCTTGACATGTTGATAGATCAGCTTACTGAGTTCACTAACTTTACCATGATGTTAACTTCACAGGAGTTGAACTGAATGACCGACTCTTGGGCAGCCAACTTTTGGCCTCCACCCTTTCCCATAACACTCTCTTTGGGGAGGCAGCCTCAGACCTGATGGTGAAACCTGATGGGCCCTATGACTTCTACCAACATCCTAATGTTCCGGAAGCACGGCAGTGTCAACCTGTGCTTCAGGGTTTCTCAGAGGCTGTCACTCACTTGCTGCAGGACTGGCCAGAACACCCAGCACTTGAACAGGTAGAGCAGTTGCTGAGGAAGGAATTCTCATAGTACCGAATCTGCAATGAGGATGCAACCTCACCATCATCCCTGGGGGCACTCACTTGCACACGTGTACATATAAACAAAGGCTAAAGAACTGCAATTCAGTGAGATGCTACTTACTAACTACAGGATGAACACACCAGTTTTGTATTTCTCTTGTATAAATGATGTTGGGGACTCTGTTAATTTTTTTTGTTGGGCAGGGGTTGCTGACCATGTAATAAAATGCTGCCATGTTGCTCTGTTAATTCAGACACATACTCATACTACCAAAGGCTTTATAGTTTTCTTAGATGTACTAGAAATAGGTTTTTCTTTTTTATGATGAGCAGTTTTAACTTGGACATTGCTCTGTGGTCTTTAGCCAGTTTTACAACCCTTAGTACAGGGAATAAGACTGATTTTCTTGTCAGACTTCATCTTGTTTCTGGGGCATGCAGTAGATAAAGTGCTTATCTCGGCCAAAATACATACCGCTGAAAGTTTTTATTCATAGTTTTCAGAGGTGTTTTAAAAGCAGAGAATTGGGAGGAAACTTCTGGTCAGGACTTTGATCAGTACCCTGTGACTTTGGATCACTGGTGTTCCTACTGAGATACCCAAATCTTTATTTCTGCAGCTGCTGGTTGTAATGGACAGAATTCGTAGTTTCCCACTTTCCAGTCCCATCTCAAAGTTCCTGAATGGCTTAGAGATCCTTCTGACAAAGGCACAGGTGAGCTAATCCCTCTCTTCCTCATTTTAATTGGTGGTCAGTTGGCAAAAGATGTGTCTTGTGGCACTTTTGTTGTTAGACAGAAAAATATGGTTTGGGCTGGAAAAAGATAAGCATCTTTGGTTTTTCTGGCATGGGATGAGATCATTGCAGTTGAGCCATTGCCCCTGTGATGAGCGTGAACTGCCTTGCCTTTTTTCCAGTGGGATGCAGTGTCCACTGGTAATGAGGGTACAGTCCTCCAGGCCTTCCAGGTGGGCCTTGAGTCCAGCTGAGTGCCCACATACACTGTCCCCCGCAATGCCCTCATGGCCTTGGAGTTAGCTGTTACCTCCCCATTGGACAGACAAGGGCTACATGTCTTTGATCCAGGTCAGATAGCAAACAGCATGAATTCAGGCTCCAGTCTGTAAACACTGCTTTCTCGCCTGCCTCTAAACGTGGCTCTGCTGGAGTTCTGTCATGTGACCAGACAGAAGCTGGATACACTGTAAATTCATTGCTGCAATTGGTGTAAGTCGTTTAGGGGCCCAGTAGCCTTCAGTCACGCAAAGTTCAAGATGTTCTTGAGGGAGGAGGTTGGGATTGAATAATGTCCACAGTGAATTTTATCTTTGTTTCTTTAGGATTGGGAGGAAAATGCAAGTCGAGCTTTGTCTTTGCGTAAACATCTTGATTTGGTCAGTCAGATGATCATTCGGTGGCGTAAACTGGAGCTGAAGTAGGTGACTCTCCTTCCTTTTCCTGAACTTAGGTTGTAAGGGCTTTTTTCTTTTAGTAGTTTAAATTTCTTTAGGATTTATTTAGTATTACAGCTACAGAATGTGATTTTTGGTCATTAATCACAGAGTTAAAAGCAGTGTGTTTAAATGGCCTGACCGCAGCATATGTTCTTGTGGCAGGAAACTGGGCGGCTCCTCCATCTCCATTTGGGAGGAGAGAAGAGTGAGCATGCAGCTTCTGCATCTCTGATTTCAGATCTTTCAAATGTTTCCCTAAATGCCTCCTTGGCTACTTCTCTCGTTTCAGCTGCTGGTCCATGAGTTTGGATAATACCATGAAGCGCCACACTGAGAAATCCACCAAGCACTGGTTCTCCATCTATCAGATGCTTGAGAAACACATGCAGGAACAAACAGAAGAACAGGAAGGTAAACCTGGCAGTACATTTCCTGACCACTTAGAGTTTCCCAGCTAAACGAAGTGCTGCAAAGCATAGGATTTCCCTGCTCCTGCGGCTCCCCTACACTGCTTTCATGAAGGAATGCCTCTCATTTGACTTTACGGTATTTCTGAGAGGTCAGCCAAGAAAGCTATAAATAGCGTTTGTCTAACTGAGAGAATAATAACAAAAGCCTGAGAGGTTTAAATGTCTCCTCCAAAAGTCTCAAGAACCAGTCATATGGTAAGGTTTCCTTCTTCTGTATGTCCATGATAGAATTCAAACTGAAAGTTGACTTTTTGGTTGGTAGTGGCCAACATGCTTGAATGAAAAGTCTTTTATACTTACGACAAGTACCTTACAGTTCATTTTCAAATTTGTTGTGAGTGCATTAAGACATGCCCTGTGTGCAGCTGTTACTTTATTCATTTAGTTTTTTGAGATGGAGTCTCGCCCTGTTGCCCAGGCTGGAGTACAATGGTGCGATCTCGGCTTACTGCAACCTCCACCTCCCAGGCTCAAGCAATTCTCCTGTCTCAGCCTCCTGAGTAGCTGGGATTACAGGTGCTGACCACTATGCCTGGCTAATTTTTGTATTTTTAGTAGAGAACGGGTTTCACCTTGTTGGCCAGGCTGGTTTTGAACTCACCTTAAATGATCCACCCACCTCAGCCTCCCAAAGTGCTAGGATTACAGGCATGAGCCACCACACCTGGCCTGTTATTTTAAATCAGGTTAGAAGGTAGCTGTGTTCCCTGCTTGAGAGCCTCACATTGTGATCTCTACCTCGTGGTCTTCCATAGTATCCCAAATAGATTGCGTGCCCGTCAGGAATAGGGAGTGATGGTTGAAGGAACATACATATTTTCCTCTTTGAATTTTTAAAGATGACAAACAGATGACCTTGATGTTGCTGGTGAGCACGTTACAAGCATTTATTGAAGGATCCTCGCTGGGAGAGTTCCATGTGCGACTTCAGATGTTACTGGTTTTCCATTGTCATGTCTTGTTGATGCCACAGGTTGAAGGAAAGGGTGAGGATTTTTTTTTCCTTTCCTTTTACCTCACACGACTCAAAAGGGTTAGGCATTGAATTTACCACGAGACAGGTGCCTTCTTGCACACTTGGTTTTAAACAAGATACATATAGTTATGTTTAATGTGCTTCACATTAGACAGAGAGAACACTGAAAGTGAAGTGCAGATGGTTCTGAGTTTAGCACTGACTAGCAAGCTGTGGCAGAAGTAAATTGCCAGATGAAGATCTCAGGACCTAACATGTTGAGGCAGCAAATCTCTGCCTAGACACTGTAATACCCTAAGCTACTGCTTGATCCAGGCCATTATTAGTTTCTTTCATCCAGTGAGAGCACTGCCATCCATCAAGGAACTGCACATAAAGCTGCTTGTTGTCAAGTATTATCCCTGACCACAGCAATCGGGATAAAAGTCTCACTAGAAGATGAGTACAGACTGTACGTGAGTGAGCATTTGGGCTGACCTGCTTAATATGCCATCTTTTAAATCAAGCTCAGTTTCTGCTGATTTTACAATAAGATTCAGAGAAAGAATTTGACATTATGATTTTAGAAGAACCTCTGAGTACATCATCTTCAAGAACAAAAGTGCAAAAAAAAAATCTGTTACAAGCAGAAGTGAAAAATAGGGGAGTGTTGACAGTCTGCATCTCTGGGAAATGCTAAAGTCAGACAGGCTCCCTAAATAATCTGCCTGTGAAACTCGCTGTAAGCTCATGGCATAGAGAGTAATGAGGAAGGATCGTCACTGAAGTATGAAGGCCACAGCTGGCACCAGTAGCACATGCAGCAAGTGTGGTGTTTTTGTTTCCTTTTCATTTCTTCCAGATTCACTTTGCAGTGTTCTATGGAATTTGTACCATTATTACAAGCAATTCTTTGACCGGGTCCAGGCCAAAATTGTGGAACTTCGTTCCCCCCTAGAAAAAGAACTTAAAGTAAGATGAACAGCTGTCATGATCACTCTTGGGAGGACAAATCAGCAAATTCTCTTTCTATAATCCTGTTACCCATTTAACACTGAGGCAGGGACCTAGGGGAATAGTGGTGAGCATTGCCACTGCTAAGTAGGATGGCAAGATGTACAGTGGTGGCACTGGCTTCCTTTGTCACCTGCAGAATGTGTGAGGGTTGGTGGAGTGGCCCGTCAGGCCTCCTCAGAGGACTGCCCCAGAGATCCGTTTTTGTTCCCCTAGTCCTGCCCAGGCTTACCTCCCGCTTTGGAGCTGTGCCGTGTCATGTTGGTCCATGCACCAGTGAAATGCCATGAGGGAAGGAAGGACCTCTCTTTTGGATACTCTTGGTGGTTCCTAAGCTGGAGTACATGTCAAGTGACAGTGACTGTAGCAGCAATTTTTTTTTTTGTTTGTTTTTGAGATGGAGTCTTGCTCTGTTACCAGGCTGGAGTACAGTGGTGTGATCTCAGTTCACTGCAGCCTCTGCCTCCCGGGTTCAAGCGATTCTCCTGCCTCAGCCTCCCAAGTAGCTGGGACTTCAGGCACCTACCACCATGCCCAGCTAATTTATTTATTTATTTTTAGTAGAGTTGGGGTTTCACCATGTTGGCCAGGATGGCCTTGATCTCCTGACCTGGTGATCTGCCCACCTCAGCCTCACAAAGTGCTGGGATTACAGGCGTGAGCCACCGTGCCTGGCCCGTGGTTTCTTTTGTAGGCTTGTTTTACTTGTTCACTGACACACAGTCCAGTCTTTGGGATAGAGTGGGCTCTGGTCTTTGCCGAACAGAAATCTAGAAAGAAACAGAATGACACTAGCTTTATAAAGCCATTTCTTGAATATCATTTATCTTACAGGAATTTGTTAAGATTTCCAAGTGGAATGATGTCAGCTTCTGGTCCATTAAACAATCTATAGAAAAGACACACAGGTAATCTGTCTTTTAAAACTGGGAGCAACCAAAATAGAATTTTGTGTGGTAGGGAGCAAGACTACCTAGTTACCATAACCTGACTTAATAGTAAGTATCTTAAACTTCTCAAAAAAAAAAAACCACCTTGATTGTTTTGGCTTTGCTTTCAACACCACCCCCTTCTCTGAGCAGAGTGTGCCTGCAGTGAGGATTGGTGTGCCTTGAGACAAAGCAGGCTGTGTGTCAGGTCTTGTCTTCTGCCACCCTGTAGCTATTAGAGCAAAGCAATCCCATTCTTCCTGGCTTTAGTTTCTCTTCTAGAAAAGGAGGATAACAGTACTTGCCAGTCTTTTTCTCTTAAAATAAAACAGCTATTAATATTTGAGGAGATCATTGTCTATAAAAGGTACAGGGTATTAAATTATGTACAGATGCATTATAATGTGTTTATATTCACTTGCTAATCCAGTTTTTTTCTTCTTATATCTGTCATTACCCGGGGACAGGACCCTCTTTAAATTCATGAAGAAATTTGAAGCAGTCCTGAGTGAACCCTGCCGGTCATCCCTGGTGGAGAGTGACAAGGAAGAACAGCCTGACTTTTTGCCCAACCCAACAGATATAGCTGCGAGTGAACCGTCTTCCATTCAGAGTCTGAACAGGGCACTGAGGGAGACCCTGTTAGCCCGACCAGCAGCTGGGCAGGTACTTGGTTGTAGGACAGTGCTTGCTTATTCCCAAGCCAGTCACATGGGATCTGTGTTTTATGTGCAAGGCATGTCCTCAGTACTAGACAAGAAAATGCCTTTGAAATCTTATTGTTCGGACATATATAGCATGTATTTGTTTGCTTGACTTCCCAGAAGAAAAAGGCAAAATATCTTGATCTTGTTGCTAAAAAAGTTTTTTGTTGTTGTTGTTTTGCGACAGAGTCTCACTCAGTTCCTCAGGCGCAACTATGGCTCACTGCAGCCTCGACCTCCTGGTCTCAAGTGATCCTTCCATGTCAACCTCTGAGTGCTAGGACCACAGGCACATACCACTGTGCCTGGCTAATTTTTTTTTTTTACTTTTTGTAGAGACGAGGTCTTGATTTCTTGCCCAGGTTGGTCTCGAACTTTTGGCCTTAAGTGATCCTCCCTGCCTCGGCCTCCCAAAGAGCTGGGATTATGGGTGTAAGCCATCGCACTCAGCCTTGCTGCTTCAAGTTTAATGTCAGCCTGTGAGAAATAATTTCGCTTACCTGTGAACATCATGTGCCATGAACAAAGATTTGAAGCATCAGTTTAAGAATATGCCACTGCAGCTGCCTGTAGGCTACCACGTGAGGAAGCTACTGCACAGTGTGCCATTGTGTGCTGGTTTATAGTTACTGTGTTGTAAATACTCCTGTTTTGGCCAGTTTCAAGCACCAACAGTTAAGATTTGGCTTTCAACATTCCCGAAAACTTAACAGTGATACATCTTAAGTTAGCAGGTCTGTTATAGAATTGATGTTCCTGCTTCATGTCCTTGGGTGTGGGGAGCTTCAGGATCAGAAAGCACTCCTCCAGAGAGGAATTTCTTGGCAGGTGTAGTGGCTCATGGTTGTAATCCCAGCACCTTGGGAGGCTGAGGTAGGAGGATCACTTGAGTCCAAGAGTTTGAGACCAGCCTGGGCAACATATGAGACTCTGTCTCTCCAGAAAAAAATTTTTTTTCTTTTAAAGAGTGATTAGTTTTGCCTTCTTACTCTATTTCCTACTTGAGGTTCACAGAGTTAGTAACGAAAGTCCTTAAGCTATTTTTGTTATTTTAGTGGTTCAAAACTCATAATAGAAACTGAACATGTAGACATAAGAAGGCTGCAGAGATATGATATGGCTACCAAATTTACTTTCTTTTGACTGTATTTGTCAGCTCACGGCTTCTGTCATTCTAATCAACAATTTTGATTTGCTAATGACAGCATAGTAATTTCAGGTTATTCCTCAGGACAAATAATGAAAATATGCCCCTGATGGACAAAAGCTCTTCCCTTCAAATAATGTCTGAATTCCTTTGTCTGGGGTGCATTGGCTCATGCCTGTAATCCCAGCACTTTGGGAGCCCAAGGCAGGTGGATCACTTGAGACCAGGAGTTCGAGACCAACTTGGCCAACATGGTAAAATCCTGTCTCTACTAAAAATACAAGAAATAGCCAGGTGTGGTGATGCATGCCTGTAATCCCAGCTCTTTGGGAAGCTGAGGTACGAGAATCGCTTGAACCTGTGAAGTGGAGGTTGCTGTGAGCCAAGATCGGGCCACTGCACTTCAGCCTTGGTGACAAAGTGAGACCCTGTCTCAAAAAAGAAGGAAGGAAATCTAAATTCCTGAAATTTGAACTGTTAGTTAGGGGTAAATGGTCATAGGAGTAGGACCAGTTTCGCCTGGCTGGTATGTCAGAAACACAATGTGACTCAGCACCTTAAGGGCAGCGGTGATACTATTCATTCCACTCTGTTCGTCATTCAGAACTGGAGTCTCCTCATGGCTATCGTAGTAAGCGTTGCTGGATATAGGGGTATGGGGGTCCTTCCATTATGTTGATCTCATATAGAGCAGTAATACGGTTTTCTAAATATCCACAGTATGTCCCTGAATTTTAGTGGTGCTACATTTGTTCTCATGAGACTTTGGAGATGATGGTAATTTAATATTTGAACTAGGGATGTGTTTGTGTGCAACAGTTAAATCTAGTTCCCGTGCAATTTAAAATGATGCCCATCATTCTTGGCAGCAAGGCTAACCTGTCCTTTGTCTCACAGGCCACAATTCCAGAGTGGTATCAGGGCACTGCTCCTTCCCCCTTGGAAGGGGAACTTCTGCGTCGCTTGCCAAAGCTCAGGAAACGCATGATGAAGATGTGCCTGACCTTCATGAAGGAGAGTCCCCTGCCTCACCTTGTGGAAGGCCTTGATCAGTTCATAGGTGGGTGCCAGCAGTCAGGACAATGGTGGAACTTTCTCTGTTTTCCCCACTGCAGGTCTGAGAACGTGGTCCTTTTTTGACATCTTGTATAGTGTTGAACAGTTGATTAAATACACAAGTGGGCTTAAAATCCCGCAGAGCCAGACACAGGAGCCTGCTGAGAGCCCACAGTCATAATTTTCACATTGTTGTCCTCTCATGTAACATGGTACTGTGCCGTTTTTTATGAGAGCCTTGTCTGCACTAGTTCCTATTGGCTGGCATTTGGGTAAAGGGGCTCAGAGGGTCCCCACTGTCAGAATGTTGTCTCACTTGAGGAAAAGGCAGATGCATCCCCATCCTCTTGCTTCACTTCAGAGACGCACAGCAGATCATTTCTCAGGCTGTCTTCGCTCAGGGAAGGTGAGAGCCAAGACCTGCTCATAGTGTACACAGCAATAGCTGGGAAGGGAATACAGAATTTAATAGAATGTTTGGGCCCTTGGCAGCCTCTGACTACCTCCTTCACCCCATCTATCACCCACCCATAGTGAGTGTGCTGTCAGTGAGGCTAGCCTTCCTTTAATGAGGTTGCGTCTGATCTCAGGGAGCTCTTCCTTTTTAAAACTTGCCAGCTGTTGCTTAAGGTGACATGAGCCTGAGGCTGGGGGTGAAGTGTAATACAGATCCACAGGCATCTCTTGGACCAGGGATGTGCAGCATGTTGTAAAGCCTCCCTCATCCTCTAACTCTCCCACACTGTCGGTCTGATGTCTTTGGTGTCCTTGTGCTCACTGATAAAAGCCTATATTTGGCTGGTAGTGCTGCCTTAATACAGTACCACAGGCTGGGTGGCTTCCGTGTGAGGAATTCATTGCCTCACATTTCCAGAGGCTAAAAGTCCAAGATAAAGGTGTCAGCAGGGTTGGTTACTTCTGAAGCCTATCTCATTGGCTTGCACATGGCCACCTTCTCACTGTGTCCTCCTGTGGTCACTCTTGATCTGTGTGTTCTGTGTCCTGATCCCTTTTTTTAAGGACTTCAGTCAGATTAGAGCCCATTCTCATTTCACTTTGATTACCTCTCTAAAGGCTGTCTCCAAATATAGTCACATTCTGAGGTTGGGGGGTGGGACTTTAACATATGAACTGAGGGGGAAGGGAAGACACAGCCCAGCCTGTAACAGTGCCTGCGGCAGGGAAGCCGCACCCTTGTGTTATTGGTACCCACATGTATTCAGGAAGGCAGGGGGGTGCTGTATAGAAAGAACTTGGGCTTTGGAGTACCGTAGGTCAGTGTTCAAGTCCTGGCTCATCTACTCATTAACCACATGGCCTTCAGATAGTGAGTAGACCTCACTGAGCCTTTCTTTGAAGTCTGTAAAATGGAGCTACAAATAGGTGCTTCTGAAGTTCTGCAGATGAAAAAAGAATTTACCATGTACCAGCTACAAGTGGAAACTCAATGCATATTAGTCAGAAATTTCCTTCAAGTGATTATAAATTTCTAGTATAATGCACTGCACATAGTTGGTGCTCAATAAGTGCTTGATTGATTATAAAACCCCTAAATACAAAAGAATGACTGCTGTTGTTTGGGTCATTTATTATCAAGAGATTTGAAGTCCTTTGTATTATTTTTCTGTTTCCATGCACCTTGACCAGTTTGCTTAAAACACTTAATGAGATTTTTTAAAATGCTAGGGACTAGGTTAAGTACTCGGTATAAAGATGAATGATACTTGGCCTTTGTTCTCCAAAAGGTCCCTGGTGTTGGGTAACTTAAACACATTACTAAACTCCTGGGTTTTCTTATTGCCCCCCTCCCCTGCCTGTTTTCCCTTACAGGTGAAGTAATTTCCTCTGTGAGTGAGCTACAGAGCTTAAAAGTGGAACCCTATGCAGAGAAGGAGAAGCAGCGGTCAGAAGCCAAGCACATTCTCATGCAAAAGCAGCGAGCTTTGTCAGACCTCTTTAAACACCTTGCAAAAATTGGTAAGGTTCTCACTTGAAACCCAGTGAAATGTAGTCACCAACTTTTAGGAAGAGAAACAATATGACTGATTTAAGGGAAATTCCAGACAGTTGAGATGGTAGACAACAGAAGGTACAGGCAAGGTTTTGAAATGTCATTCTAAGAGTTCCTCTCATGCAGGAAAATCCTACAACCAGCCAGCTGATTCCCAAATATTTCCAGTTTTGTATGAGGTTTCTCAGAATCTATATTTTTTAAATTTCCATCACCACGTGCTGTACCATATGCTTGCAGCATAGTATAGAGAGCAGTGCTTCTCAAACTTGACAATGCATGTGAATCACCAGGGGAATCTTGTGAAAGTACAGCTGCTGATCTTGTTTGAGTTGCTGTGGGTGCAGCCTGAGAGTCTCCATTTCTAACCAGCTCTCAGGTGATGCTGTTTAGAAGAAGATTATGCTTTGAGTAGCAGGGGAGAGTGGGCACATCCAGTGTATACTAAGTATGTTTGTTTAAGTGAATGTGGTTTATTTCCTAGGTCTGTCATATCGCAAAGGTCTTGCATGGGCCCGTTCAAAAAATCCTCAAGAGCTGCTTCATCTTCACCCGTTAGATCTCCGGAGTGCATTGTCCATCGTCAGCAGCACTCGGGAGGCTGATTCGAGGTTTGTCTGGTTTCGTTGTTTTTTCCTTGCTTATAAATGGAGCAGGTAATTTAAAACTCCTTGGCCTCATTTGCACAAATGGGAATAGCAGTACCACTGTGGCTACCACTTACAAAAGTGCCTGGCTCAGGATCTGATTCCTGATGGACATTCAAATGAAAAGTGTGAGGCTGGGTGCAGTGGTTCACACCTGTAAACCCAGCACTGTGGGAGTCTGTGGTGGGCAGATCACTTGAGGTCAGGCGTTCAATACTAGCCTGACCAACATGGCAAAACCCTGTGTCTACTAAAAATAGAAAATATTAGCCAGGCATGATGGCAGATGCCTATAATCCCAGCTACTCAGGAGGCTGAGGCAGGAGAATCGCTTGAACCCAGGAGGTGGAGGTTGTAGTGAGCTAAGATTGTGCCATTATACTCCAGCCTGGGTAGCAAAGTAAGACTATCTCGAAAAAACCCATTTCTTTTCTTTCTCTTTCTTCCTTGCATTCACCTCTCCTTCTTTCTTTTTTTTTTTTTTTTTTTTTTTTGTCTTTTGATTTTCCTGAGGTCTGCTCACTTCATTTGATCATACATGTGGAAATCTATGGGGAAATGGCATATTTTTATTTCCTCTATATACATACATCCCTCATAAGTTCTAAGATGTTCTTGAATTTGTGAGACAAATTCATACACTGTTGAGACAGGCAGAGCTACCTCTGTCTACAGCACAGCAGAGAATGTTGTGAATGATGCTTTGCATGAGCTGGGTGTAGTACACATTTGCGTTTTCTTTGCTCAGTTGGCCCTCCCAGGGCTTTAAATTTGAATTCAACAGAACATTGTAGACAGGGGAAATTTTACATAAGCATTCTGGATTTTCAGCTTTTTAGGAAAATTTACCAGGTGGGCTTGCATTCCAATTCAGTCAGCAGTGCTGTAGCTGAATAGTAGTTTCCTCCTATTGATGAGACATACTCTCCAGCTTACTTGAGCCCTCAACATCCCCCGTGTCTTCCCCACATTGAGGTCAGCTGTCACTGCCATGCATCATTTTGTGCTTTGCTATCTTTAGTCCTCTTACGTTACTTGCCTGGCCCCTGCAGGCATCAGTGTTTATGACCCCCTAGGCCCCACTGCTGAAATAAGGCTTCATTGAAGAAACCATATTGTCAGCATAATTTATTTCCCTATGATACTTCCAGTGCTGAGTATAAAATTCATCTGTTAAGTAAAGGACTAATGGGTGCCTCACTGAATGAGTCCTCATGGAAAAAAACCTATTCAGACAGCTGCCTCTTGGTTATGGCCAAATATACCAATCTCTGAGTTTTTAGGATCTGGGGTGGGAGAGTGTGGTTTTAATTAAGTAAATGATGTTGATATCTTTTCTAGGCTGCTCACAGAAATCTCATCTTCATGGGATGGATGCCAGAAGTATTTTTATCGCTCTCTTGCACGGCATGCCAGGCTTAACACAGCACTAGCAACTCCTGCCAAGGTAGAATGATAGAACATGAGACTTGCAGGGGACCAGGGAAAGCTCTTATTCTGTTCATCCCAGGCCACATTCTCAGACCTTGTTAAGTGATAACAGCTTGTTAGTGGAACTGAGCTTTTTTGCAGTATATCCTTAAACTTAAAATATAAATCAATGTAATTCTTTGTAAAATCAGAGAGCATCTTAAATTCTGTTACACTTGCCAGCAGGACCAAATGTTATGTCACCTTTAGAGTGCATGTCTGTCACTTATATTAGCAAGGGACTCCTCCCCTGGAAGAGTCCAGAAACGACTTTCTAGAAGCACAGCTGTGGGTGGGGTTTGCCAGCAGTCCCATCAGCATGTTTTTCCTTCTTCTGCCAGGAGATGGGCATGGCCAACGCAGAGCGGTGCAGAGGGTTCTCGGCACATTTGATGAAGATGCTTGTCCGACAGCGGCAGTCCCTGACCACGCTTAGTGAGCAGTGGATCATCCTCAGGTATCAGCTGATGAGTTGGGCTACTGGGAAGAGTTGGGTCAGTCAGCTCAGAGTTGCCGCATATGGGGAGAGGTGTAAGACATGCTCTCAGTTGTGAAATGAATTTAAGGCCCAAAGAGGTAGGTAGGGTTTCTCCCAGCTCTGCCCCTTGCTTTCAGTGATACGCCTCTAGTGGCCCTCTCCCTCCGCGTTCTGACTATACACCTCCTGAGAATATAGTCAGGGAGATTTTGGGGCTGCATCAGGCAGTGAAAATTGTCATGGGTGAACTATACCTGTGTCTGGAATGAGGATATATGTTGCTGGAAGTCCATGTGGGCTGCTAGATAGGGTCATGTTCATGGTATCAGGGTGTCCCAGTCTTGGGCACAGATGAGATTTGAGTCTGCTTCTATTACTTAAGCTTTTGGGATCTGCTGAGTTACACATGGAGGCTCCTCAATGGAAACAGATAATTAAGAGATGAGGACAGTTAGGAAGGTTGTCATCATCTGTTGAATGAATTCGTAGCTGAGAGATAGTACTTCCAGACTGTTCACTCTAGCTTCAGGTATTTCCTGCTCCATTCATTAGGGTTTATGTAACAAAGTGCAGTACATTTACTAGATAATCCTAGTTGAAGTCTCTATAGTGGTGTGTTTGTGTTGTGATGCTTTTCCTGAAAGACTGAGGGATGGGTTAAAGACTGAGGGAGGCATTTTAACAGACTTATTACCTATCTGGGAGATTCTTCCTTCTTGACTACATGGAAAAGCCCAGGCTTGTTCAGAAACACAAAATTTCTTTTAAAACAATATAGTAACATGGTTTAAGGTGCCATTCATTGTGTTTTTCCCATGGGATTCTCTGTACAGGAACCTCCTCAGCTGTGTGCAAGAGATTAATAGCAGGCTGACAGGGCCCCTGGCCTACCCCGTGGCCTTTCCTCCTCAGGATGGCGTGCAGCAGTGGACTGAGCGCCTGCAGCACCTGGCCATGCAGTGCCAGATCCTGCTTGAGCAGCTCTCCTGGCTCCTCCAGTGCTGCCCCAGTGTGGGGCCAGCTCCAGGCCATGGCGATGCCCAGGCATTGGGTCAGCCTCCTGCCCCCTGCCCGGAAGGACCAGAACTTAGCAGTGGACAACTTTGTGGAGTTGTACAAGACCTCATTCCCTCTAATCTGAGCTACCCATCTCCAGTTCCTGGAATTCAGCTGCCCTTTGGTTGCCGGATGCGGAAACAGGATCAGCTTTGGCAACAGTCAACTATGAGATTAACAGAGATGATAAAAACCATTACAACAGTGAAAGCTGACATTGACAAAATTAGGCAGCAGTCTTGTGAGACTCTCTTTCATTCTTGGTACGTGTGTCTATCTTTACTCTTCTCTGTGTGCTTAGGTTCTTAATTTTGCTTATCTAAATTGGGGATGGGAAGGAAAGGGTGCTAACAGAAAGCAGCAGTTGTCAGACAGCCCTGGGGTCTAGGGAACTCATCGTTTAGGGTATGGGGTGGGGAGGGGATAGGGAGTGTCATCTGCAGGTTCTGAGACTTTAGTGGAAACAGCCGTAGCAAAAAGATGCACAGATGAAGCCCTAAATAATCCTCAGGGAGAGCAAATCACATCCTGCTAATGGAATATCATTAGTCTTAATGGAATAAGTTTAGTAATTTATTTAGTAATTTATTCCATTACTAAACCTAGGTGTTTAGTATTTTGTTCCATTATTAAACCTAGGTGTTTATGAATTTATTAAATTACTACACCTAGGTGTTCAGTAATGGAATAAAATTATGAAAAGAATTGTGATTCAGTCCTGTGTTACTCAGTGGACCTGCACAGCACATTGTGTTCAGCTGTAACCTTCAGACAGGGTGCGTTCTACCTTGCACACATTGTAGTGGTTGGAGGGAGGGGTGTGTGTTTGTGGGAACTGTAGTGCATTCTTTTCAACATTGTGGCATTTCTGTTGCAGGAAAGATTTTGAAGTTTGCTCTTCTGCACTGAATTGCTTGTCCCAGATGTCAGCTCATTTGCAGGGCCTAGAGTCCTTGTTCATTCTTCCAGGGATGGAGGTTGAGCAAAGAGACTCACAGATGGCACTAGTTGAAAGTCTGGAATATATAAGAGGAGAAGTTAGTAAAGCCGTGGCTGACTTTACCACCTGGAAGACACATTTACTTACTTCAGGTAGCCAAGGAGGTAAGGAATATTGTTCAGTCAGGGAATAGAAGCCCAGTACAGAAATGATGTCTTGTAGATGTAAGTCTCATTATCCCAAAGACATACTATGTTTTGGTCTACAGGTACCTGTCCAGGGTTCTGAGGCAGGGAGGTGCAGTTGAAATCCACAGCTCTTAACTTTTGCCCCATTTGTTTGAATGCCTGTTACATACTCTGTAGTACACATAGGAAGGCAGCACAAAACTCACTGTCTGTTAGTTTTCCCTTAGACTGAAAAAGCTTGGAGCTGATATTTGGACTAAGTTAATGTTCATACTGTCTTAACAGTTATTTTCATATTTTTTTTACATTGTTTTAGTAAAATTGTTTTAATACAAGGTAATAAACGTGTAGGTTTATCGAGGCAAAAGGAATTTGTCTCTTTTCTTTGTATCTGGCACAGCTTGACAAGGAGCTCATCAGTAAATGAGTATTTTTAATGATTTCCAGACGGACTAAACCAAATGATTGTGTCTTTCATTTGTATGCTTGTTTTGCACCGTTACTTCCTAGGAAATCAAATGTTGGACGAAGGGTTTGTGGAAGATTTTTTCGAGCAAATGGAAACTGCCATCCGAGCCATCCTCTGTGCCATTCAGAACTTAGTAGAAAGAAAGAACGAAAAAGCAGAGGAGGACACTGACCAAGCAAACCTGCAAGAAGAGTGTGGTATGTCTGAGATCAGGCAGAAATCAGTTTCATGCCTGATTTAATTTTTATATTTGATGATTTATTTCTATGGCTAAATAGTTAAGGGTGAATGTTAGATGTCTGCATGAATAGAGATGAAAGGATTTGTTTTCTGTTATTCATCATGTTTTTTTCTCTGAATGAATGGGGCAGCAGGCTTTGAGAGATTGCAATCAGGACATCTAACAAAACTCTTAGAGGATGACTTCTGGGCCGATGTGAGCACTTTGCATGTGCAGAAAATAATTTCTGCCATCTCTGAGCTGTTGGAGAGGCTGAAATCATATGGTGAGGATGGCACAGCAGCAAAGCACCTGGTAACTAACTGTTCTTTACAAGCTTTTCCCAGTGCACTGAGCAAAGGCAGAGTGGGCTTCACCTCACTCCATGTGGTTAAGTCCCAGAGCAGGCCTCAGTGCCACCGTCACCAAGAACTTGGTCTCTTTATTTATACGTGCAAAGTCATTGACAAGCTTTGAAAAGCTTAGGGCTTGCTAGCTAATTGTAAGATGCATTAAGTGCAAAACTGCTACGCATTCAGAGTATCCATTATATTAGGATTCTTTCAAATCTTACTCACATACTCCCAAGTATTTGATGTTAATGATAGATGATGTTATCAACTGAGGCTTGGCGGCCATCTTTTGTAAACACCGTTTCCACTATGGTCAGCCAACAGAGTAAGCAGTTGTAGTCTCTGCAGTAAGTCCAGAGAAGCAACTCACTTTGTAGGACATTGTATGTTATTCTATAGCATTGCCTCTAGTGCTAACTTTGAATCAGCAATAGAATTTATTTATAAACATTATTTTATTTAATTTTTTTTTAATTGTTCAAGGTCTCATTCCATCTCAAATAAAAGGTGGGGGCGTGGTGGCTCATGCTTATAATCCCAGCACTTTGGGAGGCCAGGGCAGGTGGATCACCTGAGGTCAGAAGTTCAAGAACAGCCTGGCCAACATGGTGAAACCCTGTCTCTACTAAAAATACAAAAAAAAAAAAAAAAAAATTAGCCAGGCATGGTGGCGCACACCTGTAATCCTCAGTACTTGGGAGGCTGAGGCAAGAGAATCACTTGAACCTGGGAGGCGGAGGTTGCAGTGAGCCGAGATCGAGACTTTGCACTCCAGCCTGAGTGACAAGAGCAAAACTCCGTCTCAAAAAAAAAAAAATTGTAAAGTTTTCATACATAAAAGATTATTTTATTTTACAAGGTCTCATTCTGTGTCCCAGGCTGGAGTGTGGTGGCATGATCATGGTTCACTGCAGTTGTGACCTTTTGGGTTCAGGTGATCCTCCCACCTCAGCTTTCCAGGTAGCTGGCACTATAGGCATGTACCACCATGCCCAGCTAATTTTTAAAGTTTTGAAGAGATGGCGTCTGGCTATATGTTTTTTTGGTTTGGTATTTTTTTTTGCAAAAATGGGGTTCGCCACATTGCCCAGGCCAGTCTTGCACTCCTGGGCTCAGGCAGCCTACCCACTTTGGCCTCCCAAAGTGCCTGGCCAACATTCTGTTTTTTAAAAACCAACATTGTGAGCCAAAAGAGACGTCAGTCTGAGAACTTAAAGTGTACGTCTGTGATGATTTATGTAAATGAAGAAATCTCAGTGAGCTGTGTGTATTGGGGTGGGATGGGGGTTACAAACACATACATGTAACTTGCCATTAGTACTAGTTAGTGCATTCACAATGTTGTGCAGTTACCACCACTAAGTAGCTCCAGAACAGAAACCTGGTACCCGCCAAGCAGTGTGAGCTGGCCTTTTTTTTGTTTTGATCTCAGTTCTTCAGCCAATCTTGTTCCTTGCTGGCGCGCCTCATGCCCATCCTCTCCAGCTACTCAGACCTCGTCCTCTTCTTCCTGACCATGTCTTTGGCAACTCACCGTGGTACTGCGAAGCTGCTCTCTGTGCTTGCCCAGGTCTTCACGGAGCTTGCCCAGAAGGTAAGGACTGTTCACATGGTGCACTGTGAGCAGCAGGGACCCAAGTAAATTTCATATCGTTAGTCTCTGGTGAGATAGGCTTTTAGCAAGATGTGATTTGCTCTCCCTGTGGATTATTTAGGGCTTCGTCTGGCATCCTTTTGCTAACAATTTCCACTAAAGTCTCAGAATCTGCCGATGACACCCCTTATCCTCACCCCACCCCATCCCCCAAACCAGTGAGTTCCCTAGACTCCAGGGCTAACAGCTGCTGCTTTCTGTTACTCTTCCCTTCCATCCCCAATTTAAATCTTCAGATAACTCTTGAACTAGAGTTGCAGGATAAACCCTTAAGGCCATTAAGTTTTCTTTTAACTATGTAGGTGTAATTATGATTAAATGATAATGGGACTATTAGTATTATAGTTTTTTTCTCTAGCAGGGAAATCATCTGTTCATTCAGCCATGTACCCAGTACTGTGAAAAGCACTGAGGCTGTAGAGATTGTAGACCCTCCCCTTGAAACTCAGGGACAGTAGACAGTGAAATCTAAGAGCAACACGGTGTGGGTAGGTCTAGTCATAGAGGTTTCCAGCTGTCGGTCTCTCCTAACCTCTCCAAGCCTCAATTTCCTCATTTGTAAAATGAGATCTGCCTATACTCGTAAGCATTTTTGTGAGAATGAGAACCACCTATGTTTGAGTATATGCGTTTTGTTTTTGTTCATCCTTAGCAGTCTAAGATTTTCTCCAAGCTAAGTAGAGATGAGATGTATTTGAGGAAGATAGGAATTTACAAGCTGAAGATAGGGTCTGGATTTCTTATAAACAGTTAAAAGTTTTTAGTTATAAGTCTCTAAAATACTGGAAAGGGTGAAAAGTGGAAGCCAAGCCTAATGCCTTATATCAAGAGGATAAATATGTTTATCTGCTGAATAAGAAGTAAAGGAATGGGTCTCAGGTTTGTCCTCTCTGATGGGCACAAAGCCAATATTAACATTCCACTGCTTCTTGGAATAAACACTATGCCAACGACAGTGGCAGGAAAATGTATGGTATGGGTACCTTGAGATTTGGCTCAGCTAGATCTGTCGATTTGCACCATAACTGTTGTCTGACAGGCTGTAGAATGACATTGGCCTTTCAGACCTTTGTCTGTTTTGGGTAGAATGGCTCTGATATGTGCAGAATGTTGGGAGCCCAGTGGCTATCCCAGATGTAACTACTGCAGTGATATGCTCTGGTAAGGGCATCTGAAACTGCCTCCTGTGTGGTCTTATTCTTCGCCTATGTATGAATGTCTCTCTTTTAAATAATGTAGTTCAATGCAAAAATTAATGAAGCAAGTAAGCCAAACTGTATTTTCCAATCTATGTCCTAAAAGTGTCTAAGTGTCCAAATTGTATTCATATCCCTTCTGAGTAGTTCTGAGGGAACTTGAAAGTAGGTTAGACAGTGCTAAGATAATAGATCTAGGTTGTAATTAAAGCTCTTGATCAAAAAAAAAAAAAAAAGCTCTTGACCACAGGAAGTTGTGTAACCAAGTCATAATTAGTGTTTACTGATTTTGGATCTTAATTCCTTACTAATTAGCAGCTTTTTTAAGTGCATTCTCATCCTCAGGTTGACAAATATCTTCATAGTATATATTTTCTCTTACAAAATTAAAATTTCTGATTGAGAGTCACTACTTCTTTTTCTTTTTACTTCTGTTCAGGGGGCTAGTATTCTTCTCAGGTTATTTTCATGTATAAAATAGTTTTGTTGAACATTCCAGTTACTACTGTGTCTGGCTGTGTTCTCTTCAGAGCCTGGTCTGCCTTGCTCAAGGCCTTTTCCTAAATACTGTCCTTCTAGTATACTTTATTTAGATTTTTGTCTTGGCAGAGTGACAGATGACCACATGCCAGAGACCTCTACAAAGTCAAGTCATATGTTAAATCTGATGTCAAGCTGTGAAATTGCTTAACTATTAGCACCAAGAGGAAAAGAATGTCAGAAGTCTGCTGCTGTTCCAGCAGATTTAAGATGATAAGCTAGAAAAACAATTCAGCATGTGTTTCAATTGTTTTCCTATGGCAAGAATCAAAATCCCCTCTTAAAATTGCTTTTGTGCCTAACTGTTCACTTCCTTTTTCTTTTTCTAAGGGATTTTGCTTGCCCAAAGAATTTATGGAAGATTCAGCTAGAGAGGGAGCAACTGAGTTCCATGACTATGAGGGAGGTGGAATTGGAGAAGGCGAGGGCATGAAGGATGTGAGTGACCAGATAGAAAATGAAGAACAGGTATGTTTTCACATAGGTATACAGTTGACAGAAGATCATTCTCTTCAATATTTAAGTTGCACATAAAAATGGTTTTTAGTAGGTTAATGATTTTTAATCTGTGATCTACAGAGCCCCAGATATATTGGTGCTTAGGCAGTGGGTGTAAATAAAAAGCCTAAAAACCACAGGAAGGAACCTTGTAACTGTGTCATTGGTTTTGGCTATAATTATGGAGGAATTAAATTATTTTTATTTTTATTTTTTTTAATGGGGAGATATTTGCTGATGATTTTCTAGAGTATTTTTTGATAGTATTTTTAAGCATAAAAGGCCTGGCTATCTTAAGTGATAATTGCATTAAACAATAACACCGAAATATACTGTTAATAGGTTTTGCTGTTGTATATCTGTAGGGCATATTGAGAGTTTAAAAAATCTGTATCCTTTTTTGGTTGGAATTAGGCAACCTTCTGAAATATTCAGATGCTATGGACTAAGACTGTAAGATGCAAACGTTCAGTCCATGCAGAAAACATTATGTCAAATTAAAAGCTTCCACAACAATTTGGTAGTGTCTGCTGAATTTTAAATTATATGTATTCATTGACCCCCAAGTTCCATGTTTTCTTATAGAAATACTAGTGTTGGCCAGGCGCTTTAGGAGGCCGAGGCAGGTGGATCATGAGGTCAGGAGATCAAGACTATCCTAGCCAACCTGGTGAAACCCCATCTCTACTAAAAATACAAAATGTAGCTGGGCGTGGTGGCATGTGCCTGTGGTCCCAGCTACTTGGGAGGCTGAGGCAGAAGACTGCTTGATCCCAGGAGGTTGAGGCTGCAGTGAGCCATGATTGTGCCACTGCACTCCAGGCTGGCAACACAGCCAGACCCTGTCTAAAAAAAAATAAATAAATTTTTTTAAATAAAAGAAATATATAAACTAAGGAATGAGCAAGATTCTCTTGGGTCACTGTCTTTCAGTGATCATAGTGATAAAAAGAGTATTAAAGAATTGGATAATTAAAGATTGGTGAATTTTTTATCCTACAAAGACTATGTATTCTTTCAAATGTCCCTGGGATTATTTTTACAATTACCAGTAAGAAAACCTGAATGACATTTTATATTCTCTGATTACAGATGCAATAAAGTGGAAACTAACTCCAGAAATTTTACAAATTCCATGTGGCTGTCTCTGTTGTTTCCCTTTTTTTTCCCCTCTCCCAAATATATTTTTACACCATTTAATCTCGGCATTTATATCTCAGAGCTGAAGCAAACATTGGTAAAGTTATAGCATTTATTTATGTTTAATATAATGGTTTTTTTATGTAGGTGGAAGATACCTTTCAGAAGGGTCAAGAAAAAGACAAAGAGGATCCTGATTCACAATCTGATATTAAGGGCGAGGATAACGCCATTGAGATGTCGGAAGACTTTGAAGGGAAAATGCATGATGGGGAGCTTGAAGAACAAGGTTTGAGATTATCTGTCACTTCATTCTTGTTTTTCGAAGTATAAGTATTTTATCCAGGAAATTACATGTTCCTAATAAGGAACCTAATATAATCTTTTGAAACAAGTTGGTTACTGGGCTTAATTGCAAATGAAAACCTCAGCAGCTGTATGTACCATCACCATCTCCACTGAGGAAGAAGTCCCTAGTCTCAGAGTCTTCTCATCAGAGTAAACTAAGACATTGACTGATATTCTAGCTGCCTCATGAGCTACATGCAGTGGCTCAGTAGTGCCCTTCAGGGGAGCCTGAAAGGAAATGATCCCTAATGGAGCTAGGCTCCCAACAAAAGGCAAATTGTTCTGTGTGATGTTTAAAATATCTTTTATTCCTAATTAAAAAATAGTAGATGATTTGGAACAAAAATGTAGGAAAGAAATAGATCCCCCCTCAGGCCTACCACTCATAGCACCTAATAAACTGTTGTATATTTATTGCGTGTATACATACACACAGACCATATACAGTTTTGTAGTCTGCTTTTTAAACAATTTAATTTTTTTTTTTTTTTGAGACGGAGTTTTCGCTCTTGTTAGCCAGGCTGGAGTGCAATGACACAATATCGGCTCACCGCAACCTCCGCCTCCTGGGTTCAGGCAATTCTCCTGCCTCAGCCTCCCAAGTAGCTGGGATTACAGGTGCGCGCCACCATGTCCAGATAATTTTTTGTATTTTTAGTAGAGACAGGGTTTCACCGTGTTGATCAGGATGGTCTCGATCTCTTGACCTCGTGATCCACCCGCTTGCTTCGGCCTCCCAAAGTGCTGGGATTACAGGCTTGAGCCACTGCGCCCGGCCACAATTTAATATCTTATGAACATTTTCCCAGTCATTAAAAATTATTTGAGAATATGATTTTTAAAAGTACATTGTCGTCTGTCATATGTTTATGCCATAATTCAGCCCTTGCCCAAAATTTCTCTCCAATTTGAGATACTATATCTTATTCTAAAATGAGTATCTTGCAGAAATGAAAGTTGACCTTAGTGTACAGTTTGCCTAAGGCACATAGGATATGACCTTTGGCAAAGTAGACCCTGTGCAAAGACAAAAGAAAACCTGATTGAGACCTGATTTTAGATGTTGGAAAAAAATCATAGCTGTATATTGAAGATGGGAGGACCAATGGAAACCATGTAGTCCAACCCCATCATTTCACAGACATGAAACTCAGGTTGCTGAGTCCCATAATGGCCATTCCCCCAGCACTAGAACCAGGCATCCTGATAGGTATTTCCCTTCTCTTCATATCATCTGCTCACACGTTAGAGACTTCCTTGTTCTTCCACTTTGCAAAACACAGTAGGACTTTGTGTAGTAGGACTCTGTTTTTGGCATGTGTAGATCTAAAGGCATCCACGCATATGGTGTTTTCTGTAGAAAAAGGCAGTAAGTCTGGGTGGGGCCCATATCCAGGAAGCAGGTCCATATCTTTCTTACAACACAGGACTGGGTCGATTTGAAGATCTGCCTAACTAAGCTCAGTGCCTTCCCTTTCAGAAGAGGATGATGAGAAATCAGATAGTGAGGGCGGAGACCTGGATAAGCAGATGGGTGATCTCCAAGGTGAGGAAGCTGACAAACTAGATGAGAGGCTTTGGGGTGATGACGATGAGGAGGAAGATGAGGAGGAAGAAGACAGTAAAACTGAAGAAACAGGACCAGGAATGGATGAGGTAATTAAAAGATTTCTCCCTTCCCAAACAAGCTGAGTGGAGGTAATTTGCCCACCACCTGCCATTCCCTATCATTTATTTCTCTTCCTTTTCTGTATTTGGTTTTGTTCTCTTTCTTCCATTCTCCTTTTTCTTTTTTCTATCCTATCTCATTGATTACATTCAGAGCTAAGAGAGTAGCCTGACTTGAGTCATCCCATGTGTTACGGAGGAGGGAGATGAACAATACTCAGTGCAGATGTTCTAAGCTGATTCTCCTATAGGCCACTGAATTTCTCCAGCTCCCAGCGTAGGAGACTCCAGGGCTGAGACAGAGATCTGCACTGTTTTCTCTAGGTCACGGATGGCACTTCATCAGCCATCCATGGGGATAGGTCCAGTAGGCAGAAATTATGCATGTCTAGGTCAACCCATGTTGAAGCAGTTATTTGGATTGAGTGTGGTAACTTTTTTCTTCCTTTAACATTTAGGAAGATTCTGAACTTGTTGCTAAAGATGACAACCTGGATAGTGGGAAATCGAACAAAGATAAAAGCCAGCAAAATAAGAAGGAAAAAAAGGAAGAAGCAGAAACTGATGATGGTGGACAAGGTGAAGACAAAATCAATGAACAAATAGATGAGGTAATGAAAATCTGAAACTGATCCGCTCTCCTGACTCAAGGCCAGGGCTCTTGAACTGCATAGGTCTTGGGGTGTCTCAAGACATTTTTACCCCTTATTCACTGACTGCTCTCCTATTACCCCATAAAAGAATATGCAAGAGGCTCTTAACATAAAATGTCTAACTGTTGGTTCCCGACAAAATAGTTCATATGTTGTTTGGGCTTCTGCTAGAGATCAGAAGCTAAAACAAACGTATAATCCGGTCTTTATTTTGTCTTGTAAGTTTGAGATTAGTTAACATAGCACCACTTGTCCTTGGAAGACCTGCATAGAAAGTGAAATTTGAGATTCCAACATGAAAGGTCTAAAAATATTATTAAAGTACTAATGTGTACATGTAATTTTAGGGAACAGATACTGTATTTTCTCACAGTGTAAATGCTTAGAGCTGATTTTATGGGAATTCTACTTTTTTAAAAAAAAGTTTTGTATATATATTTTACCTCCATTGTCTCCATTGTCCCAAAGAGGGAATATGATGAAAATGAGGTGGACCCTTACCATGGCAATCAGGAAAAGCTGCCAGAACCTGAGTCCTTGGACCTTCCAGATGACTTGAACCTCGACAGTGAGGACAAGAATGTTGGTGAGGACACTGACAACGAAGAAGGAGAAGGTGAATCTTTCAGAAACATAGACCAGTTAGAACTCACTACAAATGACCAATAACCAATTTGTCTTTTGAGAGCTAGCTCAGTGTTATGGCCAGGTGATAAAGCATTTTGGTTGGCTCAATCTCAGTTTAAGGAAATGATTTGCCTTGCCTTTGTAGTATTTCTCATGTGAGTGTGCCCTACAGCTCATCAACCAACATGTATCTCTCAAACTACTGTCACGTCCTATCTGCTATGCCCTGGTAGTGCTTCACACATACCACTGTATCTTCATAGCCATTACTGTGTGTCCCTCTCATGGGATGATGTAAATGCTGTGCAGTCTGGGCATACCAAGCTCTTGTGGAGTCCAGTTACAGCTTTTTTAGGGAAATGATGGTTTTAGTTATTGATTTTCACATGTGTATAGTGGGGAACGAGACTAATCCCAAGAGAAATCACAGGGAATATGACAGTATTTAGTGCCTTTGTCACCCATTTTTTCAACCCTCTTGACTCCTTTAGAGAATATTGTCTGGTATTGGTTGAAAGCATTGTGTTGGAGGTGCCCCTGTAATAGAGGGCCCCATTCCTGCTGCTTAACCAGACAGAAAGATACGGGCTAGCCTCACTGATAAATGAATCAGTTATACAGTTATAAAATCTGTTTTGAAAAATAAATGTATATTTTTATAATACTGTATTAGAACAAAAATAGCAAGTTAGAAAGAAATAAATAAGAGGCCATTTATGTAAAAATTAACTTGGGATCTAGGTGCAAAGTCAATAACCAAGAAAGCATAAAATTAAGAAAATTAAAATCCACTGAGAATGTAATAAGCTATCTGCTTTTAAATAGCCAGACATGGCCGGGCGTGGTGGCTCAAGCCTGTAATCCCAGCACTTTGGGAGGCGGAGGCGGGTGGATCATGAGGTCAAGAGATCGAGACCATCCTGGTCAACATGGTGAAACCCTGTCTCTACTAAAAATACAAAAAATTAGCTGGGCATGGTGGCGCATGCCTGTAATCCCAGCTACTAAGGAGGCTGAGGCAGGAGAATTGCCTGAACCGAGGAGGCGGAGGTTGCAGTGAGCCGAGATGGCGCCATTGCACTCCAGCCTGGGTAACAAGAGCAAAACTCTGTCTCAAAAAAATAAAAATTAAAAAAAAATAGCCAGACACATTTTGTATACTAAGGAACAAGTATTTAAAATCATTGGCGTATTTAAAATTATTTGCTAATTAAATAATAGATTAAAAAAAAAATAGGTTGGTCACAGAGTGTAATGCCTGTAATCCTAACACTTTGGGAGGCCAAGGTGGGAGAATCATTTGAGCTCTGAGTTTGGGACCAGCCTGAACAACAATAGTAGAGACTCTGTCTGTACTAAAAATAAAAAATTAGTTGGGCATGATGGCACACATCTGTAGTTCCAGCTACTCAGGAGGCTGAGGCTAGAGAATCACTTGAACCCGGGAGGTTGAGGCTATAATAGGCCATGATCTTGCCACTGCACTCCAGCTTGGGTCACAAAATGAGACTCCTTGTCTGTAAAAATTAAAAAATTAGCAGGGCGTGGTGGCTCACCTGTAATCCTAGCACTTTGGGAGGCCGAAGGTTGGGAGCGCCTGAGGTTGGGAGTTCAATACCAGCCTGACCAACATGGGAGAAACTCTGCCTCTACTAAAAAATACAAAATTAGCCAGGTGTGGTGGTGCACGCCTGTAATCCCAGCTACTCAGGAGGCTGAGGCAGGAAAATCACTTGAACCTGGAGGCAGAGGTTGTGGTGAGCCGAGATTGCGCCATTGCACTCCAGGCTGGGCAACAAGAGTTGAGACTCTGTCTCAAAAAAAAATTAAATAAGACAGTTATTTTAAGACTTTGCTAATAACTGATATTTTAAGTGTCCAAAGTATAGAAAAGCTCTTTTGACAAAAGTTTTTCAAAATAACAGTGTTTCTATTTCAATGTGAGTTGTATTTTTTCTATATGAGGATATCCACCAATTATTCACAATGATAATTGAGCATTATAAGCTTCATTTCTTATCATTGGCCTAAAATTTTCCTACTGTGTTTTTTTTGGTTTATGGGGTTCTTTTTGGTGGGGGGTAGATTAGCTATTAGTTTTTAATGAAACATGCCATTGAAACAACTGTTTGAGTATGGTTTAGAACAAGGATGGGCAAACTTTTTCTTATAAAGTTTCAGATAATAATTTTTTTTTTTTTTTTGAGACAGGGTCTTGTCCTGTGACTCAGTCTGGAATGCTGAGGCATAATCATAGTTCATTGCAGCCTTGTCTTCCTGGGCTCAAGTGATCCTTCTGCCTCAGCCTCCTGAGTAGCTGAGACCATAGGCATGTGACACCATGGCTGGCTAGTTTTTCATTTTTTGTAAAAGATGGGGACTCACTGCATGCCCAGGCTGGTCTTGAACTTCTTGGCTCAAGAGATCCTTCCATCTCAGCCTCCCAGAGTGTTGGGATTATAGGCTTGTGCCATCATGCCCGGCCAGTAGAACTTTCTTCATAGAAACATGTGGAGGGCCAGGTTGGCCTATGGGTCACAATTTGCCAATCGCTGGTTTAGAGAATTGTAGTAAGACAAAACTTGCATAACTGGCTCCCAGCTTAAGAAATCATGTAAGTTTAAAAAATTGTGTGTTCTTCCTTTTTGTTGTATCTATACAGAAGAGAATCCTTTGGAGATAAAAGAAAACCCGGAAGAAGCAGGTCATGAAGCTGAGGAAAGCAGAGAGACCAAGACTGACCAGAATGAAAGTCAGAGTCCACATGAGCCCGAGGAAGGCCCCAGTGAAGATGACAAGGCAGAGGAGGAGGAAATGGATACAGGAGCTGATGACCAAGATGGAGATGCTGCTCAGCATACTGAAGAACACTCTGAGGAGCAGCAGCGGTCTCTGGAGGAAAAAGACAAGGAAGCCAATGAGGAAGGTGGAGAGAATGGCCCTGCTGACCAAGGTTTCCAGCCCCAGGTATCGTGGGATGTTTGTCTTCTTATGTTAAAAATAATGAGAAAGAGGAGAAGTCACCTTATTCCCATTAAAATCTCGTTTAGGGTACTCCTCCATCAACCTGTGGTACTGCTGAGGAGTTCTAAGTTTCTGTTTCAAGACCCTCAGTGAGGAATGGGGAAGCCCACTTGTTGCAGGGTCTCCCACCTTATGCTTTTCCCCCAGAGCATTTAATGCTGTGTTTGATTTCTCTGCAGAAGCAGGAGGAAGAACAGGAGGACTCTGACATAGAGGAGCAGGTGCCAGAGGCTTTGGAGAGGAAGGAGCACGCCTCCTGCGGGCAGACTGGTGTGGAGAACATGCAGAGCACAGAGGCCATGGAGGCGGCTGGGGCCGCACCTGAGAAGGAACAGGGGAAAGAGGTGACGATGGTTTCACTGCAGCCACCGGTTGCCTCTTAGTAGGGTCTCTTCTCCCTGTCTGACATCACATTCTGTGTAGCAGTAGTTGGTTTATGTTTGGTTATTTTGTTGTTTTCTTGTTGACATCTGACAGACCACATCTCATTCTTTAAGCAGTGTGTGACTGAACAATTATTTTTATAAAGACAGGGATACATTCTGAAAAATGCCTCATTTGGCAACTTTGTCATTGTGTGAACACCTTGGAGTGTGCTTACACAAACCTATTGCCCCTAGGCTGCAAACCTGTACAGTGTGTTACTGTACTAAATACTGTAGGCAGTTGTAACACAGTGTAAGTATTTGTGAATCTAAACATGGAAGGATACAGTAGAATGTGGTATTATAATCTTACGGGACCACCAGTGCACATGCAGTCTTTCCTTGACTGAAACGTTGTTAGGTGGTGCACGACTGATACTTATTTTCATATGCGCTCCAGGACAAACCCCAGAATATTGGCTATATTTAAGTGGTGTGCATAACAAGAAAAAGTTGTTAGACTGGTAGTTCTAGATTGGAGAATCAGGTTCACGTTTTTCAGAAAGCTCTCCAGGAAGGAAACATGGAACTTAGACTTCAGGCAATGTATACCTTTAATGGTGTTTTTCTTTTCCTTGCTCATCATCAGGTTTCTAAACACTTAATTTAAAAAGCAAAGCACTTTTTCGCTCCTTGATCTGGTGATGATGTGTTCTGATACGGCCACAATTCAGGTCACTGGGTGCTATGGAAAGAACCTGGAATGTCAACAGAGGACTGCTGGTTACAGTGGTGATCCTGGACAACTTCAGTCTCTTTGAGTCCTAGTTGTTAATGACAATAAGAACCATTTATATTGCTTATACCCTGTGACTACCACCTCCACCACAATTATTCATTGAGCACCCATTAGGTGCTAAACATTTTCATTACTTCAAGTCCTCCCTGTGTCCCCATGAGATGATATTGTACTGTTTTTCTCCATTGTATATTTGAGAAAAATAAGCCTCAGTAAAGTGAAATGACAACCTCAGATGTAAACAGCTGGCTGATGATGAAGCCTAGTTTCTAGTTGAGGTCTGTCCTGCCTTTGGAGTGAGACATAATACTCCTGCAAAGAACTAAGCAGCCTTACAAAGGCCCCTGAGAGGTTGACATAACGTGTACCTGGACACTCCTATTTCTGCCTGTAGGCCAGGCCTTAGTTATTGGTGAGTTCCAGAGCAGGCAGACAGGCAGGAGTGATTATATGATTGAGAATAAAGAATAGCAGTGAGAGAAATTGTACTCAATGCAGCATAGTAACCGGGGACTTGTAATAGCTTCTTCTAACTCATTCTTTTGTGGCTTGGGATTTCTTAGGAACATGGAAGTGGATCTGCAGATGCAAACCAGGCAGAAGGCCGTGAATCGAATTTCATTGCCCGGTTGGCTTCCCAGAAGCACACCAGGAAAAACACACAGGTTTCTATCACTCCTCAGCTAAACTTAGGTGAAGGCTGCATGTTGAAAAAGACACTCCAAATGTAGTGATTTTTTTTTTAAAGCTATACTCCTGGCTTTTGCTGTCCCGTCAGATAGTAGCCTTGGTGAGCAGACCAGGATCATGGGGTTTATCCGGCAGGGGCTTCTTCCCTGCATGTGTCTCTCCCCCATCCCTGATTCCTGCCATGAAGTCTTAAGAGCCAAGTGCTGTGTGCTGCTGCCCAGCGCCAGCCCGTCTCACTCTTTTCATTGTCCACAGGCTCTTGTTTTTTAAGAGTAAGTTTTTAAAGTAGGGTATATTTTATGCAAATGATGCAAAATTAATGTAAAAGACCAATCCCCTAAAAAGCTTACATCCTATTCCTGTCTCCAATGGGCCTTCCCCAGAGCAAACTGGTATTATCAGCCCTTTCTTCTTTTGCAGATATCTTCTGCATATATGACATATGGATGTGTGAAAGTGTGTTTCTTTGCCTTCATTTTAGATATAAAAATATATCATAGAGATTGTTGTATATAAGTATATAGAGGCCCTGCTCTTTTTAATAGCCGTACTAAATTCCATTCTTGTATGGCTACACCTAATTTACTTCCCCTGTCCCCTACAGATGAATATTATGCTTATTTTGTGTCCTTTTGTCATGACAGGCAAGGCTGTGATGAATTTCTTTTTGTTTCTCCAGAGTTTTAAGAGGAAACCTGGGCAGGCCGACAATGAACGTTCCATGGGTGATCACAATGAGCGTGTGCACAAGAGACTGAGAACTGTGGATACGGACAGCCATGCTGAGCAGGGGCCAGCTCAGGAGGCCCAGGCCCAGGTGGAGGATGCAGATGCATTTGAGCACATTAAACAAGGCAGCGACGCATACGACACGCAAACCTATGGTATGGTGCCGGGAAGGCTGCTGCCTTTGCCCACGGAGCTCTCTGTGCAAGCTTGTGCTGTTATGACTGTGTGCCTGGCAGCTGATAGTACCCATTCATATCAGAGGAGAGAGGAGATGGCTTGGTAAAGATAAGAAATGTGGAGAAATAGTTTGTTTTTGGTACAAAGGTATCTGTAACCAAGTGAAAATGGTTCAGGTTTCTCAGTTTAATATAAACCTTTTAAATATCCTTAAATACAATAGTTAAAAATAACAGTTGGCCACATCCAAATGCTGATATCAGGGTTTCTTAGTACTGGACATTTCTTTCCTAGTCACCTCTGGGTAGGTCCCTGCACTGAGGAGCTATGAACTTGAAATATGTTTTCTCCACAAGTGCAAAGGGGAGGGGAAATGTCTCATCATGAGGTCATTGGTCAGTCTCCCCTTCTAGTTCTCTTGGTGACTTCACTGTTTCATTCCTAATATGTAAACTCATGTTGAGAATAATCTACCTTTGAGAATGGTGCAAAAATGACTGTTCTACATTGGATTATGTTTTTCTCTCCTGGATCCCACTTAAAAAGAAATAGAACAGTAGCTACCATGTATTGAGCTTTTGCATCATGCCAAAAAACTTTCTGAGCCTTTGCTGCATTATTACACTCAAATAATCCTATTACGAGCTAGAGCATCCCTGTTTTATAGGTAAGTACACTGAGGTCAAGTGGTTTAAGAACTCACCCAAGATCACAGTGCTGAGATTGCTATTCTCATGTTCATGTTTCTGTGCCTTGTTTTCTGCTTCTTTTTATTATTCTTAATTAACCCATAATAATGATACGTATTTATGGGGTACAGTGTGATGTTTTGATACATGTATATGGTGTTTAATGATCAAGTCAAGATAATTAGCACCTCAAACATTTATCATTTTTTTGTGTTGGAAACATTCAAATCTGTTTTTCTAGTTATTTGAAAATATATATAATTATTGTTAGAGTCGCCCTATAGCCCAGTTAAACACCCTATTTTTATGGTCACATGTATAGTTATACCATACCCTCATAATTTCTGTAGGAGGTAGGGAACAGGCAGTTCATTATGTCAGGAGGTCAGTAGGAACTCTTGGGCACAGACAAGTCTCCAAGCCACATAGCTGGTCAGTGGCACAAGTTGCATCAGTAGCATCTTGGAAGCTAGAATGACAGAAACCATACCCACTTATTACTTTGTTCTGGAAAGACCTAGGATTTTTATGTGTGGGTGCATGCTTTGTTGACAGATGTGGCCAGCAAAGAACAGCAACAGTCTGCAAAAGACTCTGGCAAAGATCAGGAAGAGGAGGAGATAGAGGACACCCTCATGGACACAGAGGAGCAGGAGGAGCTCAGAGCAGCAGATGTGAAGCAGCTGAAGCCAGAGGAAGTCAAGTCAGGCACCACAGCACCCTTCAGTGAGTCCTGCTAGTGAACAAATCCTTCCCAAGATCTCTGATTTAAAGTCATTTCCCTCTCACTATAGTCTAGTCTGGTGTTCAGTTCCATCTCCTAATCCATGGCTTAGATGAATCATTTGCCTATAGTAATTACACTACGGGGTTTCACTCTGTTGGTCAGGCTGGTCTTGAACTCCCGACCTCAGGTGATCCACCTGCCTCGGCCTCCCAGAGTGCTGGGATTACAGGGGTGAGCCACCACGCCTGGCCTACACTATATTGTTTGGGAGCAAAAAACAAAAATATGGACAGGGTGGATGTTGCACCACACCCTTCAAGGAGTCCCCTGGAACTTGAATTTCTGGCAAAATCTCATCAGTTCTTAAAAAATATGTAGAAGAAACCAGAATAGTATACTGACTACAGCTGTGTCGAAAAGGTATATTATTAGAGAAATGGTGTTTTCAGTTATATTAAAGTACCATAGTATTAGCATAAAATGCAGTAAAATATTAAAGGAAATAGAATGAGGAGTTTCCATTGCGTAGCCAACCAAGTTCTATTACTTGTCAAAAAATAACTTTATTAGCAATGCAATAAATCCAAATTCAAAGGCTTTTTCTTCTGCTTCATTCCTGTCCTCTCAAGAGTGTTAGAACAGTTGACTGCCCTATGTGACCATCCAGGCTTTGCCTCTCACCTCACAGGTTGGAGCAAATTATTCATCTGTTCTTTGCCTCAGTTTCCTCATCTGTAAAATGGAATCGTGGCTTTATTTTAGTTTTTATTTCTATCAAAGTTATACATGCATATAGTTTCACAAATCATACAGTTTTACAAGGCTTCTTAAGACAACCCAAAATTTCCATTATTTCCTTTCCTAGAACGCCTGCCTTCAACATCAGGAGGGGAGGTTAGAGAGTAAGGGTTGGCAGTGACTGTCTCAGAAAGAACATGTGAAATCAGCATGTGGAAGTGTGTTGGAAAGTGAATGAAGTTTGGTTAACTGTTAGGATTAATGGGCAAGAGCAAAGGCTTGGTCAGTCAACAGGCTAATATTATGGTAAGTAAAATTATGTCCTTAAATGAAAATAGGCTTTGATGAGAAGGAGGTGGAGATCCAAACTGTTAAAACAGAGGAAAACCAAGACCTCAGAACAGACAAATCCCCTAAGGGGACAGAAAATGAGAAACCAGAAAGAAGCCAAGAGTCAACCATTCATACAGCTCATCAATTCCTCATGGACACAATCTTCCAGGTACTAAATAAAACTCACAAATTACTGCATTAGTATTGGGTTAATAAATCAACAAAATATACTTTTTAAAATTGCTTTTAAATATTTGTCTTTAGAACTTTATGGAACATCTGGTTGTTGAGGGGCCGGGGTTAGGGGTTACATGTTCTTATAGAAAAGTTTTAGGAATACTATCGGTATGATAGGTGCTCTTTAAACACATGATACTGTTCCAGCAGTCTGTGATGGTGGTTCTGGTCCCTGCCCTCTGGGACTCACATCCCACTTTTCTAACTGTCCTGTATAAGGAACCTTCAGGACAATGAAGTTGGTGATGCTTAAGTAAAAAATATTTGGCTTAATGCCTATATTTATGAAGAGCTGTTATTAATCATATAACATTTGCATTATTGATGACTTAAGGGTGTTTTGTTTTTGTTTTGATAGAGTGGCTTTATAAATGTTATAAGTTTTCTTTATCCATATTGTCTCTCTAAGAGGGGAAACAGAATGCTTGTCTGGCATCTTCTCATGGTGCCACTGTATTTGCTGAATTAAGTTTTGAATCTCAGGAGGATTTGACTGTGTAGATGGAGTTCATACTGTAGGGTGCAAGGCAGCCAGTTAAAGTAAGTTGGTGATTCCAACATGAGCCACCTCTTATCTATGGCTTTTTCTTCTTAGCCCTTTTTAAAAGATGTCAGTGAGCTAAGACAGGAGCTGGAGAGACAGCTGGAAATGTGGCAGCCACATGAATCTGGAAACCCAGAAGAAGTAAGTCACTGTTTTTTCGTAAAATATCTTGGCTTTTTTTTTGTCTGACATCTAACAAACTTAATAGGTAAGCTATTACCTTAGTAAAAAGGACCAGGCATATGGAGACTCTAATTACAATCCTAAAGCCTATGTCTGTCCATCAGTTTCTGTCTGCTTTGCTGCTAGATCTGTAGCTTAATTAAAATAGAAATTGGTGTGCTTAATTCCCGTAATTTCTGTTGCTGGCTCTGTAATGGATGTAATAGTTGTGGTTGAAAAACTGGGCAAGAGTCTATGCTGTGCCATCATGAGAGGAGGCCAGCTAGATTGTTGCTGGCTGACTTAACGCGGTAGCATGCATTAACCAGCAGTTTTATTTTTGATGACTTTGACTCCTAAATTTACTGTATGTGTACACAGTTTACTTTTTTATCTATTGTCATCATCACTCCCACCATATATATGTATTTGAGTGCTCTAGTTGGCAGAAAATCACGAGGCTTTGTGTTGAGTGTGTTGCTGGGGGGATTTGCACTTAGCACTTTTACTTTTTTTTGTTTGTTTGTTTGTTTTGAGATGGTATCTCGCTCTGCTGCCCAGGCTGGAGTGCTGTGGTGCAATTTTAACTCACTGCAACCTCAGCCTCCCGAGTAGCTGGGATTACAGGCACATTCCACCATGCCAAGCTAATTTTTTTGTATTTTAGTAGAAACGGAGTTTCTCCATGCTGGCCAGGTTGGTCTCAAAATCCTGACTTCAGGTTATCTGCCTGCTTTGGCCCCCCAAAGTGATGAGATTATGGGCATTGGCCATTGAGCCTGGCCCACTTTTACTTTTGAAACCTGACTCTGAGAATCCACAAGTAGCTGGATCTGCTGGTGTCAAAATTACCCATTCACATCTCCCTCCCATGAAGCGTACATGTTTTACTCTTTGTACGGGATGTAAGGCATTGATTTGGTTATGAATTCTGATAATTAACTGCCTTGTTTCATTCTTTCTCACTCAGAAGTGCAGGTTATGGGTTTGGTTGAAGGAGAGAATTTTCTCTTCTTTTTTTTTTTGTTTTTGAGATGGAGTCCCACTCTGTCACCCAGACTGGAGTGCTGCGGTGCGATCTTGGCCCACTGCAACCTCGGTCTCCCCAGGTTCAAGAGATTCTCCTGGCTTAGCTTCCTGAGTAGCTGGGATTGCAGGCACACGCCACCATGCCCAGCTAATTTTTTGTATTTTTAGTAGAGATGGGGTTTCACCACATTGGCCAGGCTGCTCTTGAACTCCTGGCCATCTCAGCCTCCCAAAGTGCTAGGATTACAGGCACGAGCCACCACCCCCGGCTAGAAGGGGAGACATTTTTAATCAAGTAAATTGCATGGTAGCTTGCTGGGAGAAGATTTAAAGTGCTTCTGTTGAGAAAGTTCATGCAGGTCATTTTCTGTCATCATCTTGCTAGAAGACTTGGTTGGCTCTGACATTCTGAGGATAACTTACATTTTGTTGTCACAGGAGAAGGTTGCAGCTGAGATGTGGCAGAGTTACCTGATCTTAACAGCACCTCTTTCACAACGGTTATGTGAAGAGCTTCGTCTCATATTAGAACCTACCCAGGCAGCCAAGCTGAAGTAAGTTCCCCTCTAGAAGGCCTCACAGTGCCCTGGGAAGATGGCAGCTTCATTGATTCTGTTTAACTCAGCACCTAACCATTTATGGTGCCAGTTTCTCAGTTGCCTCTTCTGCCGTACAGGCACCAGTGTTCCTTACCCTGTTTTCCTGTTACTGTCTCTGCACAAAAGTTTCTGGGTGTCTGCATTGATCACCTTGTTCATGTCGAGTTACTCACTTGTATAGGTGTTACTCACCTAGATCTTTTCAAAGATGTACCCAAAATCTTAGTTTTAGAATAGAAAAGAGAGAATCCAAGATTTCATATTCAGTGGATTTTTGTCCTAATTTTTAAAAACATGTTTGGAAGGACCTAATTATTATTGCCACTTACATGTCCAGTTTTTCTGGCTGGACGTCAAGAAGATCCTGGCACTCAGTCCTAATTAACAGTAACACGTCATTGTGCCAGGTTCCTAGTTACTTGGTATTATTGATTTTAAGGTATTATTAATGTGATTTTTGTCTCTAATGAAAATTCTCAGGAATTAAATGTTGTTAACTAATTTTTGCCCCTTTGAATCAATAAATAGAGGAGACTATCGAACTGGGAAACGACTGAACATGCGAAAAGTCATTCCATACATTGCTAGTCAATTTCGGAAAGACAAGATTTGGCTTCGAAGGACCAAGCCCAGTAAACGCCAGTATCAGATTTGTTTGGCTATTGATGACTCTTCTAGTATGGTAGACAACCATACTAAGCAGGTAAGGAAGAGAAATGTAGTGATGGTTTGATAGGGAATGAACACCAAACCATGTTCCATGGGCCACCAGAATGCTTTCAATATGATATGGCTAAGACATTTTGAAATACTTGTTAGGTCTGTTTTGAGAATGTGATAACCATCTTTGATAAGACCGAAGATTTAAAGACTTCAAAAGGGCAATTTTAGGATGTCTCAGATGTGTTGGTTTCTTACTGTTGTAGGTTTTTTAAATTGTTTTGTTTCTTGACCCTGCTCTTCTTACTGTCTAGTTGCAAAGTAATTCTGATAGTATTTATTTTGCAGAAAACGCAACAATGTACTATTAAACTATTTAAGACTATGTAGCAATTTCAGAAAACTTTGATTTTTTTTTAAGTATATATCTAGGATACATTTCTTTTATGTCCTAAATTATCCAGAGTTATTGTTCTGTCAGTGCTAATATTAAGTTTAGGAGCCTGAACAGAATTACTTACACCTCCATTACAGACGCCAAAGAGTGTCTGTTTTTGGCAGTGATGCTGTTACATCATGGGCTAACGAGCAACCTAAAATTTGTATGTTCTGCTGGAAAAAGTTAATGCAGCCTCTGAACCTGGGTTCCTATCCCAGTTCCATTTATTAACATGTGACTTTGGGTAACTTATTTCTTATGTATCAGTTTCATCTTCTAAAAAGTGAGGATTTTATATATATATATATTTACATGCACACACAGAACAGTAATTATAACCTCATACTCGCAGAATTGTTATGAAGATTCAATGAAATAATATATGGAGAACACACTCAGTTTGCTACTTGTGTCATATTGCAGATGGTAATGAAGTTTTCAGATATAGCTGTACAGTTTGATTTGGCTGCATATATATGAATAGATTTTAAATTGGTTTTTAAAATTTGTTACCTACAAGAGGTTAATTTTATATAGGTCCAAAAAAAAAGAAAGAAAAATTAAATTCATGAACCATATTTCTCAAGGTCCCCCGCCCCCCACTTTTTTTTTTGAGAAAGAGTTTTGCTCTTTTTGCCCAGGTTGGAGTGCAGTGGCGTGATCTTGGCTCACCGCAGCTTCTGCCTTCTGGGTTCAAGTGATTTTCCTGTCTCGGCCTCCTGAGTAGCTGGGATTACAGACATCCGTCACCATGCCCGGCTAATTTTGTATTTTTTACTAGAGATGGGGTTTCTCCATGTTGGTCAGGCTGGTCTTGAACTCCCAACCTCAGATGATCCGCCCGCCTCAACCTCCCAAAAGTGCTGGGATTACAGGCGTGAGCCACTGCGCCCAGCATTTTTTTTTTTTTTTAAAGACAGGGTCTTCCTCTGCTGCTGAGGCTAGAGTGCAGTGGCATAATCATGGCTCACTGTGGCCTCAACCTTCTGGGTTTTTTTTTTTTTTTTTAAGACAGGGTTTCACTCAGCTCACTGTGGCCTCAACTTTCCCGGGGTCAGGCAATCCTTCTACCTCAGCCTCCCAAGTAGCTGGGACCACAGGTGTGGGGAGTCTTGCTGTGTTACCTGGGCTGCTCTTGAACTCCTGGACTCAAGTGATCCTTCCTCCTTAGCCTACTAAAGTGCTGGGATTATAGGTGTGAGATACCATGCCTGGCCCCCAAGGTCACTTTTTATTCAATGTCTACAGCAGACCATTCCTATCAGTGTAATGGATTCTAGGTTTCAACATTTTTGGTACCAGGCAGAGCTTAAGGCCATCAAAGCCTCAGGATTGGTTGTGACTATAATAACCTTACTTATGTTATTCCTCTACTTGCCAAACAAAACAAAACAAAACAAAAAAAAACGTTTTCTATGGGAATCTTGATGCAAAAGAAAAAAGTTGAGAGGCTCTGGTTTAGAGGATATTCTGATTCCTGAAATCATTAACTTTCTAATTCACAGCTTGCATTTGAATCTTTGGCTGTGATTGGAAATGCTCTAACCCTCCTGGAAGTGGGTCAGATTGCAGTGTGTAGGTAAGGTTGCCGTTAATTCCATTGTGAAAACTTTTCACAACCTGTTTGGTTATTTTGATCACACAGCAAACAAGTAACTCCTGTTGTATTTGGTTTTCTGCCCAAAGTTTCGGAGAATCTGTAAAGCTGTTACACCCATTCCATGAGCAGTTCAGTGATTACTCTGGGTCCCAGATTCTACGTCTCTGCAAATTCCAACAAAAGAAAACCAAGATTGCTCAGGTATGAGGATGAAATAAAATGTCTTCTGCATAGTTATTTTTAAACTGGTGTAGACAGGAGGGAGAACTTTTTTTTTTTTTTTTTTGAGACAGCATCTCATTCTGTCACCCAGGCTAGAATGCAATGGCACCATCGTAACTCACTGTAGCCTCAAACTTCTGGGCTCAAGCAGTCCTCTTGCCTCAGCCTCCCTAGTAGCTAGGACTACAGGCCTGTGCCACCATGTCTGGCTAATTTTTATTTTTTGTAGGAACAGGGTCTCACTTTGTTGCCCAGACTGGTCTCAAATTCCTGGGCTCAAGTGTTCCTCCCTTCTTGTCCTCCCAAAGTGCATCATTGTTTTCTGGCTCCCTACTTTTTTTGCTGAGTAGTTCAGAACATTCTGCAAAACTAACCCCATCTCTCATACCCTTATCAGGTGGGCCAAGACCTACTTTCCCCCTCATTAAGCCTAGAGAAGAAATGATAACAATATAAAGCCAGTGACTTTTTGAGGATGGCACAAGTTCAAAACAGAGCATGGGATTGTATTTCTCCTGGTTCCTGCTCTGATTCAATCTGCATTCTCTAGGCTGCCCTGGACATTTTGTATTTTCTTGCCTTCTCTTTAGCTCATTTGTTTTCTGTTCTTGAAAGAAGACAGCTGTTTGGTTTATTTGAGAGGGTTATTGACTTCTTATGTTCTAGGGAAGCACTTCTTTTCCTTTGGGGTGTCTTCCAGAACTCTAGCGTGTTATATGTTAACAAAGCATGTCTCACTTGTACTTGAGAATGCATGTATCATCTAGGCATGATAGCTCACACTTGTAATCCCAGCTTGAGGCCAGCGGTTCAAAACCAGCCTGGTCAACATAGCGAGAGCTCATCTCTACAAAAGACAAAATATTATCCACGTGTGGTGGCACATACCTAGTCCTAGGTACTTGGCTGTAGGTTGAGGCAGAGCCCAGGAATTGAGGCCACACAGTGAGGTGAGATCATGCTACTACTACACTGCAGCCTGGATGACAGAATGAGACCCTGTCTCAAAACATAATTTAAAAAAAAAAAAAAAAAAAAAAAAAAAAAGAATATATGTATCCAAGGATCCTCCTTTTTAAACTACATGTGGCCAGAAGGGACAATTTGATGGTTTGTAAGCCTGAGGTGGTTATCTGATAATCACTTTAGTGTCAGAAATACCATCAGTCTCTTTGATAATGGGAAGAGAGCATTTAAATAGTTTTCTAATTATCTATTTCTGGTTCTGGTTTAGTTTCTAGAGTCTGTCGCCACCATGTTTGCAGCCGCTCAGCAGCTCTCACAGAACATCAGTCCAGGTGAGCTACATGCCTTCCTCTTCATTAACAAAATGCTTTCCTGTACTCTGTATTCCCAAGCTGCTTGCTTCAGCTCATTGCCCCTGTTACCATGTTTTAACAGGTATGCTCCATAGGAAAAGATGTAAGTCGATAGAGCTGATGGAATTTATTCATTTATTCAGAAATTTTTGTTGAACCTGTACTCGTGAGGCTTATAATCAATGGGAGATCTAGATACTAACTACTAGTATATTCACATTTGATAAGAGTTTAGAGTTGTGAGAGAAAGGAGCAAGGTGTGTGGAATTAAATATAAAGACTACAGTTGACCCTTGAATACCACAGGTTTGTCTCTACTGCTCAGATCTACTTACACAAGGAGTTTTTCCAACCAAAAGTGGATTGAAAATTCAGTATTTGAGGGATGCAAAACCCGAGTATATGGAGGTCCAACTTTTCATGTATGCAGGTTCTTGAGGGCCATCTCTGGGCTTGAATATGTGTGTATGCTGGTATACTGGGGGGGGGGGTAGGTGTCCTGAAACCAGTCCCCTTTATTCTCTAATATTTTAATAACAGAGGAAAGTGGAGAAAGACATAATTTAAAAACCAGCTAATCCAACCACATTTACTTTGGGGGTTCAAAACATGCCCATTCTTTAGTCTTTCCAAAAATCTCTGTGTCCTCAGTGTATCATGCAGAAGCTTCAGTTTTTGATGGAAGCAAGTCATTCACACCTCTCAACATCTGCTACAGCAGCCCACCCTCAGCTCAAGTACTATATAATCTTTATCTGGAAACACTATGTACCAAAAATTTTAAAACATCTTATTCACTGTTGAGTGGTTCCTTTCTATTTGTTTTTGTTTAGACAAGTCAAATTTCAAGGGGAAAAAAATACAGAAATTAGGTACAAGGAATTAACAGAAATCTGAAGTGATTATTTTATGTGATTACAGAAATTTGGAAGACAGAGTTCCAGGTTTCTGATTTGGGTACTTTCTTCTAATGGCCTACTCGGTACTATCATTTTTAATATTAATAGCCATAAACAAGTATTTTAATTCTCATCTACAGTATGTTGCTCTGTAATTGAGGTTGAGCTGAACTTAACATTTCCTGAAGCACTATTGAGAAACTCTCCTGTACTGACAGAAGCTTACTTGGTATCCCTTATTATGCCTTGTCTCTGACTCAAGCATCCTAAGGGATAGATCTCATCAGAGGTCCCTTATATTTGTGCCCAAAATTCATCAGCTTTAGAGGTCTGTTTAGCTTTAATAGTACAGAGAAAGCCTACACTAATATGTCCTACTTTGGGTAGTTTGAGTTATTAAAAATGGATGTTCATTTTATTCCCTTGCTTCCTCTTATATGGTCTACAGAAACTGCACAACTCCTCCTGGTAGTCTCTGATGGGCGAGGCCTTTTCCTTGAGGGCAAAGAAAGAGTCCTGGCAGCAGTTCAGGCTGCCCGGAATGTGAACATCTTTGTCATCTTTGTTGTATTGGACAATCCCAGTTCACGGGTGAGTGACTACTAAAAGCCACCTCTTCGGGAGATAAAGTGGGGATTCCCTTCAACCTGTTCAATCTGCATTAAGGTCTGGATCACTCAGACATACTGAGAACTCCCAGCATTCACAGTACCATTGTAGGCACTCAATTAATCTTTGCAATAAACCAGTGAGGTAGGGATCATGATTCCAACTTAAGAACTGAAATACATAGAGGTTAGGTAATGAGTGGGAGAGCCAAGATTTCAGAATGACCATCCTCTTGGGACATCTTTTCCTTCTATGCAAAGTCAGTGCAGGTATTACAGCCTTGATAATGGGTACTGACAACTTTGAAATGGAGATCAGGTGTTTCTACACTTAAACTTATGTCTCAGCAGCCCTCCTCACAGCAGGAAGCATCAATCATCTTAGTGAAATATGCCGACAGGGCAGTTCTATTCCAGGGAAGCACTGTGTCTGCAGGTCACATTAAGGCCTAGATAGCAAAGTAAAGATTTAATGTGAATGATACCAAGTAGACGATGGGGAAACACCACTGTAGGGAAAGTAGATTTTTCTATCTATCCCTTTTCCTTTTTTTTCATCAGTGTCCCTCTTCCTCGAAGGGCAAGAGATCTACCCAAAAAGAGATCTACCTCCTTCTTAGTAGAGTTCCGAAAATTCTCTTTTACTTAATAACAAAAGCTAGGTTCATAGGCAGGATTAAGACACAGGAGGAGACATAAAAGTTGTCAGCAAAAGCTAGCTAAGGATGCTGCTTTAATTGCTGCCTCCTCATTTCAAAATGCCTTCTGTTGACAGGATTCTATCTTGGACATTAAAGTACCGATATTTAAAGGACCTGGAGAGATGCCTGAAATCCGATCCTACATGGAAGAGTTCCCATTCCCATACTATATCATTCTACGAGATGTAAACGCACTTCCTGAGACACTCAGCGATGCCCTCAGACAGTGGTTTGAGTTGGTGACAGCCTCTGATCACCCATAGAATAGAAAGAAGAGTCCAAAGTGAGACTTAACCATGGTCAGAAGGTCACATTCCTTACCCAGGTGCTCCCTTTTGGAGAACTCCAAAAAATTTTATTGTAATACATATTTTTATTTTACAACATGATCTTACAGCCTATAGAACACTCTCTGGTTCCCTGCTTTGCCTGGGCTAATGTTTTTATAACAAACCGGGAAGCAGCAGCAGGTGCCTGAACTGGTAACTAGAAGAGATACGAGTTCAGGCACCTGCTGCTGCAGTGGGCTTGGAAGCCCTGGCCTGGGAGGAGGTCATACCCCACCGTTGGAGCCCAGCTGCCTGTTTTCCTTTGCAGGGGACCTGGGCACCTGTGCCTTGAGGAGATGTTGCCAGGAGCATGGGATTCTGACAGTCCTTTGTATAAAGGATTAAGGGGAGCTAGCTGCCCTTTTGACCCTGCTCTAAGCTCTGCCTTGCCAAGCCCACAATGTGTACCCAAAAGCTGTCAAGTGGCTGAGACAGCTGCAGTTTCTGGACAGTATGAGGGTGTGTTTTCTTACTGTGAAAGGAACTACCTTCTCTTAGAGGGTAGGAAGAGTGTGGTGCGTGTGTGTGTTCTCATACAGCAACCGGACATTATTAGAAGCCCAAGTAATCCATAAAAATGATCCTTGGGCTGTGTAAAAACAAAGTGGCTTTTCAGTATCCTCTTTCACATGTGCTGCTTCGGGAGACTATGCAATGATGGAAAGGTGATTGCCCCTTTACTTCATTCAGTGCCATGGTCCCTGTTGTTGTAGTAATTTATTTGTTTAGTTCATGTTTTTTTTTTTTTCCTTAATGGTTAAGGAGAAGAGTCATTCCTTACACTGCTTTCAAGCTGGACTGAGCCAGTTTCATTCTGGGAAAGAAACACTGTATCCAGAAGGACTCAGCAGCTCCATCTATTTTTTCCAGTCAAAAAGAAACTGATTTTTAGGCAGTTTTTACTTGGCCAGAAAGCAGTGCTTGAATACTTGAAACTGTGTGCTCTATTCTACTTAATGTTCTGTCAGAATGTTCTTTTGTAGGCAATATGTCAGATGTAATCATCTATCTCCCTGTTTCCAAGTTACACTGTGAAGTCTGCCACCCTTTTGAGGTGGTCATCAAAGACAGATTGCTTCTTGTTTAACCAAGTGTCCCAAAGCATGTACCTGAAGTTATATCATTATTTTTTATTCTAAAAAGCTATGCAGCTTATATTCCGAAAACTATTAAAACATATACCACTGTTGATATAATTTGTGACTATTCTTAATGAAAGATGACAGGATTGTAAAAGGTATGCTAGGGGATTGATCTCTGCTGGATCAGTAAGCTGTTACTAGTTAATGCTGTGCTAACATGACCTCCAACTTCAATGTTGCTCTTATTACAAGGGTTGATGTCTCATTTGCATTTATGTCCATGGTAGGGTGAGCTATAATACGCTGGCTTTGCGGCAGAATGAAAAGGGTGAGTTGATGGAGCCATGCAGTGGCTTAAGATTCTCCTCCGTAAGTGATGTCACATCTACTCACATTTCATTGGCTAAAGTCCTGCATGGGGCAGGCAGTTTAATCTTCCAGTAGGGTTGAGTCTGGGAGGGAAAGAAACCAATATTATGACAATACTGCAGTCTATTATATCTGCCTTTGGAAGCTCCATCTTAGATAGAACTCCCAGACTGGAGTGCCCAGAGTGATTCCCTTGGCCCTGGGTTAGCTCATGAGATATCAGGGACAGTAGGAATTCCAGGAAGCAGGAACCCAAGAGTGCCATTTTCAACTTGTGCTCCCAACAGGACTTGCAGAAGTAGTGATAAATTAATCTATCATGTTGATAGTTCACATTTGTGCCATCCTGCGCATCTCCCCAGGCCTTGGCCAAATAGGTAAGTTCTGATATCGAACAAATGGACAGCAAAACACAAATGTCCTCCATGATGTCTTAAAAATCTCACTTTGGGGCTGGGTGCGGTGGCTCACCCCTATAATCCCAACACTGGAAGGCAGAGGCGGGTGGATCCCTTGAGGTCAGGAGTTTGAGACCAGCCTGGCCCATATGGTGAACCCCGTCTCTACTAAAAATATAAAAAAATCAGCTGGGTGTGGTAGCGCGTACCCGTAATCCCAAGCTACTGGGGAGGCTGAAGCCAGAGAACTACTTGAACCAGGAGGCAGAGGTTGCAGTGAACTGAGATCACACCACTGCACTCCAGCCTCGGTAACAGAGCAAGACGCTGAACAACGACGAAATCTCACTTTGGACAACTTCACCACTCCCGTGGCCTCAACCATCATTGAAGCAAAAAGACTAAAATTCTCCATCCAGGGATCCAGGAAGTCTACTCTTTGGTATTCTCAATTATATTCAGACATCTGTTGGAGCTGTATTTAGGCAACAGACTCTTCAAATGCATCACATTCAAAATGTCACTGTTCTAATTCCCCTATCCCAAACGTTCCTTCAACATTCCCCATATGCAGTGACCACGCCAACAACCACCCTGTTCACAAACTTGGAGCTTAACCTATACATCTGCTTTACTTCCTTCTCCATTTCTATGCATACCCCATAATCATCTTGTCCAGTCTGACTTTGGGACATCCTATCCTATTTCGCGCCCCCTCTGCACCCATTCCATTGTGACTGGCGCTCCTTAATCTCTAGCAGGGACTCCTTCAGTGGTATCCTGACCAGTAACTTGTTTTTGCTTGCTTCGCTTCATCCTACATACAACATCCAAGGTCTTTCTAAAAGTTCTCTAGCTGAAAATCCCTTCAGAGCTCCCGGTTGTGAAGAGGGTAATACTCAAGCTTCTTCACGTGACCTATGAGGCTGCCTGACCCTTCTGTCACTTCTCTCCCAGTATCCCTGCCAGTGTTCCATGTGTTGTCTAGAATCCTCTTACTGACTTTGCTTTTCTGGCAAATACCTAACTCAGACAAGCCCTCCAGGAAGAATGATTTCCCACAATATGAACCGCAACATTATTTGTTAGCACTATATTGAACTTAAGAGGTTTTCCTGCCCAAAGTGTGAGTCTGAGCAAGGAGCGTATGTGACTTATGACAGCATTGCCAGTGTCTAGCATGAGTTTTTTGTTTTTCTTTTTTTAAATGGAGCTTTGCTCTTGTTGCCCAGGCTGTGGAGTGCAATGGTGTTATCTCTGCTCATTGCAACCTCCGTCTCCCGGGTTCAAGCAATTCTCCTGCCTTAGCCTCCCAAATAGCTGGGACTACAGGTGTACACCACCAGTCCCGGCTAATTTTTTGTATTTTTAGTAGAGACAGGGTTTCGCCATGTTGGTCAGGCTGGTCTCGAACTTCTGACCTCAGGTGATTCGCCTGCCTTGGCCTCCCAAATTGCTGGGATTACAGGCCTGAGCCACGGCGCCCGGCCTGAGTATCTCTTGATGAGAAGAAGAAATAATGTAAAAATGTGTTTTCTCACATTAATTTAGATTCAAGACTATTTCAAAATTCCAATCAATATCACAAGATTTGGAGGGAAATTATACAAAACATTCTAAAGGTTATAGAGAACAATACTAATAGATTTTTTTTTTAACAAGAAACTAGTTTTGCCAGATAATAAAACAATACGTATAAAACAAAAATTAAAAACTCAACCTAAGATAAAACAATTCTGGATTACTCAGTCCCTAAAAGAATTTACCATACAGTCAAAAAGACATCTATCATAAAACCCAGAAAAAGAAGTGAATTATGTAATAAATGATACTGATACAGATTAACATCTAGAAAAGAAATTAGATCCACATGATGCTGTAAACCAAAGTAAATTCTAGATTGAGTAAATATTTTAAAAATAATGAAACTTTAAAAAATGAATTACAAAGGTCTGAATGGGAAATGAAAAGCCTCAAAAGGCACAAAAATACATGTGATTGTATAGATAAAATTTCTTTATGTATAAAGAAATGACAAAAACAATATAGAGCCCATATAAAAGAATAAAAGTCCTCATCATAAACAGACCCAAGTCATGAACAATTCACAAAAATCAGTATAACTAAAAATGGCGAGGGGTATTCACTCATACTTTTTAAAAGTTAGCAATGAACTATCAATGCTAATGTGTTAGACAAAGTTTGACAAATACTGACAGTGTGGTCATGCAGTTAGCATCATTCATACAATGCCTGGTGAAGTTCAAAAGAGCAATGGTTAGAGTTCATATGTGTGCCAGGTCCTGTTCTCAGTACATTACAGATACACAACTGAGGTAGATGCTGTATTTCACTTTACAGGGGAGGGTCAATAGCCAGAACACAGCAACAGGCAGGCAAGCAAGTACTCAGTAAATAGCAACTGAATGAACACTTTTGGTACTATTTTAATTTGATACAACACAATTTGGAAAATTAACATGGCAAAGATTTGCTAACTCCACTTTTAGTGACTTAACCTAAAGGCATGTGGTGTGTATTGTGGAAAAGATAAAACAGTTATAAGGAAAGAAAAGCAAAAGCCTGAGGCTTAGGGATGTTCTGCTCCTCCTTATGAAAAGTGCTTAAAACTGCCGTGGGAGCCAGGCGCGGTGGCTCAGGAGTTCAAGGCCAGCCTGACCAACATGGTGAAACCCCGTCTCTACTAGAAAAAAGTACAAAAAAATTGCTGAGTGTGGTGGCGCACGCCTGTAATCCCAGTTACTCAGGAGGCTGAGGAAGGAGAATCGCTTGAACTCAGGAGACAAAGGTTGCAGTGGGCCGAGATAGTGCCACTGCACTCCAGCCTGAGTGACAGAGCAAGACTTCGTCTCAATAACAAACAAAACAAAAAACCCCGCAGTGGGGCAGCCATTCAAAGCTTTGTTTCAAAGGCTCATGAAGGTCACCGTTCCGGGAAAACGCTTGTATTAGAAAAGCACAGGACGAACAGAGAGAGAGATGCACTCCAAGGCTATTCATATTGCCAAATCTTTTCCTCTCTTAACACAACCCTTGCCCCTCAGACACGCCTCTAGAGGCTGAGCCAACCTCTGTTCTGCTGTCTCAAGACTTGTGCCAAGTGGGATCAAATGAAGTACTGCCAAAAGAACAAATGCTTTTCCCCTCTTTGCCCACAAAAAACCCCCCCTTTTTTTTTTCCCCCGAGACTCGCTCTGTCGCCCAGGCTGGAGTGCAGTGGTGCAATCTCGGCTCACTGCAACCTCCACCTCCCGGATTCAAACGATTCTCTTGCCCCAGCCTCCCGAGGTGCTGGGATTACAGGCGTCTGCCACCACGCCGGGCTGGTTTATTTTTTGGTAAAAACGGGTTTTCACCATGGTGGCCAGTCTGGTCTCGAACTCTTGACCTCAGGTAATCTGCCCGCCTCGGCCTTCCAAAGTGCTTGGAATTGCAGACCTGAACCGCCGCGCCCGGCCTCCTTCACTCTCATTTGATGAACTCTCTTTACCAAAAACCGTGCTAAGTGCCCTTCTTTCGTTATCACAACGACCCTATGAGGCACTACTATCCCATTTTACCGACGAGAAAACTGCAGCCAGCGCAGCCCATAACCTGCTCCAAACCCTAGGGCCTCAGTCCCGATACCTCGCGCTCTTAGTAACAAACCCGCCGGCAGTCTTCCAGGAAACCAGGCTCGCCACACCCTCTGGTCGGAACCCCCCCACTTCCGCTCCTGCGCGCTGAGGCTCCGGCGGACCGCTCGCGGACATGGCCGCTACCCGTTTACCCCCAGCGACGCTAACATTAAAGCAGGTGCGGTTCTCTGCCTTCCAGAGTAGCTTACCTGGGTCTCAGCGTCTGGATTCTCCATCTACCCTCCATCTAACGGGGCGGGTTCCGGGATCCTGACGCGGCGCGCGCCCTCTGATACTAGCCCGACGCCCGCGGGGCGGGGCTTCGCACCGCGTAGGCCGATGGGAGGCAAGAGCCGCTGACTCGGTTTAGTGCGGTCGTGTCAGGTGCGCCAGGTGCTTAATTTCCTCAAGTACCGGCTCCGCTGCTACTCAGTGCAGCTGTCAGTTGCACTGAGCTGTGGCAAATGGCAAATGAGATTACCACAGATTTGAACAACTGTTAATTTAGAAAAAGTGCTGTCGTCGTGATGACAACTTCTAGGAGACCGGCAGCCCTTTTCAGCCCGGTAGTCAGCTCCTGATTTGTGTGTGTGTGTGTAGAGACAGTCTGACTTCGTCGCCCAGGCTGGAGTGCAGTGGCCAGATCTCGGCTCACTGCAACTTCCGCCTTCCGGGTTCAAGCGATTCTCCGGCCTCAGCCTCCTGAGTAGCTGGGATTACAGGCACGCGCCACCACGCCCAGCTAATTTTTGTATTTTTAGTAGAGACGGGGCTTCACCATGTTGGTTAGGCTGGTCTCAAACTCCTGACCTCGTGATCTGCCCGCCTCGGCCTCCCAAAGTGCTGGAATTACAGGCATGAGTGAGCCACCGCGCCTGGCCGATTTTTTAATTGTTCTTAGGTTTCACAGAGGAGTAAGCAGAAAGATCAGATGAACCTCGTGATGCTTTCTTTAAAACATGTTTTTGAGACAGGGTCTTACTCTTGCCCAGGCTGAGGGCAGTGGAGCAATCAAGGCTTACTGCAGCTTACACCTCCTGGGCTCAGGTGCTCCTCCCATCTCGGTCTCCTAAAATCCTGGGATTACAGGCCTGAGCCACTGCACCTGGCAAAAAAAAAAAAAAAAAAAGTCTTTGCCTTTTTCGAAATTGACCAATGAGAAGGATTCTGGTTACAGCTTGTTTGCTGAAGTAGAACCTTCCAGGCTGGCGGTTGTGCAGTAGTAATTGTTATTTCTCCTCTCTTTTACAGTTCATAAGAAGGCAACAAGTTCTTCTCCTCTACAGAAGGATTTTGCAAACAATTCGGCAAGTTCCAAATGATTCTGATCGCAAATACTTGAAGGATTGGGCAAGGGAAGAATTCAAAAGAAACAAAAGTGCCACCGAAGAGGTGAGAACAAAATCATGGTGTGGACAGACCCTAATTCTTTTAATTGTTCAGTGAATTTTTTTTTTTTTAAGTTTAGCAGACATCTTGGAATATAATGCCACCGAGCTGGCATAGCTTGATCATTGCTTGTAATGTTACCGATTTTAAATGATATTTTAAAATTTAATATTGCTGTATCTGTACTCTTCAACATCATCACTTGACTTTTATGCTATGTATTATATATGTGGAAATCTTTTGGCTTTCCTAAAAGGCAGCAGTTCCAGTACCTAGTATTGGTTCTTGATTTTAACAAATAAAATGGTATAGCTATACCTTGTTTAACCAGGTAAAACAGTAACCAGATTTCACTTTATTCTACAGGACACAATCCGGATGATGATTACTCAAGGCAATATGCAGCTCAAAGAGTTAGAAAAAACACTTGCTTTAGCAAAATCTTAACTATATCATTATTCTGAAGGATTTTCAAAGTCTCCATGTGTTTTGTTGCATTTAGGATTAATGATGGACAGCACAAAGCCCAGTCTTACTATTTGTATGTACAGTATTTGCTACATTTTCAAAATGTTTATGGATGTCTCTGCAGTTTTTAAAAGAAGTAAAAACCACTAAGAAATGGCCAGTTAGCACATGAAAAGATGCTGGACATAATCATTAAGGAATTGTAAATCAAAACTATGAGGCAGGGTGCAGTAGCTCACGCTTGCAATCCCAGTACTTTACGAGGCCAAGGTAGGTGGATCACTGGAGGTCAGGAGTTAGAGACCAGCCTGGCCAACATGGCGAAACCTTATCTCTACTAAAAGTACAAAAATTAGCGTGGTGTGGTGATGCATGCCTGTAGTCCCAGCTACTCGGGAGGCTGAGGCAGGAGAATCATTTGAACCCAGGAAGCAGAGGTTACAGTGAGCTGAGATCATGCCATTGCACTCCAGCCTGGGTGACAAGAGTGAGATTCCATCTCCAAAAAAAAAAAGAAAACACACAACTATGAGTTATCACTTCATTCACTAGAATGGCTGTAATTAAAAAGAAAAATAATAAAAGTGTTGAAGATGTGCAGAAATTGGAACCCTCATACATGCTGGTGGGAATGTAAAATGGTGCAGCCACTTCAGGAAACAGACTGTCAGTTCCTCAAAAGATGAAACAGAGCTGCTGTATGATTTAGCAATTCTACCCCTAGGCCCATAACCATTATTTGGAAGTAAAAAAAAACAAAGGACTGATATATGCTAATCATGGATAAACCTTGAAAACGTTAAGTAAAGAAGCCAGTCACAAAAGATCATGATTCCATTTAAACGAAATGTCCAGAACAGGTGGAAAGATTAGTGGTTGCCTAGGCTGGCTGTAGGAGAATGGAGTAACTGCTAATGGGTGGAGGGTTTCTTTTCAGGGTGATGAAAATATCCTACAGTTAGCTTGATGTGTAGGTTGTTCAACTCTGAATATACTCAAATCCACTGAATTGTACATTTTAAATATAAGATATGAATTGTATCTCAATAAAGCTGTTATGAAAAACAACTCTTAGGTGTAGGACTGAGAGTATACTGACATCAGGAGATACCCTGGAACTTTCTCGAAAAATCCTGTATTATCCCTGAGGGTTGTTCGGATATGTTCTTTACATGTGTCGTGGTTTGATAGAGGACTTGTCAAAAAGATCACCACTGGGAATCTAGATCCCAGTTGGAAAGGGAAGGGAAGGAGAAGCTTAATGAGCACATTGAAGCACTTACCAGAAAGAAGAGGAAAGACTTCTGGATGAAACCTCTGTGAGTATCTTAACATCCACATGGAAGAAGTAAAAAAAATTAAAATTCTGGGTGCAGTTCTCAAATGACAGGAACAAACAGAGAATTTGAAGACTACATCAGCGATAAATACATTACAACGAAAGTTGACTTTGGGGCACTTTTGAAGGAGACCAAATTTATAATTCAGTGAAAGATGTGAAAGCAAAAGCTTGTGGAAGATGCTGGAATCATTAGTTCTGAAAACTGAAGTCTTCTGTTCATCAACAGAACAGAGCTAAGAAGCTAATCTAAGAATCTGACCAGCACCTGAAAGATATAGATATCATTTTGCAGAATGATAAATGGTGTCCAGTACTGGACTGCACCTGAGGAGAGGCATAAACTCAATGTGGATATTGATGACCCGGGCTGTCAGGGTCCACCTCTACTACCTCCCTGAGCTTCAGAGCCCACAAGACAATAATTCTGAATACTGTTCCATGGGAGTAATCTACTAATTCAAAATGCTTGCCTGAGCCAAGTTTCAGGTTTCTATGTAGATAAGTATTAGTAAACTTACTGCAAAATGATCTGAAAAACAGGAGGAGCATTTGTGGTGCTTCTGAACAGAGAACACTTTGGAAATATTGTGTGACATGATTGATATACTCAAATACAGGCTATCTAGTAAATCTAAAATCTTGAAACTCAAATCATCCTTTTATGGGTGTGGAGTTAGTGATTTAATGATGCTCTTCCTAACAGTGATGTGCATGGAAAGGTTTTTGTTAAAGAGCATATGTGGTTTGCAAGATGCAGACAGCACAGATTCCAGGAAAACCTAGTTTTTTGTTTGTTTTAAAGGAGGTAAGTCTGGCCGTGGTGGCTTACCTGCTTTGGGAGGTACTTTGGGAGGCTGAAGTGGGAGGATCGCTTGAATCCAGGAGTTCACGAACAGCCTGAGCAACATAGTGGGACCCTGCCTCTATAAAACATTAAAAAATTAGCTGAGCAAGATGGCATGTGCCTGTAATTCCAGCTAGTCAGGAGGCTGAGGTGGAAGGATTGCATTTAGCCCAGGAGGTTGAGGCTTCAGCGAGCCATGAACATGCCACTGCACTTCAGCCTGGGAACAAAGCAAGACCCTCCCTCCCCCACCAAAAAAACTAAAATACTGAAAACTGAATAATCTGTCAGAGGAGAAAATTACTGTAATGGATGTGCTTTTACCTTCATCTCTAAAGAACAATTTAATTTGTTCACTTACATGCTTTGCTTATCTCCTCTGAATTATAGGCCAGTCTTGTTGGTTAACTTAAGGGGATTTATTTAGCAATTTATTCTCAGGTATGGAGGCACAGTCATTATGAAGTTGGTCTCAATTGAACTGCCAAGTGATTTTCATGGAGGAATGAAAAGACCAAAAAAAAAAAATGGTGAAACACACTTTATTCATCATGAAGCAACCTTTATCAGTACTCTGGATTAGACAACAAATTACTTTCTAGATGTTTCCTTAAAACTGTACTTCTATTTGAAAGTTAAACTTCTGTTCCTAAAGTTTAAGATGTTTGTCAGTTTATGTATTTGAACCACAATAAATCGATTCTTTTATATTAAAAGTTTAAATACAGAAGCTTTGTAGCATAAGAAGTAGCTAAAGCTATTTATTATATAAACATTAACTTCCCATGTTATTCCCCCCTTTTAAAATGTGCCATCAGGGCCTGGCGTGGTGGCTCATGCCTGTAGTCCCAGCACTTTGGGAGGCCAAGGTGGGTGGATCACTTGAGGTCAGGAGACCAGCCTGGCCAACATGGTAAAACCCCGTCTCTACTAAAAATACAAAAATTAGCTGGGCACAGTGACGCGTCTGTAATCCCAGCTACTCAGGAGGCTGAGGCAGGAGAATTGCCTGAATCCAGGAGGTGGAGGTTGCGGTGAGCTGAGATTGCGCCATTGCACTCCAGCCTGGGTAACAAGAGTGAAACTCCATCTCAAAAAAAACAAAATTAACTGGATGGGCGTGGTGGCACATGCCTGTAATTCCAGCTACTCAGGAAGGCTGCCTCAGTTTGAACCTGGCAGGCAGAGGTTGCAGTGAGCCAAGATCACACCACTGCACTCCAGCCTGGATGGAGTCCACAGTGAGACTCCATCTCAAAAAAAAAAAAAAAGTAAAAATGTGCCATCAAGTTAAAAGTTTTAAATTCATGGCATGGTACAAGCATTACCATAGATGTGCCTGCAAGGAACACACAGATGACTTTTTTTTGAGACATGGTCTCTGTCACACAGGTTGGAGTGTGATGGCTTGAACATGGCTTATTGCAGCCTCAACCTCCCGGGCTCAACCGATCCACCTGCTTCAGACTTTCATGTAGCTGGGACCACAGGCATGTGCCACCATGTCCAGCTAATTTAAAGATTTTTTTTTTGTAGAGAAGGGGAATCTCACTTTGTGATCAGGCTAGTCTCAAGCTCCTGGGCTCCAGCAATCCACCTGCCTCAGTGCCCAAAGTGCTGGGATTACAGGTGAGCTTTTTTTTTTTCTTTTTCATATGGAGTCTCCCTCTGTCACCAGGCTGGAGTATGCAGTGGCGTGATTTCAGCTCACTGCAACCTCTGCCTCCTGGATTCAAGCGATTCTCCTGCCTCAGCCTCCCAAGCAGCTGGGATTACAGGTGCACGCCACCACGTCCAGCTAATTTTTGTAATTTTAGTAGAGACGGGTTTCACCATGTTGATCAGGATGGTCTCGATCTCTTGACCTTGTGCTCCGCCTGTCTCAGCCTCCCAAAGTGCTGGGATTACAGGCGTGAGCCACTGTACCCAGCCAAGCTCTTTTTTTAATTAAGAGACACAGTCGTACCTCATTCTGTCACCCGGGCTGGAATGACTTTCTAAAATTACAGAAAGCAGAACGTATTTCTTGCTGTTTATAGTATTGTAGTCATACCAAAGAGGAAGAGTGCTTCTCCTTAAATAAAATTACAAATAAAAAAAAAATCTGTTTTACTCTTACTCATAAAAGTTATCCTAGAATACAAAAGGTTAGATTTTCAAACTGGTTTTATCTTTGGCTTTTATTATCCACACTTCACAAGAAGAAATGCATTTAAAAATTAACTTAGTGAAAAGGTATAACGGTATATTACTGCGGTATTTACCGACTACTGTTGCTAACTACTGCACAGGATGTTTTGTCCCTCCCCTTTGTCCAGTACTGTCCAAATGGTCAACAGTGTCAACATTTAAGCTTGCACTGAGAAACCTTGCCACATTTCAGCAGTTTTGTTTTGCTTTTGGTGGAGAGCACCTGATCTTGACTTTATAGCCAATATATTTACTCTGAATTACACTTTTATAGGTACAAGGTAAAGTGTAGCTGGGTGAAGGGTCTCAGGAGCCATAAAATGTGGTCAACCACAACAAAATATAAGCTAAACAAATTATTCACAATTTCATTTTTTTAATAAGGAATTTAAGATCCACAGTATCTTAAAGTTTAATGCTTGGAAGAGACACAAATTCAAGGTGATAAAAATATTGATTAGAAGACACATAACATGCCTCATGAACACTTGACTTCACAAACAAGGTATAACCATGAAAACAACACTCTACTTTGGGCTCCTGAAATCAAAAGTAAGATTAGAACTAATATATTTACTCTATCACAGATATTTAGTATACTCAATACAATAATGCACTAACAATTTCTTTAAAAAAACACTAACATTGTACAATGTTTCTGTGTTTCACATTATTTTTTTTTTCTACAGCTGTTGAAAATTTCAGCCTCAGTTTGAACCATGACCTGCATGACAGGCTATATACACTGTCAATAGTTCTGATTCTTTGGAAAAGTACAGTTGTGGCATTTACTCATGTTAGCAGATAGCTAAAAGGGAAAAATATACACTGGACCTGCAGTTAAGTTTTTGACAATGCCAAGGATCAAAAACAGACTAAACATTTGTTGAAGATGAAAAGGTATTGCATTGGTCTTAATAGAGATACTGTCATCTCTGGGTAAGGATGCTGACTGAGCCTATTCTGTTTCTTCACCTCTACGTGTTTTCTCTTCTATGACACACTTCCAAGAGACAAGATCATGTAGTCAGCCACACTAGGTCCATTTGACCTTTCTCATTCTCTGGTCTCTTCCCTGTGACTTTTGACAAAAATACTCAGTTCACAATATTAGCTGCCTGCTTCTGATGGGTAGGAGGTATATAATCAAAATACTCCCACCAAAGCACACTATGGTCTAGACTTGATACTTAATTTAGTTTTCGGCATTTCTCAACAAGGATACCTTGAGGTAATAGGAGATATTTTGGTAACTGAAAATAATTCCTGCGTGGAACACAGCTTACTGAACTCAGGATTTCATTTCTTTGAGTATTAGGCAGTACTCAATAAACCGATGTATGTTGAGGAATAATTCTAAAGAGGTTAGTGATATCCTGTTTAGGAATAGATTTAGAAAACTGAAAGTACTCTCCAGCTCTACAATTCTGTATTAGGAACAACTGGGAAAAGAGGAAGTGCCTCTATACTGCAATCTAGTGAGTTTCTGGGGGAAGACTGTCTACCTGCATAGTGGTTGAGGAATAAGACAAGCTCACAAACACATGAAAATCAGCTTGAAATAACATCAAATTCAGTCTCGGCAATATAGTGAGACCTCATATCTACAAAAAATTAGCTGGGCATGGTGGCGCACACCTGTAGTTCCAGCTACTTGGGAGGTTGAGGCAGGAGGATAGCTTGAGCCTGGGAGGCCAAGGTTGCAGTGAGGTGTGATCAAGCCACTGCACTCCAGTCCGGGCAAGAGAGCAAGACCCTGTCTCAAGAAAATCAAACAAAAACATCAAATTCATTCCATATTCAGGTTCTATAACAGTGACATATATCTACTGAATTACTTTATTTTTTCTTTTAGGAATGTCTATATCTGTGGATTGTCACTATTAAAAAATCCCCAAAACTGTGAGCTTGACAAAGGAAATAAAAGAATACTTTGTTTTTCTTGGTGTCTCCATGTCAGTAAGTCATTTTTTCTCTTTGGCTCAATGAGCAGCATTTTATTCACAATTACGTTCAATAGTCACTAGGTCCCTGTGTTTATTGAAATAGAACTGAAGTTTCTATGCATACATGGGATATTGAGGAGATGAATATAAATCCCACATTCCAAAGGACAAGAAGTGGTCCAAAGTTTCAACATAATCCAAGCTACTTTTACAACTTTGTTTCTGTGTTTATATTTCATTATGGAGCAAAGTCAAGTCTTCAGGCCTCCATGAAGCTGGGGAACAGTGAGGCCTAAGTTGTTATGGAGTATGTTGCCTTGACATAGTCATTGCAAAGCAGTAGAAAGGTTCTGAGGTTCTTTAATGACAGTTTAATTCAAAATGAAATACTTTCAAAAAAATAGCCTTATTCTTTATAAAATGTAGAGCAATAATCTCAAATTCAGAAAGGTACTCTGATAAAATTGGGTTTGATTAGGAATAGGTTACAAATTTTCAGGTAATTTTTACATGAATGTTTTTTCCATTAATCTACTTTAAAATCACTATAATTGATTTTTTTGACTGAAAATACAGAAATGATCAAACAATTTGAATCTTTCTTGTTTGATCTCATTATTGTTTTCAGAGCTGTTAGCTAATTATTCATTATCTAAATAAACTGACTTTTCAATAAATTTTATCATAAGATATATTGGATCTTGTGACATCATGAAAACATTTCTCCTCAAAAATTGTAACTTTTCATGTGGTTAATGGTCAACATTTTGAGAATTATGAATTTGAGAAAGAGGGTTTACTTAGCACATCTCAGAGTTACAGCTCTCTTAGAGAAAGACACTTGTCTAGGCACAGTAGGTGTGTTCAGTTTTATATGAATGACTACTGGAGTTCAGACGGGATTAAGTTTTTCTTGCTTTTGACATATTATTTCACACATCTTGAATTTTATAGTCTAGGCTTACACATCATTCGGTTTCTTGGCATGGCTTGCTTAATCTGAGCTTTCAAACTTCAGATGAACCTGGACTGAGGCTTAAACCCAAAACTAAGCAAGCTTCCCCTGGCTTCAGTTTAATTGTTGAGGCCTTCATAACTTCCGGGCATAGGAAACATGTATCTGGCACACTGTAGTAATTAGCGATTTTTTATAAAGGCAAATCTGCAATATATACAATAGTTGACTCCTTGGGCATAACTACTATGCAGTTGCAAAACTGGAAATCTTCAAGAATCCTTCCTTGTTTCCACTTTATTGGTGCTAATTTTCCTTCTGCACCCTAGTCCTTAGTTTAGCAAGTTCCTCTTCTAAACTTTTAATGTGTTCCTTCAAAGTAGCCTTGTCTTGCTGGGCTTTCTGATTTGCTTGGCTTCGTGCTTCCTCAATCTTCCTTTCATACCACTTTTCCATCTGGGTAGAAACAGCCTCAAAAAAATACTGGGTAAGCTCCAGAGCTTGGGAGGTGTCCCGAATGTGAGGGCCAGTCTGCTCGCCTCCTGCTGGTGGCAGCTGCCCACAGGTGCTGCTGGCTGCAGGTTGCTGGGTGCGATGCCTTGTCAGCCCACTTTTCCCAGATTTCTTAGTTTGAGTGCCTCTGTTGACGCAGGGCCCAGCCTGCTGATCAGATCTGCCTGCCTCATTCAGGGGTAGCAAGACTGTCTGGACCTTGACATTCCTCAATCGGGAGCCTGTGCAGTCAGAAGACGACAGCTCCTGCTGGAGTCTCTGGGTAGCAGTGGAGTTGAGGGCCTTTTCCTTGGGCCTAACTACTGGAGGGGAGCTGTCAGAAGTTGCTGCTGGACCTGCAGTCACCACTGACTGATCCACACCTAGTTTCAGAAGGAAAACAAACGTGAGAGCAAATCCACATTCACATAGTCATGTTGCTGTGCATCAGTATTTGAGAGTCCTAAGGATCCTGTAGATCACCAGCCTTTGCCATCACCACCCATCAAGTGTAACGTCTCCTGTGAGCTTTTTCATACTTTTCTGTTCCTCCCTTCCACTTTGTCTCCTCTGATGATCATTTTGGCTTGTCAGGGCTTTCATGGATTCTGTGTTAGCCACACTGGTATCATTTAAGCCAAAAAAGTTGCTGGCTTTTCCTTTACCCTGTCTCAATCTACCCAAGAAGGCTCTGGGTCCTATTTCCTGATGCCTAAGGATGATGCAGCTCACCAAGTGTCTCAAAGCAGATTTGGACATTTATCTATGAGAATATGTATTCCCACTCTCTAATTCTGGACATATTCCGTAACTAATTGCTTGACCCAAGCTCCAATTTGGAAAGGAGGCCCCATTTTCCACACCCAGAGCACCATGACAAGCTCCAAGGGTAGTCTTAGCATGAAACATTTTCTGGGGATGTTTCCCCATGTTGTTGGCACAAAGATGAAACCACAGTTCCAGAGATGGCCTGTGATAACATAAAACACTTATATCAAAATCTCCCATTGAGGCCTAGTTACTGAGGCTCTGAATGTCCTCAAAATTACCACTGGGTATAACCACTGTGGCTAATGTCAAGATATTGTGCTTGCAGCACTTCCTGTCTAGCAGCAGGGGCAACTTCAACGTAAGAATTTGCTGTTTAATAAGGATTTGCATAGGTGGACAAAAGTAAGAGGCAGATCAAAGAGAAGAAAGGGGTAAAAGGCAAAAGGCAAGGGAGGAAGAGCCCTGCTGAGGAGGCCAATAGATCTTCATCACCTCTCATCTTCGGGGTCCACTCTGATACCATCAATACTGTACTCAAAGCAATGTTATCACCAATCAACACTTCTCTAATTCCTTTACTCAAATAAGCTTGAGCATATAAATGAGAATGTTTTATTACTATATAGCAACTGAGTATATGATTATGAGTAAAATATAGTCCTTGCCCCTACAGAGTGCACCCTACCATCCAGTGTTTCCCACAGTCCTATCGTAAGGACTGCCTTTTATTTATTTAATTTTTTTTAGATGGAATTTTGCTCTTGTTGCCCAGGCTGGAGTGCAATGGTGTGATCTCTGTTGACTGCAACCTCCACCTCCCGGGTTCAAGCGATTCTCCTGCCTCAGCCTCCCAAGTAGCTGTAATGACAGGCATGTGCCACCAGGCCTAGCTAATTTTGTATTTTTAGTAGAGACAAGTTTTCTCCATGTTGGTCAAGCTGGTCTCAAACTCCTAACCTCAGGTGATCTGCCCGCCTTGGCCTCCCCGAATGCTGGGATTACAGGCATGAGCCACTGTACCCGGCCCGGACTGCCTTTCAATGCAGGAGAGAACAAGAGCTGCTGGTTGTGTTCCTTCTGGACAAAAGGGCTCTCTGTATGTGGGTTACCTGTAGAGGACTCGCAAGTAGATGGTGTGGATTTAGCTCTGGAGGCCCTAGAATCTCCAGAAAGCTTCAGCTCCAGATTCTGAATCTTTAACATGCACCAGGTTTTTAATTCATCCACCAAGGATATCTTAAAATAAATAAATAAATGAATAAATGAATGAATGAATGAATGAATTTGATACATGGTTTATGAATTAAAGCCTCAAGGATGGACTTTTCAATTCTAACAGTTGAGGATATCATCTAACAAACCCAAGAGTTACGGCTTGCCCACTGCTATAGTTTGGATATCTGACCCCTCCAATTCTCATTGAAATCTGATCCCCAATGTTGGAGGTGGGGCCTCATGGGAGGTATTTTCTCATGGGGCTGAATGCCTCATGACTGGCTTGGTATTATCCTCATGGCTCGTGAGTTCTTGCTTTATTAGTTTTTGAAAGAGCTGGTTGGCACCTCCCTTCTGTCTCTCTTGCCTCTTATCTTGCTAGGTGATCTGTACATACCATCTCCCCTTTACTCTACCATGAGTAAAAGTTTCCTGAGGCCCTCACCAGATGCAGATGCTAGCACCATGCTTCTTGTACAGCCTGCAGAACCATGAGTGAAATAACTCTCTTCTTTATAAATTACCCAGCCTCAGGTATTCCTTTTTAGCAACACAGCCAAAGCCACCCTTTTATAGGCTACAGCAGGCACCCAAGCAGAGAGCTATCTGCAATCTTCACTAAGTGACTTAGAGCCACCTTAAACTCAACCACCCAAAGCCACCCAGATCTTCCAAACCAAGTACTTCTGGCTGCTTAGAAGCATGAGTTCTCACACACTCACCTCTACTCATTCCATGTCTACTGTCTTGGTGAGACAGTAAGCTCCCTGAAGGTAGAAACTATGTCTTGTTCTAAAACTGTAATGGCCTAACAAATGCACAATACATGGAGTTAGTTCGGGGCAGAAATGGCATCTTCCCCAGCATGTTCAGTTTTCATCTGTTGCCAGCATAACACTGCCATGGACATAAACAGAACTATAGGTTCTTTTCTACTTACCTCATTTCAGGATTATAAAAATGATACATTATATAATGCAAAAGCTCTCAGGGAGTCCCAGCCTCTAAGTTTTCACTGGCAGGCCTGCCTCAGTTCAATGGGCCTGTGTGTTAAATCCTAAGTTAAGGACTGGCAGATACTGGTTCCTACCTGTCGTTTCTCCCCCTCATGCTTCTCTGTGTCTGAGTGCTGTTGCAGGCGGTTCAGGCACTCTGTCCTCTCTGCAGAGAGTCGCTCAACCATCAGCTTGTCCAAAACACGCATCTAGGATTCAAGGGGAGCAGAGTGCAGGACTGAGATGATCTCAGGGTGAGCCCTGGTTTCTCAGCTCCTGCGGAGGGACTCAGGAACCAAGTAGGAGCCCCTGCATGCCAGCTTCAACTTCTCATCTGATTCCATTTGCATATAGGACTCGTGGAACTTTTTCAGAATTCTTGAGCATGTTTCTATGAGGTCAATATTTCTTTTTTTAAAATAATCTCATTTGTTAAAGTTGAAGAGGTTTAAGAGACTATGAATATGCAGCCAGGCGTGGTGGGCTGTAATCCCAGCACCTGAGGGCAGGAGTTTGAGATCAGCCTGGCCAATATGGTGAAATTCCATCTCTATTAAAAATACAAAAATTAGCCAGGCGTGGTGGCGGGTGCCTGTAGTCCCAGCTACTCGGAGGCTAAGGCAGGAGAATTGCTTGAACCTGGGAGGTGGAGGTTGCAGAGAGCCAAGATCACACCACTGCACTCCAGTCTGGGTGACAGAGCAAGACTCCATCTCAAAAACAAAAGAATATGAATATGCAGTAAACACACAACTTGAGCCCATGCAGGCCTTGAAGGCCTTAAAACATTATTTCCCAGACTACTGTAAGGAGAAACTACATCTCAAATTATGGAGACTCTCTTCCCCAACCCCGACTTTAAAAAACGTTAGTGGTTGCCTACAAGGCAGTAAAATGACCTTTTATCCAGCTTTTACAGTGAGCAAATATTTTTTGGTGCTTCACTGGAAGTAGCTAAAGTATGTAAGAAGAGTGTAGAAGGAACTTAAAGAACTGCTTCAGAGAACAAGCAGTTGTCACTTTTCAATCACATGCCCTTGTGGAGTCCCCTTCATCTCGGCATTTCCTGTAAGACCCCCACACCTAGAAGGGCCAAACTCACTGCTTTGACAAGGACCAAAAAATGAAAGGAACTATTGTTAGGAAGAGCCAACCCATGAAGGCTCACTGGTGACCTCCTCTCCTGTCAGGGACATATGCGGCATTCTACATTAAGAAAAAATAAACATCAGTTCTGGAGACATGGTGATGCACCTTCTGTTTTTCTTTTCAGCTCATGTTTTCCTGTGAACTGTGCTCCTCCTGTTTTCTAGGATTGGCCTACTCTCCCCACTCCCTTAACCTCTTCCTCCAGGTGGCTATTTCCAAGAGCAGCCATAGGTATACATTGCTTTGTTCACAGGTCACATTGATTGGCTCAGGTATGAACATCTGACTCAAGGGTGCCGGGTCCTTTCTCTGTGATTTGGAATGAGGACTAAGATTCTATACCCCAATCTGTCACTTCCTTGAACTGAAACAAGGCACGTAAGGTATCCCAGCATTCATCTCTCATTCCTCTTTGAGCTTAGGCTAGGCGAAGTGGAGTTTTGTGCACACAAAGGTATGCACAAATCTATGATGACCCTAAGAAAAGACTTTCAAAATGGTCTTTCTATAAAATACAGATAGAAAATAAGTCTTAAAAATGTTTAATCTTATCAGTAAACAAGGAAATAAAACTTAGTAAAATGTCCTTAATCAATTTGGCAAAAACTTTTTAAAAAACAAAAAAAAAAAAGGGCAGGGCATAGTGGCTCATGCCTATAATCCCAGCACTTTGCGAGGCCAAGGCAGGCGGACTGCTTGAGCCCAGAAGATTGAGACCAGCCTAGCCAGCAGGGTGAAACCTGCTACCAAAAACCACAAAAATTATCTCAGCATGGTGACATCTGCCTTATTCCCAGCTACTCAGGAGGCTGAGGTGGGAGAATCGCTTGAACCTGGGAGGCAGAGGCTGTCGTGAGCGAAGATCACCACTGCACTATAGCCTGAGTGACAGAGTGAGACCCCATCTCAAAAAAAAACAAAAGAGCTATAAAAAATATTACTTTAGGAAAACTAAGAAAATCTGAATACGGAATGGATCATATTTTCTCAGGTATGAAAACAATATTGTTGTTACGAAGTTGAAAGTGTTATTCTAAACATTCTGAAATATTTAGAGGTGCCCTGTCAGGACAGGCTGCAACTAAATCTGAAATAGTTCAAGAGGAAAAAAAATATATGTGTGAGAGACACAAGGCAAATGTAACAACATATTAACTGGCTGACTGCAGGGATTATATGCAAGCATTCACGCCATTATTCTGTGAACTCTTTTGTTATATTTGATAACTTTCAAAAAAAATCTGGAAAAAGAAAAAAACTACAGATATAATTATTCTAATTTTGTATGCAATGGGGAAGGAGTGTAGCAAAAACTGACATATAAAAAGACTGGAAGAAAAGAAACCCCAATTTTTTTTTTTAAGACGAGTCCTGCTCTGTTTCCCAGGTTGGAGTGCAGTGGTACAATCTCTACTCACTGCAACCTCCACCTCCCAGGTCCAAGTGATTCTGGTGCCTCTGCCTCCTGAGTAGCTAGGATTGCAGGTATGTGCGTGCACCACCACACCAGGCTAATTTTTGTAATTTTAGTAGAGGCAGGGTTTCACCATATTGGCCAGGCTGGTCTCAAACTGCTGACCTCAGGTGATCTGCCTGCCTTGGTCTCCCAAAGTGCTGGGATTACAGGTATGAACTATCACTCCTGGCCTAAACTCAAATATTAATAGTGCTTTTTCAGCAAAGTGGGATTATAGGTGATTTATTTTCCTAATTTTCATGTCTAAAAATGCTCTGTAATAGGGATATCTTACTTTTATAAGAAGAAGCAATTTAAACATGTTCTTTAAAAAGCTGAAATAAATGTACTTTAATAGAATCACATGAGCAGAAGCAGGGCTCTTCCCTGACAGCCCACTGGACACTCCCAGGGCAAAAGGGTGTACTAAAGTCAAAGTCTGCTCTTGAGTTCATGTTCTGCCAGAACACCTTGCAATTAGGAGGCTGGGCCTTATGACGTACTTGGTGCTGGGTCTTATTCTCCATCTGCCCCAGCTTTATATTCATTTTGTCCTGAACCGATCCCAGCTCTGCTTTTATCTCCTCCACAGTAGCCTCCAACTGATTCTCCAGCTTGTTGATAAGAGGTTCACATCGACAACCATTTATTGGTGCCTAAGAGAGAAACGGAAAAGGAATCAATCCCTTGTTCATTCCCTCAACAAGTATGTTTTGAGCACCCACCATGTGCCAGGTAGTATATAAGGGGATAGAGATGATGGAAGAGACAGGCTCATCCTTGTCATAACTTTGGAGCATCCTATAGGCCAACCTTTGAGGGCGGTAATCACTAAGAAGATTCAGAGGGTAAGATTTGGTCCCTCTCCTCAAGCTGCTTTTATATACTCTGGGGCCTCAAGATACCTAGTCACCTGAGGATGGTGCAGCAAGCTTTGCAGCTACACCCGTGTGCCTTGGCTTAGCAGCAGGAGTGATCTGCCCTGTGAAGGTACGGAGGCCATCTGGCTTACCTTCAAAGCTCATGCTTAACTATTAAGTCAACACAAGTAGCTGTCAGCCCCCAGGAATGCTGTTAAACAAAAACCCTTGCTGAACGCCCAAGTTCCCTTCTCCTGACAGTGCTTAGCAGGTACCTGCATCACTTTCCCATCCTTGCCCCGGTACAATGTGTACAGCTGGTATGCCCTGAACTCATGGGGTGGGGGCGGGGATGAACACCGATGCCTGTTCCTCTTTTTAGGATGATTATGAGTATGCAGGTTCTTCTGATGTCCAGGCTGTTGGTCGGCTGGTGGGGTGGGATCAGAAAATGCTGACACCTGTGGGAGAAGAAAGGACGACACCTCTAAGCCCTCTGACCTCTGCAAGACTGATACCAGTCAGTGGTGCCCATGTCACCCCGTTTGGGCAAAGAGCCCCCCTTTGTTTCACCTCATAGTGTTCTACTCCAAGCTACACATGTCAAAAGAAATACATCAGCACATTAACTTTGTGTCTGATGTTTGCCAGATTTAATTTCTGTGCTCTGGCTCCAAACCAGCCAGCCAAGTGAGGTGACTTTTTAGCTGATGGGCATGACACTCTGCCAGGACTCTCGCCTCCCCGCCTCCCACCCACCCTCTGGGCTGCTTTCCGTGCCTCCTGACCTTGGGCCTTGACTTTTTCCTCTTGTCATCCTTTGCTCTGGGTTCTGGGGAGGCTGACAGGAACTCTTCTTTGCCTTCTTCCTTTCTGGGCACAGCCTGTTCACTGCTGGGGGTGTCTCCTGCTGAGACACTGCCCTACAGAAGAAAAAAACCCGGAGACCTATTCTGTTTGCTCCCTTGGCCTTTTTCACTAATAGGGTCAAATTTTCTTTACAAGATTCCATCTTTTAAGAGACCCAAGGGAAAGTTTGCAAGTAAGATAAATTTCAGACATAGGAAACACTGCTTGGTGATCTTAACTAACATAGAATGTTTTTCCTAGTTGGTTGAATATTTGGCTTTCATTGTATTTACTAGGTCCTAAACTAAAGATATTCCTGGGTCTAATTTGATGTTGTAGAACCCCAGGAACCTACCTGACACAAAACACCTCAGCATTAGAGACTTTCAGCCTTTTGCATTTCAGCAAAACATAACTCACTCATTCTTTGACCTTGGACACCATCCCCTGCCAACAAAATTCATGGCAAAGAGTAATAATCCTTTGAAATGAAAAAATATCATATTCTGGTCCTTGTGAGAAAGTTCACAACTGAATATGTACAATTCACACCTAGGAAGTTAATCAGAGTTGCAATGGCTTAACCCTGGAAATATGAGAGGATTCTGAAATAGCAGATAGAAGAGCAAGTACTTGGTGATAACATTTTCTGTGCCAAAAGCTGCCTCTATATCCCAGACTTCCTCCTGAATGAACACAAAGGCATGGTTTACACGGCACAAGGGCACCTAGCTGAGGTGGAGGTGTGGGGCAAGAGGAGCTGAAATCAGCTCGGGCTCTGCTCACCATGTGTGCCCTGTGCACGGTGGGTCTGCCCAGGGGGCATCTTTTTCTAATTCCTATAAGGGAGACATATAGGCTGGCACAGCCTTGGTCCCCTACCTGAAGCGACCTATGCCAGTGGCTCTCAAATTTTAGTCCACATGAGAGTCTGCTGGAGGGCTTGTTTCAACATAGATTGCTGGGCCCCACCCAAGTTTCTGATCCTATGGGTCTGAGGGTTAGAATTAGCATATCTAACAAGGTCCCAGGTGACACACTGAACACCACATTTTGAGAGCCACTGGCCTACACAATCTGGGCACAGTGTCAGAGAGGCAGTGCTGCCCACAGGGCAGGGGCAAAGGCCACAGCTGGTAAGCGTGCCGCTGACGCGTACTGGATGGGTAATCGGCAGCGCACACGGAGGCACGTGGCCTGAAGCCTTGGAGAATGGAGGATGTGAAGCCAAAGAGAAAAATACTGGCAACAGTTTGAAGAGCCCCAGCAAGGAGGAGAGGCAGAAAAGGGCCTGGCAGCCAGCAGGTGAGCCCGGCCAAAGCAGGGAGATAGTTTCCCACCCTCTGTGCATGGGCGGATGTGGGGACGGCGGGAGGACTGCCCCCCACCTTGCTTTGGGCCACCTCATCTCTTGGCACAGACTGGGCTCTCCTCTCTTCCTTGAGCCTCTCTCTCTTTTTCCTCAGGCTTCGCCCGCGACTGAAGCGCAAGACCTGAAGGAGGCAAATGGCATTGTTACAACCACTGGTGTGCACGGTATCCACGTGAGAGAATTCTCCCTGGACCTGGGGCTCTGACCTAATGGAATTGTCAGCCTAGAAGGTGAGAGCAGGTGTTAACATCAAACAAGCACCTCCAGACTACCTAGCATCCTCCTAGAGCTTGTCCTGGGCACCACAGGGACTTGGAGATGGGTAGGGTATTATCCCTGACCTCAAGAAGCTTAAAGTCTATGATGATAATAACTACAGGCACTGATGCTGGGCCAGGACTGCCAACTCCATGCACAGAGGCTGTGCTCCAAGGAGTGCCATTCACATAAACTAGGATATGAAGGGTGTTCCCTGGAGGTGTGCGATGCAGCAGCCCCGTGCCAGGCAGTCTCACTCTCCATCTTGGTACACTGGACCTGAGCTAGCCTAGCAGATGTTCCCTTGGCCAAACTGTGTCCAAGTCACATCAATTTGATTCAAATATTATTATGGTGTATCTATGAGCCACAGTACCAACCACGAGACAGGAATCTCTTCCCCAAAAGGAAGCATTTACTCTGTGTCTTACAGTGCAGAGTGACAGAATGGACACAGAAAAACATATGTGGGGTCAGAACAATCTCAGTTTGAACCCAGTAGCCACTGGCTGTAGGGTCTTTGGGCAAGTGATTTGAGCTCTCTGTGCTGTCTTCTCAAATGTAAAAATGGGTCAGGCGCAGTGGCTCATGCCTATAATCCCAACACTATGGGAGAACAAAGTGGGAGGACTGCTTGAGGACAGGAGTTTAAGATCAGCCTGGCCAACATAGCAAGACCTTGTCTTTTTAAAAAAGAAAAAGAAATAAAAATGGGGAGTTGTTGGGATTAACCAAGAAAAAACAGGTGGCTGGCATGCAGTGACTGTCAGGGGCCTCCCTACCTGTCTTCAGGTGGCTTAATTGGCAGAGGGTGTTTCACAGAGTACAGATCTTTGAGCTGATGGAAACCTTCAAACTCTAGTCCATAATAGTTAAAAATGAAAAAGAGTCCTTAGATCAGAAAGTCTGAGAAACACTTCCCTGAGTCATTTCTAAAGCTAAATTCAGACTCATCAGGAAGTCAAGTATGGTGAAAGAAAGTGACTATACCCATCGCTCACCTGATTTATGGACTCTTTTTTTTCAGAGACAGTTTCACCATGTTGCCCAGGGTGGCCTTGAACTCCTGGGCTCGGGTAAGCCACCCGCCTCTGCCTTCCAAAGTGCTGGGATTATAGGCTTGAGCCACCACACCTGGCCTATGGACTGTTAATATAGCACCAGAATCAGCCTAAAATTTACTTTCAGAGCAGTTGTGAACCACACCAATCAAAATGACAAGTGACACTCAGAGGTCACCCAAACCCAAAATAATCGTCAGCAAAATTCCCTCCATTCACCATGTTACTAGTCAGTGAAAATAACTGCATGGCTTCCAGCCTTTCTCAGTAAACCAGACCATCTACCAATGGGACATCATTAATCTTTTCCAGTCCACAGAAGTGAGGGAATATTGACCTTGAAGCCTCCAATAGTAGTATTCTCTAGATGGGCATGGTGGCTCATGCCTGTAATCCCAGCACTTTGGGAGGCCGAGGTGGATGGATCACCTGAGGTCAGGAGTTCGAGATCAGCCTGGTCAACATGGTAAAATCCCATCTCCAGTAAAAATACAAAAATCAGCTGGGTGTGGTGGTACACACCTGTAATCCCAGCTACTTGCGAGACTGAGGCAGGAGAATTGCTTGAACCTGGGAGGTGGAGGTTGCAGTGAGCCAAGATTGTGCCACTGCACTCCAGCCTAGGTGACAGAGCGAGACTCCATCTTAAAATACATACATACATAAAAATTAAAAAATAAAAAGTAGTGTCCTCTTAGTACTGCTGTGGCCCATTTACCATCCATGTCTGACTATGGGCCTAAGGCAAGGGGATTTCTCTTTTCAGGCAAAGCAAACACTAATGCTATTTCTGTAACCACAGAACAAGAGAACAGTATGCATAACATTTTATGCATAAAGTTCCTTGTTTGTGTTGAGAATAAAGCTCAGCATATACAATTATGCATAAAATAAACTTTCACAGCATGTCATCCAACTTATTTGTTATTCGATGTAAGCATGGAGAAACTTGCTTAAGTCTTTTTTTTTTTTTTTTTTATGGAAACAAAGAACTGCACAGGGAAATGGTCCACCGTAAGGTCTTTTCCCTGTAAGTGAAGATCCTTGGGCTCTGGAAGACAAATGACAGGTGGATTAAAGATCCGTCAGTCTTTCTGTGCCTAGGCAACCCTCCAGCCCCATAAGATTTGATGATCTTTGTATGGCTGAGGGAGGGGTTGGATGTCCATTAAATTACCACATACTGAAACTGCCAGAAAAATGTGATAGGTTCTGACATTTACACAGTACTTCATACTTTTAGATCCATGAGAGACCAGCATTTTTCTATCAGGATTCATGGATATGATTCCACTTACAATAAAAGCTGCTACAGGTGGAAACCCCGCAGCTTTTCCTACCGACTTCCTTTTACTGGGAGTTCTGTGGCCTTCCAGAGACCACTGAGAAGAACCAGCTCCATGCACAAGAGGGTGATCAGTTTTGCAAAAGATACAAATCTTGACCATTTCCAGAAACTACTAGTTACATTAGGCATGTTTTAAAAATTTAAATGAAATAAAGGCCATCCCAAACCCTGGGCTGGTATCGAGTTATTTTGCAGCAGGGTGGTGTTCAAAGATCTTTCTTTGACTCCCTGAGACTTTATCTTCTTTTTGCAGAATAAGATGGAAAGCCAATCAGTGTTTGCTATAATGTAATACAGAATAGTGCCGAACTGGAAATAACCTAAATGTCCATCATTAAGGAAATGGCTTAATAAAATATTAATAGCAACAAAAAAGAATATTATGCCTCCATTGTAATAAATAATTGTGAAGACTGCAGAGCACTGTTTTTTAATAGGATAAATGGCAGAAACACAAAAGGGCATATACATTGTAAACACAATTATATAAGAATTATGTGTCTCATCCATTTTGTGGATGAAACAAAAACAGTTGTTTCAGGGGGCTAGAATTATGAATAATTTATAAATTATTAAATTTCTTTATTGTTACTTAACGCCAACCTCAACTAAAGTATCAGCCATCATTTAAAAAAAATGAAATGATGGTCAAAATACCATTACTCAGTAAAACAGGAAAGAAAACTAGACTGTACTTAACTGTCTCTGGCAGGCGACTATCTGCCCAGAATGGTCCCCTCCCTCCTGCCTTTCTCTGGGGAATGCCCCTTCTCTTCTTAAAGTCTCTGTCCTACTTCTTCAGGGATGGGCATTTGGCCTAAACTCTGCAATCATGGTCCTCTCCTGCAATGTCTTAAACTGGAACTTCTTCCTTGGCTGAGTAGCTGGGAAGGTATGACCCAAGCAGCTGGCTGTGACAATGATCCAGCCATAGGGAGAAGATGAGGTGGCCCAGGCCATGGAGAGCTGCACTGGAAGCCTTTGACTCCCATCATCCTGAGCACCCATGGATACTTACACCTCCACTGCCTGGTTACATTCCCTATTTAAGTTAGTTTGAAGTGGCTTCAGTAGACTACAACCAGGAGTCCCAAAACTTTGTAGCCCCACATAATCAGTACCATGGAAAGGGCAATAAAGCCTACCTGGGGAGCTTTAGTGAGGAGAAGAGCAACTTCCGGGTTATTGTGGTAGCGGGCAGTCTCCAGCGGAGTCTGGCCTGCCTGAGGAGAGGCAGAGGATGACAGGTAAGAAAGGGCCACTGCCCCCACCCCCATAGCCCAGCTGGCATAGCTCTGGCCAGGAGCAGGCAGTTCCACACCCAGCTACACCCAGCACCTTCATGGCAAAACACAGCCACCTATGTGATATGGCCCTGAGCATCAGCCTCAGACCCTCCAATGAGAGCGCTGAGTCACACCAGAGGACACCCTCAGTAAAATACACAGCCAGAGGGCAAGGGAAGACCAAGGGGGCAAGAAGTGCTTTAGGAGGCCAAGGTCTGGGCACCATCCACCAAGGAGTACTTCCCAGAAAAGAGGGGAGGGAAGGTAGCACTCAGATGGCATCCAGGGGGAATGTTTCAGTTGGGGAAACACCACAGAAGATCTGAGGTCCAGCCCAGTGATTTACCTCCCCTGGAAAACAGTGGGAAGACACCGGAGGGGCGGATCAGGGCCTGGCCAGAGTTTCAGGAAGTGGAATATGAAAAGCCTACAAGTTATGGCCATAATGTAAGTTCTCAGATGAAGCCAAAACCCAGGAGTTGATAGCAAAAGGAATATATTCAAGGCATCATGGAAGAGGTAACTGTGCCCCCAGTACTGGTTATAGAGCTATGAGAAGGCAGGAGGAAAAAGAGGGAAGCTAGATATAGGAGCCAAGGAGGCTTGAGAGCCTGTGCCAGCGTCAGCAGTCCCAGGCCACCCCCCTCAAAAACACCTCCACACAGCAGCTGTTGCACCCTCCAGGCCCTGCTGAGCCATTCAGAAAGGCAGAGACTGCAGGGTGGCCTCGAAGAAGAAAGTGCACCTGAGTTGGCACCTGCTCTAGGATCTGCAGGACACACAGTGGCAGGGGAGAAAAACAGTGAGATCAGGCAAAGCAGAAGAAAAACAAGTTGGCTTAGAATTTTGAGGCTGATTAATCTGAGGGCCAGGTGGCCATTTTTCTGAGCACCACATGCATTTACAGCCTGGAATTCACTTTGGGTAGCCTCCACTTGTCAGTTTACCCGGACATCCCTGAGTTCCTTTTCATGCCAGGCTGTGCTCACTGCAGCTAGGCGGCTAACAGCAGGCTTTTCAATTCCTGGGGGTGCTCAGAGCATGGGTTCCCTTCTAGTCCACCCCAATGGCCCCAGGGGCTGTGGTTCCAGCAGAGATCCCCCCTCTTCCAAATGTGCTGGGCCTGAGGGTCTGCAGGGGTTTAGTTGTAACAACACCCATCTCATTCTGGAAAGGGGTGGGAACCACTTCAGAAAGCAATGTTGCAACTCAACTTACATTGTTAACAATGGTTGTATCTGCTCCGGCTTCCAGTAAGATTTTGGCCACTTTCTTGTGATTTAGGGCAGCAGCAACGTGAAGTGCTGTGTCTCCAGCCTGGAATTGATTAGAAGGCCTGCTAAACCCCATCTTTTCATGGCCTATAGCCCCCAGCTTTTCATTACCTGGCCTAGGTGTGGCTCTTCAAAGTCAAACCGAGATTTGCCTGAGACCAAAATGGGGCCCTTTGTTAAAGCGTCATGAGTCTCTACACTTGGAACTGAGTGACCTCGGCACTAGTATCATCTTTCTTTCTGAGTAGGAATACCTAAAATCACAGAGCAGGATTAAACGCAGGGGCAGAGTAATACTGGCCTGGAGTTGCTGAGAATGGTAGGACCTGAAGCCTCACAAAGACAGGAGGACAGGCAGGAGGCCTGGGGTGGACAGGCTAGTCATTCCATTTTTGACTCTTTTACTCAAGCAGGTCAGAGGTCAGAAAAACTGCTTGGTGTCCCACTGCTGGATTGAGCAGGAGAAGCTGTGAAGACAGCTACTTCTGCAAGCACTGGAGAGGTGACAGGCTGGCCTACAGCTACGGAGGGTAGATCTGAAGGGGCCACTGGGACTCAATCCATCTGCAGGCTCAGGATATGCTTTATGCGGGTGGAAACACCAAGAACCAGTGTTCGCTTAAGACCAACTGTTTTCTACATCTTACAGATAAGCCTATAAATAAGTGCTCACATTATCTTTATTCAAAAAATATGCTTTCACAAAATCAACTCTGAAAAAAGGATAAAGACAACTGCAGCTCAGTGGGCCCATTCCAAATGCAAATGCTGTCATTTCTCAAACACGATAATATAAATAAACCAGACAAATATAGGAGAAGTGAAACAATTCATTCCCTCTCCTATCAGGTGATTAGGCAAAGCACCTGATACTTTTTTCTTGATTAGCATGAAAATTCAGTCATCTTTGTGAGGGGTGGAAAAATTGTATTTCTTTTTTTTTTCCTTTGGGACAGAGTCTCACTGTCACCCAGGCTGGAGTGCAGTGGCATGATCTTGGCTCACTACAACCTCTGCCTCCCAGGTTCAGGCGATTCTCCTGCCTCAGCCTACTAAGTAGCTGGGACTACAGACATGTGCCACCACACCTGGCTAATTTTTGTAATTTTTTTTAGTAGAAATGAGGTTTCACCATATTGTACAGGCTGGTCTTGAACTCCTGGCCTTGTGATCTGCCCGCCTCAGTCTCCCAAAGTGCTGGGATTCCAAGTGTAAGCCACCGCACCCGGCCATATTTCATTTCTGAGTCACTTAGCTGGGTATGTTGAAGGAAGCTCTGCGGCAGTGCTTTTTCCTTGGCTGAATACTAGAATAAGCTTTGGAACTTTAAAAAATGCTGATGCCTGGGTCCCACTCCCAGATATTCTAAATTCATTGGTCTGCCATGTGGGCTGGGCAAGGGGACTTTTTAAAGCTCTTAGGTGCCGTGACATGCTACCAAGGCTGAAAGGCATTGGTGGAGGTGTCACTTGATGACCTAGCACCTACTGGGGAGGCTTTGGAATGACTGACTTAGCTACTTGATTAGGTCAGTGGTTCTCAATCCTGGCTGTACACTCAGATAAAGAGCTTTTTAAAAACACTGTTGCCTGGACCTCACCCCCAGAGGTTCTGACTCTTTTAAACTGGGGTAGAATCCAGGAACAGTATTTTAAATTCCCCTGTTGATTCTCATATGCATCCAGGGTCAGAAATCACCATTATATGGTATGTTAATCTGCACCACAATCTAATGTTTTTTTAGTTCAGATTTATGCACTTCAACAAAGAAAAGCCAAACAATATACCACATAGGTATCAATAAATACCAAGACAATCTATTTTTTAAATCCAATGACTGCTGGAAATTGCGTACATTTCCAAGGAAGACTGTAATACTCACAGCTTTATTTCAAAACCCCATATCTATAGATTATGTACCCAATGTACAGAAATGAAAGACTCTATCAGCTCAATTGTAAGTAAGTAGCAGTACAAGGAACAGAACACAGGGAGTCATAAGACTTTTAAGTACTTGCTTGGTATTTTTCTTGTTTAAGAAAGAAAACAGAACTCAGGGAGTCATAAGAGTTTAAATGTTTGCTTGGTGTTTTTCTTTCTTCTTTAGAGAGACGGGGTCTCATTCTGTCACCCAGACTGGTGTGCAGTGGCAAGATCACAGCTCACCACAGCTTTGAACTCCTGGGCTCAAAACAATCCTCCCGCTTCAGCCTCCTAAGTAGCTGGGACTACAGGTATATGCCACTCTGCCTGGCTAATTTTTATTTTTTTAATTAATGTATTTATTATTATTATTTTTTTTTTTTTGAGACAGAGTCTCACCCCATAGCCCAGGCTGTAGTGCAGTGGTGTGATCTCGGCTCACTGCAACCTCTGCCTCCTGGGTTCAGGTGATTCTCCTGCCTCAGCCTCCTTAGTAGCTGGGATTACAGGTGCATGCCACCATGCCTGGCTAATTTTTGTATTTTTTGTAGAGACATGGTTTCACCATGTTGGCCAGGTTGGTCTCAAACTCCTGAGCTCAAAGTGATCCACCCACCTCAGCCTCCCAAAGCAATAGGATAACAGGCATGAGCCACCACGCCCAGCCACATTTAAAAAAAATTTTTTTGTAGAGACAATGTCTCCCTATGTTGCCCAGGCTGGTCTTGAACTCCTGGCCTCAAGTGAGCCTCCTGTCTCGGCTTCCCAAAGTGCTGGGAATGTGAGCCACCATGCCTGGGCTCCCTTGCTTCTTTACTAAATCACATTCTTCCTTGTGGGTTTTCCTTTTAAAATCATATTTAAAAAACAAAGCCTGCCCCAGGATCTCCAGAAAATGTTCAATATGCAAATGTGGTGATATGCACATGAATTAGAAGGGCACACTTTCTCCAGGAGGCCAGATAAGCCAGGGCCACTAGAATTCAGACACCCATGCAAAGCCCAGAGCTGGTGGAGTCCCAGATAGGTGAAATGGCAGCACTTCCCAGCAGCCTCTGCTCCCGTTTGCACTAACACACCTGTCCGGCAGCCTTGTGGGAAGGATGCTGGCAGCCATGAAGAGGAAACATGCACTGACCTGGTTCGTTTCATGGACAGAACAGAAAGCACTGAGGAGGAGCCTAATGATGGACAAGTGATTATAGCGCGCAGCAACGTGCAAACAGGTGTCTCCTGCCTGCGAACAGAAATCAAACTCTAAGCACAATCTGAACAGTTACAAAAAAAAATAGAGAAAAGTATAAAGAAAATGTTATTTAAAAGCTGGCAGACTATCATATACTCTTTAGGAAACCATAAGCAATTCTTTTAACATAGATGCCAAGGCTCGCCGTCCTTTGCTGCTGTGACTGCTGTGGGCAGCCTTGCTCCTTTTCTGCCTGTGCAGAACAACCAGTGGTCACAGAATCACTGCTTTCATGTTTATGAAACTAGACATCTGCTCCCCATGAGACCTTCGCAAGAGCTGAGGCAGGCTCTGCTTACCCAGTGCTTGAAGAGGATCCAGTAATGCTGGGTTCCCCACAACCCAAAAGGTCTGTAATACACTGACTTAAGACCAACCTCATTGCTTTGGAAATAAGCCCTTCCCAGCACAGATCCCTCATGGATGAAAGGACAGGGCAGCAGGGGGGTTGTCAAATCTTAAGATCACATGTGCCCCCTGAAATTCAAGGAGTATCTCACTTTGGCCCTTAATATCCTATATGAAGCTATGTAGCGGGGGAGCTGATAAGGAAGCAATCACTGGGAGCAAAAAAAGGTATGAAGGAAAACGCAGGGCAGGATCCTCAGTAAGCACAGCAGGTAGAATCCTGCGCCCAGAAAGACAATAAAGAACTGGAGACAAAAAGCTGCCTGCAGTGTTTTCTTCCCATTTCCATTCTAGCTCTGTCTGGAGAATGTTGGCCACATGGCATTCTTTCCTCCCCTGCATTAAGATGGAACCAAACTCAAAGCTGAGGTTCAGGGCTTAGATGAATTAGATGAGGTCTACCCCAAACAGGGAGACCTCAACTGAGGCCACTTTAGGAAAAAACCTCAGATTTTTTTTTTTTTTTTTTTTTTTTGCCAATGTGGCTAAGGCAGGGGATTTATAAAGGAAATACAGCTTCTTTATGGAGGAAGAAGTGATACCCACATGACCTGTCTGGTTAGCTTATCCCAAGGGTGCCTCAGTAATCAATAGGACCGTAGGGTATCAGAGGACCTCTCCCCGTAAATGTTACCATCTCATGTATGCTGATAATAGTACAACACTCTGAGTGGGTAGAGACTTTCTTAAAACATTAACTGGTTTCCTAGTCTTTCATTGGCCAGACATGTGCTGTAAGAAATGATAAACTAAAGTTGAGGAACGAAGGGAAAAGGATGGGAGAAAAGCAGTATTTCCAAATCTATTGATTCCTCTTCTCATGTGCATAAATGACCCCTTAGAAAATTGGCAAAAAAAAGAACACTTTAGAGATAGTCCCTAAACACTTTTTACATTTTAATTTCGAGACATTAAGGTTCAAGTATGCTCATGAAGTTATTTTCCAAAGTGACACAGGAAAGAGAGAGCATGAGAAGCCAGTTTCATTCACCCACGTTATTTTTGAGGTCAGCGCGGGACCCGGCCAACAGGAGGACGCGTGTGCTCTGGGAGTGGCTGTTCTGGCAGGCCAGGTGCAGAGCCGTGTTCCCCGCCTTGGAGAGAGGCAGAGAGAGGGAGGACACATTAGCAACATGCTTCCGCACAGACCTGCATGCCTTGCAGAGGGGCAGTACTTACTCCTGGGAAAAGGCAATGCTCACATTCTCTGCCTTCTCAAAGGAAGGGTTGATTTCGGTGGGGATGCTTCAGAGGCAAGAACATTTAATTTGGAGTCCAGACAGGCAGAAGAGTCCTATTTGTCATAAAACCTTGGTTCCAAGTCCTGGCTCTACCAGTAACTAGTTAAAAGCCAGTCTCTTCAAATGCTCAAATTACTTACCTGGGAAATGAAGCATGACCCCCACATCCTGAGGCTGTGGGGATAGATTCCATGTCTAGAAAGGCATTTTGTTAACCATACAATGCTGGACACATGCACAGCACTCAATTCCTGTAGATAACGTCCTGCCTCACATAAGCACTAGCTGTGGTTACAATCCTTGCCAATGGTGGGCTTATAAAGGTAAAACTAGCCACTTCTTGGATGTGCACGTGAACACAACTGAGATTTAACTTGTAAGCTTTTTTCAAGTCACCCATTTTTGTATTTTTCTTGAAACATCAAAATTTTAACTATGGACACCAGGCCCCGCCTTTTAGGCAGTACAGTCACATGTGTCACTTAGGACACAGATTGAGACACTCTTGCTTTTGGGTCCCTCTTGTTTTTGAGATCCTCAACACACCATGTCACAATGGGTCAGAATAATGTCCATAGCAGTAGTGCAGGAAAAAGTTACAGGACATGAACAGAACTTTTGAGTCTATGGGAGTAGGGCACATGAGGCCACTGATAACCCCCAGAAAAGTAACAAGAAAACAAGGCTGTGTGATAGGTGACGCTTTGTCATCCAAGAGCCTGCCAGCACTCAGGAGGTTAACACAGAAGCTCTGCACTGGTTCTGCTGAGCTTAAGTGCTGGGTCAGGCTTGCAGGTGCGTCAGCTCAGAGCTGTTATACTGCCTGGCTGATTGCTTCTCCCTCACCTAGTTCACTCCCCTCTGGATCTCACAGTACTGGCTGCTGACATTCCAGTATGTTAGATTTCTGATCTTTTAAATATAGAAATGAGTTAAAAAAAATAGAGGAATACTGGATGCAGCCAGTTTACTCATCCCCCTTCTCTTCGCCTTAGCCCAGGTGGACCTTTTGTCTCACTTTACCTCCAAGCACAGGGAGGATTATGGGCCTGAGGTTCTAGCAGGCTCACTGGTTCACAACCCTTGGATGCACATTGGAATCACCTGGGGAAGCTTTCCACCCATCCCTGTGCACAGCCACAACTGTTCTAGGGACTCTGATTTACTTGGCCTTGGGGGTGGGTGTCCAGCATCCCCATTTTAGCAATGAAAGTCCCACATTCTGGGAAACCCCTTAGCCCAGGGCAAACTGGAACAGTCCATCACCCCAGGCCTGGTCTTCAGGGTTTTTTTTTTTTTTAATTTTGTTTTTTCTTTTTGTTTACAATTCCCCAGGAAGGGTCTAATGTGCAGCCAGGTGGAGAACCACTGCTAGCTTAGTTTCAGCAACAAAGGGTCTGCCCAGGTTTTAAACACCCTACTCTCAAGTTGTCTCCAAGTTATGGGCTTCATGGTAACCATTAAATACACGCTGAATAAACGAGTGAAGTGAAAGAAATCTCACGCCTCTAGAAATAGATCATATCAAAGCTTATTTTGCCACATCAATGATGTGGAAAAGCATTTACATCAGGAAAATTAAAAACCATAGGTTTCGATAAACAAATTGTGGCAGATCCACGCAATGGAATACTACTCAGCAATAAAGAGGCGTGATCCATTCCTACATGTAACAACACGGAGGAATCCCAAAAACATTATGCTGAGTGAAAGAAGCCACACACAGAAGGTCGCATACTATATGAGTCCATTTATATGACACTTGTGAAAAAGCAAAACAGATCCGTGGTTGGCGGGAGCTGGGAGAGAATGACTGCGGGCTGCCACCAGAGGGCGCAAAGGAACTTTCTGGAGCAATGGAAGCATTCTATATCTTATCGTGGTGGTGACACAACAGTATACATTTGTCAAAACACACAGAACAGCATGACTTCATACCTGTATCTCAAAACCTGACATTAGAAAATGTGACCTAGGGTAGATATATGTGTGGCAGCCGTTTTTCCCCACCCTGAGTAGTGGGTACTGATTTCCCAAACAGAAGCTGCTATATTTGCTGAATAAGGATCTTTCCAGAGGCTATGGCTGGTGCAGAATGTCCCTCTCTCTGGGATGCATGAGTTTCCTGACCTGTCCTTCTGAAGCCATTTTATCTACACAGAAAGAATTTGTGGCCCTCCACGATATTTTTAGGGTCCTCCATGGGATAGAAGGCAGTATGGTGGGACAGACTGACCTGCACTAGTTCACAGCTCTAATTATGTCATCAAGAAATCGTGTATCTTAGTCAAGGACTCTACTGGCTCCCAGCTTAGGCATACTTATCTATTAATTGAGACCACTTGCTTCTCAGAGTTGGCATTTTAATAATGTGATTACAGGCTGGGTGTGGTGGCTCACACCTGCAATTCCAGCACTTTGGGAGGCCGAGGTGAGCAGATCACCTGAGGTTGGGAGTTCAAAAACAGCCTGGCCAACATGGTGAAACCTGGTCTCTACTAAAAATACAAAAAGTAGCTGGGCATGATGGCAGGTGCCTGTAATCCCAGCTACTTGAGAGGGTAAGGCAGGAGAATTGCTTGAATCTGAGAGGCAAAGGTTGCAGTGAGCCGAGATCGAACCATTGCACTCTAGCCTGGGTGACAAGAGTGAAACTCCATCTCAAAAAAAAAAAAGTGATTATACACCAACTCCTGTTCCAGACCCCGGGCACTTTGAAGAAATGGGGCAGCCACCCGCCTGCTGAGCAGTGAGCCAGGCACTACCAGCAGTATTACCATGCATAGCTCGCTGCTCTCCCTCAAGCTTTTGACCCATGAGGGATTTTGACCCATGAAAAACATGAACTAGGAAATGACAGCACAAAGCTGCATGTGGTGCCAAGGGACAGCTGTGGAAGCAGCCCCATGGGCCTTTGGAGGGAGAGGGCCTGGGGCCTCCAAAGGCCCAGAACTCCAGGTTGGAGTTCTACAAGCAGGAATGAGGAGCAGGCCAGTGAGGGCACAGGAGGCCCTCTCAGGGAAAGGAGCCAAAAGGAGCTCCAGAGGTGGGCTGGGAGAGCCTTATAGACAGTGTCAGGCAGGAGCTTTACAGGAAGGTTGCTGAGCAGAGGAAGAGCAGGATGAAAGAAGGTACTAGACTTGAGCCCGCCAATCTACTTGAGGCTTCTGAAATAATCCAGGGAATGCTTACAAATGAGCATGGAAAGAGGAACAGGTGTGAGACTTGAGGATGTCCTAAGATGTGATGAGGGACTGGAGAGGGGAGACAGATTAAAATGAGGGAGGCATGGCTTGCTTAACTATGCTCTCTAATAAACCAATGAAAAGGCAGTGAGAGCCAGAAGATTTACCAAAGGGCAAAGCCACTGAGGTGGGTTCTCTTGCTCCCACATAGATTACGTTCACAAAGGCATTTCAGGCTGTCATTTCTATTTCCTGCTGCATGCAAGGTCCAGAGAAGTCACTTCACTGATGGGATATATTTCTATAGGTTGATTCGCCTGACATTACTATTGAAGATCTTGTAGATGTGTGTGTAGGTGTCATAAGCTAGAGATGCTATGGTTTCAGATTTGACTTGGCCATGAAATTGTACTTACTGTGTGTGTGTGTACTAGAGAGGCTACTTACTGCTGCCCATGGTCCCCAGGCTATTGCCATCCAAAATCCCATTCTAGCCTATCTGATTCCTTATCCAACCACTATTAGCTGAAGCTACCACCCTGTGATGTGCTAGTGCATTGTGGGAAATTCAGGCCCGTTTAAACCCCTGCTATAGACCCAATCTGGCCATCCAGGGACAGAAAAGATGGCAAGCCCTTTTATGACCCTTCTTACCTCAACTGCAAATATCTCCAGAGTACTGATAATGCTTTTTCATTTTTAAAATAAATCTCTTGGCTGGGTGTGATGGCTTACGCTTATAACCCCAGCACTTTAGGAGACCGAGATGGGAAGATCATGAAGTCAGGAGTTCCAGATCAGCCTGGACAACATGGTGAAACCCCATCTCTACTAAAAATACAAAAATTAGCCAGGTGTGGTGGCACATGCCTGTAATTCCAGCTACTCTGGAGGCTGAGGCAGGAGAATTGCTTGAACTTATGAAGTGGAGGTTGCAGTGAGCAGAGATCATGCCATTGCACTTCAGCCTGGGTGACAGAGCGAGACTCTGTCTCAAAAAAAAAAGTCTCCCAATTATAAAAGAAATAATGGGTTCATTTTGGATAATTTGGGAAACGTGAGAGAATAAAAATCAATCTTAGCCTCAATTCCCAGAGATAACCACTCTTAATATTCTGATGATATCCTTCTGTGCTTAAATTTTTAAATATACAAATTTATATTAAGCACTGGGACATGTACTATATATGATCTTATATCTCTGTCATGTTCATGTTATTTAACAGTGGAAAGCATTATCTTCAAAACTATGATTTTAATATTATATTCCACTGTATGAATGAACCATAATTCTAAGTCTCTCTCTCCATATTTAAAAAATATCATAACTACTGCTGTCATGAATGTCTTTGTGGGTAAAATTTTACTGGTTTTATTACTTATTTTTTTTCTTTTCCATATTTCATTTTAATAGCAGGTTTCATTACTTTTTTAGGATGGAGTCCCAGAAGGTAGGTACTGAGTAAAAAGGAGTTCTTTTTTTTTGAGATGGAGTCTCACTCTGTCACCCAGGCTGGAAGTATGATCTCAGCTCACTGCAACCTCTGCCTACTGAGTTCAAGCAATTCTAGTGTTTCAGCTTCCCAAGTAGCTTGGATCACAGGGATGCACCACCACACTCAGTTAATTTTTTTGTATTTTTAGTAGAAACAAGGTTTCACCATGTTGGCCAGGCTGATCTCCAACACCTGGTCTCAAGTGATTCACCTACTTCAGCCTAAGCCACCACACCTGGCAAAAAAAGGACCTCCCCCTTCCTTCCCCTGAGACAGTCTTGGTCTGTGCCCAGGCTGGAGTGCAGTGGTGCAATCTTGGCATACTGTGACCTCAGCCTCCCATGTAGCTGGGACTACAGATAGGCACAAGCCACCATTCCTGGGTAATTTTGGTATTTTTACTAGAGATGGCATTTCACTATGTTGACCAGGCTGATCTTAAATTCTTGACCTCAGGTGATCTGCCTGCCTAGGCCTCCCAAAGTGCTGGGATTACAGGTATGAACCACCATGCCTGTCAAAAATGAACCAGTTTTAACACTCCTGATTTATTTTGCCAAATTGTCTCCCAAAGGTGGCTGTTCGTATCACACTCTCCCAGCAGCATCTGGGTATGCTCACTTTACCAATTTTGGGTACTAGCATTTTAAAGTTACAAATTTATATTAAGTTCTTTTGCTGATATTTTTTAATGCCAACTCCATTGCTAAATTTTTGAATACAAAGAAACTATGAGACAATAATTGCATGTAGATTCCCAGCAGCAGTCAGGGACCTCTCACATGAGCGGGATTTTGGTGCTGTTAGTGGGCCTGCTCCTGACCTGGGACATCAGTCAGCTTCTAGCGTTTTCTGAAAATGAAACTTCTGGGTCCAATGGACCTTCAGGTTCCTCGTGCCCCTCTAGGCTCCCACTTATCTTGCTGGAAGAAGGTTCCCACAAGGGGAGAAACCCACAGCCATCGTCACCTGTGAATGAGGCATTCTAGCACCTGCCAGGCCTCACCTTGTTCCTGGCAAGCACGTTGGCTCCTGCTTTAACGAGCAGCTTGGCTGACTGGCTGAAACCATGCCAGGATGCTTCATGCAAGGCTGTATTCCCATCCTAAGGAAGACACACAGGTGGGAAAGGCATATTACCCAAGACTAATTCTTCTCATCATGATCAATACATCACAGTGGTTTTTTACAAAACACCAGAAGGCCTTTCTCAATTGGACTTTCTCATCTGAGCCACAGACTACAGAAGATGATTTGAGTGGTTTCTCCATTCTCCCAGAAATGATACATAATAAGAAACACTCTAGATGCACAGAAGATAAATGAATCCATGACGAACCATGGATGACTGTTCATGAGGCATGAGGGGTTAGTCTCTCTAAGAACCACAGTTGAGAAAGGCTCCAGGCACCATCCACAGCTCTTGTTTAACAGAAAGCAGCATCAGAATGGCATGCCGTCTGTCCTTCCCACCTCCACCACGCTTACAGTCTGCTCTGCTTCTGGCATCAGAGAGAACCCTGCAAAGGTCAGGCAAAGGAAGAGCCCAGCTTTTTAAGATTCAGGGGCCTGACAGATTCCTCCACCACTGTTCACCAAAACTTAGTCTCACCCACCACCTTAATCCAAAAGCCTCAGGGCCCCCAACAAATAATAAGCAAGGACTGAGGAAACAGTGATTTGGAAATAAAACTAACAAGTATCCTCAATGTGTGGCTTTTATTTTTTGAAAGAGAGTCTTGCTCTCTGTCACCTAGAGTGGAGTGCAGTGGTGCAATCTCAGCCCACTTCAACTTCTGCCTCCGGAGTTCAAATGATTCTCCTGCCTCAGCCTCCCAAGTAGCTCAGATTACAGGCATGCACCACTACGCCTGGCTAATTTTTGTATTTTTAGTAGAAACAGGGTTTCACCATGTTGCCTAGGCTGGTCTCAAACTCCTGATCTCAAGTGATCCACCCACCTTGGCTTCCCATAGTACTGGGATTACAGGTGTGAGCCACTGCACCCAGCCTAATGTATGGCTTTTTCTTTTCTCAAATGTTACATGTAATGTGTGGCTTTTAAATAAAAATCATTTAATGAGCATAGCTCATATTTGCTTAGTTTACTATTTTAAACAAAGAAATATCATTAAGTGTAATGACTTGAGTGGGGTGGGGGTAGGAAGGCAAGGGTTACAGGAAGGGCGGAGCCTGGAGAGGGAAGCTGGGGCCAGTGCAGGTGCATTCTCCAATTACATCCAGGTTCTGGCTTAGGCTTTAACTCAACCACATCCATGCCCCTGGAAACAACTAAAAATAAAGTCCTGGCCAGGTGCGGTGGCTCATGCCTGTAATCCCAGCACTTTCAAAAGCCAAGGCAGGTGGATCACCTGAGGTTGGGAGTTCAAGACCATCCAGACTAACATGGAGAAACCCTGTCTGTACTAAAAATACAAAATTAGCTGGGCTCATGCCTGTAATCCCAGCTACTTGGGAGACTGAGGCAGGAGAATCGCTTGAACCTGGGAGTCCGAGGTTGCAGTGAGCCAAGATCATGCCATTCCACTCCAGCCTGGGCAAGAAGAGCGAAACTCCATCCCTAAACAAATAAATAAAAAATAAAGGCCTAACGCAGTTGACATCCACAAAGGGAAGTTAGGGTCTCAAAGGCCAGAGGATGGGGTGGTTTGCTAGGAACTGTATTGGCTTGGACAGTGGGACTGACTGCAGGAAGAGGATGCCAAAGGAAAGGGGGATACAAGTGGCAGGGGGCACAGGGTGTGGGGCTTCTGGGTGCTGGCAAGGAGCTGCTTCTTGAGCTGGGTGCTCACACAGGTGTGTTCAACTAGTGAAATGCATCAAGCTGCACACTTGTCCACTTCTCTGTATGTATATTATATTTTAATGAAGTTATTTTTAAAAAGTAAAGCAGAGTTCTTCCCAGCATAGCCTCTTTTTTTTAAAAAAAAAGGAAGCAGAGGCTGAATTACACTTAATTGTGAAGTTTTGTGTTTTAAGACTGTTTAAAAATTTAAGAAGATCAGGTTAATATGTAAGAAGTCTCTCACTCTGTCGTCCAGGCTGGAATGCAGTGATGCAATCATGGCTCACTGAAGCGTCAACCTCCCGAGCTCAACAATCCTCCCATCTCAGCCTCCTGAGTAGCTGGGACTACCGGTGTGTACCACCATGCCTTGCTAATATATTTTTTTTAATTTTCAAATTTTTTGTGGAGGCAGTGGTTTGCTTTGTTGACTAAGCTGATCTTGAAGTCCTGGCCTGAAGCAATCCTCCCACCTTAGCCTCCCAGAGTGCTGGGATTATAGGCATGAGCCACTGTGCTTGGCCTAATGGACCTTACTTTTTTCCTGCAGTATAGTTTGAAGAAATTAACTTGCTCACTTATCTAAGAAAGTAAACAGAAAGTCTGGGGGCACATCCCTTGTCCCCACCCCCACCCCCACCCAGGCCTACATAGGTCCTTATTTCTAGATTTTTTTCTTTACCATTTAAGATTTATGTGGTTGTCACTGGTGCCATGGAATAAGAAAAAACATTTAAAAAAAATACAATTGGCAGCTGGGCGCAGTGGCTCATGCCTGTAATCCCAGCACTTTGGGAGGCGGAGGTAGAAGGAGCGCTCAAGCCCAGAGTTCCAGGTGCAGTGAGCTATGATCATGCCACTACACTCCAGCCTGGGCAACATAGTGAGACCTTCTCTCAAAAAAGAAAAGAAAAAAAAAAAAAAAAACAATTGTCTGGGATACCAGATAGTGTTTCAAAGGAATTTTGGGCTGATTTCATCATGTTAAATCATAAGTAGAAAGACGGGAATGATAATATGGCAAGGACTCAAGTTTCCAGAGCGGGCTCCTCTCTCGAGCCACTGGCTTCCCTCGCCTTGGGGAGTAAGTAAGCTCAGTGTCCACTCACCTTGTCCTGTCTGTCCAGGGCACACCCCTCACGGATAAGTGCGGAGATGATCTCCGTGTTCCCCACCACCGTGGCCCGGTGCAAGGCAGTCTGGTCCCCCTGAAAAGTGACACGAAGGCAGGAACAGCAGTCAGCTCCCCTGTACCCCCTTGCACTACTCACTTGACACCTGGACACAAGGACCCCTCCTGTCCCCACATAGAGCAGAGTGGTTATTTGCAGAAGGGCTTGGTTATCACAGGCAAGGCAGGCTTTGTGGTCTTGTTAGTAGACAATGCATGCTGGCAGAGCAATTTTGTTCACAAACTAAGAGAGAGACATTAAACCAACAGCAAGAATAGCCCTTGGCCATAGAGCTGACCTCAGAATGAGGGTCAGGTTCTCACCTTCCATCCAGGGCACATGATTGTCACAGATGTGAAGAGTGGGTGTGGGGGCAGGTGTGTGCTATGCAATTAAAGCAGCATATCTTTATCCAGTAAAGCTGGAATCTCTACTGCCTGCCAAGTTCCCAGCTTGCAGGGGAACCACTGTCCAGCTCTGTCAGTTAGCAGTACTCATGATTTGATGCCAGGCATGTCATTTGTTCATTGACTTGTACTAGTCAAGAACAATGCAAGGATTTGCCCTATTTCATCTGAGGACTCCAGGGACTGCAGCTATCATTGCATATTTCAAAGAAGCCTCTTCAGAGATTTCATGACAACATCCTCACTGATTTATTTATGCTGCATTCTGAACCCTTTTCTCTGTGATTGGATTCCTGGGATTGCCAGCCGTTTTTCTCCTTTAGGCGCCAAAGGGAACTTGACTCTTTTCCTAATTGCAGTTAAATGAAGGATGAAACACTCCCAGAGGTAAGCAGGTCAAGACTGTAACAGAAGAGTTCTGAAGTCTCTAAGTACCCTTTATCTCTGCCAGGTCCTCAGGAAGCTAAGTTGAGGCAAATCAAGCTGAGCCTGTGTTCCAGGCTTCAAAGGGAGGAGAGGTGGGCAGTGTGGAAATGCTCTAGTGGAAAAAGTAATGAGCATGAGACAAGGGGTCAGGAGGCCAGCGTTGTGCACAGCTTGCTAGAAGCCTGTCACCCTGCTGGACCTCAGGTGTGTCACCTATAAAAGGAGGGGGTGGATGATCCCCAGGGTCCCTGCATTGCCTTCTTGGATTTTGTGATTTGGTTGGTCCAAGTCTTGTAAAGTTTCCTGGCAGAGCACCAGAGGGGCAAAGGAAACACTCTGGGGTGTCCCTGGTCCTTGGCCCAGGAGAGGGCAGAGGCCATCGAAAGATAAAGCAGATTTTTTAAAAGAAGGATGCACTGATTCTACTTACTAAACTCCCCTGATCTATAACAAACAACAATGCACATTCAAAGCGTGTAATCTGAAACATAGTTCTAAAGATGGATGGTGATGGTTGCACAACACTGTGAGTGTACTTAATGCCACCGAACCGTATAGGTAAATATGTTCAGATGCTAAATTTAATGCTATGTATGTTTTATTACAATAAAAAAACAATCCTAGTTAAAACTCAAAATTGCTTTCTTAAAATTAAGAGTCCCTTTAAAACTCCATGAGGGGATTTTTTCTCGTTTTTCTTTTTATAATTTTTAATATTTTCCAACTTTTTATGTTTGACACAGATAACTTTTAGCATCTGGAAAAACTGCTACTTATTGGAAGTCTGAGCAGAAACAATACTCCAGTAATGGGACCGTCCCTGTCACAGACTCTTTTCTCACTGTTCATTCATGGAAAGTAAAGAATTTCTGCAGTGAGAAGGTCAGGACACTGAGGACGGTCACTGTCCTCAACAGTGCCACCACTGACCCTCCCTTCAGCATCCTCAACTATTATTCCCGTTATTAATTAGGCTCAGGCGGTTTTCTTCCCAGACCTCTTATTCAAAGATAACCCTTGCTGTGGTTAAAAGAAGAATGTGGCTGCTAGGTCAGTGGCTGCAGGAGGTGGACTGTGCCATTGCACTGTCTACCTCAGACCTCTTAGAAAGTAGTTCTAGACAAGGAAACTAGTAATCATATGAGATACCACCCAGGTCTCAACTTTTTGTTTTTGTTTTGAGACAGTCTTGCTCTGTCACCCAGGCTGGTGTGCACCATCTTGGCTGACTGAAACCTCCACCCCCCAAGTTCAAGTGATTCTTTTGCCTCAGCCTCCAGAGTAGCTGGGATTACAGGCACCTGCCACCACGCCTGGCTAATTTTTTTTTTTTTTTGGATTTTTAGTAGAGACGGAGTTCCACCACGTTGGCCAGGCTGGTCTTGAACTCCTGACCTCAAGTGATCCACCTGCCTCAGCCTCCCTAAGTGCTGGGATTATAGGCGTGAGCCACCCTGCCCAGACCCAAGTCTCAACTTTTTAAAATTTCCACAAGATTTCCAAGACTTCCCATTTCTCTAGCAGAATGCTGATGGAGTTTCCCAAAATAGGCCTCTGGTGCAATTGATGATTACTGATCTGCTAACAAACAGTGCCCTTCTTAGCGAGAACCATGTAATTACAGCTCATGCTTTCAGGGTAGTACTGACTTGGTTAGATTTCCACTTGTTAGAGGCTTTTTAATATAACCACAAACTGCCTACACTCTAGTGCTCTCTGGACCAACAAAAACAACCTTTTTCTGGGATAAAACCTATCACTCTGTATTGTTCATAATGTGTGAGCAACAAGCCCTGAGCATACGGGGTGAGTTAGCCACTCTTGCTGTACAAATTATTTCACGAAGGGCCTTCACTGGATGATAGGGTGCAGTCTAACATAAGCCTTGGTTTAGGTCAAATGTTTTTTATCTGTTTCACAAGCTGCCCTCTAAATTATGAGTTGAGGCATCTTTGGAGCCAGAATGGCACATTATTTATTACTTGCTTTCATCATCAATCTACTGTATTTGCTTCCTTTGAGACAACTTCCCTTTGTGAAACTCTAGCTCAATGCAAGCAGCTAAATCTAACTTTCAGTTCAGACCTAAGGTGGAAATTTCCAGACTAGCAAGATTCAGGAGATCTAATGACTTGTGTGAGGTTGCAGCAAGAACACAAATTGTCCTAAGCTGCTGGCACTGGTGTCTCCTGCACACTCCTTCCTCTGGGGGACCTTGTGGCTGTCCTATCTGTCTCCAGGCCACAGCACCCCCTCCAGCCGTCCTCTTAGACAGAGACCTCACTGAGACCTGGGTCAGATAAACAATGCTGTCACACCAGGCTCAGCCTCTCCCTATAGAAAGTGGCTGTCCTTGGCTGGACTGCTAGCTGTGCTTACACTAGCTGGAATGGTTCTGGAGGACTGAGCAATACGCTTTCTTTGGCTTTGAAAAACCCACCCTTCTCAAGTCACCAAGATGAGAATTAAAGGCTCTGAGGGACACAAAACATAAACAAGGGCTGCCTCAGGTTATCATCTCAGATCTATTCTTCCTTAGAATACAAGACAAACAATTTAGCACCCCTCCGTTGAAGCAGGGTCAGTTACCTACAAATGGACTCTTTTCCTCTTTTTTTTTTTTTTTTGAGACGGAGTTTCGCTCTTGTTACCCAGGCTGGAGTGCAATGGCGCGATCTCGGCTCACAGCAACCTCCACCTCCTGGGTTCAGGCAATTCTCCTGCCTCAGCCTCCTGAGTAGCTGGGATTACAGGCACACGCCAACATACGCAGCTAACTTTTTGTATTTTTAGTAGAGACGGGGTTTCACCATGTTGACCAGGATGGTCTTGATCTCTTGACCTCGTGATCCACCCGCCTTGGCCTCCCAAAGTGCTGGGATTACAGGCTTGAGCCACCGCGCCCGGCCTCTTTCCTCGTATAAGATTAAAATTTACTGTGGAAATATTTCCTCCTTGAAATGACTGACACAGAGAAGAACAAGATGTACCCTCAATAAATACAAGTGACTACTTTGACATGATTCTTTTTTTTTTGAGACAGATTCTCACTCTGTCACCAGGCTGGAGTACAGTGGCAAGATCTTGGCTCACTGCAATCTCCACCTCCCGGGTTCAAGGGATTCTCCTGTCTCAGCCTCCCGAGTAGCTAGGACTACTGGCTCACGCCACCATGCCCAGCTAATTTTCGTATTTTTAGTAGAGACAAGGTTTCACCAAGTTCATCAGGATGGTGTCGATCTCTTGACCTTGTGATCCACCCGCCTCATCCTCCCAAAGTGCTGGGATTACAGGTGTGAGCCACCATGCCCAGCCTGACATGATTCTTACTTGTATGTGATCTAAGTCAATCATGAAATTCTGAAATGCTAGGAAAAGGCAGAGAACTCTCAACAGCATTTCCTCAATTATCTACTCAATGAACATGCATTCATTCATTTTGAGACAGGGTCTCACTCTGTCACTTATGCTAGAGTGCAGTGGCATGATCTCAGCTCACTGCAACCTCTACCTCCCAGGCTCAATCAATCTTTCCACTTCAGCCTCCTGAGTAGCTGGGACCACAGGCATTTGCCACCATGCCTAGCTAATTTAAAAAATTTTTTTTGTAGAGATGGAGTTTCACCATATTGCCCAGGCTGGTCTCCAACTCCTGGGTTCAAGGGATCCTTCCTCTGTAGCCACCCAAAGCGCTGGGATTACAGGCATGAACTACCACACCTGGCCCGAATATTTATTGACTAACTACTATGTGCCAGTCTAATTCCCTCATTTTATTGATTTTTATCTCATTTTATTGATGTCTAATTCTCTCATTTTATTGGTAAGCCTAGAACTCAGGGTAGCACACTTGGACCAGAAATCAAATTGTCAAGGCTCTTTGCACTCACTCCAAGCTGCCTTCAACTCGTGAAGTCACTAACCTTAAGACGGGCCTCAAAAAGATCAGATGCGTCTGTGGGGTTGGGGCTGCCTCTTTCATAAAGTACAGCCACTGTAGCTGCCCAAGAAGTATTTGTTGAATGATTAACTACAAGAAGCAGAAGGAAAAATGCCGTGGCTGGAAACTTGAAGAGCCTGCCACCTTGCAGTTTGGCACTATGATTTGGAACATGTTGACCCATTTGCAAAGTACATGAACTACCAGCTCTCAGTTCTTCTGAGACAGTGTTTCCAAGACAGTGTTTCTCACTTTTAGATTTTAAGAAGCTTTGGTATCTATAAGGTCTAAATCTTTGTTTTGAAATACTGTTGTTTTTCTTTCCTACATGGTGAAAAAGAGTGAGCATAGTGTTGGCAGATTCCAAGGCCACACTAATGGAAGAAATTCCAGTCATGCAAGGGTGCAGCGTGCCCCTCTTCAGGAGGAATCACACCCATGTGGCACAGGCAGACATACTGTAAGGCAGCTCAAGACAGGATAGTGTTCAAAGCAAGTTGCTGACCTCTTTTTCTCTCTCTGATCTTCTAGGGTCCTTCCTAACCTTCCCTCTGTGGTTTTTCTTATTTTTGTCTTCTTTCATGGCTTTCATTGTGGCCACAGCATCCTGGACTATTTCTGAGGTGGGGGCTATGTGACTTGACCAATCAGAGATGGCATTAGCACTCCAATGAGAGTTGACAGGATTGGCGGGAAGCAAGGGAGAATTTGCTCCTGGAGTTGCATAATCTAAAGAACTGGTTTCCACAGGTTGAAATTCATAATAATCCCACTCCAAGCCACTGGAGGTCATTCTTCAACTAATTCTCAGTCCTTACCATGTCATAAATCAGTATCTGCAGAATATGAATTTAGGATTAAATTCTTCATAACATTAACATTCTCTGTTTCTACCCACCATCCAAGACAGGTAACTTCTGAAATTGATTTTTTCTAATAACTGATCTTCTAGATTCTTTAAAGGACACAATCAAGAGTTTTCTTCCTTGATTTCTTGCATGTATTTCAAGGCTCATCATCAACAGCATGTCAAATACACAGAGAACAGGAATGGATCATATGCTGGCAAATGTGTTTTTTCAGAACTAGTGAAGGTCAATTCTACCTTCTCCACTCCCAACTGCTTCTTGTTGTTGTGTTTTTTGTATTTTTTTTTTTAATCTGGGAAAAGTAATATATGCATTGTCTGTCTAGGACAAGGAAAAGATGCAAGAAAATAACTTCAATAAATAAAAGGGGGTCTTTCTGTCTAAAAGTAGAGCTGGCTTTTCTTCTGCTGACACATCTCACTTTGGCTACCTAAATAATTATTGCCTGTTTCATGTCCTACCTTGCCTGGCATAAACAGCAGCAGTTCTAGCAAATTACCAAGGCTTTTGCTGCATGAGAACACAGTGATTCTTAGAGCCCAGGATGTGAGGCAGGGGTATCAAGTTGGAATGGGTTAGCACACCCAGCATTTTAGCATTGCCACTATGGCAAGCAAAGCCTTTAATTATACGAAGAGAAGACCAGCTGCATCCCAACATGTTTGCACCAGTAACTCAATGTCCCACCTTTTCTGTGGTCAAAATCTTTTCTCTCTCCTTGTATTTTTGCTCCTGTCATCTAAGGATATGATATAGTTGAGAATGTTATGATGGCCACAGTGCAGGAAAATAAAGTATTATGACCCAAGGTAGAAATCAACAGCTTAAAGCTAAATCAGCATTTTTTCAAAGTAACATCCTTGATGACCCAGCAGCTTCCAGATATAACCAGAGATTTATGAAAGACACTAGATGGCCTTCTGCCCATGCATAAAACAGTCATATTTAGTTATTTCTTTTTTTTTTTTTTTTTTTTTTGAGATGGAGTTTCGCTCTTGTTACCCAGGCTGGAGTGCAATGGCGCGATCTCGGCTCACCGCAACCTCCGCCCCCTGGGTTCAGGCAATTCTCCTGCCTCAGCCTCCTGAGTAGCTGGGATTACAGGCACGCGCCACCGTGCCCAGCTGATTTTTTGTAATTTTTAGTAGAGACGGGGTTTCACCATGTTGACCAGGATGGTCTCGATCTGTTGACCTCGTGATCCACCCGCCTTGGCCTCCCAAAGTGCTGGGATTACAGGCTTGAGCCACCGCGCCTGGCCATTTCTTTGCAAATACTATCCTTCCCACTGCGTGTTTGCCAAGTTATATGACATTATACACAGACCCAAAGAAGATTAGAAACACTTTGGTAAACCACACTCTAGCACATCTGAAGGTCTGAAATTTGAATCACACTCTATAACTACAGTTATTAAAGGTGAATTTGGAAGAGGTTATAAGTGCAAACACTCCAAGGTTCTGTGTTCCCCACAAAAGTTCTTATTTCTTAGAGTTCTACTATATGAATTAGTGTTGCAACCATTTCTAAAAATAGTTTTCAATTATACTATCAAAGGACCTTTTCCTAATAGTTGTTGGAGGACAATTTATATGGTCCTTTCTTAGAGAATCCACCTTCTCCAAAGACCCAATAGGACAGCCCACTGTACTGCATGACTCCACCCCAGCCACTACTAACTCACTCAGGATTGGCCACTTGATGCCAGAGGAGCCAATCAGAGTCCATCTCTAGATAATCCGAATGCATAGACTCAGAGCTGAGTTGGTTGGTGGACATGTCTCAATAATAGCATAGTACCAGAGTGAACTGTTTCTGGAGGCCTCCTTTTTCTTAGATTCTATGATATTTGTGTCTTTCCCCCACTCCCAACTTGAATAGCTCCTTTTCCATGTCATAGTTACTGACAGAGACATTAAGATAAGAAAAAAATTAAGTTTTTCACCCCCAGTTTTCACCAATGATAAATTTGGTCACTGACACATATTTCCAGGGGGTCTTGCACATACTGATGTGTATGTGTGTGTCCCTTTATGCTGAGACCAGACACAGGTAAAAATGACCTTTGAGGCATTTTGTATAATAGACAGGAAGTGATCACTTGAATAATAGAAAGGAAGTGAACCATGATGGAAGAACTACCCCATACTCCCAAACTCTAACTTGCTACTCAGAATGGGCCTCAGAGCAGGTCATCAAGAGGAAGTTCTTGCTGCAACAGAGACCAAGATGCAGCTAAAATATGCTGGGAGAGCATCTACTACCCTCCCATCTCATAGCTTACACTTTGTGGATTTCTAGCCAGACAAGCTCCCCTGCCAACTCAGCCCCTGATAAAATGATGGCTTCTACTCACATCATCCTGGACATCGAGGTCGCAGCCAGCCTTCAGCAAGATCTGGACCACAGGAAGATGGCCCTTATTGGCAGCAAGATGCAGGGGGGTCCGGCCATGCTGTGAATGTAAAACAAACAATGATTTCCGAACAAGTCATCAAAACCACTAGAGCAAGGTTTGCACAGGGGCTTTCGGATGATCACTCCCTCCTGCCCCTTTGGATTGGCAGGAGATTCTTATAGGTTAACCAAAATTCAAGTTTGTCTCAGTTAATCTTGGCTATTGCCAGTGTAATCAATGAACAAGATATGCTCAAAATGTGAAGACTTCCTTTAGTGCATTATTTCTACTCTCTACTCATCAGACTATCAAGTAGCAAAATGAGCAGTTTTGTGCCTTCTCTTAATTTCTCACTGGTGCTAGTAGTGAGGAATAATGAAGTGGCCATGATGAATCTGGGCGAGAGGTGGGAGAATGGCAAAATGAAGCCTCCAGAAAGAGTTCACTCTGGCACTATGCTATTATTGAGATATGGCCACCAACCAACACAGCTCAGAGTCTATTCATTCGGATTGAGATGGACTCTGATTGGCTCCTCCTCCATCAGCCCCAGGAGTCCAGTTAGTAATACCTGAAAATTAAAACTGTTGATTGAACTGATTAGGAAAGGTTCTTTTTTTTTTTTTTTTTTGAGACAGGGTCTCTCACTTTCTCGCCAGACTGAAGTGCAGTGGCATGATCTTGGCTCACCGGAACCTCTGCCTCCCAAGCTCAAGGGATTCTCCTGCTTCAGCCTCCCAAGAAGCTGGGATTACAGGCACCTGCCCCCCACTACCACCTAACTAATTTTTATATTTTGAGTAGAGACAGGGTTTCACCATGTTGGCCAGGCTGGTCTCCAACTTCTAACCTCAAATGATCCACCCAGCTTGGTCTCCAAAGTGCTGGGATTGCAGGCGTGAGCCACTGTGCCTGTCTGGTTCTTCCACTTTTTAAAAACAAGTTCTAGGCTGGGTGTGGTGGCTCATACCTATAATCCCAGCATTTTGGGAGGCTGAAGCGGGAGGATCACTTGAAGCCAAGAGTTTGAGACTAGCCTCGGCAACACAGTGAGACCCCATTTCTACTTAAAAAAAAAGTCGTTTCTAAAAAAAATTAGCTGGGCATAGTGGCATGTGCCTGTAGTCCCAGCTACCTAGGAGACTGAGGTGGGAGGATCACTTGAGCCCAGGAGGTCAAGGCTGCAGTGAACTGTGATTATACCACTGTACTTCAGCCTGGGCAACAGAGCAAGACCCTGACTTAAAAAAACAAACAAAAACACTAAATTAAAATTATGAAGTATTTCAACCACTAAAAAAATCTAAGTAATATTTTAACATTCACACACCTACCAACCATTTCAAGAAAACAGATAAAACATTGATATTTTTTGTGAACAAGCCCTAGGTTTCATTTCTCTTCCATCCCCAGAGGTAACCACTCTCTCGAATTTGGTATTCATCATCCCTTTTCCTTTCACTATATTTTACTAACATGTTTGTAGCCAAGGACAATATATATAAACATTGTGTTGCTTGTTTCAAACCCTACATAAATAGCATTTTTTTTCCTTTGAGACAAGGTCTCACTCTGCTGCCCAGGGTAAAGGGCAGTGGTATGATCATGGCTCACTGCAGCTTCAACCTCTTGGTTCAAGTGATCCTCCCACCTCAGCCTCCTGAGTAGCTGGGACCACAGGCATATATGTGCCACCGTGCCTGGCCAATTTTTTTCTATTTTTTGTAGAGATAAGGTTTTGTCATGTTGCTTAGGCTGGTCTTGAACTCCTGGGCTCAAGTGATTCACCTGCCTCAGCCTCCCAAAGTGCTGGGATTGCAGGTGTGAGCCACTGCATCTGGCCTAATAGTTTTCAACTATACAATAAACTTGGCATTTTTTGTCTAACTTTATATTTTTGAGATATTTTTTCATGTCGTTCATGTGGTTTTGGTTCACTTATTATTTACTCATCCTCCTCCTGCTGGGCACCCAGACTATTGCCAGGGGGTTGCAGAACACATTAGTGTGTTCCCCTCCTTCTGCACCTGAGTGGGCTTCTTAGCTCTGCTGCTGGGTCACAGAGAAGACCATTCCCTTCAACTGCTCTAAGCATGCTGGCTCCCAAGGTGCCACATCAAGGGTGACATCCAGAAGATGTAAATTTACTAGATGTAAATCAACTTCTATCCAGAGAACTGCCCTGCCAAACCCCTAATTCTCCAAATTCTGAAGCAAACATATTTCCTTTGCTTTCCCCGACAGGTTTCACTGTGAAGAAACATTCAAATATCATTGAACCACAGCCCCACCCATGCTATCTTCCCAAAGGCCTTTATTGATACTCTAGCAGGATAAACATTTATGATTTCAAGAAAGCACCAGTTTGCCATGGGTAATGAGCCATGGAGGAAAACAGAGATAACAGACAATAAAGGATCTTAATTTCTCCCTATGAAATGCGATCAAAGCACTAAAATGATTCTGGGAAGAGGTCAGAGCTTACTTTAATCACTTCGAAAAAAAGTGGGCTATAAAAAGCCTTCAGAAAAAGGCAGTGTCTGAGATGAAGAGTGATCTTTCTTTGATGGTGATTGTGCTCAGTCATGTGCTCCATAACCTCGATTCTTCCAATGAAATGTCCATAGCTGATCAGATAAGAGTGGCATGACCAGGTTCCAATGGCTGGGCCCGGTCTCCAACTGCATCTGTCACCATGCATTCTTGTCAAGGACTTCTTAACATTGAATAAGTGCCCTTCACGAATTTTCCTAAGACATTCTGAAATGGGAGTTTATCACATGTGAGGACAGAGGTGTGTGCTATGAGGGAGGTGACATCACAAGTGCTTCTGGGCAGCTGGAAACTATAGACTAGCATGGAGCGAAGCTGTCTGGGGAGTCTGGAAAGGGGCCAACAGACCCAGGAGCACTTTTTAAAAAACTGAGATGGAGCCTCACTCTGTCACCCAGGCTGAAGTGCAAACCTCCGCCTCCCAGGTTCAAGCTATCCTCTTGCCTCAGCCTGCCAAGTAACTGGGATTACAGGTGCCCGCCACCAGGCCCAGCTAATTTTTGTATTTTTAGTAGAGATGGGTTTCACAATGTTGGCCAGGCTGGTCTCAAACTCCTGACCTCAAGTGATCTTCCTGCCTCAGGCTCCCAAAGTGCTGAATTACAGGTGTGAGCCATACGCCTGGCAAGGGGTTCTTTACTGTGTTTCAAGAGATCCTCCTCCTGTGCTTGGGATCCCAGATGCCCGAGGACCTCCTGGTACTCTGACCATGGAATTCCCAGCTTCCAGAACTATGAGGAGCAAACGTCTGTTGTTTAAACTACTTACTCTATGTTACCTTGTTAGAGAAGTCCAAATGGACTAAGACGGGTTCAAACAAGATCACTTCTGGGAGGGCACTTTATAAACTATAAATTACAAACAGGATGGGCCTGGATTGGAGGCACCTTTCTAATTCAAAGTCAGTAAAGAACCACCCATGGAGACATGAAAAGCCAGAAGCATCAGCGCCTAGTTTGAATCCCAGCTCTGAGTAAAACACCTGTGTCATTTGGTGCTTAATCCCCTAAACTAAGCTTGCTTTCTCTTCTGTAAAATAGGAATAACCTCCACTGTCCACTCCACAGGCTTGAAATAAGGACAGGAGGTAACATCCACCATCTAGCATGGGTTTCCCTCCCCTCCAGCTGTCCTTAGCCCCCACCCCAGAGGACACCCCAACCATCCCCTCTCCTCTTCGACACTTTACGCCTTTGCCTTCACAGAGACCAGTAGGATATTTCCAATGTCAAATGGATCTGGGTGAAGAGCTGGATCTCTTCCAACCAGAAGGGCTATGGCTGGAGAGTCCAGGTTTCCACCAGCCAGTCCTGACCCACTTGTCCACTTCCATTTTTGAAATGTAAATGTGGTTCCCAGTCTCTGTGTCTCTTTTTGGAAGGCATTCTTCAAGAACACCGTTCTCCAAACTATGACTTCTCTGATGCTCCAGCAAGGCTCCTGACCTCCCACAGCACTCAGGCTCCGTTTCAGGAAACTGCCAAAAGTTCTAGGATGGCTCCGCCCCTCTGAGGAGGTGTGACATCCTGAGAGCTTCAGGAGCTGAACTACAACAGTGGCACAGGGGCTTTCTGAGGAGGGTCTGTGTTCCCTACACATGTGTGACTCCTTTTCTGGCATCTGGTGAAAGTACTGCAATAGCAAAGGCAGTAGTTGGTTTCCTATAAAAGCTGAAGCTGTCTCCTCTGTCCCCGGTGCTTTCCTAGTATGAGACCCACCCTCTTAAACACACATCACCTGCTAAAGGAGAAAAGCAAGAAAGCAGCAGACATGCACTTGATTTTCCAGAACATTCTGTAGTAAATAGCAATCAAAATAGAGCCCCTTGGAGAAGAGACTGCCCCTATCCAGCATACAGGAATGCTCCCAGGTATGTCTGACTAATGGGAAAGGCTGGAACCCCACTAAGCGTGAGGGAGCAAATAAAAACTGATCTTCAGAGGCAGCTTTGAATGATTTAGACTTAAGGATGCAACTACTCTCATTTCCATTTCCGTGCCCCTAGGACTGGCCACTGGAAGAAATGAGAACAGGAAAAAAGCCCATGTATTATGAATGATAAGCAGTTTGGGCTGGGCAAGGTGGTTGCAACTGTAATCCCAGCACTTCAGGAGGCCAAGGCAGGTAGGTGGATTGCTTGAGCACAGGAGTTCTACAGCCTGGGCAACATGGCAAAACCCCACCTCTACCAAAAAATACAAAAATCAGCTGAATGTCATTTTGTGTGCCTGTAGTCCCAGCTACTCAGGAGGTAGAGGAGGGTGGATAGATTGAGCCAGGGAAATCAAGGCTGCAGTGAGCTGTGATTGCACCATTGCACTCCAGTCTGGGTGACAGAATGAGACCTTGTCTCTCAAAAAAAAAAAAAAAGAAAAGAAAAAGAAGTTTTAAAGCATCAATTTGCCCTGGGTCCTACCCCAGTTATCCTCAAAGATCAGTTCAGCTTAACTCAACCCAGGCCCTGCCCAATAATGATGTGGGCAGAGCAAGAGACAGCAGGAGCC